AGCAGTCAAAAGAGCAGTCGCAGCAGTCAAAAGAGCAGTCGCAGCAGTCAAAAGAGCAGTCGCAGCAGTCAAAAGAGCAGTCGCAGCAGTCAAAAGAGCAGTCAAAAGAGCAGCAGTCACAGCAGTCCCACGCTCTCAACTCGCGGTCCGCGCTCTTCATCCCCGGACGCCTTGGGACGCAGCCAAGCTCCCACGACAGCGCACGACCCGCACCGCAGATAACTTCGAAGATCTCTGGCGCTCTGAATTTGGCGCCGCGGATGCAGCAGCGCGCGCAAGACCCTGGTGTGCCGGGCGCGGGATGGGCTGACTTCGCGGCGCATATCGAGGGGGACAATCGGAGGATGCTGGAGGATGTGCGGCAGGGTCGGGAGAGCCTCGGAGGTGAGACGATTCAGCCTGAGTTCAGGGAGACGTTTAAGAGGAGGGGGAGGGAAGAGGATGAGGAGAGAGGGAAGGAGGATAGTGATAGTGATAGTGATGAGGAGGGCGGGGTGAGACTGTAGTTTAGGTCTCTAGACGGAAGCGGTGCTTGTCATGATTGAGAGCGCGGTGGAATTGGGATCCAGACTGGAGATTGCGAGATGAGATGGAAGTCGGATTTCAGCCCCCCCCCCCCCCCCCCCCCCCCCCCCCCCCTCCCCCCGGCTTACTTTGATTTACGTAGAGAAAGGGAATACATGGCTCAGCGGCCGCTCCGTTTTACTCCGCCCACCCTCCCCATCGACGTCGCCGCTCACACCCAGCTCCCCCGCTCCGTCCACGACTACGCTGGCGCACGCCGCGATCTCGCACCAGATATCCATCGCTTGCTGCATGTCCACTCGGCCGCGCGCAGGAACCGCCCGGCGCGGCGTCGGACCTGCATCTACAGGCTCAGCGTCTGTCGTATCGAGCTCATACCCAGCCTCGTCGGACGCTACCGCGCTAGCACCAGCATCGGGCGCGTCTACAAGGCTCACATTGCGGTCACAACGCGGCTCGTCTGCGGCGCAGAACTCGCGCTGCGCATCGTCGTCGACGAGGTACAGAGCCATAAGCATCGTATCGTCGTCCGAGTCCGCATCCGCGTGCAGCGACGGCAGCGTGGCGAGCCAGTCTGCTGTCAGTCGCTTGGCGTTGATGGAGTGCGGTGGTTTGCGCTCCGGCGTGTGCGCGGCGGATGGCTGGAGTGAGTGTCCATCTTCATATGCATAATCATCATCGGCATCGTCGCCGGCGTCGCTGAGCAGGCTCGTTAGATTGGGCGTTCGCTCACCGTGTACGCTGTCGACTGCGCGTTGCGCGGGGACAACGGGGAAGCGGCGGGCAGACCCGCAGGCGCCGGCCTTGGCTGTCTTACCATGTTGTTTCGCCGCGTCGATCACATCTACGAGGTTCCGCTTCACGTCCTCGGCGACGGGCGACGAAATCTCCTTCACTGCGGGCTCAGAGACTAGGTGCCCATTCACACGCGTTTCGATGCCTGCTGGCAGATGGGGGCCCATGCCGTCGCATTTCTGGGGGCAGATGGGTAGGCGCCAGGAGGTGTAGGGGGCTGCTGTGGGATTGCAGGGCTGCGGCTTTGGGGAGGACAGGGGAGGTGCAGGACAAGTGTAGGAGAAGAGGTAGGAGAGCTGAGGGAGGTGGGGGAAGGAGGGGAGGCAGTAGCGTACCATGGCTGCGGTTGTTGGTGGTGTGTTTGCTGAGACTGAGCTGATGTAGATGTGGGCTCGTTGCTAAGGAGTTGCTGCGAGATGGACGTCTCTTCTGGACACTGGTGGATGATCGATAGAGACTAGTTGTGAGAAGAGCTTGGGAAGTAAGTCCTTTTGTGCTGGTCGACGACGCTGTCGTTGTTGGAGACATTGTGCTTTCTCAGACAGTGTTTACTCATTGTTGCAGCGCCCTCTTTGTCACGTGCTAGAAACTCCTCAACTCTGTGAAGCAGCAAAGTACCTCGAATCGACCCGCAATAATGTTCAGCAGGCAAGTGAAGTGAGAATAATATCTGCGGTGTCTTGGACTAGAGAGGCAATTCGACCGACAAAAGAATCCGAGCGGACATTCAGCGGCAGGATCGCGAAGGATTAGTGCCAAGACCATGCGAGATACGGAGCTCTGATCATGGCTACTGAAAACGAGAGTCATTGTTTGACATCCACGCACAACGCGCAGCAGGATCTAGCGTTAAGCAAGGGGCGCCAGGATGGTCCTCCCAGCCCAAGCCACGAACCCGAACCCACGATCACTGGGAGCAATCGAGATAAGATCACAGAACCCCAATCCTTCTCTTTCTCAACATCTCCTTTTCGCTTGCTGGTGGACTGGTGGAGGAAGGCGCATGCCAGCACACCAACGCCCACAAGCCTAGGTCAGTGTGCCGCAGACCGACTCAACGTGAGACACACGTATGTGCAGACATCAGCCCACACTGATACATCGAAAGCGTGTGATGGCTTGCAGGCGTCTTTCCACGTGCGATGCGTGTGCCAAAACGGCCCTGTTGCTTGTGCAGGTGAGTCGAAAGTAGCCACGCTGGGTTTCGCATCCAATAGCCGGGGCGTGGCTTGTGGAGAACGTTGCAGCTGTCTCAAATGAGGCGATGCCACACTGTGATCGATTGGTACTCCACAGATGGTAGTTCGGACTCGAAACGGTAAGTCTGTGTACAATTGAATAATCAGGCGATTAGTGCTTGGTGGGTTGACGTCATATGATCTGCGAAAATTGCTTGTGAGTTGTGCATGGGATTTGTTCTTCCTGAGGAGCGATTGCATGTCCTGGAATTCCAGAGTGGGCGTCGACCACTCGGAAAGTGTTCTGGGCGCCTCTTCTCCCGGAAACCTGAGAGACGGGCCCTGGATTCCCAAAAGGCTTTCCCGTCGACTCTTTGCTCGCGGCGTAGGCTGAACCAATTCTCAGGGACGAGCGCCACCACGCCTCAGGGGAAAACATTCGGCGCCATCTATGTCGCAGTTCCAGACTTGCTCATAGTCTCAGACCCGCTGAATTGATATTGAGAGATTTGCGGAGTCCTCGGGCGCGGTGTTGAGGCTCCTCGGGGCTGGTCATCGAACGGGCACGGGCTGACAGCGGGCAGCGGTTAGGGACTGGTAGGTGCTCCCCGCCCGCCTCGTTAGCCCCATCAAGTCGATGACATAATGATTCGCCGAGGCCATGCGTCATTCAGGCTTTTTGACAATGTACCATGCGCAATTGCACTGTGCTTTTGTAGACTTCGAGGCCGTATTTCAGCAGCGGCGTCGACCCTTCATCAGGACACGAGTCGTGCTGAGGTGCGGCCCGGTCAGCACATGAATCGCTCACCGGGAAATTGCGCGCGCCGCCTGCTCGGTTCGGTCTGGATGCGTGCATCCGTGAGAGTGCTCGTCCAATGAGTACTATGTGGAAGACCCACTAGGCCCGGCTTGGCGTGTCTAGCTCAAGCCTCACGGGCCACGACGATCCGGGCTCCTCTGAAGCCAAAGCTCTCGGAGACGTGCCGCTGGTAAACGCCATGGGCAATCTCACAACTATTGGCTCCCATTACGGCAGCGAACCCAGCGGTCGCAGTAAATGCACCGGTTTCCCGTCCCGGATACCTGCAAGCCAGATTGCACGGTGCTGAAAAGTGGTTTCTGCGTTCCGCGCGAGTGATCAGACCATGTCTGCTGCGGTGTGTGCCACTGTCAGTAGTGTGTGGCCTGGCTACTCGCACTGTGTTGCACAACACACTAGCTGGCACCTTTGTGCACTGGGTTGCAATTATTGTCCGCAATCGCAGAGACCGCGTGAGGGGTGCAGACGCCCCCATCGCACTCACAGATGCGGAGAGCCACTCGGAGTCGGCAGCGAAAAGCCAGGTGGGCGCGGTGAGCAGCTGGGCGACGCATGAGCAGAGACTATGCAGAGAAAGGCCTCGTCCGGCAGTATCGCGCTGGCTTGTATGGAGCGACGCCCACGCACATGGCTGGGCTTGAGCGTTGACGAGAGAGCGTGCAGTAGTGGGCGAGTTTCTTTCAGTCGGGCTGCGGAAAGGAGCAAGGGCCTGGCTTAGTGGCTGTAGGGGCCTCTAGGCTCTAGCTGAGCTTTCCAGGAATGGAGGCCAGGAGCCGAAGCTTTCGTCAGGCTGGCTTCGCGCCCCGCCGTGTGCCGCCCGCTGTGTGGTGCGACGAGGACATAATTAGCGCTGGGGCAGCCCGAATCCCACGGCCAGTAGCCAGATGCTGCGCCAGATAGGCATCCAAGTGCGCCAGATAAATCAACGGCGTTGCAGAGTGCATCGGAGAGCATTCTGTGGGCTGCACGCGAGGTCAGCAGCTGGAAGCGAGGCATCCTTCTCGGATCGCGCATGCAGGTTGCAGGCCTTGCAGAGCCTGGGGTGAGCCCAGCCGTCATTGGCGCCAGTGGGCTCGCGAACCGTTTAAGTCCTGCTGGACAAAGGAGCGGGTCGGCTAAAGATGGAGCGTCAATCGTGCTAGCCGTGCTGGGGCTCCAGCCCGCTGTGTCGCCCACCCAGCGCTCACCTATCTGGCTGTGCTTCCGGCTCTCGTCCTCGCTCCTGCTGCCATCTCTCATCCACGACACCGTTGATCCACGGGAGAGCGACCGCCGCGACGTTCGTAGACGACCAACACGTCTGCTGCAGCCAGGCCTCACGTCGCATTCTTCCACGCTCGCTGCACCGCCCACTGTCCCGCCAGCTGGAGCAATCGACACCAGATCGACCACCGCGTGCCTCAGCCCCCCGCCTCACCTCGCCAGCACTCCGGACAATTGGCACTGTCGCCGTCGAATCGAGTGCCAAAACGTGCGAGATCGAGTCTTTTGTTATTGTTTGCCCTCTCGAAGCGTGAGTGTTTTCCATTACGCCCATCCCGTGACGTGGGAATGCCCGAACAGCCGGGCTGGGGAGCCCAGTGCTGCGGACGCTGTTCCTGTCACATTCACGAGGCGGCTGCACTGCGAACGACTGTTTTAACAGTTCCAGACACGACTGTTCCGTGGTCGAGGTTCTGACAGATCTTGTTCCTCGTTTTCTAAATATTTTCCAACTGTCTGGTCAGCGACGTAGTGCGTGCCAGTCCCTGACGTTCGGCAACCTTGGAACACTTCCACGTCCGCGCGCCTACTGACTCGATCCTAGTCACCACATTATCCCATCATGTCCCTCTCGACGATCCCATGTTCGATCGAGACGAAGAACCAGTCTCAACGCACCACCAAGGATGGCCGTCGCGTTCGCTATGAGATGCAGGTGATCCAGCAGCCCGAGCGTGCCCGTGCCTGTGGAAGCGGTGCCAAGTCGAGCGCTGACCGTCGCCCTGTTGATCCTCCGCCGATTGTCGAGCTGCGCATCTATGAGAACGACCAGGACGTCACTTTTGCCTACAACGCCAACTTCTTCCTGCACGCCAGTCTCGAGAATGCCCGTCCCATTGCTGCCAGCCGTGGTGCGCAGCCCATGTCTGGCACCCCGGTCCTGACCGGCACTCCTGTCGCTGGCATGGCCTACCTCGACCGCCCAACGCCCGCTGGATACTTCATCTTCCCCGATCTGTCCGTCCGCCACGAGGGCAAGTACCGTCTCAGCTTCGCCCTGCTTGAGAACCTCAGCGAAGTCAAGGATCTGGACCCCAACGACCCGAACGTCATTCATGACGGCAACCGTTTTGTCACCAACCGCTGCGAGGTCAAGTCGGCGCCTTTCACCGTCTTCTCGGCGAAGAAGTTCCCCGGCTTGTCCGAAAGCACTGCACTCAGCCGCATGGTCGCCGAGCAGGGTTGCCGTGTCCGCATCAGACGCGATGTCAGGATGAGGCGTCGTGAGAACAAGAGTACGAAAGAGTGGGACGGCGGCTATGATGAGAATGACGAGTACGGGCAGCAGGCTCGACGCACCGCAACGCCCGAGGCTTACGGTGGGCAACCTGGCATGCCAGCACCCGGCCCCCATATGGATGAACGTCCCCGCTCCGTCTCGGATGCCAGTAACTCGTCTCTAGTTCCTCCTCGCCGTCCGAGTATGGAAGAGATGGCTCAGACCTACCAGCAGCCAAGCACCAACTACCAGCAGATGGCCCCGCCACAAAGTGCTGGCTACCCTCACATGCCAAGTCAGCCCCAATACCAGCCTCAGTACCAGCAGCAACAGCAGCAGCAACAGCAGCAGCAGCAACAGCAGCAGCAGCAACAGCAGTACGTTCCGCCGCCAACGAGCCACATGATGCAGCCTCCTCAGCCCTCGTATTCGCAGCCCCCACCTCAACAACAACCTCAACACCAGCAACAGCCTGGGTACAATGGATACCCCAATCACACCCCACAAATGCCAATGAACCAGTCTTACGGTTATTCGAGCCATCATCAACCACAGCAGTCTCACTACGAACCTCGCCAGGAACAGCCAGCTGCCCACCATCAACCGATTGACTACCGCAGGCCTTCCATCCCCCAACCGACTCAGCAATACGCCCCTTCAAGCCAGTCGCAGCTGATGTCACCGTACAGCCCAGTGGACCCTTACCAACAGCGGTCGCAGTCCTTGAGTCAGCCTCAACCGCCAATGCAGCAACCTCTCCGTGCCTCTTCGATCTCCGGTCCAAGCGCAATGCGCCCACAGAACACTCACCCTCTGCCAACATTGAAGCCGCTGCAACCACCAATCGGCGCCGAGAAGCTCGAACCAGTTTCGCCCTCGTACCACTCGCCAATGAATACGACATCTTCCGGTTCCATATCTGCTAACTCCGATGCCTCCCGATCCAACTACGCTCTGCACAATTACCCTGCGACAAACCTCCCACCGATGTCGGCTTCCACCGCCCAAAAGCGATCCTTCTCATCTACATTCGATCAGAGTCACATGAGTGGCCGCTTGACAGGAGGAGCACGACCTGTACAGTCCGGTCCAGGGTACACTTACGACGAGCAGCCAGACATGGAAGAGCCAATGGACCGAGCTGCTATGAGTTACAGGCGAGCAGATGGAACACAACGTCAACGTCATGTTCCCGAAGTAAACGTCTAGGTCTAATCCCTCACTGCACTCGGCCAATGTGCCTTTCTTCGATCTATTGCTCTGCGACTGTACCTTGGAGTACTGGAGTATTGGAGTCCGGCGCCATCTGACTTTTCTTGACTTCATCATCAATATACCTGAGAGCTGCATCAGTGCGATCTCGCGATATCTCCTTGACTGTACTTTGTTTGTGTCGCTGTTTCCTGGATGACTACTGAGGTCATGTCATGGTGGGCGGCTCACGTCTGTATCATGCAGTCTCACGTACACATATTCCTTGCGAAGGCCTACTCGCCACACTTTTCCTAAGCATTGCATGTTCCTGTCTGTTGTTGGTTATGGGAAATCAAGCTCAGCGTGCGAGCCCAAGCCCTACAGCATTGCACCATCTTATCATGTCTCTTTCATACGCGTCGGTGGACTCTTGCCAGACAAGGGCGGCCGTCTGCACTTGGTGGAATAAATTGGTTTTCTAGATGGTCATGTCTGAGTGGTCCAGCGTCTTGCCGTCTGGCCGATCATGCACCTTGGATATTAGTACACATAGTCACATCTAAAGCAAGGGAGCTACCTGTTCAAAGTCTAGTTCCATGACGTACAACGCCGTCCAGCACTTACGTTAGCAGAGCACCGGACACGATGATTGCTAATAAGAAAATAGTCTTATCGCCAACGAATTTTAGCAAAAACACGACGGCATCTCAACGTGATCACAGCGGCGTTCAGCAACACTAGCCGTCGGCGTGGACCCTGGTATTTCGGCGCGGGGTAGCTTCCCTAGGTACCTACCCCTCCAAAGGAATCACGCAATTCGGTAACACGAGCTTCCACTCTCCAATCAGCCCTCAAACGGCAAGCCTGGATGGCCCTTTTTGCTCAAAGGGCAGCAATTGGGCTGGCAGTATCATGATGGGCTCCCTGTGGCCGACGTGAAAGCGGCCGAAGCGTGAAAATGTGGCAGTGGAGCTGTACAAGTACGGCGAACCCCACGAAGGCTGACAGGAGCACGCTCAGGGCAAGCGAGCTCCAAACCGGTGGGACTATTTATATGACGTGATTGACGGCTGCTTTTATGGCCTTGCCACTTGGACCCCTCTTCAACTTTTCAGCGATTCCTCATTGTAGCTGGCTGCAAGCAGAATCTACTTCCACGATACATCCACGTTCAAAACAATACATCATGGCCGAAGAACTATCAAAGAACTTCGAGACGCTGCAGTTGCACGCCGGTAAGCTCCTTCGGCTCCTCGAATGCTTCTCTGCTGACAATGGCTTCCAGGTCACACACCAGACTCGGAAACCAACTCACGCGCTGTGCCCATCTACGCGACTACTGTATGGCGCTACTAAACTCGCAACATCTGCAAAAGATCAAAGCTGACTGCAGCAGTCATACACCTTCAATGATAGCGCGCACGGGGCCAGGTTGTTCGGGCTGAAAGAATTTGGCAACATCTACAGCCGTATCGGCAATCCCACTGTTGGTATGTAAAGTGTGTTCTTAAACTGGTGGATCTTGGACCGACGATGTTGCAGGAGTTCTCGAGGCCCGTATCGCAGCGCTCGAAGGCGGTGTTGGAGCTCTAGCAACTTCCTCCGGCCAGGCCGCCCAATTCATCGCCATTACCTCCCTCGCACACGCCGGAGATAACATCGTCTCGACCACAAATCTCTACGGAGGCACATACAACCAGTTCAAGGTCTTCTTCCCCCGACTGGGTATTCAGACGAAGTTCGTCAACGGTGACAAGCCAGAGGACTTCAAGGCTGCAATCGACGACAAAACAAAAGCTATCTATATCGAGTCCATTGGTAACCCCAAATACAATGTACCAGATTTCGAGAAGATCGTTGCCATCGCACACGAGGCTGGCGTACCGGTGGTTGTAGATAATACCTTCGGCGCAGGTGGATACTTCATCCGCCCCATTGATCATGGCGCGGACATCGTCGTTCATTCCGCAACAAAATGGATTGGCGGCCACGGAACAACAATCGGTGGTCTCATCGTCGACAGCGGCAAGTTTGACTGGGCCAAGCACGCTAAGCGCTTCCCTCAGTTCAACGACCCATCAGAGGGCTACCACGGCTTAAAGTTCGTAGACACTTTTGGCGCAATCGCTTTCATCATCCGTGCTCGTGTCGAGGTCCAGCGTGATCTTGGTGCGGCACTCAACCCCTTTGCAGCTCAGCAGCTTCTGCTTGGTATCGAGACACTCAGCCTGCGCGCCGAGCGTCATGCATACAATGCCCTCAAGCTGGCCAAGTGGCTGGAGAGCAACAAGAACGTAAGCTGGGTATCGTACCCTGGTCTTGAAAGCCATCAGTCGCACCAGCTTGCGAAGAAATACCTAACCCGCGGTTTCGGAGGTGTTCTCTCCTTTGGTGTCAAGGGCGGCGGCGCTGCAGGAAGCCAGGTCGTTGACAACTTCAAGCTCATCTCCAACTTGGCGAACGTGGGTGATTCGAAGACGCTTGCTATTCACCCCTGGACGACCACGCACGAGCAGTTGAGCGACGAGGAGAAAGAGGCATCCGGTGTCACTGAGGTGAGTTGGACGCAAGCATCTGAGATCGAGGATGGGCTGACATACGTATCTAGGATCTCATCCGCATCTCAGTTGGAAACGAGCACATCGACGATATCATCGCGGACTTTGAGCAGTCCTTCGCAAAATCTGCCACCAAGCCTGATCAGAAGGGCGAGCCTGACAATGCCGGAAAGACCGGTGATACTGAGGTCTCTGCTTCCATCTCTGGGTCTACCTAGGCTGAAGACTATCAGTCTCCGCCAGAAGCACATCTGTAGATACCATGCTCATTCATTGCTTTCTATCCAATATCCTCTGAATTCTGACACAACCTTGGTTTTCGGAATGGGAAGATCCTTTCCTTCTCGCTTAGTCGTGTAGCACGCGTGCTCTTTCTTGGATGGAATAATTAGCTTCCTCCACCGTGAACAAATGTGCACTGTAATCATACGCCAACTGCCTTGAAGCAATCCATCGGCTTCAACCCCTCTCGAGATTGAAATGCAACGCCCTTCGCTCCCATCGATTCGTCGGATCTCGGTCTCAATGTAGCCACACAGCAGGCGGCCTGTTTGGGAAACAGGTATAGTGCTACAGTGCATGAGAAAAGGCGTAGATTCTTAGAAAGGTTACTAGAAGAAGGTTGTGGTACACATGAGAAGCGGACCAGGGTTATGGTCTGAGTCTCGTTGATAGGTTTACAGGATGCTTAGTTTGAGGGGATGTGAACCTAGTGATGTTGCACGTGGATTTGGTTGGGGTTGGGGGAGCTGGTGGGCTTGAGAGACTGGGTCTCTGGGTATATATCAAGTCTACTTGCCGCTTGCACGGGGCATGTGGGCTAAGCAATGGAAAGAAGTGTGATGATAGAACATGCGAAGATACAGGGTGAATTGCGAACGAACAGAGCTTGCTCTGCTGATGTAGCTGTAGGCTGCAGCGCGAATGTGGCGCAGCACAGCCCCGCGGATGACCTACGCCGGACGAGATGAACGCCGATTTTGACATGAAAGAAAACACATGAACTCTTTGTAAGTATATTCGTGTGAGTGGTTTCATTTTGAGAAACGATCGGTCTGGCGAGACATGAATCTGCTTGGATGTGAAGCAATCCCCTCAGTCCGGTCTGAGCTGCGTCCCACTCAAATCGGCGCCCTGCTCGCAATGCTTCTCCAGAATTCGCATCTCTCACCCCTTCCACCCTCCCAAGTCACTGCATCAACAACACTGAAGTCATTCTGGATACCAGGTTCCATAAATTGCGTGGCATTGACACCAATACCCAGCTGCAACCCCTGGAAAGGCACACCACCAGTAGTGTTCAAGTTCAGCATCCTAATTTCGCCGTCATCAGCCCACTCAGGCCATGCCAGATTACCCAAACCTTGCGCACTATTCGGCTCCGCGGCCTCGATGAACCTGCCCCAGATCTGCCTGAAGACGGATGTGAAGTAAGGTGGCTGATTGGGTTTTGCAGGGCCGAAGTACGCAGAGACATCTGAGCCGTGCGAGGCTGCGGGAACAGAGTACTGGTAGTGGTAGGAGATACGATTATTGCCCGTGAAGGCCGAGCTGAGCCAGTACGAGGGGCAGACGAAAGTCGCCTCAGCGTAGATGTTGAATGCGCACTGCTGGGGTCCGGTGGCAAGTTGGCTGACATCGTGGGCTGTTACAGAGCCGAGCCCATTCGTCGCAAATTTTTCTAGATCTGTGTCGTCCGATGCTGGGTAGGCCGCAAGGATGGCGTCAAATTCGGTGGAGTCCAAATTTGGGTATGCACCTTGCAGCCAGATTCGCAGAGCGGAGGTGCTGTTGATAGTCGATGGAACGAAGGGTGCACCTTCGTTTGCGTTGTTGCCGACAAGAATGTGCCCACCGTTGACTCGCTTCGCTGTCAGGGAGTCACTTGGGAGAGTGGTGATGAAACCGCTGTCTGACTCTGTAACGGGAGGGAAAGCCCAGTTGCCGTAGAGGCTGGCAGTGTTCTCTTCCGAGTTTGCGGTCTGCAGCGTCACCGAGTCCTTGCTGCGCAGACAGGCGAGAGTATCGGTCGAGTTCGCACACCCAGCGCGTGATGCAAAGCTCTCGTACTTATAAGTCGGTGCTGAGGCATCATAATCGTATTGTGGCGGATGGTAAGGTGAGGCCGCCACGACCTGGGCAGCCGTCAGCGGGGTTAGGAAAGAGACGCCCAAGAGTACGTACACCACTGAACAGAGAATTTCCTAGGGTACCATTCTTTGCAATTATGAGTAGCATCACCCCACCACCGCCAGCACTCTCGCCTGAGATAGTAACTCGTGAGGCGTCACCTCCAAATCGGCCAATGTGGTCTTGGACCCACTGTAGGGCGAAAGCCATGTCGAGAATACCAGCATTGAGAGCACCATTCTCTTCGATATCGGCTGAAGAGAGAAAGCCGAAAGCACCAAGCTTGTCAGATGTCAGTCTTCACCCCTTTCTCGCAAAGACCACCACTTACTCGATACTGGATCGCGACAGCAACGAAACCATTGTTGTTCGCATTTATGATCTCACTCATGTCCTGCTGGCCATTGCCCGCACCATACCCACCACCATGGATCCACACGAGTACTGGAAGTTTCCTTACAGCCTCAGAGTTTGGGGCATATACGTTGAGGAACAGGCAATCTTCATTACCAGATGGTGATGATTGTGCACCAGGGAAGGGGGCCGGTAGTGCCTGAGGACACTGTGGTGCAAATGTTGTAGCATTTACGGTGCCATCACCGGCCACTACTGGAACTGCTGGCGCTCGGAAACGTAGATCACCAGTTGGAGGTGCTGCGTAGCGGATTCTTCGGAGGAGTGGTCAGTACCATGTGCGTGTTTGTGGGGAACCCTGCCCCATGTGTGACATGCTTGACGTACCCTTTCCAGACATTGAGCTGCGTGGTGAAGTTATGAGCGCCCCGATAGACGCCGTAGCCCAGATCGACGGCGAGATCCTCGGCGTTCAGAAGCGGTGCTGCTGATGCAGACTGTCCACCAAGCAAGCCGAGCGTCGCAGCTGCGATAACAAGACGCATCGAGGGCATCTCCAACGGCGGTACTCTTTGGGTTCAGGCGTACCATGGCTATGGCTACGTAGGTGCTTATGTATTTCGGCTCTTCTTGAGTAAGTCCAGATCCCCTTGTCAGCTCTCACTCTCGTCGAATGCCTCGCGTGTCTTTCAGCCAATGAGAAGCCAGCACCTAGCCACACGACAGGCCTGTTGTACGAAGTACGTGCACAACGCTAGAAAATACTTATTAGAAGGCCTTACGAAGCTTGTTAGCAGAAGCATGGGCATAAGCAAAATTGGGAGTGTGCTTCGCACATAAGTTTCTAGCCACTTCGAACCGCAAACTCACAAGTCCCCATCTTCACACGTCCATAGTACCCCACTGGAGGTCAGGGGCCGGGGCAAGGTACTACTAGCCACTTCGAAGCTCGGCAACGGGGACAAAGACACTAGGCTCTTACCAGCTGGGGTGATGCTGTACAGCTCATGTGTAGCACGGCATACATAGCCTTAGTTGCGTACGCAACGGTTTACGTGGTTGGTGCTGCACAAGCTTGTGGTCGCAGCGAAGACCCTAGTACTGTATAATATTAGCTACCTCGGTGACGGCCCATACTTAGGGTAGTTAGGAGTGGCGCTGATGCCGTACCGTCCGAACCAATGCTAAATTCGCCTCACGGTTAAGTACAACTCATTAATTGTAAAGTCTCCTAGAAGACTCTGCCAGCTAGAAAGCTATGGGTTGCAGGTAAGGCTTGAGGTACATTACAGGTATTAGTTTACTCACAAACAATGAAGTTAAGCAAGTCAATAGATATTCTTTTCAAGCTTGTTTTGGCCTGTTGTTAATGCAATTAAGACAATCAAAATTGTAAGTTACTGTTAACAAGCGTCCCTCGCTAGCCGGGACACCCCTACTAGACTATCACTGAAGATACCGAGATTATGCGGTACCGTTGATTCCTAGATCTGCTTCCGCACAACGCGTTGCCTATCCCCCACTTCGGCTGTATTCCTCGGGTCCGTGGACTTGTTCCCGGTCAGAGTAGAGTTCTGTTCGGTTACTTTGAGGATGAGTTGCTCTGCTTGTCAGGTTCGAAATCATCCTTTAGCCGCCATTTTACCGACAGGTGCCGCACCGAGTAGTGAAGTGAGACTTGTCGAGCGTTTATCAAGGCCGGATGTATACTCGGTTCTCCACGCCAGGAAAATAAGCACGCAACATAAGTGGTCATTTCCTTGCTTGGTCTATCCATTTCACGTCCTTTAGGGACCTGGATCTACTCGGATCCTTCGACGCGGAGGGATCAACCGCATTCACGGAGAAGCGCTGTCTACGTCGCCACAATAACCTAGTACACGTCAGCCAGTTTAGCGTGAAATGGTCGAAAAACCCAACGGCAATTGCATTGGTGTCTAAATGAGAACAAAAAAGACATCGTGAAGGACGAGGAAGTATTCATAGGTATCGTAATTCGCATCGACATCCGTTCGTCCGTACTTTACATTACTGTTAAGCGCCATCACGCGCTAGGAACTCCCCAGGGGTGCTGCTATTACTTATTTCCCACTGTCCATCGGCCCGGTATGGATGTCTTCGACATGTTGTTCGAAGTGCTTCGTCACATAAATGTTTCTCCCATGATTCTCGCTCTCCGAAGGTGCCGATGCAAACGACTGCGCGTGACTGGCGCTGGAAGCGTCTGTCAGCTTCTCTTCTTCTTCATCAGCAGACCTCTGTAAGCTCTTGCTGCCGATATTGTGTAGTCTGTGCTTATTGCCGCTCACTGCGGTCGAACCTCGCCCTCTGCTGCTATGCCCGGTGCCGAAGCCGGGTACGATTCTGGAGACCAAAGGCTTGAGCGCAGGTAAGGATGCGCATACGATCGCAAGGTTGGCTTCGACGGTACTCCAGTAGGCTGTAGGAGCGCTGTAGTATGACGCGTCATCTAGGTGCTTGTTCAACTCGTAGAGTGCGTGCAGGCGCAAGACGGAAACAATACAGACGATCCATCCCACCGTCAGGATGCCGAGGAGAGCAATTTTTTGGCGTTTTGGGATTTGCAAGTTCCAGATGCCTCGGATTGGGATGACGGCTACCACAAGATCTGTGAAGATGTTGACGGATGCAATGACATACCACAATCTGTCACATATCAGCACGATAATACCAGCTGCGGGTTTTGAAGGAGAGGATTCGGTTCCTAACTTCCACTACCGCCAACGAAATGACTTACACCACCAGATTGACGCACGTAGCGGCTGTTTGTTCCGTCACTTTCCAGAACACATCGACCGGGATGCAGGAGAATATTGCCGTGAACACAGTGACGATGCTCCAGGCGCTCACGAGAGCAAGAGCTATGTATACTGGGATGCGCATCTCGCGCAGCGTGAAGATGCGGTAATACTGCAGCAGAATCGATATCTTTGTGACTGTGAGACTGAAGTTGTAGGTGATGATGCTGAAGTAGAGGTACTTGACGTTGTCAGTGTCATTTCATCGTCTGATCGCTGCAACATACCTTCAAACTTTCGGACACGCCCTCGGGGTATGGGACAAATATTGCATGCTTTCCATTGCCAGCATTCACCTCTGTCAGGAGTTAGTCAACTAGCAACGATATAAAGCCATGCTAAATTTGTAACCTACGCAGAATTTGGCAGATTGCGGTTCCTATAGACGCTATCTGCGAACGTCAATCAGCAGCTTAACTGAATTCTGTTGGTGGTCGGCCTACCATAGACGCTGTTATTGTCCAGTCCTCCCAGCCTATTCTGTAGAACCTGATTCTTGTGTAAAGCCGAAGGCATACCGAGATGAATGACAGGACTGTGAAGGATACGACAATGCGTTTGCATAGAGGCCCTCGGTCATCTCCTCTCAATGTAGCCAGCTCTTCAGGTGTATACTGGTCCATGGCTAATCAGAAAGCGGGGGTCGAACTCCAGTCACCGATCGTATGGAAGCCCTATAATCATAGGGGTTCTGAGAAGCTCCGTGGAATGATGGCTTTGTAGGTGTTGCTTCAGTATTTCAGAAGATATGTCTTAGGCTTGAAGGCGGCAGAGGTCCCGTGGGCAGGAGCCGCAATAGCAATAGGTGTGTTGGAGCGCCCCTGTCACTAAGTCGGTCGATCAATCACCCAAGTGTGCAGGGACACGCTTGTGAAGTTTCGGGGGGAGTGAACGCGTAACGGAAGGCACTGTATGTACCGCAAACGGAAGGTGGTCTAATGAGCATGGACATGCCCCAATCCGGTAGTTTGAGCTGGCACGACCGAGTCGCAACTTATAGACATATATGGAAAGGAGCAAACGTAGCCTCGAAAAGATGAATTTTGACTGCCGCGCGACTCGCGAGGAAAGAGCACGACTCCACTACGGGGCGGTGCCAAATACCTGGCTCGATTTGCAGCTATCTACAGGTCAGTGCTCAAATGTGTCGCAAGCCAAGGCTCTTGCAAAACACGAGTTTGATGTGTGGTACGCTATTGTCTGGATCCAGCTGAACCAGTGGTATAAGATGAGCTAGACCCTTCGATCCGTGGCGAGTGGCAGACTCGCACGATTGCTCGCCAGCTCGCTTTGTAAAGTTAATTTTCGTGAAGAAGCAAATTGAACAGCACCGGAGATCCATGCGCGTTCGTGCTTCGGATGATGGGCTGGAAAACCTTATCACACGGACTGTCCGAATCAATGGAAACGATCGACTAGCGCTTTACCCTCTGTCAAGGACCCTGACGGTGCTGTGACATCGTCTAGCGGCTGTCGTTGTGCATTGTATTGCATCACCTCGTCTTGCATTGCACAAATCTCACGGGTAGGAGATAGTCATAGTCGTCTTCGCTTTTGAGGAACTCTGAAACAAGAGACAGTAGCAGAGCTGAGAGCTGACCCCTGCCACGTCACTGCATCTGGAATCCGGACCATCGACTTCGCCACATGTTGTTGAGAGCACATCGGCCCGCACCGCTGAGTGCGTGCTTTATGCAGTGAACAGAGCAGCGGCCATTGTACTTGTTTCGGTAGCGGATGCATGTCACCTACCGCATAGGTGGTTGAAAATCAGTTAAATTGGCGCAGTCGCCGAAGAAGTACCAGCCAATCAATCTGTGGCAGTGCCTGTGGCTCAGTCAAATGACTGGCTGGTACTTTTGCGGCAGATATGTATATTCATCTTCGTAGGTTCCACTCACTCTCGGAGTCTTTGCGGCACAGCGGGTTCCTTGAAACTGAAATTTTGTCAACGCGGGAGATGTGGAGCTGGGGCCCGTACCGCATAGACCAGAGAGAGCAAGATACAAGCCCCAACGCCCTCATCTCTTCATGTGAACTACATTGAGCTGAACCAGATGCGAGGTTCTGCCGGAGTCGACTGCGCTTATCGACCGAGATCTTCAAGGACTGGACGCCATTTGACACAGCAGCCATTGCCAATCAACGGACTGCGGGGCGCGGCTCCGTGCGATCGACGAAGGCTAACTAACCCGGAAACTCTACCGCTACTGCACCTGAGATCGACCAGCGATGCAGCCGCGCTAAGCCCTACAGCATCACAACCAGGGAACAGCTTAACGCAATATCCACAATATTAGATTCTGTAAATGCCTGTAGGTTTGCTCTGCAGTATGTGAAAAGAGCGGCTTATCGCGATAATCTGCGCGTAGGATTCGGAAACATTGGTAAGAATGCAGATGTCGAGAACTTGGCCATATCATCGGCCGATCCGGTGCAGTAGTGCATCCAAAGTATCTACAGTGTTACGTTGTGGCAAACGGTATCTTGAAAGCTTATTACAAATTTGACAGGAAAAGTTAAAGTGAGTCTCTCAGCTAGTGAATGAAGACCGCATCATTCTTCCAGTCGCCGGACATCAAAATGGACGATTTTAGCTGATTGAACAGTGACGATCGATCATAGGGACACGAAGTGACAACATTCATCTAGGTGCATAAAGAGAGGCCCTCCAGGTGCCTAAGATACCTTGGGGAAATCTTTGCCAGTAAAGAGATTTACAAATACGAGTAAGTAGAGGCCACCGCCGCATATTCCGCACTTGGATGTTTGTGAGGAGTAACAGTATCCTTCAACCAAAAATGTTCTCCTTGCCCACAATCCTGACGCTCCTCCTTAGTCATAGCTCGCACTGCATCACACACGCCATCACCGAACCTCATGCTATACACCTTTGCCCTCTCAAAAGTCGTCTTGGTAAGGGTAGAGAAATAAATGCCTTGGAAAGATGCACATAAGCGACAGACTCACCAATAAGCCCACCGCAAAACCAATGATAAGATCGATTTCCAGTGTAGGGTAGGTGGCCAATGACTGCTGCTTCATAAACGCCACAACAGCCTCGTCCAGCGTAGCTCCTGTCTCCAAATACCCAAACTTGGCCCTTGTAACAGCGTTCTTGCTTATACTATACGCGCTGTTCACGTACCCACACCCGTCGCCGTTCCATTCCACGCGGAATCCCTTTGTACTCTTGACAAGTTCCAAGCAAAGGTTGGTCCCAAGGACGACGGTGCTTCTGCAGTGACCTTCGGGACAGGTGAGGAATGGCTCGAGGTCGTTGAAGAGGGCTTTGCGCACTGTCTCGGGGTAAGCGAGGACCCATTATTTCGAGACGTAGTACAGAACGCGCCTTCCCTTGGAGTCGAGCGCGGGGGAACCGCTGAGAGATAGGAGGGTGAAGTAGATCCAGTCACGGTCGTCTTTGTGGCAGTAGGTGGGAGGTAATCGAGAAATTTGACAAGCGTTTCGAGACGCTCAAGACTACTTCTGGAAGCGTTAAAAGGTCAATGGGGATCGCTTGATGACCACAGTGAGTGTCGATGCTGCAGTCGATGTGATTGGCGATTCAGGTTGGAGCGAGGATGCCGTGACAGTTAGCTTGGATACCACAACCGGACAATGTCCAAGCGTCCTATGGCATATAGTTGGCGACACCATGGCAGAGCCATGGCCACTAGTCCGCTCCCGATTTGGCGTAGAGGTAGTCGACAGCACAACAGGACCATGCCCTATGGTTATAAACGGGGAGTCGGGTTGGAGCGAAGGTACAGTGGGTATTGGCTTAGAGACCACAACAGGACCATGACCAAGCGTCCAACGGCGTATAGTTGGCGACATCATGGCAGAGACATAGCCAGTAGTCCGATCCTGATCCGGTGTAGAGGTAGTCAATCATAACAGGACCGAACCCCCACCGTAGGAGGATACTCAAGTGCAGAGTACGACTGTATAGTTGGCAGCGGCAGAATACTAACGACCCCAGTAAATTTGGCTGTCACAGGTTCGGAAGAGGTGGTGCGAGTAGCTATCTAGTAGCCAAAGCCGCAAAAGAGAGACCGAAGAGCATCTTTATGCTTTTGCTGTTTGAACGTAATTTGCACGACTTGTGAAGCAGCCCAGGAGAAAATCTCGAGGACATAAGTACTCCATCTCCAGAACATTCGCGAGTGGCTGTGCCCTCTCCATCCGTGGTTCACAACGAGAAACCGTGGGACATCGAACCCTGGGCCAGACATCGTGGCACTGCGCCACCTCGATACCACCAAACCGAAAAATTCAACCGAGAACGAGAAAAAGCAGTGGAACCTGCCATAGATTGGCCACCAGTCGATTCGGCAGCATCTCGAAGGTTTTGAAAAGAAGGCAACGAGCTGCGAGATAGGCGCCGTACATGCATAGCCCGAGAGCGAAATGGAGAGTAACTTATAGCACGGCAAGGAGAGCGAAGAATACGAATCTGTTCTTAAGGAAGGGAAAAGGCATTTTGGGCGGGGGATGGAGCGATTTGGATTGTGTTGTGTAGTGGAAGGAATTTTATCGACTGTGGACTGTGAGTGAAAGGCGCAAGAGTGTTCAAAGCTACTTCTCGCACCCTAAGGGTCAAATATGGACACTGAGGGCATTTAGAGACGTCAATACTTTCTGCAAACCTATCCAGATGGCAAGACTTTGTTGTCGTGGAGGACCAGCGTTTGAGGCGTTAGCTCTCGGCCTGAGAAGGCGTAGATGTTGGTGCCTGTAGAGACGTCCGTGCTGTGTTAACGACGTACATCATGGTGTAAAGAGCAATGTGGCATTGTGAGCGGAGAACACACGCAGAAGGGACGGGGCATAAGGCTGATACTGCAACTGTTCATTGGCCACCACCGTTCTGTATACGTTCCCTCCATCATGCCACCGAATTCACGAGCATTTCGGGCTCGTCGACGGCACGCTGGCCGAGTTACTCGGGTTCGTCTGTCCACACCCATTCGCAGTACCGAGCAGCGTATCATCCACCGCAGCATTGAACGCTGCGCCACAATTCGCATCGCTGTCATCTCGTCAGCCCCATACAGTCCTGTACCATACTCGATGACATGCCTGGCGCCACCAGAGGCATTATTGAACCACGAGCAAACATCGTGGCTAAAGCAGTCTTGCGTATACGCGTTACCGACGGCGCTGCCCGAGCACCCTGCACCGCAGCGGCCGTTACAAGAGTAGCTGATTCATTAGCAATTGTGTTTCAGAGATGAATGGAAAGAATGAGGCGACTCACTCTCCGCCGTTGACACTATTGGTGCCGAAGTTGCTTCCTACAGTGCCGGTCCAGAGACATGTCAACCCTGCTGAGTTGACCCAGGTTGCGGTTGCCGTAGCGCCGACCTTCAGACAAGTGATTGCGCGCTTCTCAAGGGGTTCAACAGGCGAGGCAATGGCGAGGGCCGCGAGGGCTAGCGAGGTGAAGAGTTCGAATTTCATCGTGATTGATGATTTGAAAGACTTGGCGGTCAATGTGATACTCGATGATCATTATCAGTGGATTATGAGGCTTCAAGTGCTTCTACACATTGTCTCTTCATTTCGGCGTCATACCGTAAACGTGTTTACTCCGGCCAGAACGCGTATGAGTGAAGGTTGCATAACGACCTTGGAACGGGCAAGCATACCTGATGGAGCTCAGTTGGTCACTATTGTGGTGCTGCAGCGGAAGTTGCATCTCGATGTGTCGACTCGTATAAGTCGTGTTAGCAAATAATCGACGTAAATGCAGGCACAAGTTATCACTTCTCCAATAAGATTTCCGCCTGTGTCGGTGAAATGACTCGTTCAAGCAACTATTCTAAGCTGTATAGTGGACCTGGCAGCTGGTATTCAATCACACGATGCACATGCCTATTGAACATCATGTGGATGGTTCGACTAACTTGGAATCGGAGACAGGACGTACTGCCTGTTTGGGTGATCGCAATGCCTCGGCTTATCCCTGTCCGGCAGTGACGCACGAAATCTGGGGTCGTCATACAGGGGTTCGAAGGTGCAATGCCGTTGTACCCCACATGTTCGGCGATTCGATGGAGTCCTGTCTGTTTGCTGCAAATAAAATCACGTCAATTCGTACAGTTCGCCGCGGCGAAAGGGTTACAAATAATCGCGGAGATGTATTCGCATAGCTCCTAAAGATCGATTGCTCATAACGTACCGTTTGAGGCTGTTTCGCTAGACCCTGCAGGGATACCATTTGGCCGTGATGGAGCCGAGTTCGCTTCGGTCGAAATATGAGCTGGTGTGTTTACAGCTGTGAAATACGACGAAGTCTGGTTCATGAACTGCTCGGCAGACACATTGTCGAAGATGTCATCCGCCTCCTTCTCTTCTCGCTCCTGCTTCTTGATCTGATCCCACTCTTCTTTAGTCTTGATCGGGCTCGTCAGAGTTGTGGAGAATTCAATCTCGCCCCTCAACTGCGGCGTACTTGATCTCGATCCTTGAACAGCAAGCTCATCAGCAGCGACATTACCCGGGTCGTTGGCGTGCCCCTTGATCCACTGGAACTTGGTCTTCGCCTTGCATGCTTCTCGCTCGCAGACTCGAGATACGATGGGCTCCACAAGGTCTCTGTTCTCGACGTCCTTCCCCACCGAGTTCTTCCAGCCATTCTTCAGCCATTTCGGTGACCACTCTGTGATACAGCGAATGGCATAGTATGAGTCGGTGACGATCAGAACGTCTCGATCGATGGGTACATGATCGAGCGCTCGAGCGACAGCCGTTAACTCAGCACGCTGATTTGTTTGCTTGGATCCTCGCAGGGGTTCAGAAACGTTTCTGCTTGCTGTGTCAGCGCATAATGAAGCTCCTCAAAGTAAGGTTTGCAAACCTCTTGTCGTTGGCCCCAAAGTAGACGCCTACACCGGCAACAGCTCCACTTTGGCCATTACCGAGGGAGCTGCCATCGGTGTAGACGACAATCTGACCTGTGAAGTCGCCAGTTGGCTGCATCTTTGTAGCACCCAGCTCCGCCTTAGTCTTGTGCCTAATGGCACCACTTTCGAGATCCATCTTCAGCGTACGATCGAAGCCGTCTTCAGCACCTTCTGGTAATGGACCCATGCCAGGCTCGTATTGGATGTCGCCGTTGGTGGCCACGGCGGCCGCGAGACCGCTGCTTTTCTTCTGCTTCTTCGAGACGGTGTCGCTGACCTTGCAGCCTTGGCCGGCTGCAGAAGATGCCTCAGACAGATCGCCGCGCAAGCTGATGGGTACACTGTGGTCACGCCGGTGCTCGTCGACGAAGGCCCGAGCTTCTTCATGCGTTGTAAAGCTCTGCTGAAGACCTCCACTGCAACCCTTGATCTGTGCTTGTGTCGAAGGCCAGTCAATGTATACGCCAGGGAAGTGTCCAATAGCGACTCCGTAGTACTTGTTCTTCCCGGGCTTCGGTGTTGACTTGTGCGTGCTTTTGACAAATGCCTCTGCCTCGGTAAGGGAATCACACCTCTTGTCTTGTCCACTGTCAGTACATTCGTCTCTCTCTCATATGGGAGAGCTCACATTCGGCCTTCATGCCCTTGATCTGGGCCTCGCAGTCAGGCCAGCTGTAGTATACTCCGGGCGTTCGACCAACCCTGACAGCATAGAAGACAGGCCCGGCACTCCTCTTCCGTTTCCCGCTCGACGTGCTAGACGTCGCCGACTTTGCGCCTTCCATATCGTCAAGCTCTTCGTGAAGCTCGTCGTCTTCGTTCTGCGGTTCGGCGAACGAAACTTCGAAGATGCACTCCTCGTGGGTAGAGTACAGACGGCAATGGCGTCGATAGAGTATTTTAGAAGTCTTAGTACTTTGCGGCACGATTGTGATTAGTGACGTGTCTCTCAATCGTGATTGCCTGTTGCGGTCAGCTTTGTTGGTGAAGATGCTGGAAGAGCTGCATACAAACTGGAGGTACGCAAAAGCGAGGCCGAGCGTTGGCAGACAAACAGCCGAACAAGCAGTCTCATATGCGGCGCAACTCAACGCAAAGGAAAAGGTAAGGGGCTGGTAGTGTGTTGTTGGACGTTGGACCAGGCCGCGTGTTGTCGAATCCCCACGCTGGACGGGACAGGGCGATAGCTATAGTGATCATTGCAGGCCGCAGATGTGCGCGGAGCCCTGAAGCTTTGGGCGCCTTTGCCAAAAGCCCGCCTTTCGTTATGTGGCGATGCAATTGCTCTGCTGTCTGCGCACTAGTTTGAATACTCGCCTTCTCCACGCAAAAGAGGACTCGCTCTGTGTGTTAGAAGCCGAGTTGGAGTGCAACGCCATGACGCCCGCGGGGCGAAATGTCGCGATCAGCCTCGGCACTAGGTAAACCCACCGAAACCGCTCGAGGTTTACATGCATCTCATGTACGTCACCTGCCAGTGACTGCTAGACTGCGATATACTCCGTGAACTGCCCGTCAGAACCGTACACATTTGTTACTTACCGCCAACGTTCACGGTGTGATTTGTGAACCGCCCGTCAGCGCTCTACGCTTCTACTCACCGCCAACCTTCACTCAACAACGCTCAATACAGATCACCATGTTCGAAGGGCGTCATGTCGCTGATCGCTATCACTTGCGTCTGCACCGAGCGAGGTCTGTCATCCTGACTCCGGCCGAGATGGTGGAGATCAGAGCTGCCCAGAGAACATTCGAAGGAGCCTACATCCGCACTGCTATCGGACAGTTCTCATTCGCCCTCATCGTGCTCAAGATCTTTACAGCCGAGTTCTACTCAATCGGCGCACTGTTCGCGGTGTACGGAGCCGGTGTCCTCTTCATCAGTCTGTTCAGACGGCAGCAAGGTGTGTAGGAGACGAACACCAACCAGGTATAATGGACTGACAGACGAACACAGGTAACAAGCAATTCTTCTCTGAACTGGGCGAGGACGGTCTCCATAGGAAGAAGTTCAGGACGAGCGGCAACGTGGTGAGCGTACTAACGACACTGAGTATCTCGGCGTACATCTGCTTGCTGGTGCTCACGTTGCGCCTCGAGACCTGATCAGCAGTCCATGCATCATTGAGACACGGTGTTATGCTACAGCCTCGTCCATCAAGGCGATTTGACCATCAGGGGGACGGCTGATCTTCCCGTCGACACACAGTGCACACATCGCACAGACTCCCTCCGCGGGCCGCTTGGGGCGCTGCAATTCAGACCACGTCGAGGTAGCGGTCGCAACGAAACAAGGTGCCAGAAGTTGTCAAATGCGGACATATCGTCTACTCGTCGAACAACGGCAAGGAACATCATCACAGCTAGCAGAGGAGGATTGGCTCGACGTGAGCGCGTGCTGGAACGATTGGACGGGTCAGACGGCGTGGGGCCGCCGCTTCGAGCTCAGCACCCTCCAAACAAACAACTTGCCAGGGCAGCTGCTCACTTCTTTATTATGTGCAGATACGATATAAGGCAACATGCAGCATCGCAATTGCAGGACCTGCCTGCCTTCCCGCGTGTTTCTGGAGGTCCTCGACTTGCTCTAGCGCCGGACTCTTTTCACGTCCTGGAGATCGACTTTGGTGTTTAGTTCGGCGTGAACCCTGGATTGAAAAACGGGATCAGTCATCGGCGGTGCTCCCCTACAAAGTACGAGTCGCCAGCCCGAGGATCTTTCCGAGCACCCTCTGCAGGTAAATTCTTCACGGCTTTCCTTCTGCTCGCCGATACGACCGCGCCCGCAAACCTTTGTTGTCCACGCCCGCCACCCCTGTGGTTCACGAGCCGGTTTTCTGAGTGACTAGCACGGACGCGACACTAGCGGCATGGCTGCAATCACAGCGCCGAAAGACACCGACCTACGTAATACCCTCCGTCGACGCGCCTCTGCCTCCACGCCAGCAACCTCGAACCGACGCACCAGCCAGCACTCCATCTACGCCCGAAACGTTCTCATGAACAACCTCAACCAAGCCAAGGACAACGCGCAGCCCACGAAACCGACGACCAGCATTGGCGAGCAAGCCCCGCGCCCTGCGCCCGCGCCGCCCGCAATCCCCTCTGCAGGCCCCCCAAAGAGCGTGCAGGCCATCAAAGACCTCGCGGCCCAGCGCGGAGAGCTCAAACCCCCGCCCACATCAATCGGCGGCGGCCACCACCACAACCATGCGACCGTGAAGGATGGTGTCGGTGTCGCGCTGAGCGACACCCCCGCGCCGTCGCAGCCAGGAAGCCCCAAGGGGTCCGTCCCAGATGCTCAGTCTGCAGAGACGCTGCATACTAACAGACCCAGGGCTCTAACGAGGAACAACAGCGCTGCATCAACACCGCGCATTCGCCCTACCACACTCGACATCCCCGGTCTCACCAAGTCGAAAGTCTCGCCCGATGGCAAGATCGCGTCGCGCGATGTCGGAGCCAAGCTTGTCATTGTCATGGTCGGCCTGCCTGCGCGTGGCAAGTCGTATATCACCAAGAAAATGACAAGATACCTCAACTGGCTGCAGCACGATACCAAAATTTTCAATGTAGGGGAGAAGCGTCGTGTGGCAGCAAGTGGGCACGGCTTTCGCCTATCACAGGCAAGCCTGGAGAAGGTGCCTTCCGGGGTCAGAAATGCGCTAGAACAACACAAAGACTCCCTCCCTCAGATTGCAGCCAAAATTCTGATCAACGGCGAGTCGGCAGCTGCGGATAACGGAAGATTTGCCCCACTGGACCTGAAGGACCCACTTAACGATCCGGAGAACTCCACAGCTGTCGAGGAGGTCGAGGAGGTCGGCGTGCCCCGCGTACAAGTCACATCCCCAGGGCCTAAGGCGGTCACACTGGAGAATCGAGACTCAAATGGACAACACAAGGAGGGCGATGACAAGATGGACCAGTCGGCGGATTTCTTCGATCCAAACAACGAGCAGGCCGCCCAGATCCGAGAGCAGTGCGCTATGGAGACCTTAGACGACGTTCTCGATTACATTCTGAATGGCAATGGCTCAGTCGGTATTTTCGACGCAACAAACAGCACGCTTGGGCGGAGGAAGCAGATTATGGAGAAGATCCGTACGCGGGCTGGTCCTGAGCTGAATGTTCTCTTCGTCGAGAGTGTGTGCCAAGACAAGAGTCTGCTGGAGTCCAACATGCGCCTCAAGCTGTCAGGACCTGACTATCAAGACAAGGATCCTCACGCCGCGCTCGAAGATTTCAAGAAGCGTGTCGCCATCTACGAGAAGAACTACGTCCCCATCGGTGATTACGAGGAAGAGAACAACATGCCATACGTCAAGATGATCGACGTAGGTCGCAAGATGGTCTCGCACCAGATCAAAGGCTTCCTCGCCGGCCAAGCAGTCTACTACCTCCTGAACTTCAACCTCGCGCCACGTATGATCTGGATCACTCGGCACGGCGAATCTCTCGACAACGTCGCTGGCAAAATTGGCGGAGACTCCGATCTCTCTGAACCTGGGCAAAAGTACGCCAAAGCAATGACACGCTTCATCGATAGGCAGCGCACTGAATGGGCCATTCGCCAAGCTGACAAGATGGCAAACACACATTTCCCACCCGTCCCCGGTGATCACACACCACCCAATCCCTACTTCAGCACTGAAATGGAGGCTCACAACTTCTGCGTCTGGACATCTATGCTGAAGCGCAGTGTGCAAACCGGCCAGTACTTTTGCGACGAGGACTTTGAAGTGAAGCAGATGCGCATGCTTGACGAGCTGAACGCTGGCATCATGGAAGGTCTTACATACGACGAAATCCGTACGAAGCATGCTGATGAGTACTTACGCCGGCGCCGCGACAAGCTGGCATACCGCTACCCCGGCCCCGGCGGAGAAGGCTACCTCGACGTGATCAACCGCATTCGCCCCGTGATCGTGGAGCTGGAGCGCATGACAGACCATTGCTTGCTGATCACGCATCGCAGCGTCGCGAGGGTGCTGTTGGCGTACTTCCAGGGCCTGAACAGGGAGGACGTGGCGGATCTAGACTGTCCGCTGGGCATGCTGTATCAGCTCGAGCCGAAGCCATATGGTGTCGAGTTCAAGGCTTGGCGCTACAAGCCTGAGAAGGACGACTTTGATTACCTCCCTCTGTACAAGCTCAGGCGCGCGACGACGAACCCGCAGCTCAACTAGGGGTGGTGGTTCTTGCCGGAGTAGACGTCGGTCTGCTGGAGTAGACAGCTGGATGGTGTTTTGATTGGTGTATTACTAGACTTGGGCTCCCTGGCTGGGTTCGCGCGATGTGATGGGGCTGGCGGTGGCATTCTTTTTCCTAATGTCCGTAATGCTCCTTTCCACATCTGGATGTTTGATCGGATTTCATGCATTTGTTGGCGTATTTATCTATTGGGTGGCCAAGAGATTTCTGCTCGGCACGGCTTTGCAGCTTTATTTGGAGGCCCTGCTTTCTTCACTGCGATGAATAAATCATCTCTCTCATACACGTCCCACACTCACCGCTGCTCAGCTGTTCCGAGACGCGACTTACCCACTCCATATTCCTTGGCACAAGGCGGGCGGCAGTCCCAAGCCGCAATCGTTACACCTTCGCGATCGCAGATCATCTTTTGCATCATTCAATTACGGCCGCAAGCTGCGCGATACCGTCGTCATCGAGTCTATACCAACAGGAGTGGTACGGTTCAGAGCTGGGCAAGTAGACCAACACTATTTTAGTTCTGAGTGAGACGGTCCGCAACAGCTCATACAGGCGCGCTACGTTCACGTTCGGATTTGGTGGTGCTGCCTTGTACACTACGACTGGTGCTGCGCCCTGCCACCTCCATGCGGGGATCAGGGGGGCTGCAGAGTAGCAGTGGGCTGGCTAGCAGGTCCCGCTTCCTCTCCTTGATGATGTGTTCTTCAATGAACTTAGTCCCACCTGGACTGACGGCTAGCATTAGTCGGTCAATTCACTCTGCATCTACAAGCATTGACGGCAGGTAGCAGGTAGTAACGAAATATTGTCTCGGGTCGGGCACCTGGATATCGCTCTCCCAACACATGCTGGTCTTTGGATACACGAAAGACTAAAAAGAAATGCGTGATCGCCGCTGAAATGCTTGTCATCATAGTATGGAAACACGGCTCCATCCATCGTTTCGATCTGGCAAAAACATTGCCCATTCTCGGAATCGAACCGAGGATCTTCTCATGTCGCATACATACGAGTGAGACGCTGTACCCCTAAGCCAAACGGGCTTTTCTGAGATCGATAATGAACCGACCTTATGCCGGAACATCAAATTATACATAATATAGTATTAAATTAGCCAGGCCCTCTTCGTCGTTGACATCATCAAGCCTGGTACTGCCATACTCCTTCGTGTATTACGATCTCAAAGTGTGAAACATGCCAGTGAGCTTTGAAGTGAGGGGTAGGTGGGGCGCATCAGCCGATGGTATTCGCTTGACCCACCGCGTCTTCCTTATACTATTTCGTACCCACTGACTTCAACAGTGTGTCTCGCCACTGTCGATCCTGCAGAATACCTCTGACACGCGCCTCCAACCATTCAGTGTTGCCCCAAAAGCCCCAACTCGCTTGAAACCGCAGCCAGTCGACGAGCGCAGTCTCCCAGTGCTGGATGAATGTCTCCCAGTCATACTCTTTGTTGCTCGTATGCTTCAGCCCCAACCAGTATCTTTGCAATAGCTTTCTTTCGCCCCCTTGCATTTCTAAGACATCTGGGATGTTGTTGTCGGTAACTAACATGCTTAGTGGCACGGAACAAGTGAATAGCTTAGCTAGATCGCAGACTCCGAGACCAAGGCCGGTGTACTGGAAGTCGTAGAAAACCACTTGCTCTCCAGACTGGCTGGTGAAAAGGTTTTCTGATTTCACGTCGCCGTGGATCAGTGTTTGATAGTCTTCGATGGGACTTTGACCGGATCTTGATGGGGCCAGGAACGCAGCAACCAGTTCTGAGAGCGACTGCGTTTGGCCTTTCAATGGTACTGCCAACGGCTCCGTCCACTCTGAATCGTCGTCATTCACCAGACCGTTGTATTCGCTGCGTCTAGTGGCAAGGTAGGTGTAGCCCCCGTTCAGCCAGACAGACTTCTCTGCCGCACCCTCACTGTCGTGTGTGACCTCCTCTAAAGGTGGCAGTACTAACTGTGCGCGATCAAAGCCTTTCGCTTGGGACCACCAGAAACCATGGAATCCAGAGAGCCAGTCCAGTGCAGCATTAACTTGAGTTGGCGACAGTGCGCCTCGCTTCTCGCCAGCCACGGGGAAGTCTTGCTTCAGGTCGTTGAGAATCATGGCCGTGGTGGAGGTTCCATGTGAGTGGGGCTCATTGATGCTCGCCAGACACCTTGCAACATGTACAGAAGCAGGTAGCTGAGGCGCCAGATGACTGTAGAAGTATTGCTCGACTTGGTAACTCAAGATCTTCCTGGTGTGGCCTTCATCCCGAGCTCTCGTGGGCGGTGGTGTGATCAATTTGAGAATCAAGGAGTGCATCCTTGGAGACGTGCTGGTAGAGACTGCCTGGGCCTCAGCTGCAGTCAGGCGACATATCTGTCCATATCCAGCCCAAAGAGACTGCAGCAGTGATACAGACACCAATTCGAGGCCGTTCTTTGCGAGTAGCGCAGAGGCGACTTCGTCAGGTGATTGTGAGGGTGACATTGAACTTGTTGATGGTTTCCAGGATCTCGGAACTACGATAATAGCTGAGATGAGAATTGAAAGCTGCAGAAAAGCTTTCAGTAACCGTCGCAGAGGTGGAAGCATGCAGCGCAAACTTTCTGCGCAAAACGAGGGGTCCTGATTGAGTTCGGCGTGAACGAAAGGTGGGGATCGGTGCAGTGCGCAAGTAATAAAGGTGAGTCGTTCCTTCTCAAAGTGGAGCGTGAAGGGATTCAAGAACACGGAGATGTACTCGGAAGCGCAAGCCTCATGTTGTGGAAGAGGAAGGAAGAGCTCTAACGCACGGGCCAGTCAATGACGCAGGAACAGACATACCCACAATTGTTGAACTTTACGACAGTGAATGCAGTGTTAGTTTTGGGCGCAGTGTTGGGTCAAGACTCGTTGCTAGTAGTTTTATCGCAAAGGATCAGCGGCATGGGTATAGCAGCTTGTCGAACTTTCACAGCAGGATCGAATGGATTCTCATCCCAAGCCATACGTTTTTTCTAAGGGACCTTAGTCTAGCTGCAATCGAATGCAGAACATTGTCCCATATCTCCTCTAGTACCATTGGAAATGCAACATGAATCTGACCACTGTCAGCCTCGCTTGGCTCCCAAAGTTGATAGGGGCGTGAGATTACGGCGTACCGCGCCGCAGCTGACAACGACAATAGAATGTGCTGGCCGTCACAATTTAGTAGCTTCGTAACTCTTACAACCCTCTCTGTCACCATGGAATGACAAAAGACTGTGCCAAAGATGGAGAAAACTGCAGCCGAGATCATCCTGGCTGAACGCCGCAATGAAAAGCGCCAATCCGCACCAGAAATCCGCGACTACAGACTCGTCTCCTGGGTCCGTCTGATCTTGCGCGTCTTGTCCATGTCGCCGTGCGCCCTGATCTTAGTGAGCCTCATTTACGCTATTCGCAATTATCGAAGGACAAAACATGTCAGGGCCACATTTCAGGATGGTAGCGGAAGTTTTCCAGTCTGGTCAAAGAAAGAGGGCTTGAAAATGTATCCGACTTACATCCTTCTGGGAGCTGCGGCTGTCGCTGGAGTGTTAAATATCGTGTTGGTCCTCGCGGCCTTGACCAAAGCTGTGAGCGCTGCTCTAGCTGTAGACCACAGGCTCGACAACGCTGACATGCATTCAGGTGCGAAGGACGACAAAGGTCAGCAACATTAGCACAATGGTCATGTCTTCTATATGCCTTGCGTTGTGGATAGCCGTGACATCATACTACGGTACCTGGGACTCTTCAGAGACTAGTTGGGATTTGCTGTAAGTGGACACCCGTTGCGGATATCGGATGCCACGCTGATTTGGGTAGCTCCTGGACATGTGCGAATCGAGACTATGGGCACAAGGACGTTGACTTCGGTGAGACTTGCACAGAAGTGGTAAGTGATCTAGACGGCTGGAAATTCTCGAGCTTATGATCTACAGCGATTCGCCTTTTGGGCTGGTGTGGGTCTTGCGGGCCTGGAGGCCGTCAACTTCGCCATCTTTGTGATCTGGTGGCTCAAGACGCGCAGGACACGAGGGTACTCGAAGGTATAGATATGATGGGTAGGGGCTGTGAAAGAGGAAGGGAACTGTTTTCGGGGCGGACCGAACTTCAAGTAGCGTGGTCATTACGTCATGCTTCACCGAGGTGTCCGCGGGTCCGCTCATCAACAAAATCGTTGTGAGAACACCATTCTAGAGCTATGATTGAGCTCAACGGTTGCGCCCGTAGTCCCTCGTTAGTACTTCGTAAAGCGAGTCATCCTGCAAAAGTTGTCCATGTGGCTTGACGACCCCACACTTCACAGATGCCTCGGCGGTTTGGAGTCGACAACTCCTCTAACGGCGAAGAATTGCGGGGAAGTATAATTACGTAGGCGCTAGTGGGGTATATCATTGACCTGTATCTTATCTTGCTGAAACTCTTCCAGTTTATCAGCTTTCTGATATCGAAGTTGATCTTTCCGACTTGAGATAGCATCACAATGGCAGAACCAAAGAATACCGCCAGCACGCGCTTGACGCAGATCACTGACTTCCTGACCATGAATAAGACAGCTACCACAATCCCATGGGATCCGAACTCGACCAAGTTTCCTACCAGAAAAGAGCTCCCGGATATCCCAGGAGCACCCAAGGAAGCTGCCTGGACTTGGGGCATAGATGACTATGTATGGTACTAGTACCATTAATTGATCTACGCATATTGACAATAAACAGATCGGTCGCCTCAATCTCCTCACCCCAACCCGCGTAGCCGCTGCAGCTAGAGAAATTCGTTCCGGAGAGATTATACCCGTCAATCTGCCTTTGAACGTCCCTAATCAGCCAGCCTTCGGTCGCGAGGTTTTCAAACACGAGATCAAGACCTTGCACGAAGGCATCGCATACGACGACCTTTATCATATGAACACACAATCCGGCACGCAATGGGACGGTTTCCGCCACTTCGCGCACATCCCTACGGGCTCGTTCTTCAACGGTACCAAGGGCTCTGATATCGTTGGACCCGCCGCAAACCACAAGTGCTCTATCCACCACTGGGCTGAACATGGTGTTGCTGGGCGTGGTGTGCTGCTTGACTACCGCGGATATGCGCACAAGAAGGGTATCAACTACGATCCGTACGATTACTACCCAATCTCGTGGGAGGAGTTGTACCAGTGTGGAAAGGATCAGGGTATTGATATCAGACCGGCAGCGCAGGGCGGAGATATCAGGATTGGAGATATGTTGTTCATTCGCAGTGGCTGGAAGGAAGCGTACGATAGCAAGTCGGACGAGGACAGGGCGAAGGCTGCGACAAGGCACGGGCCAAATGGTGAAGATGGTGCACGTTACGCGGGTGTTTCCCAGGAGCAGAAGATCCTGGATTGGCTTCACGATTGCTATTTCGCGACGGTTGGAGGTGATGCCCCTGCGTTTGAAGCTTGGCCGACGCACGAGGACTACCATCTGCATGAGTATAGTAAGTCGTTGCCGCTATTCGGATTACGCACTGCTAATCGAAGCGGTAGTTCTAGCGCTATGGGGAATGCCGTTGGGTGAGATGTTAGATTTGGAGAAACTAGCACAGACCTGCAGGGAAAAGAACAGGTGGTTCTTCTTCTTCACGAGTGCGCCAGCAAACTGCCCTGGAGGTGTCAGCTCGCATGTCAACGGCACTGCAATTTTTTAGGAGTCGTTGTGGATCCGAACATTGTCAAATGTTGAAACAAGCAAGACATGTGCACACAAAAGGTCGCACTCTAATATACACATGTTCAAATAGTTCATCAATGTCCCTAGCCACCTTCACATGTTTACCTTTGTATGGTAACGTTCGGCTCGGGATATGCTCCAGGACAATTCACACATATTTCGTAATCCATGTTCAGCTTCCCGACTCGTCGGTCTGATGCCAACCCACTGTCGTGCGAACTCTGGACGCCGGTACTGTTCTCGTCTGCACCGTTTGTAACGGCCAAAGTCGACGAGACTCGGCGCTCTGAATTTCGCATGCGACCGATGCTAGGCTTGCACTTTAGGGCGAGTTCTGTCAGACAAGGTGCACTGCTGTTGCTACCATCAAGCTCCGCCAATGGGAGAGCATATTGAAGCTGATCAGGCGCCACCATTGGTGCAACAGAAGATCTAGAGGGCGACATGTTGCGGGTTGTTTGTGCAACTGGAGGAGCTGTAGTGGTGAAGCGAGTCTCGTTGGAGCGAATATGCAAGACAGGTGAATTGGCATGCGTCCTGGCAAGATCGTAAGTTGGCCTTGTACTATCCAGGGGTCCAGTACTGCTGTGTTCATCTCTTGTTCGGGTTGTAATGTGTGAGCTGTTGGCATCGCAGTTGGTTTGGCTGGAGGTCACTTTGTTCCAGTCAGACTTATCGCTTGGCTTGCAATCCTCCAGTCGTTGACAGTCAGTCCATGTGGATCCAGTATCGATCCAAAAAGCGTGATTTGCATTTGCTCTGCACTGCTCCCAGTCCACACTGTTGACACCGTTCTGCAGGGCATTGGCTGTAGCGAATTCCGCATCCCTAGTAGAATTCTCTCGTGCTGTGGCAAGTCGCTGCTCCTTCAGCATGTCTACTGGAGTAATTCTAGTCTTGTAGCAAGCCTCTTCCGCGCCATGGACATGATACTCGCAGCCTGATCTTGCTGCTGTGCTTTGGTGGCAAGAGATGTGTCGCAGAGCAGATTGCAGAACGAGTTCAGCAAATGTCGCTGGATACTTGGAGTACTCCAGTAGTGTGTGAGACCGTTGCTGAGCGTTGATGAAGCGGTCGACGACAAACACTTTCAACGCTTCAGGTATACCCTTTCTATCAAGATCGAATAAGTGTTCCACAGTCTCACGATTGGGTGCAGTGCTAAGCGGAAGCCTCTCCTTGAGCGTGTCCATGACTCTGTCAGCAAAAGCGGGTTCTTTGATAATGCAACCCAGAATGTGCGCATTCATGAGCGGCCAACACGTGATCCAGATACGATCGATCTTGACATCTGTAGGGGATCTGAAGCTGATATTCCCGGTGTGATTATAGATTTTGTACATCTCAAATGCCTGAGGATCAAGCTCAGAGATGTGGTGCAGGGCGTCTTTCGGAGGCTCGTATGCACGGTTTGCATCAGCTACAAATGGCTCACTGAAGTAGCGCCGCGTAAAGTATGGGGAAATCGGGTCTTGTTGTCCGAGAAGTAAGTGAAAAGTCGGTCGTGGACATCGTTCGCCGTGAACTCCTTTCGACAAAGGTTTTGTATCGGCACTTGTCTGAGCTACCCGTGAGGCTGATGCTAGCCCATTCGGAGGTTGTGATTTGGGTGAAGGTGCTGTAGACATTTCAGACTGACCAGAAGTGTTGAAGGTGGTTTCTGCCGCGTCAGGACTCTCCGATTGTGTTGTGGCAGCAGGGTTCGCCATCTCTTGTCGATTTCTGATGGAATCTGGTGGACTGCCAATATTGGACACCTTTCGAACCTCACCTACCACAAAGCTCTTAGGTATGGGGCGCGGTTTATAGTATCCGCGTGGAAAGACACTGTCCTTGTTTCTAGACTGGCAGACAGGCTCTTCCTGCGTGACAGCATCGATCTGTGCTCCTGGAGCAGTCTTCTTGATGGTGTTGCCCTTAACGCTCTGCTCAGTCCTGGTCTTGATAAAACGAACAATTTGTGATATCGGACTCTGCTTCAGGGTAGACATGTTGCATGTAGGTGCTATTTCTATTGCGGTGTGTGGAACGTGACTGGACTCTGTAGATGGGCACCAACTCTCGCAAGCAGTGCGGAGGTACGGAGGACGTTAAAGAAAACCAAAGTCTGAATACTGTGATATTCGACTGTTTACTGCTATTGATTGCTAAGTAGACTGTTAGGCGTTGTTCATCAGCCTTGGAAGCTACCGTGAAGTCAAACGTCGAAAGAGGGCCGCTGGAGAAAACGCGCCAGTAAGCGCGAAGAACAGAGTGACTTGCTGGAGATACCCCATAGCCCCGTTTTCAAAGCTCACTCATGTCCATTCACTGACGATGGCGCTCATGCATCGACAGGATCCTTGCTCCTCTGGTCCATACCTTCACGCGGCAATCTGAGAATTTGCTGCGCGGCGCTCTGATGGTTCTGATCGGCTAAAAAGATAGCAGCAATACCCCAAAGTCGTGTCGACATATCGTATAATTTAAGCCCATTTTCCGACGCGTATGAGCTGTGCTTCAGTCCCAGTTACCCGGTTACAGAGCATCTCCAGAGGAAGATGTTTTGGTCTGCGAACGTGTGCATACGAGTCGACCAATGTCCTGGTGTGGTAATCGCCGATTCGTTTGCGCTTCGCCCCTACCCGGGACTTGAAAAAAGCTCATCAAGCAGCCGTGAAGTGTCTTGCACAATCGAGCCAGCCGGAGAGTGTGGCGCATCGCCTGACCTTATTGCGTTGGCAGAATAGCATCGCAGCGTTTGAAATCAGTGGTTGTGCCATCCCCATGACTCCTCTAACTGCTGGATCGTAGCAGTTGGTGGAAAGCCATGTGAGCGTTCGCATGCATACCACAAGTCGCGTAATCGCTCTTGATCCTCTCGCATAGGGAAACGGTCGCCTACCAACGCAATAGCAAAGCAGGCCACGAATTTGCATGGAAAGAACTTTCCATTTGACTGAGCAACTCCGCACAGAGAACGAACATCTTCCTGCACCATTCTGTCGACGATTACGCGGGACTGTCTGTGCGCTGGACCAAGCTGTGGGATTGTAGGATCATGCACGACCAGTAGCATGTGGGCAAGTGTGTTGTATTGTGTGCCTAATACATGCGATTTCTCGTGGAAGCGGACATCTGGGAAGTTCCGACCGCTGCCGTCTCGATCCTGGCGGTAGAAGAATGGATCGAAGCTATCGGGTCGTCGACTTCTCCAGGCTCGGTTTTCGTCCATGAGCTGACTATAGCGTGGGATGCTGTGTCTGTCTTCGCCAAAAGCAAAATTGCACACATCACCAAGATGGGCGATGGTACGTGTGGCCCATATCGAGTCGTTGGCAGGTTCTAGCGATCGATCAGCTGGAAATATGTGCGTTTGAAACGCACGCTGTGTCATGAGTGAGATCCACAGCTCCTGTCGGAAAGCAGCCCAGTATATAGCCTGCCGAAAGCTTGGCCCACTCGTTGCAGCATACGACTGCTCAGCCGCACGTATAATAGCCTGGGTGCCGAACAGATGTCCTTGCGGGTCGTTCCCAACGATGGAAATGTTCATCTCTTCCATCAGTCGCAGGATGATAGTTGCTGCAAGTAATGACTCGTCCTCTTTGGCAATTTTGTTGTCGTTCAGCGCTGGTATGAGGGTGTCAAAACAACGCTGATAGTAGGCATCGGCGATGTACGGGTCGAAATCCGTGGTTCGGCTAAGCTGGCGAGCAGACAAAGCTAGGATCGCGTTCATCAAGGTACTATCTTTCTTCGCTCGCTGAACAACATGCACCGCGAAATGGCACTCGGTATCGATCATGTCAAACTGGCAAGCATTAGTAAGGGCACTGGAAGTTGACGCACATAGACTTACGAACAGCGCTACGTTATCGATGTAATGCTCTAACAACATAGCTTCCTGCTCATGCTCGAGTGGCCAAAGAATGGGCTCACCTGGGGCCTGCTGATAGACAAAGGTAGGTTGATCGTGAGGCTGCGATGTAACAGGCTGCGCATGATGATCGAAGGTAGGAGATAACCCAGGAGTTTGCGAATGGGCTGGGGATTCCGTGTTGAGAAGCGACAAAACCGTGAGTCCTTCTGTAGGTGTTATGACAGAAGTCGGCGGCGTACCTGTGTGGTGCCCGCCGCTTATAGAAGAACGCGCGTGTGGTGAGAAGCTTTGCGCAGCAGGAGGACTATGGAACGGGTGATATGCTTCATCTGAATACTGTGACCGGATCTCGTTCGACTCGTCCAGGAATTGAACTATGTTAACCGGTCAGAAATTTGTGACATCAATTGTAATTCAACATCCGCACTTCGAGGAGGCATAGAAACCCAGGGTTGGCTCTCGCTGAAGGCCTCCTGGATGGACGACCGCCTGAATCTCCGTCCAGTCTCGTAGGTGCAATGCTTTTTGGCATGGTCGCACCGTCCGCATTTTGGCTGTGCACCGTCACCTGTCGCAGAATGCTTAGCTGTTGCTTCATATAGTGCCGGCTCGGATCTTACACCGATAGTGGCGCGTGCGACAACGAGTGCTGCATAGGTCAGACACCAAGCCTACTTTTTCTATTTGGATCCATCATACCATGGCATTTGTAGCACCGTCCAGAAAGGTCATCTGGCGGCGAATGGATGTTGTCGGGGCGAATTACCCGTCAGCGAGGTTGAGCGCCAATTTCTGCAGCTGTCTCGCCTACGGACGTTTGGGAAATTGCAACAAAGTTGCACCTTGCCGTATTAGGCTAGATCTCCAAGATCTCACCCAACCAGAAGACGCGCTTTAGTCGAGATCGGCGTAAGGTACCACCAGCCAGCTCAAAAGCTCCTTAACATGGCTCTTTGCCCCGCTTCTCCACAACGTGGGAATCGCCTTTCTGAACGTACGAAGCATCTCCATCGGTATCATCAGCATGCTGGAGTCTGTGGCCATGTGATGCTGATATAAAACGGCTGCGAAGGTGTTGCAGCCAAAATAGAGGCAAAATGTACATACATTTGCACCCCTGAATTGGCTGGTAAATAGGCATGATATCTGCTGCGACACACCCCCTCACGTCCAACCAGGACAGCATAATTGGAGGTGACACAACGCAGCAGAATGCCTAATGTGCTGAGTAATAGATGAATCCTTCTTCGCGATGCTCTATTGCTGCAGATAGCACGCCAACAGAGCAGGTACCATGCCAAGACCCTCGGCTATGGTCACCCATGGAACACGAAAATCCATTCAATCTTTGCTTGCGCAGTTTCAGCGTCCGGGCTCATAACTGTTGCAGCCAAAATAGAGGCAAAATGTACATACATTTACCCCCCTGAATTGGCTGGTAAATAGGCATGATATCTGCTGCGACAGAAGGTCACCTCGTTGCGAGTCGCGAATCGTCTTTGTTATTTACTTCAGATTGATCGGCTTCGAGTTCGAGCACACGATACAAAACATCCCTCACGCCTCATCGAGATGTGTCCAGCTTCCAGGGCCAGAAGCTGTACATCAATGATGGTTTTCCTCATGTCAGAGCAAGTCGCTGCCCTGTTGCAGTCATCATCAGACATGCCCATGGAACCTTAGAGCTACGCCGCAAGAACAACGAGGACGGGTATGTCTTTTGAAGGGCTTATTACCGAAACAAGATGTCTTCAAGGCTCGCGAAGGATACTTAGTATGTTGGTTCCAAGCGGCCTCCTCAAGCCTGGAACTCAGCCTGTTGAGGATATCTTCGACGCGTCCTGGCATTGGCGCTGGTACAGCTCCTGACAATGGCAGACCTGGTGAAGAGACGACTGAGAACTTCGCCAACCTTGCCTTACAGGCTCACTATGCGGCTTAATATAAGGAAAAATTCTGCAAGCACGCGGTGCTAACGGACTTCATCGCCCGTATGACGGAGTGGGGCGACGATAACAACACATTAATCGTTCGAAGAAGTTTGCTGCGTAGCAACACACCAGGAAATAAGAAAATCGGCGTGCACCATGACCAGATCTTCCTCAGGTATGGCGAGCCCACCAGTGTCACTGCGTGAGTCCCAATGGGCGATGTCAGCCTCACTGGAGGAGGACCGATTTATCTGGAGAACTGTACCTTTTCTAAACCACAAAGAGTCTCTATGCTGACGTTGACCAGGACACACGCTTGGGCGAGAAGTCGAAGCAGACTTCACCGCGAAAGCTAAGGCCAGTGGTCTCACCGATGAGGAGGCAAGTAGGCTTTCAATCAGAACATGCTCTCGACGGGTCTGCTGGCGGACGGTGCACGAAATCACTCATAGAATTTCGACAGGAGATTTTTGGTGACGTCTTACGAAGCAGGGGATGTTGTGCTGCATAACCCTTTCGCGGCAAGTCCACTCACGCTCGTAACTGAGACATGTCTGACCGTTACCCAGATTCACGCTTCCACAATGAACTCCGACCCAAACAACGTGATCAGAGTTGGCACTAATTGCGATTCGTAAATGGCAGCAAGCCGTGGGACAAGGCCTGTTCATTCCTAGACTTCATTGCCAACAATTGAACTCTGACACTCAAAGCGATGGGACAAAGACTATGTGTTCAGCGACGGGGTGTAACATCGTTATTGTGCCGAGACCGCTGGATCATAAAGGTATAAGCCTGATTAGCAGACATGCATGATAGAACGTTGCGCGCGGCACTTTCAATCCTGTGATGTTTTGCGTTACAAGACTGTCCCTGCGCTCTTCGCCAGGGCGAGCCTTCGGCGGTGCCTCCTCTTCTGCTAAATTCCACGTCGTCTGCTCGATCCTTCAATGACCGCCTCCAACATATCGCCTCAAGGCTCTCACGATCCACTTAGTAGCTCACCTTCGTCACCACTAAACCTTATTACGATCCGAGCCGCTGAGCCAGACGGCAAACCTTGCCGGCACTTCACCCGCCCGTCTCACATACCAAATACCGCTAGACGGCACGAAGCAACCTCCACATCTCTCGAGAATCCCGATGCCTTGGTTGCTCTCTCGTGACTTGCAAAAGAGCTTTAATAATGGCAGGTCCCCAGCAATCATTTTCACAAGACCAGTGAGCCAATTAGGCATCCAGAGACCAGAATTAAGTGTTTTGTTATATTGACCTTTCTTCGCGGCATGAGGGCTGTTAATGTCAAACTACGGGACGTCAGCTCTAAGCTTATCGCGCTCGCAAGGGTGAGACCTGATTGGCGCCAGTACATATTTGGTTAATGCACTCATTCGCTACCCCCTGCCGGCCGACTTCTGGCTCGACCACGCCTCCGCATTTGTCGGTCACACACAACTAACTTGTCGCTTCCAGACGCAGCGGCGTTCGCCATGCGAATCCTGACGTATCAGTTTTTCCGGGGATGTGGTACAAAGGATTATTGCCCAACTTTACGGCCAGAATTACAGCGACATTCCCCGACCCAGCTTAATCGCGCGTGCAATAAAGAACGGCCCTTTCCAGGTCTTGCACGGTAGTGGTGCTACTCTTCCACTACCCAGAGACCTCGACCTATCCATCCGTGACATCCTTCCGCTATTTAGTTCATTAGTCGATCGCGGCACGTAACAATGCTTTGACCTACATGTTTCTGCTCAGCCCACCAACGGAGTAGTCGTCCGCTCGCGGTTTCGGTCGTATTCTTTTTGAGGCACCCGCATATCCGTTAAAGCACAATGTAAGGGCGCTCCCGCCTTGCCAGCCCTGCAACCGACACCACATACCTACGGCGTCCTTCACCGAACAATAAAAACCTCGAGAAGCATGAGACATGGCCTCTCTGTTCACCCCAGCAGAACTGGCAACTATGCATGAGAGCGACTCAAGGGTAGCCGAGATCAACTGGGTTTACAGCGTCCCAATCGTTGCATCAGTCATTAGCACAGGACTACGTTTGTGCGCAAAGCATTATGGGAAGAACGGTATCCACACGGACGACTACCTCATTACCATCGCGACAGTACGCTGCACAACTCCACGAGCTATGTATCCATTCTCTAACAGAGTGCGTTAGATATGCCTGATCGGACAATGCGCAAGTGGTTTGGGCTATGGTATGCCTCTGATGCGCAAGGCCAGACCACCATGATAGCTGACGCTCGTAGGCCCTCCTCATGGCATGGGTAGGCACGTCATCTTTGTCTCCGAGTATGACAAAATGATGGTGCGAAAGGGCGACTTCGTCTTCAGCCATTTCTACGACCTTGCTTTGGTGTTCGTGAAGCTGGGTATCTTGGCCTTCTATTGGAGAATCTTTGTCCATCCCATCTTTCGCAAGGTCGTCCTTGCAACCGCTGCCTTCATCATTGCCTGGGGAATTGGCATCACGATCACACTTTTCCTGTTTTGTCGGCCGCTGCGTGCCTACTGGGATCGTACCGTGGAGGGCACCTGTCTGACTATCATCACGTTTACCTACTTCACTAATATCTCGAACTTGATCACCGATATATGGATATTTTTGATGCCCATACCAATGATCTGGCACCTGAAACTACAGACGAAGAAAAAGCTTATGTTGAGCTTGATATTCTGCATTGGCTTTGCGTAAGATCTCTTTAGCTGTCCAATTGATATCCAGCTAACGAAACCATCCTGCAGGACATGTGTCATTTCTTCCCTCCGCCTCACTGTCGTCCTCGGCCACGGCAACCCAAACTTCACATGGTACTACGTTCCCCTCGGCGCATACTCTGTCTTCGAGCCCCTTGGCTGCATTCTCTGTACCAATTTGCCAATCATTTGGCACATGGTACGCAAGCGCCAAGCTGCGAATGCGGGCCTACCTCACTACGGATCCCCCTCGAAAGCCACGTCCTCCGGGGGCCATACGCCCACCATTGGCTTCGGGTCACGCCGTTATCACCTCGGCATTGCACTCAGACTCACAAGTCACGGTAGAGCGCGGAATAGCAGTCGGGCGCAGCCGAGTATGCAGAATATGGGTGCATCGCCAGCAGGGTGGGATGAGCTGGATAGCATGGAACATATTGCGCCACCAGATCCGAAAATTTGGACCTCTATTGAAATGGAAGAAGACGACGACCTTTTAGAGCCGCTGCCACCGGGCATGAAGAAGACGACTTGGCATGTGCGGCGTGAGCGGGCGTGATTGCGCGTCGCACACATTGACGTTGTCGATGTCATGATGATGGCGCACATTGGGAATATTTCGACTGGGAGAAGCGCATCTTAGGCACATGGCGCCATCACTCTGGCGCTCTCGCGAAATTAGGACCCGGACACATTACACGGATACGCGGAGGTGTCAAAAACGCAAAGGCAGGACATATAGGACCTTGATTTTAATTTCTTTACCTCTCATACATCGTAACCACAGATACTTTACGCGTGCTCTTTTGGCGTAAACCGATCGCCCTGTGTATTTCTGCGCAGCGAATTCGTGTGGAAACTGCTCACGTGCACCATGAACTGCAGACTGCCCGAAAGCATCAGCCGTACACTTCCGTCCGCTTACGCATAAGAAATCATCGGTGTTGATAAATCGCTTAGCTGAACGCGGAAAGTGCACCTCAGCTTCGGGGCCATGAGGCCTGTCTTATAACATGGATACGACCTGGGTTTAAATTGATCAGCACGGGAGGTTGTAGGCGCTGGGTTGCATGATCGATCAGTGTGAGATACTTCTGGTCAATGAAAGTGGGCGAGCCGAGGTCCCGGTGTAGACTCGAGTCTTGGGATCTGATCGAGCATGGACATTGACCTCGAGTTATATGGCTCTCAGGTATACATCATCTATCACTGACTATCACCTGGCGTCTAAGTCCAGCACCCGAAAGACTGTGCTCTAGTATGGCACGTCTTTCGCGACGCTCTTCCAGAAGTCACACCTCTTACCCCTTCCTCCCTCCCAATCTCTCGCATCGGCCAGTTTTATTTGGTTGCTGACCCCCGGATCACTGTAAACGTTATAGAATAAATCCGTCGTCGCCTGAATAAACGTCGCTACACCCCCGGTAGCATTTAGATTCAGCAGCATAGGCTTCTTCTCATCCCAAGTGGGCCAATTGATATTGTCCCCATTCCCACTCGTAGAGGGCACAGTGCTGTTCGCAACGCCACCCTTGGCATCCTCGATAGAGATCACGGGCGTATTCTGCGTAATGAAGTTACCCCAGATCTTTCGGAATGCGCGCTTGAAACTCGCACCAGGTGTACGTGTGCCGGACCAGAGCGCCTGCAGATCGTAGCCGTGATACGAGGGCGGCTCGCTGAATTGGTACTTCCATGCCACAGGGAACGCGGAGGCGGCCCAGTAGCTGTTGCATATGAAAGCGTATTCGGCAAAGACATTGAAGACACGCTGTTGCTGGCCAGTTCCGAAAGTCGATTGGTTGACAGCGGTGGGCGCGGCGGTACCTGTTGTTGCGAAAAGTGGGGCGGCTGGGTTCACATCTTGGGTATCGCCGGCGTACGAGTATTGCTTTTCAGTGGCGGTCTTCTCGGACTGGTTGAAGTGAGGGAATGTTGTGTCAATGTAGTCCCTGAAGTCCTGCAGTGTGCGGGTGGTAGGTAGACTGAGAGGAACACCTTCGTTGGCCATGTTGCCGGAAAGTACGCGGACACCCTTCACGGCCCTGGCGGCGAGCTGCTGACTGGGGCGTTGCTTGACGAATGAGCCGTCGGTCACTGGCAAAAAAGCAAAAGTGCCAAAGGGCCCAGCCTCAGAGACCTTGGCGCTGGCGTTCTGAACAACAACCGTGTCGGCATCGCGGAGACACTGTAGCTTTTCCTTCGAATTAGAGCAACGAGCTGCAGCAACGAAATCGTTGTAAGCATTGGTGGGCTGATCATCGTTGTACTTGTACTGAAATGGAATCCATGGGCTCGCAGTGATGACCTGGAAGATGTAAGCGAAGGAAGTAACGGCAGACTTGTGCAAAACCCACATTTTGAAATAGATTGTCCTTTTGCTTGCCACCATAGGCCATGCTTTGGTACAGCACAGCGGCACCACCGGCACTCTCACCAGCGATAGTCACCCTGCTTGGATCACCACCGAACTTGCCCGCATACTTCTGGACCCATTGCAGGGCAAAGTTCATGTCAAGCAGACCAGCATTGAGCGCGCCGTCTTTCTTCACGTCCTCAGACGAGAGAAAGCCAAAAGCACCAAGACGGTACTGAATGATCACGCTAATGAAGCCATTGTTGTTCTGCTTCATAAACTCTGTAGGGTCAAGTCCTGTAGCGCTGAACAAGCCGTAGCCGCCGCCATCTGATCCGCATTAGCTTGGACAATCAAATGCCAGGGGGTACGGATACACACGGATCCAGAAGAACACGGGCAAGTTCTTAGCATTGGCTGGGGCGTACACATTCAAAAACAAGCAATCCTCGTTGCCGAGAGCAGACGTGAACCCGTATGCAGCAGGTGTCTCAGAAGAAGCACCGGTCTGTGGGCAGAATGGAGGATTACTGGTCGCTGCGATTGTCGAAGTCCTATTTGTTGCTGGTGCCTGAGGAGCCGCAAACCTCAGCTTGCCGAAGGGAGGTGCAGCGTAGCGAATGCTAATGATAACATCAATTCGAACTCTGTTTATTGTCGTACGAGGAACCACGTACCCTTTGAAAGCATTGATACTGTTGTTAGTATCAAGACTCCCCTCGTACACCGCGTAGCCGAGATCTACAGTGGGTGCCTTTGCTGCGCGTGGGACTGGCTCCGCAGCTACAGTCGCTGCGAGCAGCGCGATTGCCCTACCGTTCAGCCTCATCTTGTCGCTTTGCCCCGTGCGATAACAGACGCAGGCTGCAGCAAACGCAAACCAAGGCCTAAGGAGGATCGTTGGTGAGGTGCGGATGATTTGAGACCCTGGACTGTGGGAGCGGACGGCACAGCTTGATCTACTTCGTACTACTTCGTAGACGCGCGCTCCTATATGTAAAGTGACAGGGCAGATCAACGGGCCGATGCTGGCAAGGGCGGGCCAACCCGCATGGCCATCGTCTGGACCCTCACGAGGTAGGATTATCGCCAAAGTCGTCGCTGTAGCTTCGTGATCATGTAGTCGAGGGGAGCTCCGGCGGGTAGGTAAGCATGTTGCCGCTGGCGCTGATTCGCCCCTTTTCCGTCCCCTCCCGTCGCGCCGCCTTTGAGCTCCCAGCTCGACGCTATCGAAACAAGGGTTGTTTGCGCCTCTTTGTGCCGTTCTTTCGGCATCGAAACGTGTTTCTACCGCAAGATGTCCACTTCCGGGCCGGCCGCGCGCGAGCAGAATTCGCGGCGTTCTTCTTCACGGGTCGCACAGCTTCATGCGGCATGAACGTGTCATTGACACCTTGCATCGCTTAGATGCACCCGTGCTCGTCCGGATATCACGTCGAAGCCTCGTACCTATCCAGCCATGTACGGATCTGAGGTGTGGTGGTTCATCTACGTCGGCTCTCGAGCACAGGCGTCTCACCACCCTGTTCAGACCACGGACCGAAAGGCACTCCAGAGTTCGATACCTGCAGCGAAAGTCACAGGTACATCGAGCTGACTTTATGAGCCATGGTCGCTACGGGAAAAGCGCTTCAGATGCGTGGGATGATCTCGGCAGCGCAAAAGTCTTGCTGGCCCTGCACAAGCAATGCTTTCACTCGTTAATATAACAGAGCATCGGACGATAAACTTTGTTGAGCGATGCATCGGAGGACGTCGACGTGGTGATTGATTGTATAGACCCGAGGATCAAAAGCGATCCTATTCCGGTGGCGCAGCGGGCGGGTCGTCAACGATTGAGGCGCCGCCTGCTCAGCGCGGCGTCGTGTCTGGTGATGCTCGTGGCGATTGCGGTCCTGTTATCTGCATCGACCAGCGAGATTCCATCCTATATATCGATTCAAAGTGGATACCCAATTCGGCTCCCCCAGCTTTCCCCAATACAGGCTCTCCTTGCATTACGGACGGAAGATTGGGCAAGGCCGGATGTAAAAGCCGTGCCACATTGGCACAGCGAGTATCGCTTAAAGGAAAAGCAACTTTAGCATTTAAGACATGTGTACCGTATTTCTTTTAGAGATTTTCACAGCAGGTTCTTACTTTCAAAATTTTGATAGATGACTGTTCCAAACTTTAAGGTGTCACGTCATGGACGGGAAATTGACCATGCATTTTTAAGATAGTGGTTGTATTTGGTGACTCTACCCTACCATTATCCAGCTTTTGTGGCCTTACATACGCAACGACAAGGGAAAATTCGACCATTGTGTGACCACCTTGACGGTTCTGGTATAGAGGTCATCTTCGTGAGCGTGTCTTCCATACGGGTGGTCGGTCTGGTGAGGAGCTCTGCAGACAATGTTGTCCCTGAACTCTTGTTTGTAGCTTCATAGCATGTCATCATAATCTCTGCGCTCTGCTGAGATTGTGAGGGTGTTTTTGGAAGAATCTAGCTTGGTCTCGTATACAGGACGATGTTCTTGAAGACCTCGAAAGAAACAGGCGCATTGCCTTCCATCTGCCACCTAGCGTAGGCCTCGATCAGATCAACTCCGTGAGTCAGATCCTCCTTGAGAAGGGGCACCTCTTGAATACCAGCCATGGTGGTAATTCGAGCAAAATACTCGACATTACTAGATCGACCTTGAGTCTCGGAGGAATAAGAGACTCGCATCTTTTGCTGAGAGGATATGGATGCGTTCTGGGCTATGGCCTGAAACGTGGACGACTTTGCTGGCGTAGTGGGAGCGGCGCTGAAAACGACTTTTTTGGCCGCGGACTTGGGCTTCTGCTCGGAACTGGACGGGGTGACAGCCTTAGCTAGGTCGAAAGCTCTATCGGTGCCGTTCGCCGGGGCAATGGTGCTGCTACGAGTAGTCTGCTTCTGTGAAGAACCACCGAAAAGCACATCGTTCGCCGGATCCCAGGGTGTAGATGACTCCAGAGCTGACACAGCAGACTTTCTAGAGCTTCGGCGGGTGGTGATATTGGCCGGGGTGTCAGGCTGGGGTGTTGACTGTGGTGTTGGGTCGTGTACTTCCATAGTCTTGGCCTCATCCACCTCTAGCTTTGCACGGTCCGCAAGGGTTTCAGACTTGCGAGGCCGGCCGAGTACTCCACCTCGTGAACCACGAGCGCGCTTTAGACCGCCGCGTGGGAGGCTTGACTCGCTTTTTCGTTTCTTATGTATGACTCCTGGGGGCATCCGATCGAGACTTGAGGGTATAGCATCTGCCTCGGCGGCAAGAATGGCTGATGCAGGGAAGCCTACAGGCCAGCTTCAGTAAATTACACACCATGGGGCATTCGGGATGTGTAAAATGGGTTAAAGGTGGTAAGAAGATATATCACATACTCAGTGGTGTAGCAGCAGCGATCTGTGCGCTCACTGGTGGCTCGCTGTTGTCTTCAGATGCTCCTTCTTCATTTTCTGATGAACTTAGTCCTGGAGAGGTCAGTACTGAATGAGTCTGGGCTAGTATACGTTACGTACGAGAGAATTTCTTATGTTCTTCGACTTCTTCGTCGCTCTCGCCTTCCAAGGTAGCCCTAGTCCTTGCTAAGCAGTGTCAGTGTACTGATTCACTGGTTATATCACGCCAGTCTTGAGAATAGTAGACTCACACTTCTTGACGTTTTTGATGTTGGATTTGTTCTTCGTAGGTGGTATAGGATTCTCCTTATTCACATAGCGGCCATGTGGACCGCGAACCTTGCCAGACCCAGCATCTTGCAGTGCTTCTGCTGACGATGGAGTGCCATTGGCAGTATCTGCCATACTGCTGGATTTTGAGGCGGGTGAGTGGTCTACAAATGCTGTGGTCAGTTAATGAGCAAACAATTGAAACGAAGAAGAGGCGACCATCGACACCGCCAACAAAATCAGCGCAGTAAATCCAATATTAGAAAACCTACTGGGAGACAGAGAGAAGTCTCGAAATAACGAACCTTGACGGTTGGCCTTTTGCTCAGTTGCTTGCTGGTTGACGGGTCGGTCGGCAAATTGTGGCGACTTCAACTTCTGCGCCTGATGTCCGCTGAGGTTATTCGCGCTCAAAGATGCCCGCGAATTTGGTGTATGTAAGTATTTGTCTGAACCGTGTCAATCGATGCTTTGATGAGACGTTTGGTTGTTGAACTTACCATGATGTCCGTCAAGACCGTTGCTCATCGGGGTGTCGCGGGCTCCACCGCTGGATTCTGTTCGGGCAATCCCCATGGCAGTGTCGCCGAGAATCACGTTCTTGATAAGTGTAGACGACAGCTTTTTACCATCTGTGTTAAGGAAAGGCCACTTGTCTTGAGCCTTCCCTGTCAGCTGTCGCGCCCTTCGGTACGCCTTGTCGAGTTTGACAAATCCTTCAGCATTGCGGATTAGGCGGGCCCTCTCTTCCAAAAGATCCAAAGGTTCCTGTAGATAGTTGGTTTGTACCCACACGCCCAAGGCGCGGTCGTCGTCGTACTTGCTTTCGCTGAGGCACTTGTGGATGTCGATGAGGATTTCCACATCGATAAGACCATCAACTTGCTCTGGAAGTTTCATGATGTCTGTATCTTTGCCAGCGGGAGTGTAATCGTTAGAGAAATTGGATGCCATTTAGACGCGGTGCAGTAGCGAGCTAAGCTGTAGTCTAGTAGGCAAACTTGATGTGGGGTTAAGGAAAAGCCAGCGGCGATGCTAGGCGGCTTTGGAGGTGATGTAAGCTTGGGAAGACGAATCCTTTACTTTGACAGGTGTAATGCGCCCTCAATAAATTGAAGTAGCTCGATGCAGTCTTTGCGACTTGGTTGTTGACCTGTTCAAATTTGCAATGGGTGGCGCCCCAAAGCTGTGATGGTGCTGGGTGCGACGTTCAGGCCACAATAATTGAGGATGCGCTGCAGCTGACGACCCTCACGAAAAAGTCGACCAACGCACGTTCAAGCGGCCACAAAAAAGTGGATGCAGTGCGAGTGTGCGGTCGTGGTAGAGAAACTGTAGTTGAGGTTGAGTTATCAGTAAAGGTGAAGCGTTTCCGTGCTGTTTAAAATCGCCGGCACATCTCAGCACGTGATTAGCGCTCCCGCCACCACACATTCGTCTTCCTATGGTGGAGAATGGCGTATTGGCTCTGGTATGCACTTCTAAGGCTCTGAAGAATATTGCGAAGACTTTCGCCCGAGATCTAGAAATTTGCAGCCATCCTGTAGGGCAAGTTTGGACCGCATCTCGTTCCAAAGGCCTGTTTGAAGATCAGATCAATCACGACCGGTGTCCACTCTCACCATCACTCTAGCCGCAAAAGGATCCAGTTAAGGTAAGTTCTTCTGTCATTGTATTGCCCAAATTTGGGCTGGCTGCTTCTGAAAATCCTCTCGCGCAGTATCCACAGTTCTCAAGTCGCTGCAAAATGACAACAGTTCTTGGTGTCACAACCTTCTGCTTCATGCTGGGGCAGAGATAAAGCTTAAGGTCGACGTTGAAGACTACGTAATAATCCATACCAAGGGAGTTTAATTGTCGCACTCAGTTGCCTGGCCAGTCACAGAAGAGAAGACTGTTGTACGGACGCGATTAGCGGGTCTTGAACGCAAGCTCTCGAGATAAGTGTGTTGGAAACCTGGGAGGCTTCTTGAAAGAGCTCATCTCAGCTCAAGGGGTGTCCTTTCTATCTGCAATTTAAGTTGGATGTAAAGCCAGAAAGAGTGTGTGTTGTGCTCACATCTGAGTTCAGGAGAGGCGATATTGATCGCAGGATACAAGAAGACGAGAAGGAAAGTGCGACGAGATGACGTGTAGCCGATCAGCCCCGAACCGAAAGAGCGTCTTGACATCGATCCAAGCATTCCGCCTCAAATATCCACTGATCATTATTCCAGAGACATCGAGCACGTTCCAATTTTGTACCGATATCATTGAACGTTGTCGAAGCGTCTCTGTGCATAAATCAAAATGGACTCAGCATGCGCCTCAAAAGCAGAGCTCGCTATCGAACCTGGCACTTCCAAAGCTATGGTGATAGAATGGCGCAAGAAGCATGTGAAGAGCTATCGAGTTCTTTGATACCAGTATTGCGTCCTTCATGCGCTCTTCTCCAGCACTATTTCCACCACCTTCATAATTCCCAACAACTCCTTATCCATAAATGGCTTCCCTACAATCTGCACATGCGCTGGCATCCCTTCCGCTGCCTCGGGATCATCTGCATCCAGTCAGTATAATCCCTAATTATATCGTACCAAAAGGCACCATGGGTCACCACAGGTAGTCAAAGAACTTACAAGGCGGATCATACACCACGCCCTCCCTCAAAAACTGTTTATCAGCCTTCCTCTCCGCCCATCCATGCGTCAGTATCCCCGCAGGATAATCCAGCCAATTGGCCAGCGTCGTATAGATCGGTAAGCCATAGGTATCATGCTTAGGCGCAACAGCCTGATACCCGGGCATCAACAGCGCATCCAGATCCTCGTCGACCATCAGAGACTGATATTTCTTCAACACACCCGCCCGCTGGACGTTCATGCCCCATAGTGCTTCTAAACTCGGTTTCCAGGTTTTGAGTTCGGGCCAGCCGGAGATGGATAGCGAGGGAATGCGTGGTTCGCCTGACGCGTGCACGTGCTTGAGTGGTGTGGACCAGGGGTCGAGCATGGAGTATTTCCAGGCGAGTTCGACGTCGGCGTACATATCGCCGATCTTGTTATCGAATAGGACGATCGGATGACCTGCGGCTTTCAAGCTGGTAGCGGCGGAGTGCAGTGCACGTGCGATTGGTGGGTGAAGAGGGCGGGACAGAGTGCTGTGGATCAGTCCGAATCGCAACTTCTTGTCTTTGAGACTGAAATCTGGGGCTCGCCAGGGAATGTTGAGGACCATGGGATCCAGGCGCCATGGTTGCGAGGAAATGACCGTTCGAAGGAAGAGCTCGTAGTCCCGAATTGTTCGCCCGCAGGGTCCGATCACAGGCAGGATTTGACCTGGACTTCCCAGTCTGCCAGGTGTTACTCCACCTGAGAAAGGTACACGGCTCGCGCTTGGCTTGATACTCGTAATCCCACAGCAAAGCGCAGGAATTCTGTTGCTTCCTGCTATATCCGTCGCAAGGCCCAGCACGCTACCCTTCATGGCAATCAGGGCCGCTTCACCTCCAGTACTGCCTCCCGCAGTCAGTGTGAGCTTGTGTGGATTCAGTGTGCGCCCAACGACGTTGTTGTGGCTGTCTGCTGTCATCATGGTTTGCGGGATGTTTGTCTTGACGTAGAATACTGCGCCAGCGTCAAATAATATCTGCACTACCACGGAGTTGCTACTCGCTGGCGCATTGGCAATGAAGGAGACCTAGCCAATTGTGCTCTGCGAGCCTTTCACATTGAAGCTGTCTTTCAGACTGATTGGCAGACCGTGAAGAGGTCCGATTGGACGGCCGTGCGTTTTGAGGTAGGTATCGCATTCGTATGCTCTAGCAAGCGCCTCCTCGAATAAGATCTCCGTTAGGCAGTTGGTAGCTTGATGTGCAATGGATGCGCGTTTGCAGAATGCTGTAACAACCTCCACGCTATTCTTGGAGTCAGCAGCGTATATGAGGCTTGGCGGGAGCGCTGAGCCATCACCGCACACACATGCAATAAGGCTTGTCCACTCGCGATTGCCATCTTGAAGCTACTGCCGAAACCTCCTCTTCTTGAATAGTCGCCTACTGAAGATGCGCTTCTGCTTGCCAATAGCTCCAACCATGAAGCCCTTCTCATCTATATTGTATGTGTGTTGAGGTTCTACGTCATAGAACTTGATTTTTTCGCGCAGGATAGTAAAGTATTGCTTACACTTCTTGTGAGAATCCGCGGCGTGATGATCGCGGTCCATTGACGTTGACCATTGGGTGGTGAGCTGTTCAGAATTCTTGTTGACAAAGCGGTCAACCCAGCTTATTGAGACGCGTTTTCCAGCTATATCAGGCGCGAAATTCTGTACCATCTCTCTTGTAGGTGGCAAGTGATCAGCTGTGAGTTGCTCTATATAGTTTATAAGCTCTGCTTCCTCTTGTGGGGATAAGTTGCGCTGTGCGAGGTGCGCGTCATGAACCGAACGCGTCTCCCTTTGGTGCTTGAGAGTTAAAGTTGAGCGCACAACACTATGCTTTTCAGCTATTTTCGTCCAGGAAATCTTTTTTTCAGGGGTCCACAAGCATCACACTCTGCAAGGGCTTCTTCCATTTTGAACTCGGCGTTGAGTTATGGTGTTGAGGATTTTGGTGCAGAATACGCGTTTGGCGCATCTGGTGATGGCGCGCATCTGCTGACTAACTACGGTACCGTCTGCAGTTGCTACACCAGGCAGTAAGCTTGTTATTATCGAGCGTCCGTGACTGAGAATACGTGATAATATGTGGTTACCATCTGCACGTGGGGGGTTAAGGTTGGGCGTCAGCTTGCTACACGGATGCACCACGTGCCACGGCGACTGCATTGGGAAAGAGCACCACAGCGTTCGGCAACAGCATCTGGCAGGAGTATTTCCTGGGACTATTGAAGAGGAGGTGACTCTGGAGCTCAAGCTTGTTTCTCAATATTTCCAGCTAGCTGTGCAAGGAGCTCCTTGAGTCTCACATCTTCTCATCAGCAATTCCCCTGATCCAATCGACAGTCTCCTTGGGCATTGTAAGAGATGGAGAATGCCCAGTATCCAACCTACTAACTTCTATCTTCGCACCTTTCTCCTTTGCTTCGTTGACCATCATTTCTTGGATCTGCACTGGAATTGCGAGGTCTTGTTCGCACATCAGGTAGCTGCTTGGAATCGTCTTCCAACTCGCGCTTAGAGTAGGTGCCTGTATGGTGTGGAAGCTGTGGGTCTGGAGCTGTGAGAACCATTATGCCTGTTCATCTTTACAAAGGCCGTTGTACAGCACGTTTGCATCGTTGGACTTGAGGTAGGGGCCCTGCTAAAGATTAGCATCGCTCATGCGACAGTGGAACATGTAGCCTACATCCAGATTGTACCATGATGGGACCTCTCCTCCAGTCAACTTGTGCAGACTCTTGCCCTCATCGACCATGAAAGCGCACATGTATCCAACCTTTACAACACCTCCTTTCAGTCCCATATTCGCTCGCTCTTCTTTCATGTAGCCCACAAGAGCGCTACCTGCTACTGTTCCGCCCCAGCTATGACAGATGAAGACTACATCGTTACCGTTACCAATGGCATGGTCGAGTAGTGAGCGTGCAGTCGCAGTATCTTGAACAAGATCCTCAGGAGGAGTCCATGATGGTGGTACGCCGACCTATGGAAGTTGACGAGTGCGCACCATGTATAGGTGATCCTGGAGAAGGGATGTGATTTTTGCAAAGCAGACAGGTGTATGCCAAGCACCTGCAAGAAGGACAATTTGGAGTTTTGCTGGAGTCATATTGAGATCGGAGCGTAAAGATCGATGTGTTTGAGCGGGAATTGGAAGTGCCGAAGAAGCATCAGCCTATAATTCTGCGACGACCCCCTTAGCACAACTAGTAATCGCGACGTTAGGTATGCGGTAGAAGTCAAGGGCCATTTAGGCGCAAAAGGGCATAATGGGAAACAGTGACGTTGATCGTCAGCCTATCGGAGCGATGACGCCTTTCAGATCCGAAGATGCTGCCGTTGTTGGTGAAGTGCCGTGCCAAGGATCCCATGACCGTGGTCTACGATCGCACTTACATGGCCCTTCTACCATGACCCTACCTAGTTAGTAGCGTAGTCAAATGATCTTTGGAATATGCTGATGCTGTACAACTGAAGTTCCTTCTTTGCAGTGCGCATATTGCAAAAAATAGACCTGGGTATATTGTTCGTCCAACTAAACCTCTACTCGTCACAAAAACAGCCTGTAGCGCTGACGGTATCTGCGATGTCGCAGCTCAAAGCCGTGTGCTCGATAGCGCGCGAAGTTGTCTAAAGAAATCTCCACCAGATGAAGACAATGACGATAAACACAAGGCCTCCAATGGGTCCGTACTGTATCATGTCAGCTCTTCGGAATCACGCCACATGTAGACTAATCACCCACCTGCTTCAATAGCAGTTCCCAATTCATGCGCACTGTTGCCTTCTTGTACTTCCTGCTTTCTTCCCTCAGTCGGCTCGACATGTCTCCCATACGATCCAAGCTATCTCCTCTGTAAAGGAGGTCTTCGATGTTCTTCGTCATGACTTTGGTCACGTCCTTCAGCTCGTCATTGAGCTTGTCCAAGTTCTGTGTGGCTCGCGAGTCCTGGTATGTCTTCTTTGTGCGCTGAATGAACGTGTCAAACTCGACAAATGCGTACGGCCGGCATGAAGGCGTAAGGTACTGCTGTGGCTGATAGATGGTGGTGAACTCTTGCGAGAGATCTGAGAGGTATGTGAAGGCAAGCTTGCGCGGATAGGAACGGTCGCATATGCAGAGAAAGCAGAGGTCACCGCTGATGAGGTAGCTAACACCAATTGTTAGCAAAGCGATTGTCCACTGTGTAGTCTAGAAGGCGCACTGGTATGTGTAGGACCCGCTCTCGATACTGGCCTGCGGTTCTGAGTTGCGATTTAGGCGGCGCTGGACGAGCTTGACTTTGCTCTTGACTTCGTTGAACTCGGCATCTTCCTGGCCATCGTCGACTGAGGCAGTCAGGATGAGACCTGAGGTCTGTCAGTACCCAACAATGACATCGGATCCTGAGAATGGTACCGTCGAGGCGCGAAATGATTGTGTGCTTGATCATAATTTCACTTTCTCGGTGGTTTCTTCGATATTGCAACGATTTTATTCCTCGTTCAAAATTATTGTGTATGTCTGCCTAGAGACACGGAGGTGGTGGTGTTGAGGCTACGTGTCGAGGAAGAAGCTGGCCAACTTGTTCACGAGTGATGATGCGGAAAGAGCGCGGAGGTGAGCGCGCGCGGGCCACCGTACACAACATACCACCTTGACCACAACCATCACTCTTCGTCTCGCATAGACATCAGAGTCCAGCTGAATATTCAAGCGAAACATTACGAGCAGCCTTCAAAGTGGTGTAGCGCCCGCACTCAGAGCTTCGTTCGATTGTGAGTAGGTAGAGGCTGACTTGGCGCGTTACCAAGGACGACATGGTCCTTCGACCATCTCACCATCTGCTATTAGTGACGATACAAATGCGCACTTCCTCGAGCGTGCAATAGCGCGTCGACTTTGTCAGTGTTACTTAGCATCGACATATCTCAAGACTCGTATACCTGGCATCGTTATCGTCTCCTGACGCGTATCTCTTTCTGGATTCGCGCACGTGGGCTTAGTGACTTCCTTGAGGGTTGTGCTCGCCCGGCTCTTGTACGAAGACAGGCGCCAGACATCTGGTTAAGCGAGTGATGTTCGGGAAAGGTTGACTATGTCTCAATCAACACAGTAAGTATGCGCCCTTCACCTTTCTCCACCAATCTGCCTCCAGCTTCGCATGCACGCTCGGTGCTACCTCATCCCTGCTTCCTGGACATCATTTGTCTCTTCAGATAGTCATTCCATGTATGAATCCGCTAGCCGCAGTGCTTAGGGAATCCTGTGTTTGTCCTGCCCATTGTTCCAATTGGTCGCGGCTGACAAAGGCAGGACATCAAACGGCGCAGCCTCTCCTACCGGTGAAAGCGGTGAAAGTTACACTCTGGTATCGCACGTCAATGCTAAAGAGTCTCTGTCCTCGACTACCTCCTTGACGGCCGTTACCGCTGCAACCAAGAATACCGCCATGGACGACGCGGCTTCAACTTCGTCTCCCCTCTCTTCAACCTCTTCCAGTGCCGTCGACGACGAACAAGTCGCCGTGGCCTCAGAGAACACAGTATCTAGCGCACGTCTGGTCGCTGCGCTTGAGGAAGGCGAAAACCAGGCAGCCAACCGACTGAAGAAGAGAATCCGTGAAGAGCACGACACTCAAAATGATACACAGTCGAAGCCCAAAAAGTCTGCCACGAAAGCAGATGTGAAGACGACACACTCGGCCCCTGCAGAGGTCGAAGTACTCGATGAAGCCGCTGGAGCTAATGGTGACGGTATTGTGGTCGACGATGGTAGGTCCGTCGAAGTTGAGCTCGACGGGCCAAAGAAACCAGCCAGAAAACTGAAGCCAAAATCAAAGGCTGCACCAAAACAAACAGTTGCTACATCGAAACGTGGCCCTCCTGCCTGCGCCGAATGTAAGAGGCGCAAGGTACGTCACGCGGTGAAGTCATAAATATCGCCATCTCGCTCACACTTGTACAGGTGAAGTGCAAACACAGACAGGTCGATGAGAAATCTGCTTATAAAGGCCATCCCGCGACAGACTCCGCGCCAGCTGGCGCTGCGGATATGGAAGAGAAGCCAGCAAAACCCATGGAGAACAGCGAGACTGGCGCTGTAGCTCAAGTTCCCGGTGCACACGACGATGCGCACGCCGAGAAGCCGTCCAAGATTTCTAAAACAAAGAAGAAGCTCAACCCAAAGCCAACCAGAGCGCCGCCAGAACGCACCAGCACACGAACACGCAAAGCACCCGAGCGCTTCGAGGACGTCCAGGAGCAACCTGCACCCCGACCCTCACCTCAACGAAAGGGAACAAATAGAGTCTTCGACCCCATCTACATAACCACAAACTCGACCAGCCGCCTCGGGCGCGCCGACATTTACCACATGCTGCTCGAAGACGGAGCGTGGACGAGTCTTTCAGCCGAGCAGCAGGCCACACTCGTGTCTATGTTTCCAGACAGTGCAGAGAATCAGCGGCTTCTTGACAGGATCAGGGCAGGCGAGACGGGCAAGGGTACACGTCCGCAGTGGCTTAAGGCGTCAGATGTCTTCCGCGATGAGGTTGCGAAGTTCAAGGACGATCTGACAAATGGACATTTGGCCAAGACGTGGCAGGCTGCTGCTGAGCAGGCGGTTGTTGAGAGGGCGGCGGGCGAGTACGATGAGTGGAAGGTGGCGGAGGCGGAGTCGTGGTGGGGACAGAAGAGCAAGTAGACTGAGGCAAGATCTAGACGCAACGAGAGCATGAGTTAGTTACGGTAGAGAGACGCTAGATCCTCCAAGACAGCAATTCGACATGAGAAGACCGACATCGCACCTTCTAGCCCAAGCAAACATCCCATCACATGGATCCCATCACACGCCACCCAACAGCCGCGTGCATATCTCAATGCCGCCATGTATAAGGTGCGCACAAACGCTCGTCCTTGCACTATCCCACGTAGATCGCAAGCATGCCACCGCGCCCGAAACCACTGACGCCTGAACAGTATCTGGACACCGGCGTCATCCCCATTGTACCCGCCAGCCTCGCAGACCCTTGTAATATCTGCCACCAGCCGTATACCACGCCTCTCGTACTCGCCTGCGGACACATATTCTGTCGCGAGTGCATAGCGCCGTGGGTCAAAGGCGGAGCGAATACCTGCCCGACCTGTCGAGCAGAGCTATTCCATTTCGCCTCGAGTTCCGACGGCGGAGATGAGGAAGACATGAGCGAGCTCTTCGGCTCGTTCGCGCTATCTTCGCGGCCAGAGTACGCCGACGCAGTGGTGCGCGCAGGAAGGCCTGTGGAGGAGGTCCGTGTGAACGAGCGCGCGGTCGCTCGCGATGGTATGCTCATCCCGTTCGGCTGCCGTCTGCTGATCCACGACCTGTGGTACCACACGTTCCACCATCTTTGTTCTCTGCAGACGTTCGGTGGGCGGTCCATTGGCCGGGAGGAGGCTCGGGATTGGGACGTTGAGCTGCTGCGCGGGACGATACGGCGAGCGGTTCCTGATGGCATCAGGCTTGGAGAGGGTAGTTGGGCGGTACTGTATGATGCTGCGAGGCTGATGCTGGACTGGCATGCTATGGGCCGGAGTGGAGAGGCGAGATGGATGGTGGAGGGTGGGGAGGAGTGGCCGCCTGGTGAGGCGTTTGAGGATATGGTTGATGCTCTCATGGAGGCAGGTGCAGCGGAAGGAGGGAGGTAGACAAGGGTATTCTTCATTGTTTCGTCGACTCTGAGATGTCAAATAGTGTGCTACCTCAGGCGTGCTCAGTCTCGCCGTTTCTCGGCCTTGTATGGTGATCTGCTTCTCGAATCACGCCGGCGGCGGCGGTCCCTCGAGCGTGAGCGCGATCGTGGGCGTTCTTCGTCTGGCCTGCGTTCTCTCCGAGGCTCGACATGGCCGTCATGTCGTTTATGGTCGCGGCTTCGTGAACGGTGTCTTCTTCTGTCGCGCTCTCGATCACCGTCCCTCCGCCTGTCACGAGATCGTGAGCGGTCGTGATGTCTGTGCCGGCGATCTCGGTCTTGTGAGCGGCTCCTCGAACGACGTCTCCTCCGCCTCTCACGATCGCCATCGTCTCTGTGTCGCCGCGACCTGTCTTTCTTGTCCTTCCTCTTCGCCCTGTCTCCCTCATCGCCGTCCTTTGCCTTCTCCTCGATTGCCTCCTTGACTTCCGCCTCATGCGCCCGTCCGCCCAGTGGGGTCAAGTTGGCGTTGTTCCGCTCTGGCACTGGCAAGCCCATGGCTGCGAGCATGGCGTCTTCCTCTGCCTCCTTCAGCTTGCGTTTTTCCTCCTTGATGCGCGCAGCCTCGGCTTCTTTGGATTCGGTGTCGCCTTTTGCGTACCAGCTGAGGTCTTTGTTTTGCTGCCAGCGTCCCACTGGTGCCATGAGCGAGTGACCGAGGTAGTTTTCGCGCTGCGCATCGTTCTTGACGTCTTCCCACTTGAACTCGGCGCGGCCGCCTCTGCAGCGATGTTAGTATTGGCACACGTGTGTTTTTTGAATACGACGTACCGGCTGCCCTCTTTGCGCACCGTCTGTAGAAGATCCATGGTGGGGGATTGTGGTGTAAGTGAGTGAAGCACAACAGAGGAAAGTTGCGGCGAGATGACGGAGGTGCCTGCCTCGGTGGAGCTTGGACGCTGAGCTATTTCCCCACAACTGAAAGACAACCCTCTTCAACCACACGATCTGCAAACCGATACGCCAACATGCCGGCTCAAATACCGCCCCTCGATGAACAGGAGTTCTTCGACCCGCAGATGCCGCTGGCGCATCTGGACAGCGAGAACAATGCCATCTTCTTTCTCATGAACTCGCCCTTCTTCGACGGAGAGAGCAATAACATGGCCGTGTATATGAACGCACAAGGGCACCCCAACGGCATGCAGATCCTCGGCGAACGAGCAGCATACGAATCCGAGCTGCGCAAATACAACACTGGTTTGCAATACATAGTGGCCGGCGAGCCGAAGGGCGACGGACAGCCATGGCTTATGCAACGACAGCGCAAGGTCCGCAACGACGACACTGGCAGGGTCGACACAGTGGCGGAGGGAAACTTCTACACACAAGGAACAAGACTGCTCATGGCACCGAGCATGCTGGACGTTGTGCAGGCGCGTCTACTCGCAGTATCGACACGGATGCAGCAAATGGCCGAGCTCTCAAAGAACATGTCGCACTGGTCGCCAGCCACAGGCCACACCTACTACCCACCTTCATACGAGTTTCCAAAGGCGGAAACCAACGCCAGCCGCGTTGGCAGCCCAACGCTCGCCCCAACAGAGCCCGACGCGTCCGCCTCGCAGTCCCAAACAAAAGATGCAGCGACGGCGATCGACTCCTCTGCATCCACCACTACCTTCAACGACGCGTTCTTCCTGCGCTCTCTGGAACTCACGCACCAATACGGAGACGAGTACATGGACGAGAACCCTCTACTCGGCGAGCCCGGCGCCTTCGTCTTCGCAAACTCGAAGAGTCACGTCGACGCGCGGAACAAAGCGCAAGAGCAAGCCAGCCAGGCGTCGCAGGCACAGGCTGTGACGAAGACGGACACGCAGCCCACGAGCGTAGCGCCGTCAGCCGCGGCGACACCAAAGGGCATCGCAACGCCCCTGGCCCTGGACGGGCCAAGCAGAAAGGGCAGTGTCGCAGGCCTTCCCAATGTGGAAAAGAAGAAGAGGAGAAAGAGCAAGGGCCTCGCCAGCCCTACGATGTCGGCCAGACCCGCGTTGTGAGCGCGTTGAGTGCTGGTTTTGCGTGTTTGCAGCTGGTTTTCGACCATTATGATACCCCGTAGTCCTTCTCTGAATCTGTTGACAATCTTTGAAGACTGTCCATGCTCGAGTGCCGCGTCGTACGACGCTGAGTTGTTCTTACCTGGCGACGTGTTTGTTGCGATAGACGTATGCGCGTTCCTTTGATGTCGTGGTGAAGGCAGGTGCACTTTTCTACCCGGCGTCTGCCCCGACGCTTCACCGCCACACGCATCAAACCCGCTTCGAAACACTCGCCACCCAGTGAGCTCACACACATACCTTGCTGGAATGCAGAGTGTCGCTCGATCTGGAATGCAGAGTGGCGCTCGACCTGGAATGCAGAGTGGCGCTCGATCTAGATGGAGACGGCAGACGCAAGGTAGACTAGCTGGTCGACCCTGATCCCTGCGGCTTCGTCAACAATCTCAAGCGGCCGAGCGTCTCTACTTGTTTGCAAAACTCGAAACACCAAAGTTGCCAAAGGCGGCGAAAAAGCTAGTGCGAACTGCGTGGCTGGACTCATTCACAACGTCCTTAAGCAAAACGACAACGTCCTTGAGCAAAACGACAACGTCCTTGAGCAAAACGACAACGTCCTTGAGCAAAACGACAACACACATGGACTTTCAGCGTGCGAAGAGCTACTCGAGACTGTAAAGTCCCTGTTCGATTACACAGCTAGATATATACATTCACACCCCGTCAAACACCCCCGTATTTATAGACTCCAGTAGTAATATTTACATTTACAAGCACTGACTGTACCACGTGTTCTGGACCTTGCACGACAGCCCGCTCACGCACGAAGTGCTGCCGCTGTAGCCCGAACCGCCGCACTGTCCGTAGGCGGCGACGGCGCCGCCGCCGCCGCCGGACGAAGTCTGGGTCGCGGCGGGCTTGGCAATGGTGGTGAGCGTTGTCTTGGGCGCGGCGGTGGTGGTGGCCTTTGCGGTGGTGGTGGCGGCCTTGGTGGTGGTGGTGGCGGCCTTGGTGGTGGTGGCGGCCTTGGTGGTGGTGGTGGCAGCCTTGGTGGAAGCAGCGGCAGCGGATGCGGAGCCGAGTTTCGCGGGGCCGGCGTTGGCCTTGACGTGGGCGGCGACGTCGGCGACGGCGAGCGGGGAGACGTCGTTTGTGATGGCGGAGATGAAGGACGACGAGGAGCCGCCGGTCAGCTTGCCCGAGGCCGAGTCGACGCTGTTGGCGAGACAGGAGCGGCCCAGGGTGGCGGAGCAGGCGGAGCCGCCGTTGACGACAAAAGTGGAGATTTTGGCGCCATTGGCGGTGACGGGCGTGGTGACGCTGGAGAAGACGTTGCCCTCGACGAGGGCCTGGGCGCCCGAGTAGGCGTCAAAGGCGTGGCCCTTCATGTTCTCAAAGTAGTTGTTGACGGCGTGGAAGGTGCCGGTCTTGCCGTCCTCGCCGAGCTTGGGGGCGCGGCCGGACACGTTGTGGAGGTAGTTGCGGTCGAGAGTGACCTTGTCGCCTGTGTGGGGTCAGTGGACTGGATCCAAGGAAGCAGAGGGAAGACTTACCATCGCCGTAGAACATCATGGTCCAGTAGTGGTCGTTGTTGCAGCTAGCCGAGGTGGTGGTGGTGCCGTCAAACTCGTTGTTGGAAATGGTCAGGCGCGAGGCGTCGTAGTGGGAGACGATGAACATGCGGCCGACTTGGGAGAACTTGTTGTGGTCGACCCAGACACCGTCGTTGCCTCCCTGGAAGTCGAGGGCATCGCCACCCCATACGACACCGGGGTTCATGTTGGTGAACTCGACGCCCTGGATGATGACGTTCTTTGCGTTCTTGATCAGAGACAGACCCTTGCCATTCAAGACGCCCTTTCCGCCGACACCCAGAATGGACTTGTTGCTGCCGACCTTGAGAGCAGTAAGCCCGGCAGTGTCGTACTTGATGGAGCTGACGGCAACGATGTCGTCGGTGGCGGCGCAGGAAAGGGTCCCAAGGTAGTACTGGCCTCCGTTGGTCGCACTGCAGCTTTTCCTGTTGCAGCCCGATCCGCTCGAGGTGGTGCCGGTGAAATCAAACTCCTTGGTGATCAGGATGACACGAGCCACATCGTCAGAGAGGTAGGTGGCGAGCTCGGCGGCCGTAGAAGGAGTGACGGCGGCGGCCGATCCACCACCTGTGACACCCTTGGCGAAGCCGTAGGCGGTGCCAACGACGGCCTGGGCCGAGGCGCCGGCAGCAGCCGCAACAAGAGCGGTGATTTCGAAACGCATGTTGACTTTTGTAATGGACAGAACAAGTAGTGATTGAAGGTAAAGAACGTTCACTCAGACCAGCCGAAGATTCCGCTCAAGGTAAGAAACGAGAGAAAATGAGAGAACTCGGAAGGAACCGACAAGGAGTGTGGTGGAGAGAGAGGGTGAGGAGGCGGAAGACGTGGCGAGGAGACGATGTTATAAATCCACAGCACATGGCAGCAAATTGCGGTCCTGGAGCCATCTGAGCCATCTCGGGTGTGTCGCCCAAAGGACGTTGGACAATCTAGACGAGGCTGACATTAGACGGTCTAAACGAGCCTGACTGCCGCAGTGCTAATCTCAGCGGTGTCCTTGCCCCTGGCGAAGAGTTTCAAACAACCGTCCTTTCCTGCTTTAGCATCGACAGCGGGGCAGGCGGGCGGCGCGTGTCATGTCGATGGAGACCCTAGAGGCGGTTCATTTCGAGGATGCGAGCGAGGTGCGAGACGGATGCCGGACGCAATGGTCTACGCACGGCAACTGTCAAGTGTTGTCAAGTGCTGTCAAGCGTTGTCAAGTGCCGTCAAGTGCCGTCAAGTGCCGTCAAGTGCTGTCAAGCGCTGTCAAGCGCTGTCAAGCGTTGTCAAGTCTGCATGTTGCAGCTGCGCGGCGATGTGGAGGCGCAAAAGGCAGGGGCTTCGAACGAGAAGGAAAGGATTCGAAACAGGAAGGAGGGATTCCCAGCGAGAAGGAAAGAGTTTCGAAACAAGAAGGAATCGCGGGAGATTATTCGAGATGCTGGCGGCATTCTTGCCCTGGCCACATCAACGTTCCGTCAATCTGAAACAAATGCAGGATGCATGCATGAATCAAAACACGGACATCAGACCACAACAGGTTGTGCACAAGATGCGATTCACAGCGAACCCCTGTTTTGCGGGACGACAGTCGGTAGCGAAGACGCCCGAGGACCGTCTAGCGTGACGAACCGTCGTTCATGAAGCGCGTGTTGGCACGGTGGCCCATCTTGCAGCTGTTGAGTGCGAAATGGCACGGTGGTCCATCTTGCAGCTGTTGAGTGCGAAATGGCACGGTGGTCCATCTTGCAGCTGTCAAGTGCGCAAAACGACATGGTCCATCTTGCTGCTGTCAAGTGCGCGAAACGACACGGTGATCTATTTTGCTGCTGTCAAGTGCGCAAAACGACATGATGGTCCATCTTGCTGCTGTCGAGTGCGCAAAACGACATGATCTATCTTGCTGCTGTCAAGTGCGCAAAACGACATGATCTATCTTGCGGCTGTCAAGTGCGCAAAACGACATAATGGTCCATCTGGCGGCTCGGCGATGTGAGCGACGTTGATGTGTGTGGAAGACGCAATGTCTCGACACTCGGTCAAGGGCAAGACGTAGAATGTCCTCTTGCTGGGTGCATCAGCAACGTCGTGCGTTGACGAGCGGCGGAGAGACGACGGGACGAGCAAGTGACGATCCAACGTCGTTGATGCAATGGCGCCGGAGATTCCGCGAGATGCAGACATGCGTGACCGCCGGCGGGCGTGTCACGGACTCACAGGGCCAGGACGGTGCAGTGTGGCCAGAAGCCGCTTGGCGTAGGTACTGACGTAGCCCCGCGTGTTCCCGCCTGCCGCATCAATGGCGCGTCAACCACCGGGCAGCTAATGCAGCTTCTGGACAAGCGACGAGGGCTCTGCGACCATGTCCGCGGCGAGTCGACGCCCACCGTGTCGACTCCCCCGCCGCCCGCCATGTCGACTCCGCCGCCGCCCACCACATCGACTCTCCCGCCGCCGCCCGCCACATCGACTCTCCCGCCGCCGCCCGCCACATCGACTCTCCCGCCGCCGCCCGCCATGTCGACTCCCCCGCTCGCGCCCGCGCAGACGCACGCGCTGTTCGACGTGCTCGTGCACCGCCAGATGTACGCCGAGGTCGAGGCGTTCAAGCACCCGACGACCATCGGCCGCTACGGCCACCCGTTCCGCAAGGCCGACGGCGCGCCCACGAGCAGCCCGCTGCTGCAGACAATGCTCAACAAGCTCGCGCTGACCAACCCGGCGCTGCAGCCCCTCGGCCGCGCGTTCTGGCAGGACAAGGTGCAGGCTCTGCTCGCCCGGCTGGCCGAGGCGGAGCTGAGCGAGAGCTACGACCGGGGCGCCATCGGCTCGCGGCGGGCCCTGGCGACGGCGGCGAGCAGCATCGCCGAGTACGTCGCGCGCGGCATGCTGGGAGGATACGCCGTGGAGCAGCAGGCGGCCGACGGGGCGTCGCAGCGCGACTACGACGCGCGCGACGCGGCCGACGTGCTCGCGGCGTGGGACGAGTGCGCGCGCAGCTTGGTGTACGGCGACCTGCTCGACCGCCTGCTGGACACGGTCGCGGCCACGGACCGGCTCGACGAGCACTGCAGCCTCGTCCGCGCGGGCCACGAGTACGTGCTGGTCAACGTCGCCTCGTTCCTCCACCACGTCTTTGTCATGTCGCCCGACGGGCAGTACCTCGTGCGGCTGCTCGAGAACGTCGACCGTCTGCTCCCCTACTACGTCATCAAGCAGACGCTGCGCGTCGGCAACGCGGCGTCGATGGTCAACGCCATGGTCCGTCTGGTGCTGGCCAAGCTGTCCGTCACGGCCATGACCAACTGGATCGGGCTGACCAACAGCGCCAACGACGGCATGAACCTGATGCAGCAGATTATCAGCACGGTGCTGGCCTGGGACACGGCCGAGCTGCAGAAGCGCGCATCCAAGCTCGAGGCGTCGCGAGACGCGCCCGACAAGAAGGTGCTCAGGGCCGTCCGGGCCCACGTCTACGCCTCGCGCGAGCGGCACGACGCTGCCCGCAGCCAGTCGGTGCACGAAGAAAAGTCCATCCTGGCCGTCATCCTCGAGACTGCCGAGCCGCGCCTCGGGCCCGACTCGGTGCGCGACCAGCAGCACGACACGGCCACCGAGTACTACGCCACCTGCCTCTCGATCCGCGACCGCGAGGAGATGACCAAGGTCCTGTGCAAGTCCAGCCCCGACGTCCTCACCGCGGCCGTCCGCGACTGCGTCTCGGCAATGGACCCCGTCATCCGCGCCGTCCACAACGCCGTCGACCTCTCCGCCACCGTCGCCGACGCCGAGAGCTTTGTAGCCGACCTGATCAAGGCCTCGAAGCCCAGGAGCAGGGCCGGCCGCAAGAGCCGCGAGACGTCCAAAGAGCGCGAGGCTGCGGCCGCCGCGGCGGCCGCGGCCGAACCCACGCCTGCGGGCGCCGCCGACGACACGGGCGACGCCCCGACCGTCGAGGACTTTGTCCTTGTGCTCCGCAAGCACGCGCCCAGCGTGCACAGGTTCCTGCACCACGTGACCAAGAACGCGCCAGAGCTCGCACACGACTACCTCGTCTACGCCAAAGCCGCGTTTGGCGAGTTCAGAGCCGACCCGTCGACCCGCCACGGCGGCGCAGGCAACATGACCGCCCCGCTGCACGCGCTCTTTGCAGCCCTCCCGCCCGCCAAGCAAGACGCGCTCAGGCCGCTGCTGACCGAGCACGCCGCCCACCTCGCGGCCCTCAAAGCCGCCTCGCACGCCCGCCTCGCCTCCATCATGGACAGCAGCGGCCCCGGAGCCTCGACCCACGGTCCGGGCACCTATCTCTCGCGCTGGAACGCGCTGCTGGACAGCACCCTGATCTCGCCCGCGCGCGCGGCCGGGCCCGTGCGCCGCGGCTGGGAGCTCAGGGGCGGCAACGGGGCGAAGAGCGCGCTGGACGACAAGACGGCAGCGGTGTGGGATGCCATGCGCGACGGCTGGGTGGGCCTGTGTCGGGCGCTGGAGGTCATGGGGAGCGGGTGATGGCAGGCACTTGGTTCTTGCACCCCCCCCAGAGCACATCTCGAGCGAAGCACGTCTCGAGCGAAGCACATCTCGAGCAGAGCACATCTCGAGCAGAGCACATCTCGAGCAAAGCACATCTCGAGCGAGGCCAGCGTTGCGTCTTGTCGTGAAGAAACATGAGCTGTGGGGGACCGGAGACTCAGACGTCCTCGTTGGTTCGTAATCCATGGAAATAGAAATGGTATCATCCCACTGCACCAACACCGCGCAGCCCGAGCCAAAACTTTACAAGAACAATTACACCCACACCCCCCCGTCCACGCCTTCGACCCTCCACCCCTCACCCCCCTCCCACACCACACCCCGCGCACTCATCGTCCACGCCACAAGCACCAACCGCGCCACAACCGCCACCGTGTCCACGCCAAACGGCAGCTGCGCCTTGAGCAGCCGCTCAGTCAGCTTGCCCAGATCGCGCGCGGGCAGCGCTGCCGGGCCCGAGCCCAGCGTCGCGTTCGACCCGCTGCCGAGACTGCTCCTGCTCGCGGAGCCGTTGAGGGCGGCCGTCTGCGCTGCGCATGCATACGCCGCCACGGCATCCGCGTGCGCGGTCCGCAGCTCGTTCGCCGTCGCAGTCCGCACAGCAGCGCCGACGCGCCGGCCGCCGTCCGGGACAAGCGCGACGAGGCGCTGCAGCAGCGCTGCGTGCCGTCTCACTCTGGCCGTGGCATCGCACAGCGACTCGCCCGAGCCGTTGAGCCGGGCCACGCGCTCGCGCTCGCGGAACAAAAGGCCCGCGTTCTGCGGCTCGTGGAGGGCGCCGAACACGTTGGGCGTGGGAGCGTGGCGCTGCACTTTGTCCACCAGCGCGTCGAGGCGCTGTAGTAGTCGGCCTGGCGCGAGGCCGCCGCCGGCGATGAAGTGCGTTGCTGCCATCAGCGGGGCTGACGCGAGGGGCGTGAGGCCGCCGCTGAAGGGGAGGTGGGCGATTGCGTCGATGAGTGGGTTTGGCGCGCTCGGGGTTGTGCTCGGGGTGAGGGTGTGCAGGGCGAGGGTGCGCGAGCTGGGCAGCGTGGCGAGGAACTGTACCTGTGCGCTTTGCTGGGCTCGTTTGCGCAGTGTCAGAGGCAGGCCGGAGCGCACCGCGTCGAGGGTCTCGTTGGTGATGAGCAGGCTGTTGATTGCCGTGCTGTCCTGGGAGAAGGGTAGCGAGCCGCAGGCCAGGTGCTTGGCGAAGAGTGGCGAGTGGCCAGCGCTGCTCGGCGGCATCTGCGAGACGCTGCGCTTGTGCTGCCGGAGCGACACCAGGTGCCTGCCGTCGTCTGTCCGGGTGACTTGTATCGAGAGACCAAACGCGCCCTTGTCGGCTGACGCAGCGCTGGCTTCACCCTCGCTAGAGGTCCGTGTGATGGCGCTGCCCAGTATCAACGACAGGGCCGCGACTTCTCCACGTGTGAGCCGCACGCCCATGCGGCCATTGTGATACTCTGCTGGTCGTCCATCCTTCATCCACGCATGTTGGGCAGCGGCGCTGCTATCCTGCTCGACCAGTCCGTTGCCCATGGGAACCAGCGCTGGCGCCGGCCTTTTGATGGAGAGACTTCTTCCAAGGCCCCTCTCGATGCTGGACATGTCCAAGCTCTTCCTCTGCGCTGGCGGCGCTACGTCGCGCCCTCCCTTGTAAGACACCGACTGCACCCTCCTGGGGCTGACCGCACCGCGCTTCGCCGCATTGATGAACCTGCCAATTTCCCCAGCGTACGCAGATCGCTCCGTCACTGATCGCGGCCGCAGCTCGCCGGCGAACATTTCGCAGATTGCCTCGAATGAAACCTCCCCGGGTTGCCCATGCGGGTGCGTGAACAGGGATGAGGTCCATAGGCCCTCGTCCCCGGCTTTGATGATTCCTGACAGCGTCGGCACCCATTTCGAATTGCCATCCTTCTGCTTTGGTGCGAACAGCTGTTTCCACGAGCTGGATCTGCGAGGCGCCGGGTCGGATTCGCTGTTGTCGCCGTCGACGGTGTAGATGACGTCCTGCTTGGCCGTCTTGGAGTGCCGGTGCACGAACAGTCGGGTAACGAGAGCCATGGCGATGAGGACAGATGCTCCGATTGCAAAGCTTACTGCGATTATCGTTCGTGCTCGCATCTTGTCGGACGCGGTCTGAGTGCCTTATATGAGTGCTGTTCGTTGTTGTGGGTCGAAATGCTCAGGCGCTAGCCAATCGGAAAGCAGCGTCGTCCCTGCCTGTTACCTGCGCTCGGACACCCCTTCTCGCGGATTGCTCATGCGTCCGCTGACCGCAGGCAGACTCATCGATCGGCGCGAGTCGTGTTTGCCCAAGCGCCGTCGTCATTTGTCAGGATGGCTCTGTCTCGTGACACGCGAGAAGTACACATCCTGCAGTACAAGTCAGACTGCCAGGATTGCTTTGTCAACCGTCGCTGACATTGCTCGATGACTGTCATGCGCAGGAACGCTCTCTGTGAACTGCGCACAGGGCGTCCGGAGTCTCGGTCAACAACATTGACGATGAGATGCGCCCGCTTATTAGGATCTTCCCGCTGTTCCCACCTACTCCAGACTTTGCCATGTCGTGTCCGAAATTCAATCTTGCGTCTTGAGTGTGAGCGAGTGTGAGATATGCCGACAGACACAGGCGAACGCTACGAGCTCCGGACGAATCAGACCATGAGATTCGAAAACGAAAACACAGAAGCCCTTCGTATCTCGAGCGGGACAGCACGTCAGGTTCGACAACGTCTCCCAGCGTCGAGCAATGGTGTCAGCTCGGCGGCTCTGCAGGGTCCAGTGAACGACCGAGACCCAACAGGACGGTTGCGGGAACTCGGAAAGCGCCGGTCACGAGGTAGGTCATTGCTCGTTCAGTCGACACTGACATCATGTCAACTCCCGAGCAGGGCCTTGTGTGGTCGGAGGGTTGTTGAAAGGTCGGCGCCCGGCATCCGCGAAGCTCCGCAAGCCGAACGAATCCAAAGCCCGCGCTGAGCACACACGGTCCTATGGTCCTGCTCAAGTCTCGACATGTCGTGATGCATGTGATCCGATGAGTTCCTGCACTGTGAGCAATGTCCGTTGCGCCGCGATGATGGCCGTCGGGTGCTCGAAAACAAGGACAATCATCGTGCGTGTTGCGGTCATGATGAGACACCGCCGGATCCATACCGAGTAGGCTTCCGGTGCGAATCTGTCCTGTTGCGCCATGTCCATTGCGCTGGGGATACGGGCTGCTGCTGCACCTACAGCGCTGACCCAGTAGAGCACGCCGGACATGTTTCCCCACACATTGCTAGTGTCTGCTCGCTTGAGAGTCTCGTATAAAGTCTCGGTGAGATGAGGCTTGACGAATTGCTGGTCACTGTCCCATGTACTGAATGGGCTTGATGACCCGAGGAGGTTGGTGTAATTCGGATCCGCGGCGACGGAGAAGGGGACGCCCATCGCAATGGCAGTCGTGTATATTATACCTGTTATGCGACATGCTTCATACACCCAGTCTCCCGAGATGGAGACACCCGGCGTGTGAGCCGAAGGTGCTTGGGCCAGGCGCGTTCGGATGGCGCAGACCATGGCTTCGTAGGCGTCGTCTGGGGGACTCGATCGTTCCGTGTCTACAGCATCACTGTCGCGAACCTGATTGAGTCTTGTATTGCGTGCCACGAAAATACTTGTGAGGTCTCTCACGTCGGAGAGGATGTCCAAAGTAGACATCGAGCATCGTGCATCGTCCGATATGGTAAGAAAGGTGCTTCTGGGGCAGTACAGCGGCGACTCCGGCAAGGCTGCCTCAGCGCTGACCGGAGCGGAGTTTGCCGGCAACTTCTCCCGAAGCGCTTGCAGTATTTCGGCTTCGCAGAAGATGTTGCAATGGTAGCAACAGCTGGCCACAGTCAGTTGCGCCGTCTTTCTGACACAATGGCTCACTTACACAAGAGTCACTTCAGCCAAAGCTCTGTTGTGGACGAAGGTGCCCAGCCCTCCACGTCGTGCGATGAGCGCTGCAACACCTCTCTCGTGAACCCTCAGTGCTTGCTCGTTACAAGCCCACATCTCTCCGGCGAACAGATGCAGGATGACGATAAGCGTAGCATCGTCCAACTGCGTGGCGGGGTTGGCAAAGCGTTCCCTGATCATCCCAATGGTTTCAGTCTTGACCATAGCCGTTGTAGTGCTGTCACCGGAACACTTGTTTTGCATGTCAAGCCAGGTCGATGCCAACACGGTAGAGCTCAAGATGATGTGCGGATGTGACAGCATCAGTGGCAGCCATTTCTTCATTGTCGAGTCAGAAGCGAACGCTCGCATACCTGGACGCATCAGAACCTGTATGCAGAGCTGTAGCTCGAGACTCACAATTTCGCGACAAGAACAACGCATCTAAACGTGGGTTGCGGAATTGTGGCAGTACGTCAAATGGATCATGAGATCCGCCGACATTGTAGAAACTCGCAAGGCCGACAACGAGACTTCGAAGCTGGCGTTCCTCGTGTCTTTCGCTCTCCTCATAATCGATGACACCCTTGTCAGCCATGTCTCGCGTCGGGTTCCGATATCGAGGAAAGTAGCCTGTAGTCTCATTTGCCGTAAGCTGCCAGCTTGAGCTACCAGTGCCAAGGAGGGAGCTCGAGTCTGAGTCTGATGCGAAGGAGCCTGAGCCCATTCGTAGCGTTTCGCGTTGCGACTGATCAAACCCCAGTCCCTGGGATACTGTCCACGACTGCGTGGGACCTTGGTCTTTCGAACGCGCTGGTATAGACGCTGTTCGCTCAGAGGCAGTTGCTTTGCGCACAATGCCCAATCCAGCAGGATCTGACCTAGCATCGTCTTTGTGATCGCCCGTTTTCTTCTTCTTATCCTCCTCATGCCTCCAATGTATCATCGCCTGGGAGCGCACACTCCTCTTAGCATCTTCATCTTTGAACTGCGAAGGATCGGTCGCAATAACGAACTGAAGCTGGGGCGGCCCTTCACGCTTTACTCTCCTTCTCTTTAGCCTCTCTTTGGACTGATTGGTCGCATCGGAAGACGTTTGAGATACTGCGAGCGGTTAGAGAGGTTCGACGATCGGGCCTATTGCCATGTGTACCTTCAGCCGCAGCCCTGGAACTCTCCAAAGCCATAGTGCTGGCGCTTGTGGGGGGAGAAGGCCCGATAAATGGCACAAATGTAGCCAACGACAGCTATGTATGAGACACAGTCGCCGCCTCTTGCGTGAACAGGGCGCATGTTTGCTGCGCGCATCAGGCATCGGGTGAAGGCATCATTCGCCAGGGGTCGCCTACGCTCCGCGGCTGATTCGCTTACACATGCGTGCGCAAGTGGGTCTTCGTTTGCTGTCGGAACATCATCTATCTGGCGTGCAACATCATCAAAAACAGCGAGTTCACACGGTCTTCTCTGAAGGACCAGTGGCATGTTTGTGGAGGGTTGATTAAAAGAGATTCAGACTAGTACGGCATGCCCCTCGGCAAGGGCGTGCCTTTCCGCGGGGAGATCCGCTCTTCGCTTCACGAGTCATTCACCTCTTCTGCTCGACCATTATCTCGATATCAGTCTTTAACATTAATCCGTTGAATCACCTCTAAGCAATCTACATCATCAAAATTAACAGTCACAGGCGTCCTGGTTGTCCAGCGAAGAAGTAGTTGCCAAAAGTCGCCAAATCAGTTCTGACAAGCTCAGCGCAGGCCGCAAGAAGACCTACGGCTTCGCGCTTTGGTTTATCCGCATACTCGAGACCGTCGTCAATTTGAGATCGATACGAGGTATTGACAGCGTTTGGTCGGTATATCCCGGTCTCGAAGTCGCAAGGCAGTACTGCACCCTGCCTCCGGAGCTTCTCGTTCACGCCCGCCCAGTGATCGAAGTCGATGAGAGGGCATCGATCTCTGTCATCCTCAATGAACACTCTCTGCCCTCGAACCAACGAACAAACCCCATGCGGCGAGACTCCATTTCGGTGCATCCATATTCGGATCTCAGGATCGACATAAGGGCCCCGGAAAGCCTGTCGCAGCACTTGGTGCTGCCTCTCGAAAGGTAGTCCATAGAAGCCTCTGTACATCTTGCCAGCAAGCTCGCCAGAATCAATCCCAGGCGTCCTAAGGACAGGCAGGTCCAGCGTCTCCGCAAGCTGCTTATGCAGTTGATGGACAGTCACCCGCGGCACTTCTCCATCTGCGAGATTCATGGTGTGGTATTCAATCGATAGATCTGTGATTGTTGGATGACATATCCTCATTGAGACTACGTGGTGTGCAGTTACAACGCAACATCTGTGTTGGCGACAAACAGGACTGTACTCCCTCTCCCACGTGTCCTGTGAGTGTCATGAGCGACACGCGCCTCCATGTTTGCACGTAACAACGTCTCATTCATTTGATCCGTCGCGTTGCGAATGTTCATATGCTAAAACTGGGTATCGCATTCAGCCATTGGTTATCTATGACATGCCCAATGAGTAAAGTGCTCCGAACACAAACGGCCTATACTCTCGGCGTCCCCTTGTCGAAATTCAATAATCGTAAGTCTACTTCATACTAAGATCTCATTTGCAGACCCAAAACTCCACCGCAGCTGACCCTCCACCGTTACGATGTCGCAGGCAGACGAGGCAACGGTTTGTCAGTTCCAGCCACGCCTACATTAGCTGATTCCTTACCTTCAAGCATCGACTCAGAACCCCCAACAGCCATCATGCTTCCTCTGTCTTTGTGACGGCGGTCAAGGAAGGATGTCCTGCCCATGCTCCTCCACTCAGCCTTCTTCAGCTCACATCTAACTCTTGCCTTAAGATCCGCATACTCATCCTGCTCCAACAGCCACCTCACCTCGTCAGCAAGCGCGTGCGTACCCGACATGACCTGCTCAAGTATGAACCACAATACAGCATCACCAAACGGCGTGTCCCTCAGCGTCTCTTCGTAGCCGCACCAAATGAGCTCAATATCCTCATCCGTGATGAAGAAGCGCGGACTACCCATGAAGTCCCGCACCACAAGCTTCTCCAGATGTTTGGCATCCGCATTCAGGTAGAAGAAGCGACATGCCAGGGAAGTGGCGATACCTTCCTTGACGCTGGGCGGCGTGCGAAGCTCACCAGTAGGTCGCACGGAGCCGTGTCGACTCCAGCGGCGCATGTAGCGGATGACGCGGATGATACCATCCTTGGACGCGTGCGTTGGAGGCACTCGGATGGTGTTGCTATACAGAAGAGAGTTGACGGTATTTTCGCTACAGAAGTACCTGAGCATGTCGATGGATACGGCTCTGACGTATACTTCGCCAGTATCCCCGTTCACAATGTCGATCTTGGGGCTTTCGAGTAAACTCCGAAGAAATTGCACGCTAGATGTCTTCGCATTGCCGTACATTGACTTGCCAGGGTCTGCGACAACAGTGATCTCTGCGCGCTTTGAGGTGGAGGATGACCTGGTCCTGGCCAATGTGGGACGTTTGCTGTAGAGAGGGTCAGAGCTGGAGCAGGCCGCAGTTGAAGCGTCTGACACGACGGAATTGTCGACACTAGAGACTGATCTCTCTGAGCCACCCGATTTTGGAGCCGTCACTGTGTTCTCCTTGGGTGAGGCAGGCTCTGCGCTCATCGAGCTAGTGCTCTCACGACCATCCTTCATGGTCCTTTCAAAGGTCTTCCACAGCTCCAAGACATCAAGATCCATAGCTTGAGAACCAGTCACAAGATTCCCGTTGTATAGGCAGGTATTGCCCACATCATTAGCAGTCATTCCGATCTGGTCTCCGCTAACAGCCGAAGTGACAGAGAGAGCAAAGTAACTGTCGCTGGCGTGTGTTCCAGGCGTGCCATGTACGAGGAACCCATGAGGCGTGTGTGTGGGTCCCTGTGGAATTCGCGGCGGACTGTGTGAGTAGTCTCGCAACACAGCCGGTCTGCTGTCTAGCGGTCGGCCACGCGTGCGGCAGTAGTCCACAAAGCTCCACATCAAGGGTGTCCAAATTCTGTTTTCAGTAAGACTGTGGACATCGAAAGGCGCAGAATCGTTCATCTTTGTGTCATGGTACTGTGAATGCGTGCGACCGATCGTCGCAATCACATTTGGCGCACTTGACTGTGAGCTGTGAAACCGACTTATTTACACTACGTCGATTGCAATGGCCAGATTCCGTATCGAACGATGCCTAAAAGCTGGCCCAAACACGTTTCAGAAAGCTCTTCTGCTGAATAGATTCGATGTTCTCATCCTTCGCTTCCAGGTCCTTCCGCATACCTGAATTGAGGTCCACCTCAAGACTCCTCCACCACCTAGTCTTTTTCCAGAACTTGTAGACGAAGAAGATGATGCCAAACAGCGGCAGGAGAATATAAGCATCGACGAATGTACCAGCGTCGAATGGTGACAGCGTAGTCCAGCCCTGAACAAATGCAAGGAAGACGTTTGCGAAGAGACCGAAGTAGGCATTCCATGGATGTAGCGCAGCTCTGAAGGGGAGCTGATCGGGGAATCGGCCTTGGTCCTTCCATGCTTGACGGAATCGGATGTGCGTGAGCGAAATACCTGCCCAGACCAAAAAAGTCGATACCCCACTCAAGTTAATGATGTAAGAATACGCCTTACCACCGCCCGTGGAGATGTTCATCATACTCAGGACACCGAACAAGTTGGTGAGGATGATGGCGTATACGGGCACTCCGCGGCTGTTGGTCCAGCCCAAGAATGCTGGCGCACCGCCGTCTTTCGCCATAAATAAGATTGTACGGGAACCAATGTAGATCGAACTGTTGGCTGCGGATATGACTGTGATGAAGATGAAGGCGTTGATGAGATGCACACCCCCTTCCCAGCCAGCGTTTTGGATCGCAATAGTCATTGGACTCTTCAGGGCGCGACTCTCGCCATTGATCAAGCCATCTGCGTTTGCTGGGCAGGTGAGACCGAAGAAGAAGGCAACACCCATGTAGACGAACAAGATGCGCCAGATGACCTGTCTGATGGCTAGTGGGACTGCAACACTTGGGTTTTTTGTCTCGGTAGCTGCAACCGCGACAGCCTCCACGCCAACGTAGAAGGTCGAAGCGAAGACGAAGACCTGTGCGACTCCTCTAAATCCATTGGTGAATGCTCCTGGGTCTCGCCAATACCGAAAGCCAAGCGCTTCGTCTTGTCCAATCAGTCCACCAGAAGCGTAGATGATTGCGAAGATGAAGTAGGCACAGAGACCGAACAGCTTGACCAAAGCTAGCCAGAACTCAGCTTCGCCGAAAGACTCGACTCCGATCATTTGGAAGCCCAGGAACGCAAACCAAAAGATGAGGAAGTATCCCCACAACGGCACCTTGTCGCTCCAAAATACTAAAAGCGAGGAGATAACATTGTACTCGTTGGCAAGCACGCATCCCCAGACTAGCCAATAGTTCCAGCCCATTGCGACTCCGAAAGCTTCGTCCACAAAGCGTTTCGAGAGGGTGATGAAGGCGCCACCGGTTGGATAGAGTGTCGTCATCTCGCCCAAGGACTGCGTGATGCTCCATGCAATGATACCGATGATACCGAAGCCAATGATGAGGGAAGCAGGACCTCCATTCGAGAGCGCACCACCAGTGCCGACTAAGATACCAGGACCGATAATTCCCGCCAGAGCCATCATCGAAAGATGTCGAGTCTTCAAGCCGCGCTTCACTCCCAGCTCAGGGTCGATGCGCTCAAAATCTTCATCATGCCCGTGATCGACTGTTGGTGATATATGCCCTCCAGGGTTCTTCGGCGAGTCGAAGAGCGCCATTTTGAGGTTTGCGATGCGTTGTGAGAGGTTTCTAAGAAATCATAATGGATCCCACTGTGATTATACCGTCTCGAGTATTATCACCTTGGCAGCTGCGGGTCTAAAGTGCTCGGCAGTTCTAGTCCTGTGGTGGCTACTGCAAACGTAGGGTTGACCAAAGGCATGGTCTACCGATGACGCGATTCAGCCGCCTGAAGTCGTGATGTCGTGAAGCGACGAGGGCGTACATATGTAGCGCGCACATCGGACTACCTAAATCGCTGGGCATGGAGTCTCAAATATGAAAGGCCTGTACAAGAGCACAACATCGTTATGGTGAGTAATTGTGGACTGCTAATGCCCCGTGGGGGTGATAACGAGCGGCGCCGAACGTGGGACTAGTTTCGCCTGTCGCGTCATCGCGAATCCTTCACGGAAGTTCATGTGCATCCCCACGGGCAACCGCGACCGGACATCGTCTCATCGCATCAGCTCTTTTACAAGACATTCTGTTGAACATCTCTCTTTCTTGCCTGGAAGATCTCCGCAATTTCCACAATTTCCTGACTCCATGTCTGCAGTTGGCCGTAAGAATGGAGAGTAAACTAATTCGTCTAAACGTAGATCATAGTAAAGGTGGTACAAAAACCCAGTAATCTCCAGCTACTGCAGTTGAACTGAGCCTGTCAGCTCTTCTTGGAGCTGGTCAACAGCTCTGCTCCAGCGCTCGCCTAGTGCTTGCGGGCAATCTCCATACGCTTCTTCAGCCTGTAGGCGACGGCTCGCTTCCTCGCAGCAGCACCTTGGGTAAAGGCAACGCTGCCACCGAAGGGACCAGCAGCAGCACCGTTGCGGACCCTCATGACGCAGACGTTGGGGGTTCCGGCAACGGTAGCGTCACAAGTCATACCTGCAGGCATCTGAACCTTCATCTCAAACTCGGTGCTGGTGGCCAGAGAGATACCCTGGACGCCGAGGCCGGGCACGTCCTGAACAACAGTCGCAGGCTGCATCGCAGCTTCGTCGGTCTAATGCTCGTTAGTATTGGAAATTATGGGTGGAGAATCAACGACTTACTCCTCCACTGGTGCCATCGACATCGGCAGTGAACGGACCGGCGCCATCCTGGTTGATCTGACGAAGAGTCATGGTGACTGTGCCATCGGTTGCGCAAGTGGGCAGACCACTGCTTGCGCCCGCGCCATTAGCAGCAGCAACACGAGCCTCTGGTGGGCCCTCAGCCTTGGTGCCACCTCCACCGAGGAGACCCGCGATACCAGTTGCACCAGCGGCACCTCCAGCACCACCAGCACCTCCACCGAGGAGACCTGCGATGCCACTTGCACCAGCGGCACCAGCGGCACCAGCGGCACCTCCAGCACCTCCAGCACCACCAGCACCTCCACCGAGGAGACCTGCGATACCACCTGCACCAGCGGCACCAGCGGCACCTCCAGCACCACCAGCACCTCCACCGAGGAGACCTGCGATGCCACTTGCACCAGCGGCGCCTCCAGCACCACCAGCACCTCCGCCTCCGAAAAGGCCACTCAAGAGCTGGCGCCTACGAGCACCAGCACCGGCACCACCGCGACCCTGGGCGTTCTGGGGTATGTCGTCCTCGACGCCCACGGCGCCAGAAGCACCCTGGTTGGTTGGCGGAGCAACTCCTGTAGCAGCCCCCATGAAAGCCGCGACCATGACGGATGCATCAACGGGACCATTGCCTTGGGTACGTCCTAGAGGTGTTGCCTTTCCACTGGCGATCTCGCCATCACGAATGATTGCGGTGTCTGCCTGGGATCCGCAGCCGCTTAGAGAAGTCAGTTTTGTCATCGAGTCATCGAGCATCAGCTACATACTTGGAAGAGCAGTCGCGAGGCGTGCCGTCAGCCACTGTGAGACCGGGCATGCTCACACCGTTGGCTCCCTGGATCTCAGTGACGACACCGTGGGCCGAGACCGAGGCTGCCAGAGCGGCGACAAAAGCGAGCTGTGAGATATACATGATTGCTGATTACGTGATCGAGCTCAACTCGAATTGGTAGACAGGAAGGAAGTACAGGAATAGGATTACGAGAAAGCACCAGGCTGAAGAAGGAGGTAAGAAAAGAGGAAGTAGTTGCTTGCTGATGATCAATGGCCAGCCGCCGACTACGCATACTCTTATACCTGCCTAAGAGCCTCACCAACGCCTACCGAGATCTCGCGACGATTACACCTGCCGACCAATGACTTCACGACTCCACTCGAGAAGCACAAGACAAGCCTCGTCTTCCCTGTCTTCCACAGCGGCACATCAAGATCACCATGGCCATAAAGCAGAACCTGCTTCAGAAGCGCCAATTCGATTTTCTTTCTTAGAAGCTAAATGTGCTTGGCTACAGCAAAGCGTTTCCCTGCTCGCTTGGCTAGGGTAGTTGATGACTTTCGCAACTCCTGACAGGTGCCGACGTCCGACACAAGGTTTCATTTCGTGCCTGGCGGATAAGTCTGAAGGCGCCAAGGCATATCCGATCAATGCTCGTTGCCGGAACATAGAGCACTCCCTTGCCACAGCGGCTGATGTGGTACCGGAGAATAGGAGCGCACTGCACGAATATCATTTCTTGCATTTACCACGCAAAGTCGCATTCCATCGAGCGAACTTTGACTTCGAGCAATGAACGAGCATCGCTTTTACTGAATTGCTCTATCTACATTGATGTACGGGCTTTCCAATAACAGCGACAGCGACAGCGCCACACACCCATCACTCAAACTCTACCCAGCGCGCATTAAGCTGTCAGATCTGCCACAGACAAGTTCAGATAAGCAAAACGGCCAAGGACACCTGCCCCTACCACGGTCAATTTTCCGCATGTCATTTTTCCGTATGATTGCCATGTTTAAGTTTTCAATTTCAGCGTTCCAGGATATTGGGGTCGGTTTTTCTTAGTCCGCAGCGGATGCAGTGTTGCAGCCTCGTCGCCCTAGTGTTTCAGCAAACACCTACCAGGTTCTGCATCCCCGGTTACACGGGACTTTTGACGATCTCAAACATTTCATGCGCAAGATCTGAGGTTTTGAATGAGGTTTGCGTGCCTGTGCTCCTCGAAACCGCGGCAAATATAATTCCCGAGTTAGGCTCGCGAGGGACTGTGGCTTTGCTGAGTGAGTGGTGGAGGTGGAGAAGGCTTGGAGCAATAAGCGGGCAACGCGGGCACTTGGACTGCATCACAATTTCACCTCTGTGGAAGCCTTGGAGCGAATCTTGCCAGCACAGGTCTCGACTCACGCGATGGTTGCCGCCTATCCGAAGGGTGATCCGGCAGAGCTTCGACCGCAACAACAGGCTAGTTGCAATGCAACTGCGAGACAGGGTTCTCGTCACGATTACTCTCTTTCAGGACATCACAATTGAACAGTCGTCAGGTGGATTGAATAGGGTGGGACTCAAATATATTCTTAGCCAGGCATGCCTTTATTTCAAGCGAGGAAGGCCGTGAAGGGTTCCACGGTGACATAAGACCAAAGCTGGCAGTGATCCCGCTGTAGGCATCATGAGGGGACTACAGGCTCATTGTCACACGTTAGGTACACGAACGCTCCTCACTTCTTCGTCACGCCACGCGCTACGATCCGCCTCCATCGGGAGGTAAGCACCTCGTATACGCTTAGAGACAATATCGATGTGGACAAAAACTGGAGCAAGATATCGTATTGACAAGGGTCGCTGTGCTGCGTCAGCAGCTCGTGCAACCTTAAATGGCCACCGCCTCTCAACCTCGCCTTTCAGACGGCGGGAAGACTCCTTGATCGCTATAGAGGGATTCGTAAAGCTATAGTCTAGCTGATTGTGGAAATTGTTAGGAGGAATCGTTGCATCCCAGTTTTCGTGCAGAGACGGATGAGCGTACCGACGAGAGCATCAACATTATCGGAGCATGAGCAATGGATTGACTACAAAAGGTCGGTCCGTTGCTTTCATATCTTTATCACAGTATCTCGGACTAATATTTTCTCACTTCACAAACAATCGCCTCATTACCACCACCAATATCAAAATCTGACTCGACACCATGCACCTTTCCACCCTTCTTAGTCTGGCCACTGCAGCTGCAGCTACGCCCCTCGCTGCCCGTCAGGCGACTAATCTCGCCGATCTGGCACCCTGGAAGATCACCAGCCTCTTCTCCTACAAGCCATCCTCGCAACCCGGGCCGGACAAGAACTCCCGCATCTCGCTGCGCATCACCGATCCAAACACCATAAAGTTAATGCGGGCTTCGCGCTTCGGCTTCGGTGTGTTTCAGACTCTGACGAGCGACTGCACCATCTCTTGGGTCTATCTTGAGGATGTGCCGCCATTCGGCGAGGAAGTGTTGTGCGTCGCTACGGGCGATGGGGCGAGTGCATATGGGAACTTCAGTGTTGTGCTGCAGCCTGGCGCGGGAGATGAGAACGTGCTAGATTTCAAGATCAAGTTAGTGGAGAGGCGCGAGGTCTCGATCCTAAATCACTACTTCTACCGTCAGTTCGAGGGTGGAATGAGCTTCAAGGCTGGAGAGAACTACCAAGGGAGCTGCAGCGATGCTGGTGTTTGCGCTGGGCAGTTAGCGAGCGAGGCTGAGATACAACAAACGGTCACGGAGAGTGTTGGTAGCTGTGAGGAGTACGGTGGATGTGCTTAAACCACAGAGGTGTGGCGCGGTCATGGACAAGGATCACCGATCAGGACCAGTATGTATTTATAGACAACCTCTTTCGGAGTTCATTAACCATTCTTTATACTCTACCTTCATGGAATCTTCACTCAAATGATGACAAACTTCTCTCGTACAAATATCACGCGTAAGCGAGACAGCCGCCACCCTGCCTTCTTCGAACAGAAGACCAAGGGCTGTAGCGGCGAAGTGTCTATCGACGATCTACGCCGCGCGTGTGGGGACGACACAGCAGAATTCTGCAAGCTCCTCAAAGCGATAACCGGAAACGCTGGTCAAGTCGAAGGGACACGCCCTTACTGGAATGGTCTCTGTCATGGTGTTGAGGCATTGGTCCGTCAGCTTGGTTGTCCGTGTTCTTCATACCCTTCTCTGCCGGCTTTAGGCTATAGACTCTCGAAAAGTTGGAAGTCTATCAATGATTGTCCGCGAGTGTCCCGCCGCCCGATGAACAATTTGCAGAAAATCAATTTTTTTGGTGCGGCCGACTTCTCCAGGTACTGAGGGCCCTGGATACGTCAGTGTACGCAAGTCAGAGAAATTACATATCGGGAGCCGGGAATGCTGTCCCTGCTGAAAGTAGGAAGCGCAAAAGTCTGAAACTATCCTTCTCCATAATAGCGGTGCAGTCAGATGCCTAAAGTCCAGGGGTGTGTAATGCGCCTATGTCGTATTGCAGAATTGGCATTCAATAGTTCTGCGGACGATAATAGTTCATAGAGAAATATGTTGATCGTTCCGCCCGGAGGAAGTTCGAGTATTGGCAGCACCGAGGTAGGTGTTGAACTGAGGGCGCTGGCGCTGCGGCTGTTCGGGGGGAACGGTAGACGTTGATCATGAGCAGAGCTGAGCTAGTGCTGTCCCACAGAGCAGCCAGGGACATCGATTCTACTTGGATGCAAGCGCAGAGGAACCAAAATATTGCGATGACACGGAACGCCCGGCCTCGTTTGTCAGTGATTGATATTGTTCGTCTTCTTCATGACAGAGTCATGATGTTCGTCTGCAAGTGGTTCAAATACCCTCCTGCATGGCCTCGAGCTCATGCACCAATCCAAGAAACTCCAAAGACCAAGCCCAGTGACTGAGCGAAAGTACTTGTACAAGACGCTCAGGTAGACGCAAGATAGCAGAAAGACTAGTAAATCGTTGACCAAAGCCAACTCATAGCGAGAAATCCACCCATATATGTAAGATGAGGCATTCGTTTCGTGTATCAGCAACGATACAGCCAATGGAATTATCCGGTAGAATTGATCTACTGGGCAGCAGGCTGATCACTCTGAGCACCGCCACGAGGCCCGCCACGACCGCCACGGAAGCCGAAGCCTCCACGTCCGCGACCACGGCCCCTGCCGCGACCACGGTAGCCGCCACGGAAGCCATCAACACTACCTTGGCCGAAGGTCTCCATATTCTTGTTTCGCTCAGCTGCGCGGAACTCCTGACCCCGGCGGCCGGCAGCCTCCTCTCGATCCTTTAACTCGGAAGAGATATTGTCAAAGAAGCTGGAACTCTTGTTGTAAGAAGTAGTAGGGATGACGACCTCCTCTGAAGCTTCAGCAGTACCAGTCTCTCCGTTTGCAGTTGCATCGATAGTCGACGGCGCGGTTTCGCCAAGCGGTGATCCTGAGGCGATAGCTTCCTTCACCATGTCCTGCTTGTTGTACTTGGCGTTCGCGGCATCGAAGTCATAGTCTGTAGTGGGCACGTCCATCTTTGGCTGCTGCTGAGGCTGCTGCTGGTGATGAGAACCGCCGCGTCCACCACGACCGCCTCGGCCACCTCGGCCACCGAATCCAGCGCCCTGTCCAGGGTTTCGTGGTTGACGAGCATGCTGCTCACGCTCACGCATACCTTCCACCTTCTGTGCGAGGTTGTTCATAGGGTCAGATGCCGGTGCCTGAGCCTGACCACGGTTCTGCAAGTGGAGTTTGGCCATTGCCTCGGCCACGGCAGCGGTAGCCAACTGAGTGGCGTTGTTCTGCTGGTTAGTAGCCTGCTGAGCCTGCTTCACGGGGGTATGGGCCTGCTGTTGTGCTCGGGAGGCTGACTTCTTCACATTCGGACTGGCGATAGGCACGGCCGGGATGATACGCCCACCCTTGGGTCCACCTGGCGTCTTCTGCGCACCACCCTGCTGAGAGGGCTGGGTGTGCGGCGGTGCCAGAGCGGCTGCGACGTCAGGCTTGGACTCGACGGGTGGTGGGGGAGCTTGCTTAGTGGCAGCTGCGGGTGCAGGGGCTTTTCCAGCCTGCTTTGCGTCCGCCTTGGGCTCTGCGGGTTTGGCTGAACCGTCAGCCTCGGCGACGCTAGGCTGGGCAGGGGATTGCTCCTCCTTCGAGGGCGCACCACCTGGCGCACCGTCATGAGGGCCTGTTGGAGGCTGGTTCTGATTCTGGAACCCAGGAGGACCAATGGGCATGTTTGGGGGGAAAGGGCCATGAGGGCCGTTAAAGCCTTGGCCAGGAGGGAACCAGCCTGGCGGAGGCGGTCCGTAAGGTGGCATACCAAAGCCGCCAGGGCCTCCAGGGAACGGCCCCGGACCGCCAGGGAAACCACCCTGGGGAGGGAAGCCTCTCCCATATGGACCTGGGCCACCAGGGCCGAAGGGAAGGTAGCCGCCAGGGGGGAACTGCCCTTGCTGTGGGAAATTCGGCGGCCCTTGTTGCTGGCGCTGGTCTTGTGGCGCGTCCTGACGCGACTGGCCTTGCTGTACCTGTTGCGCACTCGAAGTTAGCCAGGTGTCTCTGTGGAGGCTGAACAATAGGTGGCTTGTGTTGAGGTACTCAGAAGGAAGGCAACGGAAGATATCCACACGGTTTTGCGCTCTCGGTGGTTTAAATGATTTACATCCGAAAATTTTACATCACTGGACCAGAAGGTGGGAAGAGGGTAGTGTAGACTTACTCCGATAATGGCGGGGTCCTGGGGCATGGCAGGAGGGGCCTTCTCTTTGATCTGCTCTTCGATGCGCAGATCCTTCACATCGCTTCCTCTGAACACGATCTGCTCGTAGATGACATCTGAGGGCGGGTATTCGTCCTTGCCGCCCTTGCGGCCCTCGGTACCGAAAGAGCGCACATTGTCTAACGAGACTGTGGAGGCTTCTGAGTTAATCTCAACGAGTGTACCGACATAGCTGCGACGCGTCAGTGTGTGCGCCCAATGGCTCCTCAATGGACGCTTACTAACCGGATATCGCTCTTGGAGATGAGCGATATGCGAGAACTACGCGTGGCACGTCAGCGGGAGCTCCAGCGTGATGGAACCAGCTGCGACTGACCCGATGAACTCGGACATGGCGGCGGACTGGGGTATCAAAACACGTGTAAGAGATGAACTGAAGCTCAATAGAAGAAGGAGAAGTAAGGGAAGTCGTACGGTAGTCGTGAAGAAGTGATGTTAGGGTGGCTGTGGTGTGAAAGGGAAGAGCTTGTGTGAGAAGAGAAGGAGCGATCGTGGGGCTGGTAATAGAGGGTCTTGGCGGTTTCCATTAGCGAGCTCTGAGCTTTGGCACCGCTGTGACCTTTACCCCACACCTCATGCACTGCCCAAGCTGTTCGCAATGAGTGCTGCTGGAGCTGAAGCTTGCGCTTCTGATGGCATAAATGACGTATACGAGGCGCTCGAGAGCTACAACTGGGATGACGATGTCGAGTTCCAAGCTGGTCTCAGTGCCATCCTCGGCAGCAACAGCTCGCCTGAGCAAGCCGCCGAGCTAGCCTTGCGAGCGCGTTGCTTCTACTATGCCAGGTACGTAGTTCTTCGGATTTTAGGCACACTATGCTGATTGTGCACAGAAAGTTCAGTACCACTGTTGATTTCGAGGGATACAAAGCGTACCGTGACGCACGTGGTCGACCCCCACCTCAAACGAACGGCGTGCAGCCGCTCGACTTCAGCGAGTCTACCTTCGATGCACCGAGTAGCGCAATGCCAGCGCCTACGAACCCAAGTGAACCTCCTGCGCCGTACCCCACCTCATTCGCGCATATTGTAGAGCTCATCACGACCGGACAGCCGATCCCGGGCATTAAGGAGATACCGAACACTGTCTTGGAAGGGCAGGGCACACAGGCTGAGAAGCCGAAGAGGAAGAAGCCTTGGGAGAAGGACGAGCTTGCAGTAGCAGCAGAAGGCGCATCATCAGCTTGATGAGAGCCGTATGAGATAACAGCAATGCATATCACCATGATACCCAGTGGACCGCCGTCACTTAGAGCTTGTCTGGACAAGCTCGTATCGTGTACAGATTAACAAAACTATATAAGCTCTCTGCAAGATCTGCTAAGATCCACGTACCAAGAATGTCGAAACATTGGGTATATAGCAAGACCGGAAACCATGCACCAAACGCCAATTTACAAAACGGCCTCGAGAATTCTTTCCTTCAGATTCTTGACTTCCTCTTGGCTCTCCCACAGCTTCCTCTGCGCTGCTTCGAACTTCGACTTCCACGCTGCTGTGGCGTGTTGGCCAGGCTCAATGCGATCTTCATGTGCACCTGCCCGCGTGTCCTTGGGTTCGGTGTCTTCGGCAATGGCATGTAGACCCTTTGCTGTCCACTCTCCGGACAAGCCACCAAACGATACAGCAAAGTAGACATCGAATGTCTCTTTGACTACTCCTGAGCCGTTTATGCTCTCGGTATCGTCTTCGTTGTCATCGATGGGGCTCTCGTAACCGTCCCCTCCTACACGAAAACGTGCGCATTCAACTCTCTTCACACCTCCATTGGGCCCTCCAAGAGCAATGCCCGAGGCATTGGATAGTCCAAGACAGCTGCTGATAGCAATGCCCAAGACATGATCGCTCATGACCTTTGATGGGGACTGTCCAACTGATGGCTTCGCATACAGGGGCAGAAGAACTGCCGAAGCTAGATTCTTTGCTTCATTGCCCCTGAGGCGTTTTCGCCGACCCGTGAGTGGGGCGCGAATGAGCTCAGCAGCTAGAGCACGGTTGAGTACCTCCAAAGATATGGATGGCAGCGAGTTTTGCGCTGTTGATAATGTAGTCTCGCTTTGTAAACGCGGCGGTGGCTGAGGCCGTGCAGGAGTCTCGATTGGAGTGAAGTGCCCATGGAAGTTGTGATGACTGGTGGTGCCAAAGGAGTGCGCAGAGAAGCTACGATCAGAATTAAAGCTGGTTGCTGAGGATGCTGCAGCGGTGCTAGGCGTAGGGTTTTCTTCACCGTTGACTAAGACAGTAGGAGTAATGAGGCGGACAGGGTTGCCAATGTTCTGCGGTACCTGTAAACTCAGCCGTTGTCTCTGGGTCCCGCCGGCACTAATGACCGGCGACTCTCCTGTGGAGGGTGGCAGTGCTGATGCTGGAGTCGGTGGGAAACGGAACACTTGTCCAGGCGGTGGTGTTTTGGATTGTGGCCGCTCAGCGATCGGCGTCAAAGCGGTGGAGTGTCGTTGCTGATCAATAGGTATGCCTTCTCTGCTTGGATTGACAGGAAAGGTGACGAATGGGCCATCTCTGGTGGAACGATTACTGGGAGGTCGCCCTCGTGGTTTTCCGCCCGGTGTTGTACTACTAGCTGACCACGCAGAAGAAACAGCTGGTCCGTGACGGCGCCGTGCGCGCGGTCTTGCACTCGAAGGTGTCACTGCTGACTGAGGTTCGTCGAAAAAGTGATGCGCAGTTGAAGGAGTCACAGCTGATAACGGGTGGGGCGTCGCTGGTTCCTGAGAGTTCAATCGCCAGCGAATATGTTGTCCTCCCGACAATGGTGAAGCAGAGTAAGGTGTCAAGTTTTCTTGCTGCTTCAGACGATGAGAAGCATTCAGGACAGAGGCAGGGGTGATTGCAGATGCTGCGGTCCATGGGTCATGTGGGGTTAAGAAGCCACCCATGTGATGGTCCGGATGGGCGCTGGTGGGATATGCCGACTGCGGTTGCAGCGCGTTGCCAAACGGTATTGAAGTGTCGAGTTGAGGTCGCTTGCGTGCAGGAGTGTCGATCTCGGTTTCCATCTCCTCGTCTGCATCATCAGCTTTACGTCGCCCTCTTTTTGGTTTGAACTTGGGGTCAAGTGCTCGAATAGCCAAATCTTCTTCCAAAGGTACGCCATCGCGGCCCTCCTCCGGGAAGGGGTCGTGTGGAGGAGGGATCTGAAGATAGTAAGGATGCTGCTTTCCAAGCATGTATTCGAAGAAGGCATCAATGTGCATAGCGCGCATCCATCGCTGCAGTCTGTTAGCATATGCCCGTTGATACACGTCGTGAATAGATATGCGAGAATCAGAAAAGCAATCTCAGTAAAGCTCGACGACAGTGCAGTAGTATGCGCGAAGTGGCACCTGTCACATGACGAGCTCTTTCAGCACGAATAGCTTCACGATAGCCCCTTTCCCTGATAGATCGTGCGTCTGCGCCGCGCTCCTTCTTACAACGTGGCTTGCTCAGGCTGATCATCGGCCACGCTCGCAGATGGTCGGAGACGTTGAGAAGCGCGCATCGACTGTGCCGCATGGCTGGGCAGCATAGCTCCACATATGTACTGACTCAAAAGCAAAGGGGTGGGCTATTTAGACCTAGCGTAAGGTGGGCGTGCGGCAATTGTGCAACCGAAGAGATTTTCAGACGATTTGGAAATGACGTGGAATGATTGTAATGAAAGTAATTTGTCTTACCTTCAATCTCACAGAGTACTGCTGGACCTTCTGCGTACTCTGTCCTTTGTCGGTATCCGGTAGTGATACCCCGAGGTCCAACGCTAATTGAGTCCAGGTCTTGATCTCTCCGGCACTGAACTTCCCTATCAACTCGAACAGTGACCATGTGCTGAAAGCATTCCCATCGCTCTTTGGGGGTATTCGAAACAGCTTCACTAGCTCAGAAGTGTCTGTGGAGTGAGCGAAGCTCGGATTGCAGTACAAGATAAAGCTTGCGAAAGCGTTATCGATGGTCTCGTCTGACACGTCTTGCGATGGAAGTGAGCGGTCGTCGGGTGTGTAGCTGCTGGTTGCTACGTGCTTCGTCTGACTGTTCGGCGTCGCTGCAGCGTAGCGCGGGGAGGCATCCGTGGGTGTCGGTGACCTGCGCGCCATGGCTCCATAGAAGCCAAGGTGCGCGCTGCTGATCGAAGCATTGCGGGGCTGGAGCAGGTGGTTGTTCGCAGAATGGGAGATGACAGACAAAGGCGCATGTCCGTGAGGGCTGGCACCTGTGCTTCGCTCAAGGCCCGGATCAATTGCTGGTACACCAGTTGAAGGGTGCCGAAATGGTGAGAACGCCGGGTTGCTGTTGTTCCCCGCGTGCTCGTAGTTGGCTGAAAGATGAAGGCTATGATCCGAATCTGGCTCGTCGCCATAGTCGACTTGCATTGTTTGGTAATTACAGAGGCTACCGGGGCCTGTCAGCGCTCCATTCGCGCTCTGTGAAGTCTACAAATCGAAGTGCGAAACACTCCCGCGCTCAGTATGGAGATGCGCGCAACGGAGCTCAGGGCCGCGAAACCAGCGCGAGGATGTAGAACGGATGGACGCGATGCGCCCAGCGCTGCAAGAACCTCCAGAGGTCGTGTTAGAGTTGTCGCGTCGGCGCGTCTGTATGAAGTGCTTCAGGCGTGTGGGTGGGAGGTAATTTGCGTTGTTACGGCGGCTCGAAGCTGTCTGATTTACCCCTTCGGGCACATTTGGGGGCAACCTGCAGCTGAATGGCATGCTAATTATAGCCCACGGCCATCCCGCCTGTTCTGTGATGGTCTGCACGAGGCGTCACCACTCGGGCGGCTGTGGTTGGTTGCATAACCTGCCGAGGGAGACTCGACCACGCGACTGGGTTATGTTTCTCATGCACAGTTTCATACTTGTTCACATGGAGCATTTTATACGAGATACTGCCATAATTTGGAGACTATAGCAGAAGGTGAGTTTGTCAGACAATGTGAGTTTGCCAAAGTCAATCATGCCAGATCACTCCAAAAGAAATTTGATGCGAATGCACAATCGGCAGCTACGCAGTGGGAGAGACATGCATGAAGTAGACAAATTGACAGACCTCCCTTCTGAATTTGTAGTTGCGACAGACGAATAGTTAGTCAGCTTTGTCTCAATCCAACAAGCCACAAACAAGCCACAACTCACGAGATTCTCCTCGAGTCTCACGATTGTACCTGAAGATACTTTCAGGACGCCATCCAGGATAGAGAGGAGGTGCCCACAGTCGTATAGTCAAATTTGCATACTATACATTAATCTGATGGTGCTTGAGTCGAGGCTGAACATGATGAGTGCTCTAGCGTGATCCGCCGGCCCCACATTCGATCAATTAACGCGTCCGCGTCTGTCGAACGCGTCGTCCCACGTTTTGTCGCAGCAGTCAACACTTCACGAAACCATGGCTTCAGAAAATCGATTACGCAGCCGACAGGCGCGTATGTACCCGAAGTCTTCCTCCAAATCCAACATCATTGACACTTTATAGACGCCCCCGGCGCAACCTACCTCGCCTACACACCGAACGGAAAGAAGCTCATAACGGCTGGAGTGGACAACTACTGTCGTGTGTTCACAACTGGCTCTGACGATGAGCCGATTACCGTGGACGATTGTCAAGAGAATAATGCGGCGGTCGTGGCTGGGGTACGTACAACCAGAGGGTATGAACATACACAACGACTGAGCAGCATCGCAGAACGGCTTCTTCATCACCGGTTCCGAGGACGGTACAGTGAGCAGGTTCTCGCTCGAGGGCAATAAGTTCGAGGAGATTCTTGTTAGGACAACGCTACCTGTTCGAGATGTAGCGCTGAGCCCGGACGGAAAATGGATCGCGGTTGCGAGCGAGTATGTGACGAGGTCCTCAGCTGTTGTGTTAACGCTAACGCTCTCAGCGAACTCTCGGTGAGCATCGTCAACACGAAAGATATGACCAAAGTACGGACACTACGCGAGCAGCCACGTGCAGTAAAGCACGTCTCGTTCGACAAGAAAGGCGACCACCTGGCAATTTCCTGCACCGATGGCAACATCTATGTATACAGCCTCGAGGGAGACGAGCCTGAGATGGTCAAGAAAGTGGATGGTATGATAAAGAGCTTGGAGACCGAGTCTGAGTCGAGCTCAAGGGTGCTATGGCATCCTGACGGCAGGGCCTTTGCTACACCCACCGCACTGCGCGACGTGCAGGTCATGTCAACGTACGACTGGGCAAGACAGCGTGTCTTCAAGACGAGCCATACAGCAGACATCACAGCGGCAGCTTGGTCGCCCAATGGCGCACTTCTTGTCACAACTTCGCACGATCTAGACATGAAGCTGTGGGATACGAAGACACAGAAGCTGCTGAAGATCTTCGGCGATATCAAAGCGACTATCTTGGCCATGGTCTGGCATCCTAGCGAAAACACTTTGTCGTACACAAACAACGAGGGCGAGCTGTTCATCCACACAGACTTCGTACCAGAGGAGCATCTGCCATTGCTCAACAAGCCGACTGTCTCAGCACCTTTCTTCCACGACCCCTCAGAAGGCCGAGCCGGGCTTGCGCCTGCACCTCAGGCGAATGGCACGACACGAGAACTGCCAGGACGACCACGGCAAAGAGATGGCACACCAGATTCTCTGGATGACCTTCTCGGTCCTGACTTTAGAGATGACGAGGCGAGAGATGACGGCGACGAGGACATGGAGGACTTCGTTGTTGATGACGACGGTGCAGGCTACGCACAAGGAGTCAATGGCCATGGCAAGCGCACAAGTGACCACCTCAATGGCGTTGAACCGTCAGCTAAGAAGCGAGCAACCACCAGCTCTCTGTTCCATCCACAGATCCACGAGCCTTTCCAGCCAGGCAGTACACCGTGGAGAGGTAACAGACGACTGCTTTGCTGTTCCTTGACTGGCAACGTAGAGACCGTCTCCCAGGAAGGCCGACACCATACCGTTACTGTCAACTTCTACGACCAGCATACTTTCCGCAACTTCCATTTCACAGACATCTTCCTCTATGACAAAGCTTGCCTCAATGAGAATGGCACACTGTTCGCGTGCCAAGCTAACAGCGCCGGCGATGGCAACCCAGCGATGATCTACTATCGCCCGCATGAGACATGGACAACTCGGACAGACTGGCGCACCAATCTTCCTACGGGCGAGTCTGTGACCGCAATCGCACTCTCCGACTCCTACGTCTGTGTAACAACCAGCACAAACTACGTGCGCATCTATTCTCTCTTCGGCCTTCCCATCCGCGTCTACCGCCAGAAGTCCTCACCAGCTGTGACCTGTGCCGCATGGCGGGACTATATACTCACCATCGGCAACGGGCCCGTCCAATCGGATCTGTCAACACAACTGCTCTACACGATCGAGAACATTAAGCACGACACCATCTACCAGGACTCGGACATCCTCGCCTTGCCCCCAAATACAACCCTCGAGTCCGCATTCTTCTCAATGTCAGGCGACCCATACATCTACGACTCCTCAGGCGTGCTGCTCACGCTGCTAAACTGGCGTACAAACGGACAAGCGCGCTGGGTGCCCATGCTAGACACACAGCAACTCTCTCGCCTCGCGACAGGCGGGAAAGAGGAAACATACTGGCCTGTCGGCGTCGCGCCCTCATCTACCGGGGAACAGAAGTTCCACTGTATGATCATAAAGGGCCGGGAGCGGTATCCGTCCGCGCCGGTACCGCACCTGAGCGAGTTCGGGATGGAGATCCCACTCAGCAGCGCTATTGATAAGAAGGCTTTGCTCGGTGCTGACGCAGAGGAGGGGAGCGATGACGAGGATGCGGGGCGGAAGAAGGGTGAGACGAAGCAGCAGGAGCATGAGCAAGCGTTTATCCTCTCGTCCACGTTACACACGCAGCTCTCGTCCACGCTGACGCATACACGGCCATCGGCGGACCAGAAAAGGGGTCTCACGAATCTTGAGGTTGCGATCGATCGTGCGCTACTGCAACTTCTCGGCCTGGAGTGTCTCGCAGGCGAAGATCATGGTATGAAGGCGCTGGAGATCGTGAGCCTGATGCGCAATGCGAATGGCAAGATGCTCGATCTGGCTGGAAAGGTTGCTAGCCGGTATGGGAGGGATGTGTTGGGAGAAAAGATCAGGGAACTTGCCGAGAACAAGGCTGCTAGTAGAGAGGATGACGACGACGAGTATGTATGAGACTTTGTTCAACGGAAGATTGACTTTTGTTTTGTTCAGCTGGACTTCAGAACGAGCAATGTTCGATGCATTTGATCTCAGAGCAGACATCTCCACGGATGCAAGTGAAGCAATTTATCGTGCATTAGTAAGAGAGTAGTAACAGAGAAAGAGGACAATCCATCCCAAGACGCTTTGATATGTAAGCTAGCAGTCCAACATAACTCCTTTGCTCGCCATCGCCAAAATGCGGTGTTGCTTCAAAAGCGTAGCTCCGACAAGAACAACCAATGGTAGTGATGTACAATCGGACTGCTTTTCACAACGCCGCCGCGCTCAGCGCAGAAACGCTTAGTACTCGGCCTCAACACCATCCTCGCCCTCAAGCGAGTCGGCAGCAACCTCCTCGTAATCGCGCTCAAGAGCGGCCAAGTCCTCACGAGCCTCGGAGAACTCACCCTCCTCCATACCCTCACCAACGTACCAGTGGACGAAAGCGCGCTTGGAGTACATAAGGTCGAACTTGTGCGACAGAGCAGACCAGGCCTCGCTGATAGCTGTGGTGTTGGACAGCATGCAGACGGCGCGGTTGACGCCAGCGAGGTCGCCGTTGGGGACGTTCTGGGGAGGCTGGTAGCAAATACCGATCTTGAAACCAGTGGGGCACCAGTCGACAAACTGGATGGTGCGCTTGGTCTTGAGGTGGGCGATGGCAGCGTGGGTGTCCTTGGGAACGACATCTCCGCGGTAGAGCAGGCAGGTGGCCATGTACTTGCCATTGCGAGGATCACACTTGACCATCTGGTTGTTGGGCTCGAAGCAGGCGTTGGTGATCTCCATGACCGAGTTGGCCTCGTGGGCAGCCTTGGCGGCGGAGACAACGGGTGCGTACGCAACGAGAGGGAAGTGGATTCGGGGGTAGGGCACCAAGTTTGTCTGGAACTCGTTGAGGTCGACGTTCAGGGAACCATCGAAGCGGAGCGAGGCTGTGATGGAGGAGACGACTATTCATTCTGTCAGCCTTGGATGTCAGCCGATAAGAGAAGGAACATACCCTGAGCGATGAGACGGTTCAGGTTCTCGTAGTTAGGGCGCTCAATGCCGAGGTTCCTGCGGCAGATGTCGTAGATGGCCTCGTTGTCAACCATGAAGGAGCAGTCAGAGTGCTCCAGGGTGGTGTGAGTTGTGAGAATGGAGTTGTAGGGCTCGACAACGGAGGTGGCGACCTGCGGCGCAGGGTAAACACAGAACTCGAGTTTGCACTTCTTGCCGTAGTCGACAGACAGACGCTCCATCAGGAGGGCACCGAACCCGGAACCTGTTCCTCCACCGAAGGAGTGGAAGACAAGGAAACCTTGCAGGCCAGAGCAGTTGTCGGCGACGCGGCGGACCTTGTCCAGGACCTGGTCGATGAGCTCCTTGCCGACTGTGTAATGACCACGGGCGTAGTTGTTGGACGCATCCTCCTTGCCGGTGATCATGTGCTCGGGGTGGAAGAGGGAACGGTAGGTACCGGTGCGGACCTCGTCGACGACATTGGGCTCCAAGTCGGCGTAGATGGTGCGCGGGACGTACTTGCCCTGACCTGCATTGCTTGTCAGACGGGGTGCGCGATTTGCAGCATGCGGGCAGCCGTACCAGTCTCGGAGAAGAAAGTGCTGAAGCCATGGTCATCGTTCTTGGCCTTGCGCTCCTCAGTGAGGTAGCCATCGGGCTGAATGCCGTGCTCGAGGCAGTAGAGCTGCGGTGGTGTGTTAGCATAGTTGCCTGAGGCGGTCAAGGCACCCGTTATTGCCCCCTCCTTTTCGCATTGCGGGCGACGGAGAGGTGCAGACGGCGTGCTGCAGGCGTTGAACGTACCTCCCAGCATGAGTTTGCGATCTGGCAACCGGCCTGGCCGACTATACGCGTGCAGTGTTAGCATCAACAATTATCGCCAGGATGTCCCGCCCAAGACGGGGCGGCCAGGGCGCGTGCGCGTTGTGGGGGTATCATACCGTTGAGGGAGATGACTTCTCTCATGGTGTTCTTAAGAAGCGGGTATGAATTGTTGGTGGTGAATGCCTTCTGCGCAGGAGCTGAAGGTGCTTGACGGGAGACTGCGGGTGGGGAGCAGCGGAGACGGTGTGTCGAGTGTTGTGTTGGCCGTCGAAGATTTAGTGTGTTTATCGACACGGAAGGAGCTAGCGGGTAGCGGAGGCAGGCACGGGCCCCTCCTTCGAGATCTGACAAACCACAACAACCCCGTCTAGACAACGACACCCGCTCGAGTGAAGCTCTGCGTAGCCCAATGAGCCTGCTCTGGCCCACGTGAGAGCATGCAGCTGCAGCTATTCAATTTCACTCTCGAGCATCGTGCTGCCCGCCAAACATGCGCGTCATAGCTGCCCTGCTCTGCATCGTGTCACAGGCTTGGAGGGTGAATGCCAACGTCGAGAAGACAATCTTCCTAGGGCCCGGCGCTGTGACTCTGTCTGATGTTCGCCCCAGCTTGGACGACCTGCGCCTGTACTCATTGTCAAGTTTCAATTCTATTCTGCCAACGCAGCTCGCTGTGCAATTCCCTTCGAAGGCGGAGCCCCACGGCCCCGAATCCTGGTATCTCCTGAGCGATTTAGAGGAAGACAGGAGGTACGAGGTCCGCATATGCTGGCCGGCAACCGTGAGTTCGATACTCGAAATGTTACTAAGAGCGCACACTGACACCTATCAGTCGCCGACCGACTTCTGGCTTGACACCTACACTATCACCCAAGTATTCGATACTCCAGAGCTCGTAGCTTCTCTTGCAGCCTATACTGAGCGGCTCTCACAACCTGAGTCTGATATCAGCACTGAAAAGACGAAGGCAAATAGAGGCGAGCAATCACTACTCTTCCTGCGAGTCCAGGCAGCAGCGTCGTACTACTCCACTAATCGCACGTTGATGGACTACCCCCCACCAGTCGATGTCGATATCAGTAAGTCTTGAAGACCTTGTCGTGTAGTCAGCAAACTGACCTGTCTAGTCCTCGATCCATTCCTTCTGAACATCCTACCACGCTCTCTCGCACCGGTCGGCATATACATTACGGGTGTCGCTATTGCAGCGTGGTTTGTCTCAGGTTACATCTACCGCTGGTTGCTCTCAGTGGTCGAGGATACTCCCGCAAAAGCGCATACCGATTGAACCGCGGTTCTGTTGCAAGAATTAAACGCGCAGATATCATGGCTGCGGCCGCGGGCGCACCACCTCCACCTCCACCTCCTCCACCGCCGAGAGGCGCGTCCTCTTTCGAACAGCTTCCCGCTGAGCTTCTACTGGAGATATGGGAACACCTCAGCGTTAACTCCTCTATGCAGTTTGCGCTTGCACTGTTTCCGATATTGCGCCACCATCACCTTGTACCTCAATTGACATTGCCGACTTGCATGCGCATAACACGCGAGAACGCAAAGCGTCTTCCTACCGGTGAAGGCAACACATTGGTAGTAGCGAGACTGCCCATGGAATTGTGGCTGCAGATTGCTGAGTATGGGAACTCGAGAGATAACATCAGCCTCTTGTTCGCTCTCGCGGGTCAATTCTTCCAGTTCCAGGAACGACCAAGTGAGGAGACAAAAAGAAGGCTGTATACATGGACTCGGCGAAAGCAATAATAATGGCATGTTCATCTGCATTGTTCAACTCAAAAAGGGTCAGCAGCAGTAGCAGCAGCTTGCGCAAATGAAGAGAGGATTCTTCCCATGCTCTTAGTGTCGCAGTAAACTAGTTCGAGATATTGCTGCAGAGCAAAGGCCGGCCTGGCCATCGGATATGACGGTATAGCCAAGGTGATTGTTGATGTGAGCTAAGCTGAGCATGGCAAGTATATTTGCTCCACGTCGAAATCACAAAAGACTACTACTACAAGTGGTGATGTCTCTATGAATTGCAGGTTTCCCTTCAACATGCTTGGGGTTTCTGGCAATTCGATCTGGGAAGCTCTAGGGAAGACAGCCGTGCTTGCCGTGAACGGGGATGACGTAAAACAGCTACACCCCACTTTTGGCACTTCAAGATGTCGCTATGTAAAACGCGACTCGCCTAGATCACTGCAATACTGTAGCCAATCTTTCGACTTCCAATACCATTGACAATCGCCGGTATCGGTATACAACCCTGCTAGACTAGAAATCTAAATAATCACAACTTCTACCCCTCCTCATCCACACTCACTCAAAACCTCGAAGGTAGCAACAATGGCGAAGCTTGACCTCACTATTCCCAACCTTAGGCTCAATGACGGAGCTACCATGCCCATGCTGGGCTATGGCACAGGCACTGCGTGGTACAAGACCGGTGAAGAGTCCAAGATTGACCAGAGCATCATCGACGCTGTAAAGATGGCGATTAAGCTTCGGTATACACACCTCGATGGAGCAGAGAGTACGTCAGCCTCAGCCGGCAATGTGGTGTCGGGCTACAAGGACTTGAACGAAACTGACGATTGAATAAGTGTATAAGACAGAACAAGAGTTGGGAACCGGGATCAAGGAGTCTGGCGTTGATCGTGAGAAGCTTTTTGTAACAACCAAGGTTGACAATGACAACATTCACGATATCGAGAACGCCCTGCATATCAGTTTGAAGAAGCTACAGCTGGAATACGTTGATCTGTAAGACGACTGCTTGGGAACCGCTACTCACTACTGACTGGACACAGCTACCTCATCCACCAACCGTGGTTCGCACAGACTGATGAGGACATCCAGAAAGCGTGGGCGCAAATGGAGGCCATTCAAGCCAAGGGCCTGGCAAAGTCAATTGGTGTTTCCAACTACACCTCAGCTCACCTCAATGCTCTCCTGAAGACGGCCAAGGTGGTTCCTGCATGCAACCAAATCGAGTTTCACCCTTACCTGCAGCGCACCGAGCTCCTCGCTCTGCACAAGCAGCACGGCATCGCCACTGCGGCCTACGGTCCTCTTACTGCGGCCACAAAGGCTGCGCCGGGGCCTCTGGACAACTACTTTGCGGCCCTTGAAAAGAAGTACGCTGTCGGCGCAGGCGAGATCTCCTTGAGGTGGTGCATCGACCAGGACATTGTTCCTATCACCACATCGTCGAAGGAGCAACGACTCAGCGACTACCTTCGTGTTGCGACTTTCAAGCTCACACCGAAAGAAATTCAGGAGATCAACAAGATCGGACAGCAGAAGCACTTCCGTGGTTTCTGGCAGAAGAAGTTTGAGGATAGCGATCGAACATAGTTGTAGTGCAGCCAGAACGGAGCAGACATTGGGAGCGAACGTAGCGATCAATAATAGGCGTTATACTCCATCTTTGTCTCGACCTGCGGGGTCTACTTGAACCTGGATGAATCATGCTAAACTCTAATGCGCTTCTACCTACACAGGCGTCAATGTCACATGCTATACGCGAAAATGTGCCAAACTCTGAGTTGAGACTCGGCACGTATATACCCGACGTATCTCATGCCTAATCCTCGTGGTCGTGCATTTAACATGCGTGGGTGAAGGTGCATCACGTAAGCTTGAATCGCGACTCCCTGAAAGCTTGGCCAAAACTTTGAGATCCCGCGTCCAGCTCCAGCTCCACAACCCAACCTCATCGCGCACGCAAACCCTCTATTGCACGTACTATCGCGCGCGAACTCAACGCCTAGTAGTATCTAGACGATTCTGTTACTGCAATCTGTAGAATCGTTCACGTTGTGCAACTGTGTAACGCCTGCCTCGAGGCCCACGTTCTTCACGACTCGCACGCACGTCGACCGCCACCATGTCCGGCACAGCGGCTGCCAAGGGGAAGAAGCAGGCGAACAAAAACGCCTACAGGCGCGCAAAGAAGAAGTCGCAGCGCAGCGTGAGCCTCTCACGCCTGCATTTGCGTTCGAGCACGGTGCTGACATCTCAACAGGAGACACCATCCGAAGCCAACGACTCTGCGCGTGAGAGCGACTCTGCTGAACCAGAAAGCGACACGAATAACGATGTACAGGCGGTGAAGTCGGCGGACTTGGTTGATATGGACGACATCTCGAATCAATACGACATAGACAACCCGCTATTCGAGCAATACAAGGACATCTTCGAGAAATTCAGAGAGCGGACAGAAGAGGAGGTAGCTACCAAGGATGACGAGAAGCCGGAGATCTACTACAGCGACAACGACGATGTCAGCGAGGAGGAAGACGGCCAGCCCAAGATTTCCAAGAAGCAGCGCAAAGCCATGAGCAAGCTCTCGGTTGCTCAGCTGAAGTCTTTGGTAAGCAACCCCGAGCTCGTGGAATGGACAGACGTCTCGTCCTCAGACCCGCAGCTATTAGTCGCTATCAAGGGTGCGAAGAACGTCATTCCTGTACCGACGCACTGGTCACTGAAGAGGGAGTATCTTTCGTCGAAGCGTGGTATTGAGAAGCCTCCGTTTGCACTGCCCAAGTTTATTCAGGAGACTGGTATCGCAGAGATGCGGGACGCGGTCCTTGAGAAGCAGGCCGAGATGACTATGCGACAAAAGCAGCGCGAGCGTGTCCAGGGAAAGCTCGGCAAGCTCGACATCGACTACTCAAAGCTTTATGACGCCTTTTTCAGGCGACAGACCAAGCCCGAGCTTACACGGTACGGCGAGGTCTACTACGAAGGCAAGGAGTTCGAGACGAATCTTGTTAACCTGAAGCCTGGTGAGTTGAGCGAAGAGCTGAGGGAAGCGCTCGGTATGGCACCCGGTCACCCGCCGCCATGGCTCATCAACATGCAACGCTTTGGTCCTTCGCCCTCGTACCCCAACATGCGCATTCCTGGTGTCAATGCACCGATTCCTCCGGGCGCTTCGTGGGGTTTCCAGCCAGGGCAGTGGGGCAAGCCGCCAACGGACGATGCCGGGCGACCTCTCTTCGGTGGCGACCTCTACGGCACAAGCATTCTCGAAGAGCAGCAGCAGCCTTCACATGAGGGTGAGCCTGTCGAGCGCACAACATGGGGAGTTTTGCGGGCAGAAGGCGAAAGCGAGGACGAAGAAAGTGACGAGGAGGAAGACGAGGACGAAGAGGACGAGGACGAGGAAGAGGATGCAAGCGGCATTCAGACATCGATGACTGGAGCCGCATCTGCCATGCCTTCGGAGATGGGGGGTACAGAGAGCATCGGCGGAGAGTTCACGCTCCGGAAGCAGCGCAAGGGTATCGAGACGGAGGAACCCGGGGCACCGCGAAGCGCTTACCAGGTTCTTCCCGAGAAGAACATTTCAGCAACCGGCTTCTTCGGTGGCGAGCATGCTTACGATCTCGATGCGGCAAGGAGGGACCAGCTTGGAGCGGCTCAGAGGAAGCGAAAGGCTGGCGACGTGGACATTTCGGTGGACGTTGACCAGCTGGCTGACAGCGATAAGTTGGACAAGGATGCTTTGAAGAAGGAGTACGAGTCGAGGCAAAGAGCCGAGGCGGCAGGACAGTGGCAGAGCATCGATCAGGACGATCTGGCCGACATGATTGCGTCAGAAAGCAGGAAGAGGGTCAAGAGGGAATCTGAGCGAGGCAATAAGCGGTAAAAGCAAGAGGTGGGCGTTTGTACAAAAGATGTGTGGCACGATGGCTGAACAGCTCGAACCGAGCCGGCGTTATGGATATCCAATGGTTGTAAGACGTCGTAGCCAGCATTGGGATATGGCGTTAAATGCGGCGACGATGGGGTTCGCGCAGAATGAACAGAATCGAGCTCAAGAATACGCGGCGTAACGTGCGGGACAGAACAAGATGAGGCTTACAGTGATGGAAGGCGTGTCAGCAAGGCCAAGGACAAGGGCAAGGACAAGGCCAAGGACAAGAGCAACGGCAGTGCAGCGTTGCGCGAACCACGTCAAGACTGCATGGCTTGCAGACGACCAATGAGAAACATGGTCAGAGGCCCACACAGAGAGTCAAGACAGATGATGTGATTCGCGGATAGGGTTCGTCAAGAATGCCAGCCGGAGGAGAACAAGGGAATCGCCGCGCACGGCGCTGCCCAAGACGACGAGTCGTGACATGGGCGGTCAGACTCGACACACGTGACGGCTAGGGTCATTCGCGTGTCAAGGCTTGGCCTGGAACTTGACTTTCAGCACCCAACGACGTGCAAGCGCCAGTCTCGACGACGCTTGGCGTGCAAAGCTACACATAGCACCAAACAGTACACTCGCCATTCCACACAGCTTGTCATAGCGGCAGACTCGCAACCCACAGCACAGCACAGCACAGTACACCAATGGATCGCGACCGCGAGAGAGATCGGGATCGAAGGTTTGTCAAGCCGACACCGTCGTATGCGCGCCAACACAGCAGTCCAGCTACACAGTGCACGCACCATGCACATGTGAGCCAGCCGCGCTGACATGCCGAACAGGGACGACCGATACTCGAACACGTACAGACCGCGTTCGCCCCGCCCCCGAAGCCGCTCGCCGCGCGTCGACAGCTACCGCGCCCGGTCGCCAGCGCGACGCAGCTCTCCTCCTCCCCGGCGAGGCTCGCCGCCCCGTCGCGGGCTGGCCTCAGCCGACACGTACACGCCCGGGGGCAGCAGCCGCCCGTCTCGGCCGAGGAGCCGCTCGCCCGCCTTCAGGAGACGGTCACGCAGCCCGCGCCGAGACGACAACTGGAGGGCGCGACCGCGCTCGCCGCCCCGCCGCCCCGTCTCTCCGCGACGGGACGACTACAGGAACGATCGCGCTCGCTCACCCAGGAGGGATGGCTACGACTCGTACACGCGCTCGCCGCGACCGCGCGACAGGTCGCCGCCGCCCCGCACGCGCGACGCATCGCCTGCGAGGAGCCGGGGCATGCGCTCGCCTGTCCGTCCGAGCCGCTACGAGGAGCCGCGCTCGCGCGTTGCCAGGTATGCCAGACCGGTCTGAAAGAAAAGGCGCCCGAGAACGCTAACCCGAACAGCCCGCGCCGAACCTCGCCTCCGCCCCCTCGCGACAACCGCGACTTCCGCCGCCGCTCGCCTTCGCCCCGGCGGGAACGTGCCGACCCTTACGCAGCAGACACCTGGCGGAGCCGCAGGTCGCCCTCGGCCAGACCTGCATACACGTCCAACGAGGCCTCGGGCGGCCAGTCGGCGGCCACCTCGCGACGATCCTCCCCGCGGCCTACCGTCCACCCCAGCAGAGCGGCCCTCGTAGACGACAGGCCGGCAAGAGAGCCTGCATCCGCGCCCAGGTCGCCATTCCGTGAACGTGAGCCCGGCAGAGCGCCTCGCGACAACTTCCGAGAGCGCGAGCGCGAGCGCGAGCGATCGCCGCCTCGCCGCAGAGGAGTGAGCCCGGTCAGAGACAGGAGTCCGCCTCGGAGACGAGACGCAAGCCCTCCTCGAGGACCTCGGGGCGACCGGGACAGGGAGTTTGCACCACCGACAGGTCCGTCGTCTGCTCGTCGCAATGGCGACGGCGAGTTCTCGAGGGCACCTCCGACAGGCCCGTCGAGCCGCAGCTATCCTTCGCCAGCCATCTCGCCGCCTGCAGGGCCTGCCAGCTCAGCATCGACCGCACCTCCAACCGCACCTGCGACAGGACCTCCCACGGGACCTCCCACAGGACCTCCCACAGGACCTCCGACAGGACCTCCCACAGGACCTCGAGGAGCCAATCCCGTATTGAGCGCCCCCACTCGACCGCGCGGTGGAGGACGCGGCGGGTTCGCATACGACTCTCCACGCGACTTTTCCGGTCCTCCACGGCGTGGGTCGTGGGGCGGCGGCGCCCGTGGCGGTGGTGGGTTCCGCGGTGGGTTCCACGACGGCGCGGCTGCCGGTCCTCGCGGTTCTGTCAGCGGCGCGACGTCTTACTCGGCTACCTTCCGTGGCTCCAGCAATGCGACTGCGACTACATATCCGCGGACCATGCGCTTCCGTGACCATCTTGCGGACCTGCCCAAGGAGATACCCGGCGGACAGAAGGCACCTGAGGTCTACGACAAGAGCAAGATTCTCAGGCTAGAGGAGGAGGCCAGGAAGCTGCGCGAGATGATCGACAAGAAGGAGGATGCGAAGCGGGCCAAGCTGAGGGAGTGGGACTCGTTGGAGAGGGACGCCGAGACGGCACAGCTTCGCGTGGATCTGGCAGAGCAGTCGCTGAGGAGTCTGAGCGGCGAGACCGAGGCTGGCGGCGCTGCGTTCTAGTTCTGAGCGCGTCCAGAGACCGGGTCGTTCTGTTCTACGAGGCTGGTGAGGACGGTCTTGCAGTTTGTGTATGATGGGCTGGACTGGGCTTCTTGCATATGTCGGTCTTTTGGTAGCATGTAGCGGGCGCTGGGAACTGGCAGCACGTTTGAACTCATACCCATGGATTTCACACATCAACTCTCCACGCCGACGTGACGCCGGCTGGGCACTCACCTCCACAGCTGGATTGCTGGCGGATTTCCTCCAATGGTGATTGGCCACATGCCCACGGCGATCCCTGCTTCTGACTCGCAGCTTCCGGCACGCTAACTTTTTTCTAAGCTCACATCCAACGCCTCCAACGTGCTCGACCGAGGTCTTTCGTGAGCGGCCGCAGATATGGTGGGCAAGAAGGTACGCGCCGGACTGCAGCAGAGAGGGGGACAGCACGCCTAACTCGCGCACAGGAAGCGCCAATAGCCAAACCCAAAGCTCCCCCGCGCGGGGCAGCGCGGGCGATGGCCCCCGCAGCAGACGGCGGCGTGCAGGGCGTCGACGTCGATGTCCTCGATGGCGGCCCAGTTGGTGGTGGTAGTGGTGGTGGTGATGAGCCAGCCGCCGCCGACCTCAACCCAAGCGTGTCCACGTCCGCCGAAGCAACGCGCAAACGCAAAGCGCCCCTCAACACGCAGGCCAAGGACGAATTCGCCGCCCTCCTCGAGCCCTTCTACTACGGCAAGCGCCTCGACGAGCCCATCAACACCGCCCGCGACAAGTGGAACCTACTGCCCGCCTTCCTCAAGGTCAAGGGCCTGGTCAAGCAGCACGTCGACTCGTACAACCACTTTGTCGACGTCGAGCTCAAGAAGATCATCAAGGCCAACCGCTTCGTACGTAGCGACTTTGACCCCAAGTTCCTGCTCGAGTACACCGACATCCGCGTCCTGTCGCCCAACAGGCAGGAGGAAGATGACCTCGACCACCACCGCAGCACCATTACGCCCAACGAGTGCCGCCTGAGGGACATGACGTATGCGGCCCCCATCGTCGTGGACATTGTCTACACGAGAGGCAATGCAAAGGTCAAGCGCACGGGCATCAAGATCGGGAGGATGCCTATCATGTTGAAGAGCAACAAGTGCGTGTTGGCAGGCAAGAACGATCGCGAGATGGCCGTCATGGAGGAGTGTCCGCTGGACCCTGGCGGCTACTTCATCACGCGTGGCCAGGAGAAGGTGATCCTGGTGCAGGAGCAGCTGAACAAGAACCGTGTCATTGTGGAGAGCGCAAAGGGCATTATGCAGGCCAGCGTCACGAGTTCGACGCACGAGAGGCGCACCAAGACCTATGTCATTCAGAAGAAGGGGCTCATGTTCTTGAGGCACAACACACTTTCTGAGGAGGTCCCAATCGTCTTTGCGCTCAAGGCATTGGGTGTGCATTCGGACAAGGAGATCCTGCTCATGGTCGCCGGAGACGACAGTGCGTACCAAGACAGCTTTGCCATCAACTTCGAGGCCTGTGCGAGAGAAGGGATCCACACCCAGGAGAAGGCTCTGGAATACATCGGCCATCGAGTACGCCTGACCAAGAAGCCGGCCGGAGCCTCGCGCATGCGCAACTACCACCTCGAAGCCATTGAATGCCTGTCGAACGTCATCCTCCCGCACGTGCCGGTCGTTGGCACAAACTACCGGCCCAAAGCGCTCTACGTCGCCCTGATGGCCCGACGAGTCCTCATGGCCATGCAAGACCCCAAGCTCGTCGACGACCGCGATTACGTCGGAAACAAGCGCCTCGAATTGTCCGGACAGATGCTGTCTCTCCTCTTCGAAGACCACTTCAAGCGCTTCAACCACGACTTCAAGCTCAGCATCGACAAGGTCCTGAAGAAGCAGAACCGCGCTCAAGAATTCGACGCATTCTCGCACTTCAGCGTGCACAAGAACCACATCACCATGGGTATCGAGCGCGCCATCGCCACCGGAAACTGGAGTCTGAAGCGTTTCAAGATGGAGAGGGCCGGTGTCACGCACGTTCTGAGTCGACTGAGTTATATCGCTGCGCTGGGTATGATGACTCGTATCAGCTCGCAATTCGAGAAGACGCGAAAGGTGTCTGGTCCCCGTGCGCTGCAGCCCAGTCAGTTCGGTATGCTGTGTACGTCTGACACGCCTGAAGGAGAGGCCTGTGGTCTTGTCAAGAATCTGGCGTTGATGACGCATATCACGACTGAAGATGATGAGGGGCCGGTGCGCAAGATTGTGTTCTTGTTGGGTGCCGAGGATATCTGCTCGCAGACGGGAGAGGAGATTCACGCCGAGGGTATGTACTCGGTGTGTCTGAACGGTACACCGATCGCAGTCACAGACACCCCGAAGCGCTTCCTGAACAGCTTCCGGAAGCTGAGACGCATGGGTCGCATCTCCGAGTTCACGAGCGTCCACATCGATCACGATCATTGCGAAGTACACCTCGCGACTGACGAAGGTCGTATTTGCCGACCGATGATCATCGTCGAGAATGAGCGGTCCAAGGTCACGAGGCGATACCTGAAGGCTTTACGGAAGGGCACCATGGAGTTCGAAGACTTCTTGACAAGGGGTCTCGTCGAATACCTTGATACCAACGAGGAGAACGACACAAACATCGCGCTGTCTGAAAATGATATCAACCAGCACACCACACATCTCGAGATCGAACCCTTCACCATCCTCGGTGCTGTTGCCGGCCTCATTCCCTACCCTCACCACAACCAGTCGCCGCGTAACACCTACCAATGTGCCATGGGTAAACAAGCCATCGGCGCAATTGCCTACAATCAGTTCAATAGGATAGACACGCTTCTCTACCTTATGGTCTACCCTCAACAACCCATGGTCAAGACCCGCACCATCGAACTCACAAAGTACGACAAGCTCCCCGCCGGCCAGAACGCCACCGTCGCTGTCATGTCCTACTCCGGATACGATATCGAAGACGCCCTTATTCTCAACAAAGCCTCCTGCGACCGCGGTTTCGGCCGCTGCCAAGTGATGAAGAAGTCCGTCACCCCACTCAAGACCTACGCCAACGGCACGTCCGACCGCATTAACGCCGGTGCCCTGGACCCAAACAAACAAGACCACCAAGCCATCGGCGCAGACGGCATCGCGCAAGTCGGCGCCCGCCTCGAAGCCGGCGACGCCTACCTCCTCAAATCGCTCCCCGCCGATACCGCCGGCCCCGCCTCGAACGCGTACAAAGACAAGCCCGACCGCTACAAGCTGCCCGACTGCAGTTACGTGGACAAAGCCTGCATCACGGAGAATGAAGCGGGCGTCACGCTCATCAAGCTGCTACTTCGCCAGACAAGGCGGCCCGAGCTGGGCGACAAGTTCTCCTCCCGCCACGGCCAGAAGGGTACAACGGGCTTGATCGTCCAGCAAGAAGACATGCCCTTCAACGACGCGGGCATCTGTCCGGATATCATCATGAACCCGCACGGATTCCCGTCGCGCATGACAGTCGGGAAAATGATGGAGCTCTTGTCCGGCAAAGCGGGCGTTCTGAACGGCACGCTCGAGTACGGGACTGCCTTCGGTGGCAGCAAGGTCGAGGACATGTCCGAGATCCTGGTCCGCAACGGCTTCTCCTACACTGGCAAGGACTACCTCACGTCCGGCATCACCGGCGAGGCGCACCAATTCTTTACTTTCTTCGGCCCGATTTACTACCAGAAACTCAAGCATATGGTCCAGGATAAGATGCACTCGCGTGCACGAGGGCCGCGCGCCATCCTCACGCGCCAGCCCACCGAGGGTCGTGCTAGGAGTGGTGGTCTGCGTCTCGGCGAGATGGAGCGCGATTGCCTCATCGCGTACGGCGCGAGCCAGCTCCTCCTTGAGCGTCTGATGATCAGTTCGGACGCGCACGACGTCGACGTGTGCGAGAAGTGTAAGTCCCCCCCCCCCCTCACGTCGGGCTTTGAGCATGTATCTAATGACTCGATAGGCGGCCAGATGGGCTACTCGGGCTACTGCAAGCTCTGCGAGAGCGAAAAGGCAGTCCGCCGCATCACCATGCCGTACGCGGCGAAGCTACTGATCCAGGAGCTGGGCAGCATGAACGTCAAGGTCACGATTGGGCTGGAGGATGAGTTCCCCCGACATGTGGACTAGACGACAGATGGGAGCGCGGGGTCGTGGTTGTAGAGGACGTGCGGCGGTTTTTCTGTTGGGGAGGGGGTGCATAGCGATGGCGCTTTTGGTCTTTGTTGGGTAGAGATGTGGTGAATGAATTACATGCTCTTTCTACCCTGTGCTTGGTTCGTGGCTCTGAGATGGTGTCGAGGAGGTTGAGAGAGAGTGCGCTTTATTTTGTACACGTGGAGGTCGTCGCCGGTCATTATTTGTCACGCATAGGACTGCGTTTGTGACCTCGTCGTGCTCACTCTTCCTCTCTCCTCTATAATGCAAAGGCTTGCCTCCTCTTCTATATCTTCGTCATCATACACTGAGTTGCTTGTGCCGTCGTCGGCTGCTGGTAGCTGCCCGGGAGCAACAGCTGCCACTACTACAGTTGGCCTGCATGGGCGGTGGGCATTGCGAGTCTCAGCTTCGTGTACACGGTCGGTAACGCGTAGGGATTTTGGCGAGATACTGTAATCCTGAGCATCTTCCGGCCGTCTTTTTGTGCACCTCGTCGGACCTATCTTCTCGCCGATGGCTACTACGAGTGGGAAACCGTGTACAGTGTCGATTGTCCTTGCCACCATGGCTGGAAAGCCAACTACGAGTTCGTGATAGGCCCCTGGTGCTTATTCCTTTTCTCCTAGACATTCTCGCCGATTCAACGTTCTCACAATGACTGCAGATGGGTGCCCGTACGGTGATAAGGCAAGTCGCCAGGGCCCTCGCATGACAGGCGTTCCATAGCACGACCACCCGCTACGCACGACCACTCGCTATGCACGTCTTTTGTGGAATTCAGTTCCCAGCAGACGATGGAAACTCTCAATCTGTCCATCTGCCAGCTTAAGTCACCCAGTACATGCACCTGTGCACCTGATGTCCTTGTTGGGTTCGTGTTGAGTGCATTGATACTGTGGCTAATCTATGGAGATTAACGACAACAGGTATCGGCGCATCGAGATCGAATGTCAGTGCCACTTGACCGGGGTCCATTGTCATCTCTACTGTATAGCCCGTGTATGTAAAATTGAACCTCTACACATGAGACAGCTCTGACTGCTAGTACGCTAAGCTGGGCGAATAGCGTAAGCCTGATGCAGTACCGCTGCGGCGCGCTTTCCGACCGCGGTGTTGAAGGGTGACCTCGAAACTGACACTGCCAATCGTGCTTGGCTACTGTACTCTTATCGGCTCGTACTTGGCTACCTATGTGATAGAAATGAATACGACGGATGTGCGAAGAAGAGCATAATCGCACTCGAGGAATCAGTTGCGCGCGACCAGGGTGTACGATGCGGTGTACAAGGAAAGGGTTGTTTTTTTTCAGATTAATGTCCCTTCCCTATCGCGGAGGCCAGAAACCGTCCGAGTGCCTCGATCTCGTCAACCACACCAGGCAACCACACTCAGCTCTCCAAAGATCTCCACAGCTCCTTAGTGTACTGGCTGAGGCACGTCTCGCACTTGCCGCATTTGCCACAACCCGGCGGCACCATCCTCCCTTTGTACACGTCGAAGACCCAGTTCTTGATCTCATCCCTTCGCTCCCACCACGGTCCAGATTCTAGATCGTATTTGTCTGGGGCAGTAGGGAAGTCCTGCTCATGCTTCTTCGGCGTGCGATTCGTAAGGGTGTACACATCAACGCCCGCCTCTTTCGCAACCTCAACCAGCCTCCTGAAATACACCTTTTCAATTCTCGGACCCGTGGTCTCATCATAGCGCGTCCTCTTGTACTGACGCTCAATGTCCTCGAGATAGATAGCCTTGAGGTTACCCATGAAAGACTCGTAGGCTGTAGAGAGCTTATCGTACTCTTCTTCATCAGCAGAATCCCATCCCTCCATCCAGCGCCACGACTCGATGCAGGAGATTAGTGCATCCTCGAGCCAGTCAAGAAACTTGCCTTCGCACTTGGCGAGGAAGCCCTCCCCAACCTGCCCCCAGAAAACCAGTCGTTCGATGCCGCTAGGAAAAGCGTGCTCGCGGAACCATCTAATAAAATATTTGCACCACTGATCGGGGGTCCAGTCGTCGCCCTCGTGTTGATCATCGAAGCTTGACGTCGAGTAAAAGGCATCCAGTTCTAGGTCTGAGATGTCCATAGCCACGGTCTTCAAATTATTGGCTTCGTTGAGCTCTTCGTTGCGGTAGACGTTGCATCTATAGCCATGAATCTCATAAGGATCGTAAGGACCGTAGAACATCAGGGTTTGTAGGTGATCCTGTTGTGCTTTGCTGAGGCCCGAAATAAGCTGATCGGCATCATCCATACGATCGCGCGAGTGGCCAGCACGGAGTGTAAAGGTCTCGAGAGCTCGCGGAGCTTGTGTAAGTGCACATCGGAAGGAGTACGGCATGTCGCCGCAGTCATCGAGGAAGATGTGTTTGACAGTAGATGATTGCTTGGGAATGAGTGCGCGAGACTCGTAATCTGTTTGATCGTCCCAGCCCGAACGTCGGAGATCGTTGTAGTATATCGAATTGAGGCATGGCAGGCGAAGGAGGGCAGAGAACACTTCCATAGACTTGTCTGAGCCGTCCAAAGGAGGATTGTTGTGCTGTGTGTGCCGTGTCGTCATCCAGGTGTCTGACTCAACACCAACGGCGACGTTCTTAACGCTGCAGAGTCCAGGGGGCCAATGACTGCCGTACTGAATACTGCCCTGAACAATCCTTTTAAGCCATCCAAGACTAGACTTCTCCCTGTGCTCATAGGTGATAAATCTGACGTCCCGTAGCCTCGGGCAGTATGCGATGACAAGCGCTTTCAGGATACCGTCAAGGCCGTTCTCAAATTGCTGGCGGGCCTCGAAGAATACGTCCTCGTCGCCACCATCAAATAATGCAACCAATTGGTCCTCGATGCCTTCGAGATACTCCTCTAGTTCATCATCTTGCCATTTCCAGGGTTTGTTATTGGTACCCATGTCGTCTTCGTGCAGTGGTCGGTCGAAGGGTAGCGGTTTCCAGTCCAGCCAACTTGTACGATCATACCAGATCTCCAATGAACGAACATGCCAGGCCAGAAGTGGATCATTACGTCCGAAAATGCTACGAAGCAACGTTGGTATCGTGGTTGGTAGGATATCTGATGCAACTCGGTACTTCTTGAAAGCCTCCTGGTGGCGCTTCAGAATTCTGCTAGAGCAGTCTGCAAGTCTTCTGCAGGTGAGCGCGAAGTCGACTTGATTCTCATACGCGATGAAGTCAATGATTTGATAGATGAGCTCAGTCGTCAGGTTCGTGATGTAGCATCCACAGTGAGGTGTCGCCGTTGTGTTCGAGTTTGATTCCTTCAGATCGATCATGGTTGTCAACAGGGGTCCAGTTCGTTGTAGTATCCAATCTTGTTGTGCCCGGGCTTGTTGTATCGGAAGTTATAAGTGGTTCGGACTGTGGGCGATGTCAAGCGTCTTAGGTGTGGCAACGAGACGTGATTGGGCGCTAGGGCCTCACTTGGTGCCTGGAAAGCTCAGGCATCCATCACTAGCCAAACGCATCCATAAGGTGGCATCTCGAAATTGGAGAACGTTCACTCAAAGATGTGAGTCATGTACTGGTGGCGTGAACTGAACCTAAAATTGCTATCGGCGTAGATGATGACGTCAACGCTCACAATATCGCGTCCATTTGTATCTAGGTACCTCATCATGAAGTGGTTGCAACTTGATACAGAAGCGGTTCGCGCTTCATGCGCTATATGAGCTGACGTAGTACTGCAAGTATGTCAGCTTGTGCTCAATGGTCGAGGTGAGATTTCTAATCCTACCGTCAAGACAGACTCATCGTCGCCATTGTCATTCGGTAGGTAAACATAAAGAATCAAAGCATGCTCGTGGCAGAAGCCTGTCAAGAGTCAGCAAAGGATCAGACAGATGTTGTTCATGCAGACACTCACAGGCAATAACTCTCCCACCAAGTCTCCCCACGCTCATCACCTTTCCCCAGTCGCGCCCGTCTATCCTGACCGTTGCCCAGCCTTCTTCGCTGCGCCCGTCCGGAGAGCCCAACTGCTTCATGCGCGTGCTCGGATGATTAGCAAGTCCGTTCTCGCCTCCCGCGACCTGCGCAGGATCAAGTTCCGGGTTGCTGAGATCTGTCCACACAGACGATATGCTCATTGCATCTGTCTTAATACTCATCTTAAGGCAGCCGTGCATGTTCGCGGCGACTTCCAGTCTTGTCCTAGATGCTGTTGAACCTGACGCTGGCTTTATATCTGCGAGCGCTAGCTTTGTGAACCTGTCGCTGATGCTCTTCAATTGCATCAGCGGCGGGAGTATAATGTGTACGTCTGGCTCTCGCGTTTGTGGCTCGTGTATGTGGGCTACTGTGTCTGGTGCAAGCACTCGCACGGGGATTTCTTGCGTGACGACCGTTTCGCGATTGCCTCCGAAGGCGTTGTCAAATGGCGCGTCAAAGCCGTCATCATTGTTGGCACCCGCAGTAGGAAAGGCACTGTATGAATTCGAAGAGGTGGTCGTGACGATAGTAAGGGCAAGTACAGGCATGTTGTCCTTCTTCGTGAGACGTATCTGGGCGGAGGTGGCGTTCAGAGCGGATTTGAGAGCTCGGTTGAGCGAGGTGAGCGGCACCTCAAGATTGATAATATTGTTGGCAGCAGATTGTACGGAGATCGTCTCAAAGATGGCATCCTGGGTGGCGTATTAGGCGATGAGTCGTTGTATCGAAGGTATGCGGCTTACAATGGAGAGGACGCTAAATCAGATCAGAAAGGCTGCAGATACCTGAGAAGACGTATCAACTCACGCCCAGACCTGTGTGCCCTGCTCGGGTATGATGGTGAAGCCCACTTGCTCCTCGCTCAATTTCACCCAAGCTAGCGGTCCAAGCGAGTTGAGGGATGCTGTGAGCTCTGTATGTTGTTAGTGATATGCATACTCATGGAACAAGGCTATAAACTACTTGTGAATGTGGAAACATTCTGGATCCGGGCCTTGAATCGCATCGTGCAAATTGGTGGAGTGGAGACAGACGCGTCGCGTAAATTCGTGAGGAGCTTGTCCTACATCAACAAGGATCTTTAGTGCGTTTGTGTCATTTGCCTATGGGCCACAATATCTGCCTCAAAAGGCTTTGGTGTGTGATGACTAAGCCTACAGACTTGCGTCCCATGTCTCCGCCATCGCGTAGGGTTATTGCACGATCGTGTCGGGCTTTAGGTACAGTTGCTATGGCGATGGGGTAATGAACATTAATGCACAGATCTGGCGCCCTCCAATTCCTTCGTATGTACCTCTAAAAACTCGCTAGATTTCAGTCACCACTAACCCTAACCCTAATGGACTATCACATCCCACCCCGCATTTTTTGTACTAGGGGTCCGACCTACCATCTTTCCTTATCCTGCTAGAGATACGCAATCATATTTACGCGCATCTGCTTCCCAACAGCGGCGTAGCAGTGCAGCTGGTTAGGCGTAACAACGCGGCAGGCCACAGGCCACAGTAAGACAAGGCATGGACATGGATGTTAAGCGCGGCTTTGATGTCACCAAAAGTCTACACTAAAGACAGGCGAGGGCCTTACCTAACAGCTAGTCCGATTCGAGTCAAACCCCAATTCGGTTTCGGACCCGTGCACCTTGTTCGATTTCTACTAAGAAGCTCGTTTAGGACCCCAATTCATTTGGGCTGCAACATTAGAACTAGACCCTTGGCGCTGCGTTCCCTCTCCATGCAGCTCGGTACGTGGGTGCAACACGACTCTGCGCACATTTTGCACTTTTCAGAATCGCCGTGCGACCACTGTGTGGATGGAAAGTGGATGGCAGCGTTGCTGTTAGAGAGAGAGGTGGGGTTGGCGATTCAAGGATCCTTTGGGTAACGGGTACTGTGTCGGTTGCGTGCTCCATGCGTCACAACCAGTCGATGCGCGCGAAACACCAGAACGTCACTTTTGCCAAGAATAAGGCTATAGCGCCACACACTGTGACCACCACAAGAAAAGTCAGTGGCACACTTAGTTAACGTATGCCACCAACCCTAGTACTCGAAGCTCTTTTGCGTGGAGCGATTTCGCGCAACCACGGCTATTGTACTTCAGTGAAGGTGTGGGCGAACGCGCTGCAGCCAGAACGCTACTACACACAGTAGCAGCAGTAGCACCACAATCCTGCCTCTCTCTAGGTACCGCTTCCCTGTGGTGCCTTTACATTTACCGTTTTGGGGTGATTGTAGAGCAGTTTCATAGCTGTTCTCCTCTTTGCGCGCATGGAAGCGGTCTGCAAGGAGTCAAGAACTCCGAAGGAGTGCACGAACGCCGGTAAGATAAGGTAGGACATGATGCTGTGGCTTAAGGAACGGAGTATTTTGGATTCTAGATCGGATCAGATAGCTGCGGACTGGTATTCTAGCGTGGGTTCTTAGTTGGGTCAAACACGGGCGCTATAAACGGCGTGTCACATTCAGAAAAGTGACTTTGCGTTCGTATTGTGACTTTGGGTTCGTATTGTGACTTTGGGTTCGTATTGTGACTTTGGGTTCGTATTGTGCATGAACAGCAGATCTGGTGTTGCAATGTTTAATAGAACCAAGAAAGCAGAAGACCAGGTACCCTACCTTTGAACGTGTTTGAATGCGAATGTAGTCCTGTAGTAGAGCCTTCCAGAGAGATATAAAGAGTGTATATCCTTCGTGTCTACATGTCTATCATCATCAATCACTACAGTTGTTCGTCCACTCTTTACAGTCACCGATTCACTCTTTAAAGTCACTCATTCACTCATTCACTCCTTACAATCACTTATCCACTTGTTCAGACCTCTATAAACGAACTTTGCAAAGATGCAGCTCTCTAACCTAACCTACATTATTGTTGCTGCCATGGCTCTAAGGTAGTTTACCCAGTAGCAGAAAACCATAGAGAATGTAGCTAACTTCTCGTGCAGCGGCGTTGAGGCTCGCGGAGTCGGTGGTGCTGGTGGCCGTGGTGGCCGCGGTGGCCGTGGTGGCCGCTTTGCCAAGGGTGCTGGCAGGGCTGGTGGACACGCCATTGATGTGATTGGTATTGGTTTTGACATTGCTGGGTTCATTCCCGGATCCGGAAAGTAAGCTTCCCTTCGCTCTCAGGATACATACAATGGCGGAACTGACGTAATGCGAAGCCACTATCAGCACAACTGCTGCCGCAACAACGGCCCCTCAGGTGGCGGCTGGATCTTTGATGCCTGGGCCACTTCGCTTACCAAGGATGCTTGCGCGAAATTTTCCACTGCGCAGCTCATCAATGATGTTTGCGTGGAAGCTCAGGGCCAGGCGATCTCAGGCGACGCCTTCTTCAATGCCTGCAGGTCCCTCGTTCCGGGTGACAACAACGTTGGTGCCGGATACCGTGGCACTTGTTAAGCAGTGTGCCAGTGCATAAGGCGACTGCCGAGGCAGTTACACAGCACTACAATACAGGTGTCCCTACTTGTAGGACATGGTTGCTTTCAGGTGGTAACAACATAAAGGGCAACCTGTCTACCTAACCTACACACCAGTGCTGCTTCTAAAGCCTTACCATGTTAGAAACTGCTGCAAAACTACACACTCATTTAGTATGTTCTCAATTGTTAGTTTGTTCTAGATTTCCTTTAAGCTATGCTCCTTACTATTCTTCTCCATAACGACTACTTCCTTCTACCATAGGATATTTTACAAATTACTCCCTAAGCACCAGTCCTTTTCCCTATACACCCTATGGGACATACTTCTATACTAGTAGGACCCCTGCCACTGACCCTATGAGGTTTACCATCTGCAATGATAGACGTAGACCCTAGCGTCGTGTTTAGTTAATAATGCAGCTCTGCGAGAACGTGCGATGCAGTTATGCGCTCATTTCGCACGCTTTGGAGTGGCTGCGCGGTTATGGTGTTGATGGAAAGTAGCGTTGCGATCGGTGAGCAGGTTGCAGCAATGTCATCACGCCTACCGATTTCGTGGGCGCGTCAGGGGCTCTTACCATAACATCACAACTCATGGAAAAATGGAGAGAGCTACATATAGTGACCTGAACAGATAATCCATGTACTGGGATCCACAAGCGCATACACCGATTACTGAATTTCTGGGTAGACCAGGACGGCACATCTAGCCAAGCACCACGCAAGAAAACTGTACAAGCCATCATTCCTCACCACTGCTGCCTCCTCATCTGCAGAGACCCGTCCTGCGGCGTTGGTAGATATCCACCTGGCACCTGCTGCGCGTGTCTATACTCAGGCGGTGGCACACCGTGCCCGTACCCGTTTGCATGACCCTGACCATGCGCACTCGCATGCCCTTGATGCACCGCTGGACCCAAACCTATCTGCCCACCCTGTCGCTGACTCTGTGCATACGCCTGAGGCTTCTGAGGATAGTAGTTTGCCTGTTGTGGGACAGGAAGTTCCATCATGCCCTGCTGTCCATGCCCAGCATACCCATTCGTCATTAGCACTCTCTGCTGTCCATATCCTTGTTGATACGCCCCAGTACCAGCGCCAGAGAACGCCGCATGTGCTGCTGCATTCGCACTCGCCGCCCCCGAACCATCACCAGCAGGCACTGCCTTCGCCTCATCGCCCGGCGCACCAACAACGTAGCCCCAAGTCCCCTTTGTAAGTTTCTCCTGCACGAACTTGACTTTCTCCGCGATCTTGTCCGGCATCTTGCCCTCACAGCCCTTGAGAGCCCAGGAACAGGCTTTGACGACATCTTTCCACATCTGCTTCTCGTTCGAGCTAAAGGTAGGGTTGCCATGCTCTTGTCGCACACGCTCGAGGACGCCCATCATCAGGCCTTGAATTCGATTTGTTATATTCTCTTCGGTGACCTCAAGCTTTGGGAGCAGGACGTGGAGATTGCTTGGATGACGAGCGCGAAGGCGAGATGTGCTGTAGGAGATGTCGACAGGTGCCGCAATGAAGACTTCTTTCGCTGCTGTTGCGAGACTTGCAGGACCGACAGCGAGGCGAGCGAATGCTGCGATTCCTTCCATTTCCATGGCGAAGAAGGCTCTGGACAGCGCAAAAGGTGCGTCGGCGATCTGGACGGCGTGGTGAACTTCACTTTCCTTGCCCGCAGCTTGACACTTTCCTTTCTCATAGCTGCGTGGGTCGATGCACAGCCGAGCCCATGTCTTGCTGCGAGGATCGAGATGCTTCTTCACGACACCGACCACGTCTGCCCCATACCGCTTCTCGCTCGCACCTCTCAGTCGAAAAGCAAAGGTTACAAGCTCATCTTGCGCTGCGTGAAGATGAGACCGCGTAATTGAGGAAGACAGGAAGGTACCGATATAGTATGCGAAGAAGTACATGTAGGTCGTCAGGTATGGGCTGGTGATGCTCTGTGTACTGCTGTCGAGGAAGAGGATTGGGATGCCCAATTTCTTAGCATATGACTGCAAGCGTTCCAGATCTGGAAGCGTGTTGCTCCTGCCCGCCGCAGAAGGCTTGACGCTGGTCGCGAGGTGGAGTGAATTCGTGATACTTATACCGGCGAGTGCATTGCGAAGGGAAGATGTGGTCGTGTTGATAAATGACAACAGTGGCCCGATGACGGCTCCGTGGTGCCAAATGATCTTATGTGTCTTCGAGGCAGAGAGTGCGCGGCCAAGTGCGGTACTTACGCGCTTGACCACTCTCTCTATGTCCTGGTTGCCAGCGCCATTACTGCTGGGTCGGTAGTTCCAGCCTCGAACCACGATGATACTCGCGTTTGCGTAAGAGCACACTGTTCTCTCAAGGTGCGTACTTCCAGACTCGCCAGTAAGATGCTCGACTAGTTCACAAAGTCGCTTGAAGTGGCCCTTACTTCTATCCTCTTCTGCGATGATCGCTATACCGCCCTTCATACCCTTGACCACATCTTTTGACTCCCGCACGCCCAGATCGCATAATTTAGCAAGCACGCTGGTCAGCTGCAACAGGCTGTCGATATCGCTGTCCGCCTCCCAGACGTGCAGAGCTTTCGGGTCACAAAAAATATCAAGCGTATCGTTGGACATGGAGGTGAAAGCTGACTTGTTGTCCGAGGGGATTGAGGAGAAGGACTTCTTCAAAGTGGCCAGATCGCGCGACCACGGGCCGGCGAAGGACATGCTGTGACCGTAGCGTCTATGCTTACTCTTGAGACGACGACTTGGGGTATGGAATTCTGAGTTGGCGTGTTCCAGGGTAGCGACAAGCGAAGAAAGACCTTGACCAGGTGGGTGCTTGCTAGTCGAGGTGGCCTTCCGAAGATGAGGCGTTGACGGCTGGGAAGCTGTGCATTGCGGAAAGGGGAGCGATTGCGACTTTGAAAGGTAGTGGAGTATGCGCTTAGTGTACTCCATCGAACCTCGTTGCGTGAAGTGAAGGCAGCTGACAATCAGGCCATCAGAGACACCTGTTGTGCTGGCAGAGTGAACGTGAAGAGGAAATGTGTGATGTGTCGCTTGCCAGACTACACGTAGATAGCAAGGCGAACGTGACTGTTGGTCAGCAAAAGCGTGCCAGGAGTTTCGACTGTCACGCCGATACTGCTGGGAATTCGATCGTGAAGAGGGATGTGTGAGCAAAACGATGTTGTTGTCAACGAAAATTGAGAAGAGATAAGGAGCAAACAAGTCGTCGGTACCAACGCAGCATTTGCGTGACTAACGCCAGACTCCCGAGCTGTATCATTCACAGTTAAGCTGAACTCCGAACAATCTGATGCAAAGTGAGTGTCAAGATCGACAGTGGCCTCATAACCCAACTCCACCTCCCTTCGCGACAACCGTCGCCTTATCGAGTATATCTATCTTTCGACTGAGTAAGCCTCGAAGCTCTGGGCTGATAACCTTTGCTTCTGCGCCGTTGTCTGTGCTTGCTTGTTTGCCCTTATCAGTACCAGATGACGAAGCCTGCGCATTCGAGTCTTGCGTCTTGAGCATCGGGCCTGGTCCTGAAGCTATCGCAGCCAACTGCTTCCTTTGCCTTGCCTGTGGGGCAGATGGGAAGTTGCCTTTCTTGTCGACCGTCTCGACGGTCCTTTGAAACCGCTTGAACAGTGACTCAGCGCGTACAAGTGTTGACTCCAGGTCCATCGTACCGGAAAGCTCGTTGACTGTCGTGGGGTCAGCATTGGCCTCTCCTGCACAGGCGAAGTTGTGACTTACCATACTTTAGCACCTCATCGAAGTGCTTCAGGTGCGCCATTATGACATCTCGGTGCTTCTCAAGGATCGCAAGAGCTATAAAGATGTGGAAGTTGCCGCTGTAGTAGTCCGTCCACAATGATTCCCACAGTCGCAGAACATCTGCCCACTCAAACTCGCGCTTGTACCAGACAAGCAACATGCGGAAGAAGAAAAAGAAGTTCGTCGAGTCAGCAGACTGAAGGTGGAGGTAAAGCTTGGGGTCCATGAGCTGTACGAGGTGGTCGAGTGTCGTGAGCTGCTTGCGCATGCCAGACTGGTCGCGAAGGAAGTTTCGCTCCATTCGGTTCATGAACCCAACAAAGCCCCAAAAGGCAACTGCATCATCCTGCATGACTGCGTAGATGGGCGCAAGCAAGTCGCTCATACCCTGAACGTAGCCAAGGTCCTTATTGTACTCGTTGTAGGTGAGGAGCATATCCTTCATCTGCTCAAGATGCACATTCGTGCCAACGTCGGCGAAAGGCGAGTCCGGGTCAGGATGAGGAATATCTTCTCCTTCGAAAATTGGAATGGTGCGATCTGTTCGATGCACGTCCTTCTCTATTGATCGCACCCCATCGGATGGGGACAAGTCAGCCAGGTTCTGTGCGCACGATGGGGTATTGGTGGCTCATACCGATGCGATTCTTCTGCTCCTTCCACCATTCAGCTTGCTCTTCGGTTTGGTTACCTTCGACCATTCGCTCCCACCACGCACCCTTCAGACGGATGTACTCATCCCGGCGACTGTTGATATTTGCACGGCGCTCTTCCTCATTGCTGTCCCAGTCATAAACACCCAGGAGGTACAGCCAGGCCTCTTTCCGTACACCATCATCCGGGTGAAGACCACCGTGGAAGATGCGCTCCTTGACTTCGTCTGGCGTCAGCTGTAGCCGGCCGGTGACATCAAAAAATCCTTTCCACTCTTCCAGTGTGACCGGCTTCCTTCGGTCTGCCATTGTCATCTTGTCCATGTCGAGAATCTCGAAATCGCCGAGTTCGCCTTCCTCCATCGCTAGAACATCCTTTGCCGTCCATATCCTCTGGTTGCGGTCCCGCTCACTTTGTTCAGCGATACCCATGGCCCACCTAGCCAGATATATGCGTGCGCTGTCAAACTCATCTTGTAGAGTCTGCACTTCCGGATTTTGGATCAGGCGCCTAACCTGAGGTGGGATCTTCGGATTGTCGACAACCGCCTGTGCAGTCTTTCGGGTGAATGTTGTGACCTGGCTCAGCTTCTCGAGGATGTTCCATCTGGCTTCCTTCAGTGCTTTGGTGACCGGATCCATGCCACCATCTCGCTTGCCCGGTGTCTGTGCCGAAGCCTCGCCATCCCTCGTCTTCTTCGCAGATCCTGGCGCATCCTTGCCAAAAGATTTCTTGTCATCTTCCGTGGGTTCGACGAGATATATGCTAGGGTCATGGGCGGATCGTTCAACGGTGACGTATCGTTTCAACCATCTCAGGACCTCGTCGCCACCCCAGAACATGCCACCGCCATCGCCGAACGGATCGAATGTTTCTCTTGCGAGTTTCTTCCTTTGTAAGATTGTAGACTGACACTCGCTATCGTGGAAGAAGAGCGCAGGAAAGCTGTCGCCTGCGCGAGTGTTCACCACGACGCTGCCGAACCACCATCCCAAGCTTGGCGGTCGTACCAACAGAGAGTATATCTCGCTCACGGGAAGAGCAAAGGCATAGCCGGGAGTGACTGTATGCGAGGAGGTCGTTGGCGGCGGAGGAACAAGGTACGACGTCTTGGGAGGAGAAGCCGAGTCGGACAGGTCGACCTTCACATAAGTATCGTAGGCATCACCCAAGCCAGACTCGGGCAGCCAGGCAAGGAGTAGGGAGGATGAGCTGACGCTCTTCGAAGAGGATGAAGAAGTAGGGCGAGCATCGTTTGTGTTTTTGGGCGACTTTTGCTGCACAAGTGCTATGAAGCCTGGAATGTTGTCTTTGGCGGAGGGCGAGGGGTGGATGTATACCTGCGCATGTTGGGTCAGCTTCACGCCACTGGGCACGATCAGGAAGATAGACACACTTTACTCTTAGTGTACAGTAGCTTCACGCCTTTCCCACTCTCTGCGTGTCTGATCGTATTGTACTCGCCCTCGTCGTCGTCGCTCACATCGTAGAACGAGGCGGACGGCGAAGGCGGGCTCGGTGGTGCCGGAGAGGCCATGGCGGGGCAAACAGGGCTGCAGCAACCGCCAGTATGGGAATGTGTAACGTTCCAAAAAGCCAGAAAAGTATTTCGAGTGTAGTTTGCAGTGCTTCAGGCGGGACACAGCTCACGGGGCAGGAGCACATGAAAGTGGCTGCTGTAGGTAGCAGCGACCTCTCAGGCTAGTCAGCGGGACATGACGTTGCTTGTGTGGCGCACGCGGGGAACGCGTTCAATCAAGAACCACGCTTTGCAAGATTACTTTGAGCGATCTAGTATTAGGACGGGAAAGCTTGCGAATATGTGTATAGCCTGTACTGCTTGCTACGTGTACGAAGCCAGCGTAGAGCGGCTGCATGCTCTACAAGCGACCTGAAACGCCGTGCTGCCCGGTTGCAGTCTATGCAACACCCACCCAACCCCGCGAATGCCCTGCAACTCCAAATGCGCCAGTGCCGTATGTACAAAGAAGATCAACGCATGCGCGGTCCACTTGGCAGACCAACACGTCCTCCACCAGGGGGTGCGCGCTGTGGTGCGCTTCCGCCGTAGCTCCCTGGTGCATATGGATCGTAGTCGCCAGACGAGGCCTGCTGTCTTCCTCCACCGCTGCCACCAGCTGAATGGTTGCGGTCGTCCGGGTGTGGGGCTCTGCCACCTGGCGCGGGACGTTCGTAAGACACTCTTGCTGGTGGCCCTGAGCCCACAGACGATGTGCTTTGCGCTGGACTTGCCGGTCTCCCTGAGCCCCACAATCGCTGCTTGAGCCTCTCCTGTGCTGTAGTGCCTCCTCCTGCACTTGGTGGTGGGGATGGGTCGGCGCCTTGACGGCCTCCTGCGGTCATGGAGCTTTGGTAGCTGCCAGCTCTTTGGCTTGGTAGTGGCCTGCCTTGGCCCTGTGGCTCTGGTGTTAAAGAGCTGCCCATGCGACCCTGAAGCGGTCGCGCTCCTGCTCCTGCCCCTGCGCCCCTGCGCAACGACGAGGGCTGCTGTACCTGTTGTTGCGGTACTGGACTGTCCCAAAGATCACTCAGACCTCCGCCTCCCCGTCCCATCGGTGCGCCCTGGCCCTGCTGTCGCCCGGCTGAGGACACAAATTGCTGCGCCGGCTGCGGTTGCGGGGCTCGTGGGTCAGGTGGTAGCCATTGCGGGTACGGGCGACCTTTCTCTGTGTAGTATGCGCGGAGGACTCGAGAGATGTGTGAATCCTCTTCTGTGTCGCCGTCGTTCTCGTCGGAGAGTAGCTGCCGGCGAAGGTTGGTGTACCGTGACGTAGTATTGGTAAGGAGATTATTCAGGTACGACGACATGGCGCTGCGAGAATACTCTAAGTATGAGGTCGCGTGAGTCTCAGGTGGTCAAGGTACCTTTATTAGGGGGTTCGGTGCACATGCGATGGTGGGGTTATGCCTCGAAGCAAGTGGTGAGGGAGCTGTTTCCAGTTGCTCGGCGGCGCCCAAAACACCGACCAGCTCTCCAAGCGAGATGAACTGCAAACCCCTACCCAGGGTTTTCTTCCACCAGCATTGGACATACTGGCTGAAAACTATCATCAAATCCCATGTTCGCAGCCTTCGCAGGGCTGAGGCATAGTTCTGATACAGGGCCATTGCTCAAGAGTCCCATCTCCTCCTTGGGCAGCCTCGACTTGGGATTCTTCAACGTCCATAATGCACGAAACGTCACACACCTTGGAACACGCAAACGACTCGGCGTTCAAGCAGACAGGGAAGAGCCAGGATGTTTTCTCGATTCGAAACACCTTGAAACAACGTTACAGACGTCATGTACCTACACACGATCACGTACCGTGATGCACGTAGCGTGATCACAGCTCGGTCGATGTCAATATCTCGAGAGGCCTTTTGAACTACGCCAATTACCTCGCCCGTTTCTCTACAGAGCTATGGCTTTGTGCAGCTCTTTGACGCCATCCGTTTTGCAAAGAGTGACAACGACGAGCATGTGTAGATCAATAGCCCGACTCGACTACCAACCCATGATGGGCTGCGTACTAATATTAGCACCGTTCTGCGTCCGACTTCTTTGCTCCTTGTTGTCCGCAGTCAACCACGCTATGGAATTGCATGCCGTCCGTTACCGTCACAAGCGCTCTCCCGCTGACAATGGCTTCTGAGGGTCTCTAAAGAGCGTTGTGAGAAAGTCTATCAGGCATAGCGACAACAAAGGCCGGACGACAAACAGATCGATGAAGACAAAGATTGAAGGTGAGGAACTGTTTTGGACTGTCGACAACGGTTTAAGCAAACACATTTGCCTGTTGATCCGCAGTTCAGCCATCAAGCAAACCTCAGTCGACGAACCTTATTCTCACCTTCGCTCTATCTACGCCAAAAGGTCAACGCTACCGTTACGATGGCTAGAAGATAAGCTCCAACTCAAACCACAGCTCAGCGGGAAAACCGACGCATCATTAAGGGCATTAGTAATGCCTGGAGAATCTCACGCCGGAACAAACAACCAAGGGGTCTTAAAAACAATGGCAACAACTGTTATCGCCACGGCCTCCTTCAAAGTCTCCTTCATCTTCCACGCTTCCTCAACTGGATCTGTCAGCACAGAAAGAAAGACCAGAACTGGCCTTGTAACACAGTCCACTCGAGCTCGCTTGACCATGTCGGAGAGGTGTCTGACTCCGACCTTCTAAAAGAAGTCAACGCTAACGTGAAAACAGCCTACTTCCCTTATTTACTGAAGAACCTGATCATCGCTTAATGGGGCACGGACAAACTCGACAAAGACGGAAGCGGCGAAGATGTGAATGCCCACGTGGGGGGCGATGCAGAGATTGGCAACGGAGAGGGAAACGACGATGAGGAAAGACCCGATTTAGCAGTGTTTTAACACAAGCATGATGCTATATCGCCGATCCACAGGTTCGCTGAGCGCTCTTTCTGCCGCAATCCTGACAATTGGTATGACGTCCTCAATCACGCAGACAACGTCATAAAAGCCAGGCTGAGAAAGATGATATCACATTGGGCTTGATGAGAAACAGTATGATAGTTCAGCAAGATGCGCAAGAGCTCATGACTCGACTTCTGGGGTGGGGATGTGGTGAAAGCGTCGAAAATAAGTAAGTATGCTCCTTTGCACCTTCATCTTAGTCGCGCTGACAAGAGTGCAGTGACCGCCGACACAATCAGTATAAAGCTTTGTTTCACACCGTGTATAGAGAGGCGCGGGAATTCAGCGAATGCAAAAACGGCGAGACGAGCACAGTGGTAGATTTCGGCCAACGAGTCACACCACTTACCTCGGGCCATGACACACTCGAAGCTGCTTTTACTCGGGCCATGACAGCACATGCCTTTTTCTCGAACAGCGACCCCGAAGGCAATAAAGGCAAGGACGACCACGTCAAGTGTCCAATACGTAAAAAGCAGTCTGTCAACCTCCACTCACCTATACGCATACGGAGTGCTCCCGAGTACATGTGCATCCACGTCAATCTGTTCGCCAGGAACAGTTACGGCCAGCCGATCAAGAATCGCAACTCGATGCGCATCCCCGACATGCTCGACCTCACCCAACATGTCGAGACAGTCGACAACCACCCAGCCGCACCGCTACGCTACAAACTCATCGACGTCGTCTATCAAGTGGGCGAGCAACTGAGTTCTGGTCACTAACCCGAGCCAGCCGAAGGCAGCGAATCCGCAAATCTACTGAACCAGTATCTCTTGAATGACAGGTACGTCCACCCGTGGCGCAATGCTGCTCAGACGAACATATTAACAGGAATCCTGCGGGCTTCGATGAGAAGAAGGTACCAAAATACGACCCATACCTGTTATTTTACGAGTATATTTCCAACGGCAGGAAAAAAGTCAAGCCATTCACAGCCATCGATGAGGAGTCATCCATCGCTGAGCGCATCAGAGGTAAGCTTCTGACCAGGAAAGACAGGGCGAACGTCCGACGAGGAAAGTATTACAAGCGACAGAAGGAATGTAGTGATTATGGTCCGATCGTGCATGCAATAGAAGCGTTCTCGACAACGTGTAAGGCACGTAGAAGCCTATCACTGAGATGTAGAAGGCAAGTACCGTCTAGAGTGAGTGGCGGTAGAGGATGCTATTAGGCAAGTGATCACATTACGCTGGAGGTATTCGCTAAATGTCGTGATATCCCGAGTATGGATGCTGGCCATTACATCTTGAGAGTGAAGAGCAGGATAGAGGTACCTTGTGGAGAATTTCAATCAATCCCAGAAAGAGGGATTCGGTACTTAGTTACCGGGGGTAATAACATTGAAGGTATGCTGGTCTTGTATACCACCATTGCCCTCAGTGCCCGTTCTTCCTCAAGGTGTGCGCTACAGTTCCAAGACCTCACAACAAGATATGCATTCTTTGTCGACGATTACTTGTTTCCAACGGTACTGGAAGTTGATTACATGGTCATTGGATGACTGGCAAAGTCCTTCATTACAGCGTACATACAGCTACCGGTACATATCGGACACCATCACTTCTTCTTGAACAGCTCCTCCAACAGTTTCTGGTCATTCCTTTGCTCCTTCTGCGCCTTCGGCGGAGTCATGCCCACTGGAAATAGGTCCGGGCCTATCCATCTGCGACTGCCTGTGGCGTCTGGATGTATCGGTCTTTCATGAGCATGCCTTATCTGAGGGATGGGCACACGAGTGGAAATGCTCCGAGTCCTTGGTACTGCTTCTGCAGCACTGCGCTCTTCGGGTACTGATCTCTGGGTCGGTTCTGGGGTTGATATCGGGTGCGATCTAGGTTTCTCCCTTTGTTGCGTCTGCTGCGCCTGCTTAGAGCTAGTTCCACGCTGACGACTCCTGAGATGCTCCTGATATTCACGTATCCATCCCGGGATATCATCGTCTTGTTCCATGTCATCGCGGACATGAGAACACTCGCAATCGAGTGGCTCGTCATCAGAGTTCCACGACGGAACGTCCTCGTCCAGCTGGCGGAGTCTTGGCGACGGCGGCGATGGCGGTGAGTCTGAAGGAGTAGTTGAACGCTCTGCAATGGGCTCTTGGATACTTTCAGTAGTGTGTGGCATTATCGCTTCAGCCTCGCCGCCGGGAGTATCTTGGTCAAAAACTGATGAGCTTTCTGAAATTTGTCGCGCCGCAACAGGGTCCTCGGATAGGGACGCGGAGACAGCATCAGACGCGATCTCTCTCACAGATGTTAGGGTTTGAGGTGGTCTTAGCCGACAGCCCTTTCGAAAGTAATACATTGCATCCGTGTTCGGTGGTTCAGTCGGCAACCTGTCTCTGATTCCTTGCGTACGAAGCTGTGCGGCCATCTGGATCTTTCCTGCTTGCAGCTTCTAATATGCAAGATGATCCTTGAGATACAACGGGCGAGGCTCGAAATTTGATGTGCTGCTCGTGATCGCGGATTGTATGGCACTATCGATCGAATATTGTTCTGGTGTTTCAGGTGAGGAAGAAGTCACAGAAGTGTCATCTTCTCCGCTCGATTCATCGAACTTAGCATTAGCCGCTGCATAATATTCCCTTTGAGACTTATTGTGAACGTGCTCAACCAATGGACCCAAAGCATGAAATCGATGCGGGTCAGTCCTCGAAGTAAAGGGCAAGTCGGTACTTCTCAAAGAGTTGGGGCCGGTAGGTATCTTCTCGTTGTGCAATAGCTTTCCACCAATGGGACCGAACTCTGAATAGTCAACCGGGGGAGGTCTGGCTGTATGCTTGGGGGCTTCAGATGTCAGTTCCGACTTCTGCAACCATGCTCTTACCAATTCCCGCCCATCAGCGTATGTACCTGGCATGCCCTGGGCTTGGTTCTTTAATTGAGACATAGAGGTCTTCACCCGATCGACTTGTTTCCACAAGCTCGAGTCGCTGCGATCCACGCCCTCAATGACTTCTGTTTCCATGTCCGTATCTGCTAATGGGCGAGTTCTAGGGCGTGGGCTATTAGGCTGCCGTGGGGTAGCTGCGAGCGGTGCGCGCGTGATAGGACAAAATATCGGTTCGGCAACCCTAGAAGGTCCTCGAGGCTCTTTCCTCCTGTTCGAACGGGAAGGTAGAGGTGGGGCATGCAAATCTTGCTGCTCTCGGAAATTTTTCAAGTCGGCGATCTTCTGATCCATGAGTATCTTGTTCGGGCAACCCAGGTCGCGACCAAGACTTTGACAGCGAGCCCACGGTTTCTCGGAACTGGCGAAGGGACAGTGCGTACCAGAGTCTCTCCTCGAAGTTCTCAAAGGATCCAGGAGTCGAACTCCCCATCGCCTGTTGCCCAGGTCGACGAATTCGATCGTCCGGCCTCGATTGTCACAATCTTCCTGAAAGGCATACTTGATATCCTGGAACTGAGCCTCCGGCCAGCCGCTGATGGAGTCGAGCATTGCGTTCACATCGTCAATGAACTCATGGGTCAGAATGTAATGTGTGTCAAGGCGGCTGAAATCAAGATTGAGTCGCCCTCGCTGCCTCTGTAAATCCCGCCAATGTGTGTTGGGTGGAGGCGATGGTGATTTCGTCGAGGTCGTGAATGTATCCGTGTCTGTTCGTTTGAGGGTGGGTATAGTTACATGTCCGGAGCTGAAAAGTATAGCTTGCTGCACCCTCGATTTGTCACAAGTGCCGCTTGACGATCCTGAAGGCGGCGACGGCGGTCCGATTCGCTCGCCCATCCCATCCTTGTCTCTTCTCGAGGCTCGACACACCTGTTGCTGTGTCTCCGAGGCAGGTTGCTGCGTCAGTTCCAGTGCTTGAGCGGCTATCGATTGAGTCTCCCGCATCCTCCTTGTTCGGAGATTGTGCAGATCCTCATCGTGTTGAGCCTCAGCCCTCGTACGGGTTTTGGTCGGCAGCTCCTTGTAGCGCCTAATCTCCTCCTCAGTCCTGGCTGCTATGACCTCTTGCCAGCGCACAGCAGCCTCTTCGTCGTCCTCTGATCCTAATGCGGATACGTTATCGGGATCATTGTGCACTTCCTCTGTGTCTGCAGGGCTCGTGTCCTGGTTGTTGGTCCTGTTGTTGAGGGGAGAGGGGCTCTGTTCTCGCCGCTTCTTCTGTCGGGAGGGAGCTAGGGGTTTGCCTGCCTCTGGTCGCTCGAAGGACATGCTGCGCTGGTACTAAATAATTTTATCACAAGCCTGATATCTTGTGCTGATGAAGTGAATGTGGTGTGTCGATAATTGATGTGTGAAGACGGGGAGCATTCTGAGTTGACGGTCGCTGCAAGTTTGTGTAGTGCAGAAGTCGTGAGGACGCGATTTCTGTCTCTGTCAGAGTTCTTACCTTTGCCAGTTTTGTGGCTAAACAAGAGATGACGAGTGGCAACAAGTTACAGCAAGAGTGACACTGATGAAGCGCGATCGCCTCGACAAGATCATCGCTATCCATTGGCTTGCCAGTCAGCAGCGTTTGCACGCACACAGTCCCATTCGAACTTACTCTGAATGACATTGCGTCCTACCACCCTACTCGAATTTCATCTTATTGATGATACTACCAATCCCCTCGACATAGATCTCAACCTCATCCCCATCCTTCACGAACCCCTTTGGCTCCATAAACAGTCCAACTCCACTCGGCGTACCCGTCAAGATCGCAGTGCCCGCCCTCAAAGTGGTGCCCCTACTGAGATGCTGTATAATCTCGCCAACAGTGAAAATCATATCATCTGTTCCAGTCTCCTGTCTCTTCTGACCGTTGACCTTAGTCCAGTACCTCAACCTTTGCGGGTCGCCAATGACCTCTTTGCTCGCAATGCAGGGCCCAATGGGCGCAAACTTGTCGAAGGACTTTGCATAACCAAATTGGCCGCCCGAGACGGTGACGGGGAGCTGGAAGTTGCGTGCGCTGACGTCGTTGCCGACTGTGTAGCCGAGGACATAGTCTTGCCAGTTGTCCTTGGTGGCGTTCTTGCAGTCTTTGCCGATAATAATGGTGAGCTCGCCTTCGTAATCCAGATTGCTCTGACAGTCCTTGTGGATTGGGATGTCGTCCAGAGGTCCGGCGAGAGCATCGCTGGGCTTCATGAAGACGGCTGGGTTGGATGGAATTGTGAGCTACGAAAGTAAGCAAGGTGGCTAAGAATACATATGCGTTGTTACTGACATTGCTTTCTTCGGCATGCTGTCTGTAATTCAGACCGACGCAAAGGATGATGTTCGTGGTAGGCAGCGGACATAGCAGCTTCGATACTTTGGCTTTGCTGCCCTTCTTGCTGAAACCGCTCTTCACATCGCCTTCGAGCACCTCAACTTCTTTGCCTTGGATCTCTCTTGTCGGTGTCTGTTTTGTCAAGTCACCATAGTAAGTCTTCCCATCATCGGCTTCGAACCGGATCAGATGCGAGAAAGCCGCCATAGCTTTGGGTTTCGATGATGTGGAGAGAAGGCGTACGTCTCCTGGCTTGAAGCTCGTGAAGGTTATTCTTGGCGTAACACAGGCAATGCGTGTCCGTGAGTAAGCAAATAACGGACGGGCGAACATAAGGGCTGTGCAAAGGCAATGCAGCTTGCTTATGTGTGCTTCGTTGATGCGCGTGTGGGGGGCTCTGCCCCACGTTTCAGGTGGGGCGAATTCGCGGTTCGGCCTCTGGAGAGCTCCGCTGCGAGGGCACTGCGAAGTCGGCTTTGACGTCCCACTCATACATGACAGGAAATGAACGTCCCGTCCGTGCCATAGGGAATTACTTGCATCGAGAGAAGATGTGTGATGGTTCTGGTTATGTCTCGTACATGCAATAATCATTCAAAGGATGTGAACGCCTCTTGGCTCGCAAGCCGGCTTCGAAACTCCATGATATGCAGTCTGGCTAACAATGCCTACCCAAGCGCGTACTGTAACACCATGAACTCCAATACGTAATTGGCAATCAAACCAAACACCGTCAGAGGCTCTCAGCGCCTGCCACCACCCTGCCTGGCCTTCACTGTCTTCAGAATGTCTATATCTCGTCGGGAGTTGTTGCTCTCGCTGAAGGTAACATGGTTTGTTGGCGCAATATCGTATGTCATGCGACCAGTCTCCATACGAGCGCGCTGGTATGCCTTTGGAGCCTCAAGGGCCTTCTTCCTTGCAGCAGCTTGAGCAGCAGCTTGGCTGTTGGCAGCAGCATTACCAGTAGCGGCCTTTCGTCTACATTCGCGTTAGTCAAAGATACACGGCAAACGCCAGAGTATACATACGTAGGATCGAAGTCGGCCTGTCTGAACTCCTTCTTGCGGTAGTCGTCTGTCCGCCTAAGAATCGGACGAGTCCAATCTGTGAAGAGGCGCTCAGCTTGTCGCTTGATTGTCAATTCAGGACGCTTGCTCTTGATGTAGAACATGATGACCTTGCCAATACCAGATGCAACGAGAGTGTCCTTGTTGATGGGTAATTTAGCCAACGCTGCAAACAGCTCCTTCTGAATATCGTAGGCTGGCAGGCTACCGTCGCTGAGGGGTTCGAGGAAGAAGCGAACAGCTTCGAGGATGTTTGACTCTGGATCTACAATTGACTCTTTGAGGTTGCTCTTGTTCAACAGGGCGACGACTTCTGGCAGAAGCTTGAGCTTGTGTCGGGCTGGTTCGCCGCGCTTGCGGCCTTCATTGTCTGCTTCTGCGGCCTGCGCCATACGGCGGCGCATCTCCTCGATCTCTTGGTCGGCCATCTGTTCAAGATCTATTCCGTCCTTCTTGCGGCGGCGAGTCGAACTGCTCTTCACGATGGCGTCCATTTGTCGCTCGAGTGCGCGCTTTCGACCTATCAATATGTCAGTGGCTTCACCTCTATATGTGCCTTGTTTGACATACGCTCTTCGGGCGTAAGGTTTGCCTCTGCTTCTTCGTCTGGGCTAGCACCTCGTACCCGGCCCTCCTTCTTGGATCTCCTGCTCTTCCTTCCACCCTCGCCCTGGTCTCCACCATCCTCGTCGCCATCCTTGTTCTTCTTGCGACGCGGCTTGTCAGCACGCTTCTTCTTCTTCTTGGGCTCATCACCTTCGCCTGCAGCACGCTTTCTCTTGTGCACACCGATTTGCTTGACTGTGTCCTCGTCTATTGCGCGCTCCTCAATAGCGATGTTGCTGGCATCGAAGTCGCCGAACTGCTCGTCGAAGTCTCCATCATCGAGCGCCTCGGACAGCGCAGAATCGTTGTCTGACAAGCCTGCTTCGATGTCATCCTGATCAGGCATCTCCTCCTTATCTGCCGTCACCTCCATATCCTGGTGCGTCGTGGCGTTAGTAGGATTCGGCGCCGAGTTTTCTTCGTCGATCTCGGGGCGTAGAGGGTCGTTTGGGTCGTTGCCGGCTTCAGGCAGCGGCGAGTTGGAATGCGATTTATTAAACTCGACGTCTTCCATGGCTGGTTGTGTATCTTAGGGGCGCTGGAGCTGATGTGGTGTTGATCACGTATGCGGTCCTGAAGCTCGATATATGAAGACCCGCGACCGCGATACTGAAGGTGAGAGACGTCAGACAATGACGATGATGTCTGCGTTGCGTGAAAGAAAGTCGTTGCTGAGCGCGACTGCCAATGACGAGCGGACCTTCTATTTCACCGAGGCTTGGCGGGAAGGCGCGGCCAGGCTGCGAAGACGCACATCGCAAACCACGGTTCGCACCTCTCCAATCAACCTACGCACATAATCCTGCTCCATCATCTCTTCCGGCCCTGTCCACTTCCTTTTCCTTTTCCTTTTCATTCAACATTCTCGCGACTAACCTCGCGCAACACGCGACATAGCACCTGCAGCCTTTACAGCCGCACTACCTGCTCGTGAACGGGCACCTGCATCACACACACTCTTGTTGGGCGTATCGCGACCACACACTACTTCGCATACATTGGCGAGTAGAGGAGGAAGGCACACAGTGGGTGGAGTGCAGTGGCTGGAGGAGAGCGAGTCTTGTCACTGTCCTGGCTGTCCTGGCGCAGTCTTCTTGCTGCATAACCCAGCGAGGTCATAGCTAGTAGCAACACAAACATCCTGTCACACCGTGTGTTCGAAAGAGAGGAAGCATCTGTTTGTTTTGTCTGCGAGAACAGCCTGCTTGGATCGCCGAACACTGTCTCCAAGCCATTCAGCGCGACCGCATTTCACGACTAACCCTCAACCCCCTTCCCAAAGCACACATTCTACTGCCCGTCATGTCGCTACCTGCTGCCGAGGTGGCTGCCGACTTTCGCGATGCTCTGCAAGACCTAAGGATGAACAGCAGGCCAGAGATTAGCAATCTAACCCTCATCGCGAAGGAGAACACAGAGTACGCGCAGGCCATTTCAACTGAGCTTGAGAACCACATTCGAACAGTAAGTTCATCGACGTTGCTGACATGCCTTTACCTCCTCCTCTTGTCATGCGAGTGACTAACGTGCTCTAGACGCGTCCAGAGTGGAAGCTCCCGTCCCTCTACGTTCTCGATTCCATTGTCAAGAATGTCGGCACTCCCTACACTGTGTATCTCGGACGTAATCTCTATCGTACATTCATGGACGCCTACCTTGTGGTGGACCAGGCTACTCGCAAGGCGATGGAGGGTCTGCTAAGGACCTGGAAGCAGTCAGTGCCTGAGTCGATGGACACGCGTCCTGTATTCCCTGCCAATGTCACTGGCGATATCGAGAATGCTATCAACAAGATCCGTTCGGTTGCTGCCCAGACACAACCGCCGCGACCTCTGCATGCACTTCCACCACGCCCACCTTCGAACATTGCCTGGAGAGACACTTCTACACCGCCGCAGAATCTGCCCCGGTACCCTGCACCCAACGATCCTCGGCGCCCAGCAGGCCTACCGCCCACGCCTCAGTATGGCGCACCTTCAGCTACACCACCCATGGCTTACGGACTCAACAGCCCCCAGCCCATGTCCTCAGTTGACTTAGCTGATCTGAAAGCTGAGGTCGCCCAGCTTGTCTCGACCACACAGACCTCATTCGCCCACAATCCTGCTGACAGGGACGTTCAAACGAAGCTGCAAGCCCTCTTATCACTCAAGCAGATACTCGATACCCAGACATTGCCTCCCCAGCAGCTTGAAGCTGTGCGTAAGCAAGTGCGGTCCCTGGCGCCTACTCCAACGCCCATGCCAACGTTTGCCCCACCAACACCGCTGTCTGGATTTCCTCATGGCATGCCGCCAGGCTTTCCTCCTACCAGTGCTCCATCTGCGAGTGCACCGCCCAACATTGCTCAACTGCTTGCTGGTCTCAGGCCACCAGTGCAATCAACACCACAGCCCGCACCAACCCCACAACCTCCAGCAACCTTCAATCTTGCTGATCTGTTGAAGCGTGTCTCATCACCAGCACAATCGTCTTCCGTGCCGGCGCCCGCGCCATTTCAGCCCCCATCTTTTGTCGGTTTCCCACCGCCGATCTCGACGCCTGTTCCTACCCCTGCGGCAGCTGCTCTGCCGCCAGCGGTCAATCATACAGCGAACCTGGCAGCTCTGCTTGCGCAGTTCAACACGCCAGGAGCCGTACCACCCCCCGTTCCGTCCACCCCAGTGCAATCTGTACCCACGCCTCAGCAAGCAGCACCTGCTCAGGGAAGCGCGGATTGGCTGCTTGCTGCTCTCGGTAACATGCCTGGGGCAACAATGGTGAACAGAGCCCCATTCAATGCTCAGCCGATGGTAAGGGAGGTCTCCGCGCCTACGAACGTCCTGAGCGATATCGAATTCACCACGGCATCCATGAAAAAGCCTCGATTCCACCTCATATCACGGTTGTACGATGCCAAGCCAAACATCTGCGCAACATGTGGTCGCCGTTTCGAAAGCACACCTGAGGGTAAGGAGAAGAAAGCCCGGCACATGGACTGGCACTTCAAGGTCAAGGACCCCGATGCTGCCAAGCGTGGTGTGCACCGCAGCTGGTACATGTCCGAAAAGGACTGGATCGACTACCGCGAAGTCGACGAGACAATACCCACCACCGATGCCGCAAGCACGAACAGCGTTGCAAAGCCCAAGAAGCAGGCTAAGGATCGCTACGTGCTTGTACCACAGGACGTTACGCTCCAGCACGCTCCCTGCCCTATCTGCCAAGAGAAGTTCGGGACGCAGTGGAACGTCGACGCAAATGACTTTGTCTGGATGGATGCACTGCAGATTGGCAGTAAGATATATCATGCCACATGCTTCGAAGAGTACAGCAAGGGCGCCGGCATACCAATGCCGAGTACGCCGGACTCAGTGCTGGGGAAGAGGAAGGCGGACATTGGTATGGGAGTTGAGGGAAAGAAGGTTAGGGCTTTCTAGCTGCTTGTAGGTTACAAGGATTGTTATCAAGACGGCGGTGCATAGCGTGGCGTTTGGGTTTTATGATTCTTGCATGGCTGCGGCGGATCAAGTTATTTAGGCATGTTGCCTCTATACATAGTCTACACATCAATACGATCGTCAAGCATACTAATCCTGTCCATCACTTTGATTTTCGCGCTGATCAATTTTTTTGTCTGCTTCTCAACTGTCATTGAAAAGGCCAGAGGATGTGGCGCTATATGCTGCCACGCACTATCCAAAATCGATTCTCGAGCACCAAGCTATGCTCCTGGCTGAAGGTAGATTTCCATATTGCCATAGGCCTCAATTTGTGGCTACTGCTGCTCATAGAAACAACCCAGTATCAAGAGGATGCATGTTGCCTCCCGCATCTGAGACCAGCACTGATGATGACAAGTTCTCGCTAGCTCTGATGCATTGTCGATACTGTAAAGCTCACATTTGCTACAATCAACTATCAAAATAATAGGATGACCTCCTTGCAGGTGCTACGTTGTTCGAGTACCAGGTCCACAACATCTATGATCTTTGGAAATATCGACCTCTATCGAAATCGGAACCACTCAACAACATATGCTGGTCTTCCCCATTCAGAGGATTGGTGTTAGCGGGCATTTACAATGCGTGCCGTAAAGTCGAAACTCATATCAATCAGCATCTTCTTCATGTTTGTCGGTGGGAGAAGGTTTTGCTTGAGTATTGTCTCGAGAGGTTCCTAGCTGTGTATTTACCTTACGTCTTCCTCCACACTGCATATCGAAAGCGTTAGGACGGTTTATCTCTGCTCTCAAGAACTGTGAACTTGGCTGCACGGTAACTTGGAAACCCCTAGTGCCTTCAAGCCCGCTCTTTTCCATGTTCGTCAAGAACGCACTCAATATTTGAAATGGATGGTAAAATGAACGCTGTGCACTCTCTTACGCTCTGAGTAGCATTTAGAAGGGTGGTTGGAATGCTCGTGTTCTCCGTACCCTTTCTATGCACTTCTACACCTGTGCACTTATTGCGATGCTTGTCTTCCGAATGGTCTACTTTCCCGCTACTCGGAGACGTTGTATCATCCATCTGAGTTTGGACTGTCCAGGTCGATGTCTGATCCTATTCATGTCTATATTCTGCTTGGACTGCTTCTCCACTCGTGTACATCTTTGGTGTTCCTGTCTCTCAAGGTATGCTATACATCTCACGGCCTCCCTTCACTCATCCGTCCCCAATCTTCGAAACCCGAAACTGCTCACCAGAACATCTATATGCTGCCTTTTGCATCCAAACCCAGCCACGCTAATTCCACGGGCTTGCCTTGCTCGGACTGCGGCATTTGGTTCCGGAAATGATGGTACCCAAAGAGCATGCCTCCCTTTACGTTTCCCCGTCTTCTTGAAAAGTGCATGCCTACTCGAGGCTCCTGATTAACATAAACATAGGCCCTTATGTACGTGGCAGCCTAAGGGCATGTAAGACTCGTGACTACGCGACGATTTGGCGACAAATCTTCAACCTGCTGACATCTGCACCCACACCTCTCTCATATTTACGAGCGCAAAGAAAGCTTGTCATATATTAAGCGTCATCGTACGCACCATCTCGTCAGTCAGCATACAGGACTGCGGAGAAGAGCTGCGAAAACGATAATCATCGATGAGGTGCGTAGCAATGCCGTACACCTACGTCAGTACACCTAGTCGACTTTTCACCCTCAAGCGTCAGATCCTTCGAACATGCACGTTAGCAAATGCTAAAGACGATCACGGAATCTGCGTGGTGTCGAAGAAGGAAGCATGCATACACCACTAACATAATCTTGCATAACGTGCCCTGGGTGAGCAATTCATCGACCTCTTTTCACCATTAAGAAGCACCGCGATCAGCGTTGGAATCCCACACGGCTTGGCAATATGCTGCCGCCTCGTAGATTATTGATTGATGTTCGTTCCGGTGTTGTCCACGCGCCGAGTGACATGGGAGGCGCTGGCTGTATCTGCGCCGTGCGTTGGTTATGGATAAGCAACTATGGGTAAGCAGCCCTGCGAGTCGTGCTAATCACCGAGGCACCGTGCTGGAGATGAATCATGATTGCGACGATCAGCAAGGCCGCTGTGCAAGCCGTTTGCAGATGCACGCCGAACGAGGACGGCCGGTGAGGTGACGGGAATACGTCATGCTGATACGGCTCACCAGCCTCCTCCTCGCCGATGTGGCCTGCGATCTCCATTGTGAAACGGAGACCCACGGAGCAAGTGACGTGCAAAGGACAAATAAGCCCGAGCGTATGATGACAAGATTTAACGTAAAGTGAGGCCGCATGTCGCGCGCTGACAGGTCGCGGATAGAGTTCGTGCGAGCCTCTGAGCTTCCAAGGCCGCGGCGCCGAAGGCCAGAGCTTGAGCACAATTTCTCTGACAAAGACATCTCGCAACGCGCAAGCCTCACATGATTGATCGTAAGATTGATCGTGTAATCGAGCACTCGATGATTGACTTGCCCAGCAGCGGTTCTGATTTCTAATCCCGTGCGAATCCCAGAAGTTTACGCGCAGCGTGGAGCTAGCCATGCACTCACCTACCATTCACAGCAGCTACCCCACGATGCAAGATGCGCCAAGCGCATGCGCTCCTGCTGCACCTCTCCAAGCCTTACAGGCCGCCATTGGTCAATCATCCGCACTTCGTTCGCTATCTCTGACCTCGTACAAGTCGGCCTACGCTAAACTCAGGGCTCATGGTCGAATTGTGTGACGCCACGGCCGCGGGGCGCTGCGCAGCAAAGCTGCGCTTGCACCATTTCAAACTGTCTTGAGACGATACGACTGCAAAAGTCAGAACCCGCGCGATGGATTCGAGCTGTCGTCGATGCGGTCCAATCCCAAGTTGGCCAGCGATGTGCACGCTGATCTACCCCGCTTGGGGGCGTTGGCAGCTCCAGCACCACTGCGAAACCAAGCTGCTGCAGACGGGAATGTGTGATGATTTATCATCTGTACCCTTGCTAACGACCAACCATATGCACCGGGAGGTCAAGATAGCGATAGTGCCATCCGGGAGTGAAACGACCGCAAGGGAGTCTTTTCATCGCGAGCAAACGATCAGCCTTCAGGTGAACTCAGAGGAGATGCTTGGCTCGCTGTATTCAGCCGGCTGGCTTCCAAGCTGGCTCCCGATTCGTCACATCTGGTTGGCTTGTAGGGCTGATTGGCACTATGGAATATTGCGAGGTTTGCAGAGCGGCAGAGAGGCGACACATAATCAACTGACACGCGTGAATTCGCCCGATATGCAAGATGCTGGAGCTACCGCTCCAGAGAAGGTTCAAGTTCATCATGTGGAAAATCAGATGGGTCTAGGTAGCAATTATGACGCAGAGGCTGAGCCGTGAGCGAACAATCAATCAAGCGAGTCCTCATGGATGAGAAGCTCTTTGCATGTCTTCTAGATATGATGAACAGCAAGCATGCGTGGAAAGACTTCAGAACGTCAATATCAGCAAATCAGGAGCATTACACATGGGGGAGCAGTGGATTTTTTTGAACTTCAATCGGTATCAATTACTACAAAAAATGTGCTCCTTGGTATACAGAGAGTAATTAAGAAACGGCGACGGATTATTAACCTCACTTAGAAGGTGGGCTCATCACACCCATGGTCAGTACATGTCACTAACCACATATGCCGTGAATCTTTCTCATATGCATCCATGCATCGTAATTTACATTTACTCGTCGTCCTCCTCCTCTGCAGCGCGTGCGGCGAGGACGTAACGCTGAGTTCCGTGCTTGTCGACACCGTGTTCGACAGAAAGCTTGCTGAGAGCAGCAATCATGTTCTCGATGTGAGGGTTCTTCCTGTGGCGGTCCTTGCGGCCGAGCTGGTCGAGCCATGTAATGCGGTTGAGGAGGTAGTATACGATGGCAATGATGATTGTGACACCGATGGAGTAGGCCCAAATGATGACAACGGTGACGATGTCAACCCAACCGCGCTCCTGGAACTTGGAGTTGTGGGTGGGAGGGTTGGTCTGGTAGTCGGAGCCAGACATCCAGCCGAAGAGGGTGAAGATTGTGGCGAGGGCGTCTACACCGAGAATGGCGATGACCAACTGGAACGAGGGGTAAGTCTTACCGCCACGGGTGACGAAGATGAGCCAGTTTTCGGTAAGGGCAACCTCAAGGAAGAGGATGGGCTGGATGGCACCGAAGTTGACGATGATACCACCGTTGGGCAGGAAGAGAGTACCACGAACGACCCAGGTACCAAGAGCGAGGAGAAGACCGAGGATGACTGATATGAACCAGATCTTGGGCAATTGCCACTCGACGGGGCGTTGCTCAGAGTGAGCGTTGTCGTAAGCGACGGCGACGGTAGCCAAATCAGCGAACAGGGCAAGGAAGACGATGAGCTCGGCACGGATAGTCTCGTTAAGGATGATCATCGAGGTGACGAGGTAGACTTCCAAGTGGAGACAGAGGGCGATACGGTACTGGATGTAGGCCTTCATACGCTGGAAAATCTGGCGGGCAGTCTTGATGGCCAGGACGATGGTGGAAAGACCGGGAGCGAGGAAGACGATATCGGCGGCAGCCTGGGCAGCCTCGGTAGAACCCTCGACAGCGATACCGCAGTCAGACTTCTTCAGGGAAGGAGCATCGTTGACACCATCACCAGTCATGGCAGTCAAGTGACCACGCTGCTGGAGCATTTCAACGACCTGGTACTTATGCTCGGGGAACACTTCAGCGAAACCGTCAGCACGCTCAACAAGATCGTGCTGAGTGGTACCGGTAAGACCGCCGTGGATAAGCTTGGTAGAGTTGTAAACCTTGGTTCCGAGAGCAAGCATCTTGCAGGTCTCCTTGGCAATGGCAATAGCGTCACCAGTCAACATCTTGACAGGAACACCAAGCTGCTGAGCCTCAATAATAGTCTGGGCGGTATCCTCACGAGGGGGGTCGAACATGGACAATAAACCGAGAAGGATCCAGTCACCGTCGTTCTTTTGGTAAGCGACACCTAGGGAGCGGAAACCACGACGGGCGAGCTCGGAAGCCTTGTCCTTGTAGAGGTTGGCAGTGATCTCATCGCAGTTGGCGAGGTTGACAATGGCCTTGGGGGCACCCTTGGCGCAGACGTACTTGTCACCACCCATGTGGCAGACGGCAGTGATACGCTTGGAGACGGGGTCGAAGGGGGTAAATTTTTCGGTCCTCCAGCCCATGTTGAGGATCTCGCGAGCCTTGGGGTAGCGGCGGATGGTCAGAATGGTAACCTTATCGATGGGGTCGAGAGACTTCAGGTTATGGGAGGAGGCGAGAGCAGCGACAGCCATCATCCAGTTGACATCCTGGCCCTCAGCAACGTAAGGCTCACGGAGAGACAGCTGGTTAGCGGTGAGGGTACCGGTCTTGTCAGAGCAGAGAACGTCAACACCAGCGAGCGATTCGATGGCAGTGAGCTTCTGAACGATAGCCTTCTGCTCGGCGAGGTAGGCGGCACCGACAGCGAGGGTGGTGGTGGTGACGACGGGAAGACCGACGGGAACACCGACGATGAACATGATCAGAGCGTAGTGGAGAAGAGTGACAGACTTGTCGGTGCCCTCACGCGCGACGGAGATGGGAATGTGACGGAAGAAACCACCAATCCAGGCCAAAAGGATGAAGAACATGACCAGGACGAGGAGCGCTGTACCGATAGAGTTCATGATAGCCTTGAAGTGACCCTGGTCCTGAGCGCCCTGGACGAGCGAAGCAGTGCGACCAACGAAAGAGTGCTTAGCAGTGGCGATGACGATACCGTAGGCCTTTCCGCGCTTGCAACCAGTGGTGTAGTAAGCGACCTCGCCCATGTACTTGTCGACAGCGAGGGATTCACCGGTGATGGCAGACTGATCGGTAGCAACGAGGGAAACACCCTGGGTGATAGGGTTCTCCTCATCGAACTTGTCCTCATCGATTTCATCCTCCTTCTCGTCTGGGTCGCCGTCGTGGAACTTGTCCTCAGCCTTGAGCTTGAGGTAGAGCTCAAAGTCCTCAGGCTTGTCGTAGTCGCAGATAAGACGTACGTCACCGGGAACGGTTGAACCCTCTTCGACGACAACAATGTCACCGGGGACGAGCTCGCGGGCGAGGACGGTCTGTTGCTGGTTGTCACGGACGACAGTCGCCTTCATGGCAATGTCACCCTTAAGGGAGGCGACGACATCGGCAGCCTGCTTTTCCTGGTACCAACCGACGACAGCGTTAAGAAGAAGAATACCGCAGATGACACCGAAATCGACCCAGTCCTGAAGACCGGCGGCGAGAAGGGCAGCGAGTTCCATAACTACATCGCGTTAGTAGTGCACGATAAATCAAGCTGTGTAGATTTGCATACCGTAGAGAATGGGACCGGTGAAGTAACCCATGAACTGCTTCAGGAGGTTGGTCTTCTCCGAAGAGATTTCGTTGAAGCCATAACGCTTACGACGGTTCTCAACCTCGTGGCTGGAGAGACCAGTGCGAAGCTCAGTGTTGACAACTACGTCTGAAGTTAGCAAATGCTTTGATGAAATTGCACGAAAACGGGCTGCAAGCTGGGATGTTTTTGATGGGGCGGCCAAAATGTCGCACTAGACCGTTCGCACGTGATGTGGCCCCACAGCGGCTGCGACAAGCTCCAAGCTCAAGCTGGAAGCTCCCCTGGTCTGCAGCCGAGAGCTATGCAGAGCGCCACTGAATGTCGACACAATGACAATCGCCCAACAGGGCACTCGACCAATGCTGGGAGTGAAGCATCTTGCAGCAGATCGCTCGTGGGTACCAATTGATGTGCTGGGTAAATGATTGGAAAAAACTTACAGTCATCGGGAACCTCAGCAGCGAGGTCAACACCACCAGCGGCCTGGCCGCCGCCAGACTGCCACCACTTCTTCTTCTTGGGGGCCTCCTCCTGCTGGTGACCGGCGGTCCTGGGGTCGCGGTAGAAGAGGATGTACTTCTGCAGGGCAGTGTACTCGTCCATGCCCTCGAACTCGGTCATGGAGACGATGGACTTCTGGCGTTCAGCAGCGCTGCTAGCGCGCCCGCGCTCAACATCTTCGCCGGGTGCCATGTTGATTAAGGAATGCTCAGTAGTATTGTCGGTGGTCGGATTATTAGTGGGTGTGGTAGTGGTTAATCACAGAGAAGGCTCCCAGCGACCGGAGGTAGGGAGGCTTCGGGTTGTCAAGGTCGGGCAAGCTCAGCAATGGTAGGAGCGAGCGAGTCCTTCTCTGTAAAGAAAGAAGTAGGGAGGAGGGACTGCAGCGGATTATATCCAAAGGCGCTCAGGGAAAAATCTGCTGGCTGGATCCGTGTCTGCCGATGGCTGGTGATTGGCCTCGTCGATAGCAGTCCAAGGTTGAGGGAGCACGTACCAACGCGCCGCTCACAACAAACCGAAAAGAGCTACAATAAATCGCGCACACGCTATGTCATTTGCGGTCCGTGCTTTGAGCGATTTGTGGCCTTTCCCCGTTGCAGCGAGTGCCTATCCGCGTCCGCCGCCAGACTGCAGTAGAGCGCACGGGTGCGGCGAGCGAGGTTGCAGGTGAGGTTGTGCCTGGCAAGCTGCTCACTGCACGCAATTGCAGTCCCGACATCTTGCTCTGCTGGTGTTCACTCTGGTCGCGGGCCCACACCGCACCCACTAGCCCACCCACTCCCCTTCGAGATCTCTGGGTCGCAGGAGCATAGCGCGACGCTGAGCGGCAGGAGAAATTAAGCTTGTGGGATAGCACGCGAATGTGTGCAACGCCAGCAGGGATGGTGCTTCATGACGTTGGCAGCAAGCAGCCCGCACCTCCACAATCGCTGCCTCGAACTGCACGACGCCACGAACAGTAAGGCGCTTCAGACTGGCATCAGCCTCTGGCCCCCATGCACCAAGCTTCTGCAGCCAAGAGAGCAAGCTTTGGGTGCAGGGCTCCTCGTCCTCGACGCGACTGGAGCTGGCTGCCACTCTAGGGGCGCGTCTGGTCGTGAAGTGCGGCGGCGAGGCATTTTCGAGCCCCGAAGCTGCGTTGCTGGCTCGCACGAGATAGCGAAGCCGCAGAGCCTCAACGAGGATTCCCCACGCGATGAGCGGTTTTTCCAATTTTCGCTTCTAGTGCACGTCGCGGCCCCGTTTCTTGCTTCCCTGCGTGAGCTGGTGCGCGCCGGCAGGTACAGGCAGAGGCACAAGCAGGGCCACGCAGCCAGTGAGTCTCCAGACCCATCTGCGCTGCAGCGATCAGGCATGCCCAGAGGAGCGACTGTTTGCATCGCAAGCCTGTGTCCACCCCCGCGCTGGCTGCGACTTCAGAAGCGCCGAGAGTCCGAGACTGCCCAGGCCAGCTTAACTCGCCAGGGCTGCTGATTAGACGCCCCGTCGTCGGCCGAATCAGCGTGTCCAGAGTGCCGAGTTGCCTAGGGCAACATGGCTTCCAATTACAGAGGATATTATTGTAATACGACAACACGCCCAGATCTGTCGCAAGCGCGCGCCGTTGCAATGAACACTGGAGACTCATTAAACGCAGGGCCTCCACGTTTGGCTGTGGTTGCGCTCTTCTGTCGCCGTGTGCGGCCAGCCTAGCCAGCTCTGCATTCCAGGAAGGCATGCCCGATGCGGAAGTTACAATCGCAGGAACAGCCGCTCACGTGATCAATACGCCATTTGATAACTAGATCCACCAGGTGCGACTGCCGATGCTTCACCGGCAGGCTGATCAGAGCAGACTCACCGCCGTATCTTGCTCGGGAATAATTATTGCGCATTTTTACGACTCCATCGAACTACCAGCAGCTATACTGTCTCGGCCAAGTTCCCTCGCGCTGCCCAGCGCTGTTCCCTCGCCCTGAGTCGCGAGACTTTTTCCGGTGTCGGACCGTCGACGTTTCTGCCGCACCATTTCTATATCCTGCCTCAGGCGCCGCTTCCCGCAATCTGGAGCCTTATGTTTCGACAACTATTGTTTGCGATGTGTTTCACCTACTAGAACCTCAGGTTTCTACCAAGTTACATTGCCAATGCTCATGGACGCACACAACGATGAATTATTTTGTGCCTGCATTACTTCCATAACGTCCATTATCGACCAGGTGGAGCGCCTAACAATAATAGTATTTGGGTCACAAGTCCGAGTGCTTCGGATATTGGTCTGTACCCACTGCTGACCACTGCTAACCGGACCGCTTGATTCAGTACTTCCTCAGTTTCTCCGCGAGCTTGACGCAAGAGATATGCTCTCCCGCCTCTTCTCCAGTCCCAGCTGCAGGTCAAGCGTGCACAAAGCTTTGCAAGTCTTGCCGTAGACCCTGATATGCCTCAGGCCCACCGTTTGCTTCCGCATTTCCTGGATCACAGACAGGAACCCAACCACAGCAATTATGTTTCACGAGGAGCCAGGCAGGAAACTAGGTTGTTGATGTGTTTGCCTGCAACCTCAAATGTTTCGCCTCCAACCTCTTCGGCACTTCTCCCAGATGCAGATACTAACCTCCTCTGAAACGCAGTGAACCGAACATCGGTTATTGCCGTGGCTCCAGCGGCAGGGGATTGTATCAACTTGCTCAGCATCGCTGAGCAGAGTTGCCCCCAAAGAAACACATGAAGAAGCCTTTGATGCGCGAGCCGTTTCTCGTGCGATCAATGAGGAGCATTTGGTAAACCCTTTGCAACGACTGCCCACGCAACATCTTTCTCGGTGAACCGTGGATCAACTGTGTAAACCTGCGCACTTGCGCAACGACAGTCCGGCGTCTAGCGACCTTCAAACGCTACCTGAGGCATACAATTGTCACAGCCAAGCACCGATCTATTTGCTTGTTGCACACCGTTGACCGCACATGAACCCGTGAGCACTCGGGCATTGAAAAATGTGGTGATCGCACTTGGCGCCGCGACAGCTCCACCCCCATCCTCCAGAATTGCGCAACGGGATCGACATCTCCGTTTTCGAAAGGGCCAGGGTCCACTTTGAATGCTTCGTGAGTCGTGGCAGAACCACAGCATCACCAGAATGAGGCTGGAAACCTGGCTGCAGCTGGAGGACGTCGAATTTTTACATGCAGTACTCGCATAAGCGCGAACGCATTCAAGCGGCTCTGCTCCGTTCCGCGGTTGGACCCGCTCGGCTCGAATCTCGCGCAATCAGACTTGCAAGAGGCGCTTTAGCCTCGTCTAGGCCAGTCCTGCGAGCGATGATTGGTGGCCTCATCTATCATTCAGCACGTAATGAAGAACTTAGCTCGAGATTACGACTCTGCTGCCACGCACTGCTGTGGTCCTCTGCCAACTTGCATTCAGAGCGTTGCGACGTCTTCTGTGCAACGTGAATGTCTTGACTGCGACGTTCTACTCATCGCTGCCAATGCTCCCTGGCGACATCGCCCAGACATTTCACAGTACAATGTGTCAACTGCCTAACTGCCATAAGCAATGTGCCCTTCCTGCCAAGCAGCTCCAAGGACACGAACCTCGAAGCAGATGATCCTTGCACTACTCACCTGCTCTTCTGACCACTTTCTGTTGATTCTCCGTTCAACTACGGTGCGCCCCGCGAAGTACGATGGCTCCCCGCTTCTGCCCAGACGTTACTGTACGCCTTTCTTGCACCTGCAGTAACGTGCCAAGTTATCCGCCCAGCAACGATTCCTCCCGAGAATGCGTTTTTTTTGCACTTCACTTGGCGGCAGCGTTCCGGCCGTGAGAAAGAATCCGTGTTTGCACGAAGCGCCCAGGATGCCAGACTGCGCATCTGGTGCTGTCTGGCGTGCTCGAGATTGAGGTCAACGAATTTGAGCCGGCGTGGAACTGGGGCCCCACACTCACCGCCAGTATTGCCCCTAGAAAACGCCAGATGTGCAGCTAGAAATGCATTTCAGCCGGCGCCGTAAATGGTTCGTCTCGCCACCTGGGTCTTCCAGCTGATCACGAAGTCGAGCATCTGTTCAACATCAGCGACCTCCCCGCCTTTTGCAGACAGTCTGACATGATTGCGGTCTCTTTTTTGGCCTCTTTGGGTGTCACGATGCTCGAGTATTGGTAGGAAACAAGGGGCCAACGTGCGCATTGAGCGCGCACCTGCCGCCATATGGCTCTACACATCCTGCAGCGTTTGTTCAGCTCTTGTAGCGCTTTCATACAGCGCGCAATCACCAGGCTGTCGATACAAACTGCGACTCGTAAGTATGCTATTCTAGTCGCCGCAGACGCTGCTATTAGAATCCTTATCCGATGATCGCAATAAGCGGTGCCACCTATAATTAAGCAACATTGCGAGATTTCTACCTGCAAAGAGCGCATTTGTATTGAAGTCTCGAACTTTGTTAACTGTTGCTGATTAACAGATCTGCCCAGGTGGCACTTGCCACGAAGAGCTGATGTTGTGCTTCTTTTCGGGCCCATTATAACCACTTCCCACATTGTGTGAGCGATCGCCGGATGTCCCGGGGGGGTTGGCAATGTATGAATGAGGCCGAAAAAAGAGTTGGAACTCCACGACATGGGTCTCGCCGAGTGTTTATCGACTGCACAGAGCAGCCGGAGAATTCCATGCCTCTTTTGGCTGTCTCTCCTGACCATAGCGGATCTCTTCGGACACCAGACAAATCATGCACCGGTGCGAGACGCATCTAAGACGCGAGTACAACGTGCATCCGCGTCTCATACACTTGAAATCTTCGGATTTGCATCGTCACGAGATCGACAACCCGACACCAGCACATGTGCGAGTCCCAGAGACGTTCTGGATCCGGAGCAGTGGAGATCGACGTGGGATGAAGCTGTTATGCGTGCAGACTGGGTATCTCTTTGATGCGCAAACTAAGGGGCCACGAAGCGCACGGGGCTTCGCCATTACTGCCTGTACTCCAGACACGTCTCCGGGTGTTTGAAGTTTTAACAGCGCGTGGGGGGACTAATGTTAGTTGGCACGGAAGAGAAGGCATATATTTATGACGTTGTCGTTCGAAAGGACGCAACTAGTGCATGGGGCTTAGATATGGACATATGTGATTCATTCTTGAAAAAATCGTGCAAGTCGACGGAGGTCGCAGAAGCAGCAAGAACTGACAAGGATCACGGCACATACTCATCACCGCGGAACATGAAGAGAAAGCTCAGAAGGCGACGGTGCATTTACCTAGTCACTGGTTCCTCGTGCTTACGCTTTGTTGAGAGCTGCAAGAAAGGCGCGACTGCGAGCAGATACACCTTCATGCTTCCTTCTGGAAGATCAATTTGGAAGCAAGGAAAGAGTCGTTCACTTCATGCATATGCATTGGACTTCATTTCGTTATCTCAATGACAGCAGGAGCAGGCAATAGTCGAAGATAGAGCATTAGACCTAGGAGCCCACGCAGAAGAGACACGCTCGTTTACTTTGCGGTATTCTGCTGAACCCAAAGAAAGGAGCCGAACGCTCGGGTCGACCGGGTGGATTCGAGAGCAGTGGGGGCGAGGGTCCCTCAAAGAGGAGGTGACTACGGGCACGTTCATGTGTGTGCGAAGAGGGTACATGTTCTCATCGACGGTTGGCATGTCAAATGCGAAGGATTGAGCAGGGCTTAGCATATGTCGAATCAGCCTCAGTTCTGAGCGAATGGGCGCAGATTATGATCCGCTGGCCACTTGACTCTAGACTGGCTCCAACTCTGGGAAGTATAAAAAGGTATGGTGCGCATACCGAATAAAGATAACGCCACAGGTACCACCTAACAGCCACCGTCGGAGGTATTCGCCACTTCGACACAGGACATGTGGCGCAGACGTCTTGACTTGCTGAAAGGTTTGATAGACGGTAGAGAGCAAAGCAACACATCGCCGTGTTCACTGAGTGTTTCGAGATAAAGTCGTTGATTACTCTGGATGCTAAACCCTAACTTTGAGGACGTGAAGTGGATATCTTAGTGGAGGTTGAAGATGCTTTGTACCTCGGCAGGCGAGAACAGGAAACAAATGTGTAAACAGGTATTGCCATTCAGACAAAGGAAATCGGACTTTGCCTTCATGGTCTCATGGACAAGACACGCACTTCATGGCGAGAGTGCCGGCTCTATACCAACCTCACCACCTTCCTTCTTGCAGACCTGTTCCGGACACCCACTTCCGCCCCTCCAGCAGCCGAAATGTCGATTCTTTTTTTTGGAGAAGACGAGGATATGGTAATTTGGAATAAGATGTTCAAGAGATGGACAGAAAGCATGTGTAGTAAGCTTCTGCATCTTTCGATAAGTCGGTGAGGTCCTGGTTTGTAGAGAAGTGGCAGTGCTGGAGGTTCTCAACGCTTCAAACCGCGCCAGCAGCTACTCAGTCACATGCATCTCATCCAACGTGTCTTTTCTAAGTCCAGATAGCGGGCGCACAAATGACGGCGGTTGAAAAGTTGGGCGGTGGGCAGAGATCTCGCACAGACACTCATGAAACTGCTGGGAGAAAGAAATCAGAAGACACGTCGATAGTTTCACTGCCTTTCGAAAGTAACATCAGTGTGCATCAGAGTCCCGTCGAGAATTTTGGAACATACAGATCTTTGAGAATCGGTGGAGAGGAGATGACAGACCAGATCTCGAATTGGTTCATATACCCCAGCAATTGACATCTTCCCACGTGCGACCGCTAATCCACGTGCAATAAAAACCCCAGAATGGCTACTCTACACATTGTACACATCTCCGTTCACCATCAGCCTCTCGACTCCCTCCCCCACCCCTGCAACCCCCTCAAGCCCTCCATTCCAAACGCCTGACTCGGACTCGCATACCCACTTCCCCCTCTCCTCTCGCCACCCTCCCCGTTCATCCTGCCCAGCACATCCGTTGCCGTCTTTGCCCTCTCTCTGACATCCAGATCCGGGTCGCGCTCCAACTCATTGACCTTGGCTTCGAAACCCATCTCCCTCAGCACCCTCGCTCTTTCCCGTGTCGGAGCTTCTTCGGTGTGGTCTTCCACCCAGACGAGGTTGATAACCATCCAGGCGCAGCCAAGCCGCACGTCGCGCGCGGGGTGCGAGAAGAGCGGGAGGAGATGTCGCATGAGGGTTGTTTGCCCAAGTAGGAGTGTGCGATGATGTGGTCGGCCGTTGGCGAGGTGGACCAAGATGAAAATGGCAGCTTTGAGGATCGCATTCGAGTGGTAGGTGGACCAGTTTGGTTGTGTTGACGGCGAACTAGGGAACGGAGGCCGTTGTTGGGTTGTGCCGGGCCAGTAGGATGGGGTTGGTGAGTCCATCTGAGGTTGGGAGGATGCGGGCGAAGGTATCTTAGGGCGGATCTTGGAATCGAGCATCTCGAAGAACCGGCTATGACCGTAGGTCTTGAGGAGGTGGTCAATCATTTCACCGGATTTCTTCTCTTCGGCGCAGAAGTTGCGGATGAAGTCAAGCGACTGCATCTGAATGGCCTGTTCTTCGCGCTCGAGTTTGGTCCGCGGATCCAGCTCGTCGTTCTTGATTTGCTGTAAACGGTCATGTATGTTTGTTGCACTCGTATACCGGGATCCAGGACGCTGGTGCCGCCGCATCGAAGGTATGGCGTCAGTCATGGTGTCCTCGTCTTCGTCTGAAGACGGATCATCGTCGACATCCATGTGCGGCTCATCGACAGCGTTCAGTATGTCGACCTGTTCACCGGCTGCATTCGGCGTGCCCATTGCAGGCTTCGCGAATTCGCCGTTGAGCGTCTGCATGAGGAAGCCGACACCCAGCTCATCGAGACACTGTATCTTCATAGCAACCGGGATACCGAGGCAGAGGTGCTTCAAAGCCCAAATGCTTCCGTGACGTAGATCAAAGTTGGCTGACCGGCAATGTTCACAGAGGGTCTTCATGATTCCAGCCTCGATGATCTCCTGTTAGAAAGTCAGTACTGCGTACAGTCGAGATCCTTGCACCACTCACAGTACGCATAGGCGACACCTCCAGAACCAAATTGGTGATCACCTCCGTGGCCGCAATCTGCACCTTTATACTCTGATGATTCAGCAGTTCGAACACAGGATTGGCGATGCCATGATCGATCAAGCTCGTTCTGAGTACGCTGACCGATCTTGACAGCGACCTCGTGGCGGTGCAAGCTGCCCTGAGAACAGCATCAGGATTGCCGTCTTTCTCACTCGATTCCGAGTACGGGACAAGAGACTCGATGATGTGTGTCGCAGCACCCATCTCGATAACCAGTTTCCTATATGGATCTTGATCTCCGGCTATCGCCGCCAAAGCCAGCAGTGCGCTTTCTCTGACCCGGAAGGCGTGTAGAATATCTACGCTGAGGCCAGATCTCCCCAATGTCGAAGACTCAGGATCAATGACTTGATCCTTCACTTCGTGTGACGCTGCTCTTGGTTTCCAGAGGGGTTTGGCATTGGTCGTGACTCGCTCGAAAGACTTCTTCAAGATCTGCACAAGTATAGGCATGACATGCGCATCCACAGCAGCCGTCTGAAGCGCTTTGTTGCCCGTGACCAGTTCAGCCAATACAAGGGGCGAACGCTCGAGCACAAAGCGCACCTCATCTCTCGCCGCAGGGATGAGAGTATGTGCCTTCTTCGCCTGCTCAGACGACTCTTCGATCATCTTGACGACAAGTGGGATGACAAGATACGAAAAGTGTCGTTCTCTTATGACCTTCGACGGATCGTTCAGTGGCCACTTCTCACCAAAATTCTTGAGCAGTGCCAGGAGATAGCACACAGACAAGCGCTCCGCACCCTCGCCGCGCCGAGCTACATACATAAGCCATATAAACAGCGGAGATTCAGACTCGTCTGTAATGACGCTCCGGTTGGAGCTTTGTGTCGTTGTCTCCATACTGGGCAGCCGCGCGTAGCTCTCGCCGCTCACTGCGGTGTAGGAGCCCAGCGCTGGCCAGGACTTAGTGTATGGATCGGTCTTGCTCGTTATCGTTTGCACGCGGGGTATCAGCTTGTCCCACGAGGACTGTTTGGAGCTGCTATGTGCATCGTATGCGGCCGAGGTGCGCTCTTTCGGCCAGCCGAAGAGCTGTTGTATAGGTTGCGAGTAAAGGAAGCGGGCGGCGTAGAAATGCGAGCCCTTGATGATGGCTGCAATAGCCTCGACGATTTCGGACAGGAACTTTGACGGTACGTTTTCACGCTGCGATCGTGTCGAGTCAGTCTGAGGGACTGAATCATCTGCTGCCGCAATGCTGGCCAGTTTGACGGCTAGTATGTCCAGTATACCAGCATCAACAAGCACCTTCTTGTGAGCGTCCTCCACACATGTCTTGATCAGGAGCTGTATCGCCAGCAGCACCTGCTGGTTTACCTTGGACGAACCAGCCGTCTGCGCCAGTATCTCTGCAATATTTTCAACCACCGAGCGCGTGTACACCTGCTCCCTCACAACTGCCGCAAGGCTCGTCCCATTCGTGTCCGGACCAGGCTTCTCCTGCGCAACAGCATCAACGATCTGATTCAGCGTCATAAGAGTCGTAGTGAGGACTCGATTCGGCGTCTCGCCCAGTCGTAACGTCTCGAGCATCGGTGGAAGAACATGGCCTGCGAGCAATGGGGCAGTGAATGCCGGGCCACCTGTACAACACACATCAGCCTTCATGCCCCCAACGGCTCTTGTGCGGCGATGTCACATGCTCACCGTTCGCAAGACTGCCGACTACCAGTGTAGCCTGGAATCGCAGGTCGTCTTCTTTTCTCCACTCTTCTTGTGCTTGCGCTGACCGTATCCGCGAAGCAGCAGCCGGTCTTGACGAAGTATCAGCGCCATTGTGAGCTTCTTGTGTTGTGCCATTGCTGTGCCGCCTCTTTCCTCCTCTCCGCACACCTTCTCTCAGCAGCCCAGCGAGCGGCCTGACAACGCCATATGTGACCGCGAGTTCCTTTCTCTGCTCATGTCCGACAATCTCATTCTTGAGATTCCGTAAGGCGATAACTTGCGCTTCGGAGGATGTTGGGTTCGAGAGCTCAGCGAGAGCGGAGGGTATGGTTGAACGACCCATGTTCAGAGTTTAGTTTGGGATGTGAGAGGGGTCGATCGCAGGAGGTTAGAAACGATCGGCGGAGAAGCAATTGAGAATGGTGCTCAACGCCTCAGTGAGATTTCGAGGTCGGTGATATGCGGGGAGATCGTCGCATTCGTACTCTAGCTTCGACGCGCCGGGTAGTTTGGTGAGAGAATTACAGACCGTGGAAGGTGCAAATTGTTGGCAGTTACAAAAGATGATAGAGAAAGAACAGCGCGGCGATTGGCAGGCGCAACGAGCTGCAGGATGTCGTGTCGCTCCAGGACTGACTGCTGCGCGTCGCCGCAGCCGCCATCCATGATGATCCATGCCTCACACGTCAGATCAGAGCGCACGTGCCACATCATGAATACATCTTGTTGAAGATCATCCTAGAACTTGCAGCTTGAGCTGTGGGGTAGACCGTACATTCATAACACATATCCATATAACCTCGGCATGCCCATAACCATGCCACGTAAATGCAATTCAGCATCTGCCACATCATCGATATCAACGCACGTCCAGCCTTCAAGAATCACTCTCCCTCTCCTTCCCACCCTCCGTGAGTATAACCACACTAACACACGCCGCATACGCCTCCCGAATCGCACACGCCATACACGTCTCCTTAACATTCGCCACAACCGCACTGAACCCATGATGCGCACACCACGCTCTGGCAAAGACCTCGTTATCACTGACACCCAGCGCCTCGATCGCCAGCACCTTCTGGACTTGTTCGTGCGCCGGAATTGGTTTCTCGAGAGCTAGTTTTTTAGGGCTCGAGCGAGGTGAGGGGCGCTTCAGGCGCCCGCTCTGTGTACCCCAGTCGTGCAGGTCGATCAGGCCTTCGTCGACGGCTTTGGTTGTGTAGGCGAAATCGTAGAAGAGAACTGTTGCCTTGTCAGTGTTCAGTATGGGGAAATGATGGTTAGAGAGTTCATACCGTGTGGACCCTGGTGGCATGGGAAAGCGTTGATGAAGCTGACATCGTACTTCAGTCTTAGGGGCCAACTGCTCCCACCGCACGCAAAATGAATCGCAGCATCGAAGAGCATCGGTGCACCAGGGAGATTTCTCGCACTAGAAGGTTGTTCTTTTGCAGGCAGGAAGGCGAGCTTCTCGATCCGAATGAGATCTGTCACGTCCTCTGTGTCTGGCATGGGGACCTCGTAGTCATCCACCGGATACGTCTCGTCGATTGGACCTAGCGGACCCGTGCGCTCTTCCATCGATACGACATCGTGCTCGGTCAAACGTGGGTCCGGAGATTCGTATTGCTTGACTTTGATGCATTCGGTGCGCTTCAGGTCAGGTGTGAAGATGCATGGTCCCACCCAGCCGGCGACTTGTTTGACGCCTCGCGCAGCCCCGAGGACCTTGCCGACGATGCAGGATGTCGACCAGTATGTGTTTGCGCGATATTGAAAGCCTGATGCTGGCTGCATATGGGTGAGGTACTTGAGAGCATGACCGGTGTCGCGGTCGCAGTCTATCAAGCTGTTCATGATCAGCCATGGCAAAGTCCTGCCTGGGAGAATGATGCCTGAGAACCAGGACATGGCGTCCGCCGAGCGGTCCTCGAGAGCCCTCTCATTCGCATCTTCCTCTTCTAGGATGTACTCGACCTCATCCATATTGGGCCATTTCAGCGTCTCCGCAAACTTCCGTAAAGCCTCTCTCTGCCTGCTCTTGCTCTTGAGCTGAAAACTGAATGTGCTTTGCTGTTTGGACTCGCGCTTCTTCGTGATAGACATGTTCTCTAGCCACCGCTGCGCAACAGCCAGATCCCAAGCGACCGCGGGGTGTAGCTCGAGTATGAGTTTCCGCTTGTACTTGCTATTGTACTGCGATGACTGTATACGCAGGTATAACTCAACAGAGAGCAGCAACTGGTGGAAGAAATCCTGCTTCTTACGCTGATCCGGTGAGTCAAACCACTTAGCCACGACCTGGTTCCTTGGGTTTGAGAAGTCTAGCCACTGCGGATTCATCAGGATATCAATAATGTCCTGGATCTGCTGCTCCATGCTCATGAACGGGCGTCCACCAAGGTGTGCGGGGTCTTCAATAAGCGTGCTGTAGAGGTACCGTTGCATCTCATCCGGATCCTACCAAACCAAATGTTAGGTCACTGTTCCAATGGGTATCTTTGAGGCGGATCATTTGACTGACATCTTCTCCAAGCCCTGCTTCCAGGTGCTGTAGCCGATCCAAAATCTGCAACAGCTTCATCTTCCTAGGTACCGCCGTGCCAGTGCGCTCGACCTTCGGTGGTGTACTAGAAGACTTGCTTGTCCAGTGATTGAGTGTGGTAGTCCCTGCGCTCTTACCAAAAGCGTATGCCATATTCGGTTGCTCCAAAGACGCCCATGGAGACTGGTTCTCAGATGTGCCAACCAAGTCCAGCGACATGTCCCTGTAGGCGCTCGTCGGGAAGGGCGCGCGGTCTGTCCTGCTCTGGTGTTCGCCGTCCAGTACAGCATAGAAATGGCTGTACCCTGCCGGCGCATTGTGTGATTTGTACGCATGTCCCTGGAATGTACTTGTCCCAGCGCATATGAGCTCTTCAGCCTCCCGCGCTTCGAGCGCCTCGTCCTGTCTGTATCCGCGTGGAGGCCATATCCTCGACGCGCGAAACTCCTCAAGAGGCGTAGGCTGCGAGTACGACGTGGATCGACCAGCGGAGGGGTATCGGTGCGGGGGCATGCTCGGTTCCCCTCCGCTAGAAGAGGGTCTTGCGGGCCCATTGTGCGAGCCATGGCGTGTGATCTTGGTGCGTGTGGCTATTGGAGACGTGCGTGTCTTGGGTATCTTCCTGAGCGACAATTGATCGAAGCCTTCTGCGAGGTGCGCGACAGGCTGCTCAGGGAAGGCGTACGGTAGAGATGCATGCGGTGCTTCAGTGTACTGACTGCCCCATCTTGTGCGGTCGTATCGATGCTGGCCCAGCTCGCACCTAGCAACGTTCGAGTTCATGTCTTCGGCATAGCAAGATCAGGTGCTGCAGTTATGTGCGACGCTGGAACGCGGGTCAGTTGGTTACTCGCGATTCGCAGGGAGCCGAGGCAGGGCACAACGAGGGTCCACATTGCTGGAGACATGGTGAGGGCTCTCGTGACTTCACCTGCTCCTATGGTCTTCGTTGCGCCGCTGCCGCGATGGAAACGCGCCTACCGCAATTCGCAAGCGCCGATCGATTCGTAGGCGCGGAGGTCTTCAACTCGAGTGAGCACTACCCCTCCAATGTAATCCAGGACGAGATCGCGGGCGCAGCGGGGTTGGGAGAGGCTGTGGTGGGCGGATAGGTTTCACAATCAGGTACTAGGTGAGCCAACACCGACATCGTCTGTAGACATCGCAAAGGTTGCGCGTGTCATTCTTCGGTGCCCATTGCCAGCGCCGCAGTCTCACTGCGGAAGGGAGCGAAAGGGATGCATAGAGGAGCCATGGAATGTGGAGTTCTAGCCTCACTATTGTGTTGCGGTACGGGCCTCTGGCCGGGGTGCGATCGTCACTGGCTCTTGATCGTCCACGTTGTTCACCACCGACGTTGTTGGCTGCTTGATCCTCCGGCACTGCACAAAACGACAACACTTTGGTCGATCGGGGGATTGATGTCAGTTCACTAGTGCTATCTATCCAATCGCTGTCTTAGACCATGCAGACATTCCCGCATCGTCCTTCGAATTCAGGTAGTGCTATGCTCACAAAACCTGGGCTAACCAGCGACGGTACGCCTTCTGCTATACGCCTGTCCATGTATGTACGCCTTGAAATGCTTTTCGCCCGTTTGATTCGTGAGTGTATAATGTGCCAAACGGCATCGTGCCACAGTGCTACACACGTGGTACGACCTCGGATTGCTGTCGTCGACAGCATCCCAACTTTCGTCGTCTTGAGTGGTGACGAGTTGAATTTTCTCTCCAAGAGAGCTTCCTTCGTGTAGTGATAGCCGGTCCCCGGACCAGCCTGCCAGCAGACTATACGGTAGCCTTCCTCTTTTATATCTCCAATGGTGACGGAGCTGTCTGCCCTCATATGCTCCCCCGGCTGTGCGACCGGACCTCAGAAGGGCGGGTCGACCGACATGCATCGATACTTCCGGCTGGCACATGCATAGTAGCATGCCGCCAAGCGGTTGCTCCCCTGTCATGCCCACCTCCGCTTCGATTCTTCATTGGCTGGTGTGGATGCCTGTTGCCGACCCTGTAGGGCTTGTCAACCGTTCAAGGCTGGGATTCGGAGCCGACTCCGGCTCCTTCTCCATGGTATATCCATCGCCTCGTTCTACGAGGCCTTTGTAGTAGTCCACCAGGACTTCAGGTTTGGGCACAATGCGCCAGTCGAGCTTCCTCAAAAACTCCAGCTCCAGGAGTGCCAACTCCCTGACGCTGACGCCCCCCACTCTTGCGTAGAGTGTGTTTGTCCAGAAGCTGTCCGATAGCCCTTTTGCTGCCACAGTTGCTGCCGTTATGAGGAATCGATGCACTGTCAGACTGCTGATCGTGAACGCCGGGTACGTAGCGCAGAGCTTGTCGACGTAGAAGACCATGGCGAGTAGGATCGGCGGGGAGAGCGTTGCATGCACGATGAGACGGAGCAGGTAGTCGCGGACCGATATACCAGGCGGTGCTCTGCGGAGAGTGTTAGTCTTCAGAACGTGTGGCAGACTGGCTGGGGCTCAACATGCCTTGAGTGGAACCGCGTCAGCTGCCCGTCGCGGAGAGGATAGCCGTCGTTCAGGCGCACCAGCTCCATGAGCATGTCTGAGATGAGCACGCCCAGGTCCTTGACGTCGCACGTCTCGTACTTGAGCGGCATGACCTTGACGCTGGCTTCTGGCGGCCGCAGCCGTTTGGCGGGCGACGGCGGCACCTCTTCTCTCGATGCGGCGCTTGCATCAGTGGGCACTATGCGCTGCTGATGCTCGTCCCGCGGAGCGTCCCTCGGCGTCTTCCGGGCTTGGGGCTGGACATGCTGCGCGGTCGTTGGCGCAGGGTCGACGCCCAGCGCAGGGTCGGGGGGCGCTGGCGGCTCCGTGGTGGCAGTCGCAACCACAGGCGCAGTCACGATCGCAGTCGCAGTCGCAGTCGCAGTCGCAGTCGCATCAGAGGCGGCGACCTCTGCCCGCGGTGCATCCACGATGGCGGGCGCGCTGAGGGCAGACGCGGCGGGCTCGTAGGCGGGCGGCTGGTAGGTGGGTGGGTAGCCCGCGGGCGAGTACTGAGTGGCGGCGTCGGCGTAGGCCCGCTTAGTGCCTTGCGGCGAGGGGGCGGCGTTGAAGCGCGGCACGGCCTTGGGGGTCTGCGGCGTGTCGAAGCGCCGCGCAGTCTGCGAGCTCACGGCGTGGAACAGCGGCGAGCGAGAGGTCGATGAGGCAGAGGTGCGGCGCGAGGCATGGTACGACGGGCGAGAGTGGGCGCTGTGGGCACTTTGGGCGCTGTGGGGGTGGAACGTCGTCGAGGGCGAGGGCGGCGCGGAGAGGGTGGGCGAAGACGAGGTCAGCATCGCGGGTCCCGTCTGGTGGTTGGGCCAGTCGAGCTGCTGTGCCTGCCGATGTCGTTCAGTTCCTGCGTGCGTGTGTAAGGATGCGCCCGCGACAGTTGCCCAAGATCATCGTATCCAGTGCAGCGCTGTGGAGAAGAGCCTCTGCCGTGCGGGCGTGCAGACGCAATGAAAGAGAATTGCGCTGCCGACAGCCATCCGCAAAGCTTGGCCGCCAAAGTCGCAGCCCGCGCGAGGCCAGCTGCCCGCGAGCACCACGAACGTGTCTGCCCTGGCCGCTGCCATTGGACGCATGCCCCTTGCTGCTGCGCAGCCAGAGCCCCATGACACCATGACTTGCGTCGCTCTGCTTGCTTTGACTGCAATTGCGCAATACCTAGCCGGCACTTTACTAAGTACACCGCATTTACTTTCACTCAGAGCCCAGCATTCTGCCCGGCGACCGACGTTAGCACCAATCTCAGAGTCGTCACAGGCCGGTGCTCGCTACCGGCGAACGACAGCGCTAAGTTAGGGCAACACCGACTTAGTCAGCCGCCTGGTTTGGGAGCAGATCCTTAGGCCATGGTGTCTTGTGTCTGAGGTAGCATTCAAAGGGCTGTAACTGATATGCAAACAATGTAAATCTTGGTACGCTGTTACCTTAAGCCAGATCCAGCGCACCCTCCTTCAGCCACAGGACAGCTCACCCCGCGTCTGGCCTCGGCCGTATCGTGCGCTGGTAGAGCCCTTATCTATGAAAGCAAACGAAACCACGGCCCAGGTGGTAAGCTCAACGCCGCACAGCTCCAGCGATACGCCTCACCTTCCACGGCTGTTGCAAGCACACCTCCATCACGTCTTAGACGCACGCTGTAGTCGTGTTGCAAAGTCTAAAATCCCATGGGAACGGCGATGCGCTTTCCAGCTGCACAAATGAGCTCTCGAATCGCGCCCACGTGCTCCCCAGTACCACGGTCACTGACAACGGTGCACCACTTTCGCCGTTTACGCCGTCTTCAATTGGCGGGGACAATCGTCTTGTTTGACCAGAGCAAAGCGCCTGGGCGTCACTGTGCTTACGAAAGATCTCCCAGACTTGCGTTGTCGGCGGCCTTTCCAATAGATTGACAGTATCTGACGGGTTATGGGCTAGTAGACATTGAGGTACTTTGTACTCACTGGGCACGATGTGGATCTGAAGATGACCTTTATAATTATGCACTAACGAACGATCATTGCCCTGGTCTCCGGTAGAGGCGTGGTATCAAAAGGGTCGCCGAAGCGGAGGGAAAAGTAAAATCATACACGCATGCACCCAGTACCCATATGTACTCGAACAGGACACCGCCCTCTGCATGCTAGCATCAAATGCTTTCCCAAGACAACTTGGTTCTCCTAGCATTTTATAGCCGTTCGAGCCATCGACGAAACACCCGGTACGGCATGATCAACACTCCTTGTGCCATGGCATCTAGCACGATGAAATCGCCGTTCAGGCGTCTATCTCAGGTCCTAGGCGGCTTCTGCGCACTATCCGCCAACTCCGCCCTGAACTCCTGCTGTCCCGGCTCAGGCGAATGTAGCTCAACAGGCGGAGCAAGTCCCTGGTTATGCTTATAGTAATCCAGCCTATGTTCAGTCAGCCAAATGCACTCTTCGAACACTTGCAAAGTATATCTTAAGATTGGACAATACATACTGCTCCTGACTCATCCCACTCATCTGGCTCTGCATACTCAAGTGGCCCTGATGCATCTGCGGGCTGCCCTGCCACCCACTCGGATACTGTTCGCCGACATTGTGTTGTCCGTACGGTGGCGCGGGGCTGCCGTATCGCGGCACGTTCTGGTCGTGCGGCATGTATCCCATGTCCGGGCCCGGCGTCGAGGCTCTATTAGGATTACCGGCATTCGCGCCCTGGTGTTTGAGCACTTCTTTAAGGCTCTTGGAGCGCCCCACGTAGAAGAATAGCGCGGCGCAGATGACCAGGAAGGCGACGGCGCCGACGACGATGCCGGCGATTGCGCCGCCCGACAGATGCGTACCACCGCCTGTGGATGAAGAGGTGGGAGTCGAGGTTGGGCCGTTGAGGATGGTGGATGTTGCTTCGTTGGGTACGGGGTCGCCGACTGCAAGTTGGAAGTCTGCGTTCTTTGCGGCTTGTATCTGGGAGGCGAGGGTCTGTGTTGTGTTGGGGTTGATGGCACCGACCATGAGTTCACCCTTGCAAGAGTTGGGTGCTGCACAGTAGAAGAAGATGGGTTGCGTGTCGTTGATGGTTATGCTGTGGTAAGTGATCTGAGGGTAGTCAGAGTATGAACAAGAAAAGATCAAGAGCCCCGCAAATTGCATGCGATACATGTCGAAGATCAAAAGTGAAGTCGGCTACTCACATCTGCAGTCGTGTTGACCCATTGGGTCTCTGTCCAGAAGCCTTTGCCGGCATGGTCTTTGTCGACATAGCTGTATGGCACACAAGCACTACCAAACTCTGCCTGGACAACGGAATGATCTGGAGGATAGAACTCGAATGTCACTATGTCGCCGACAGATACGTTGGTCAGCTCTTGTGGCGTAAACTTGAAGCCACCAGAACCAGCTTTGATAGTGTGGACTTGAGGTTCACTAGATGTGCTTGGTGTCGCCGATGATCCTGATCTTGTTGAGGAGCTTTCACTGCTTATGGGGGTTGCTATCACTGCCGATAATGACAGAATTTCAATTCGCGATGCGAGCGATGTTGATATTGTTGCCGATGTGAATGATGTTGTTATCTGTGCTGAAGTCGTCGACAGAAGCTGACAAGCAGCGACCGCCACAGCAAGCCTCGCGATCCTCATACGGACCATGCTCTCTGTTGTATGAAAGGGGCTGTGCGGCGCAGTAGTAGACCAGGTTCGATTCGTCGGTGTGCGACGGCGTAGTTCGTCGATATAAGACCCCAGCGATGCCCCAATCTTGACTTCTTTGATGATAATAATATTTGAGAACCTCCACGGGCGTAATTAAGGCAGCAACAGACCCATCGCGTACGGCTGACTGCCACCTTTTGAACAAGCATGCCGCATGCCACCTCCGGGTTACCAGCACAGCATCTGTGCTTCGCCCGTCCGTCAGCAACGTCTCCACACAGCCTTCTCAGCTTCAGGGGTCATTGCGCCTCTCAGGACTCACGTTATTTATCCCGGGAGCCAAGATTACGAGCTCAACCTATCGGGGTTGTGAATTATCCGCCGCACAACGGACGTTGGCTGAACGAGCACAAGCTGAATGGCCTCGCTTGTTGTTGCGCTGCATGGTCGCCACGGGTTCAATATGCGAGTGACTCTGGGCTTGACCTTTCACCGCGGCGGGGCCGTCTGTCAGCACGCATGTATTGGTCTTTCTTGAGATGGATGGCCTTGTGGCGCTCTTGCAATAAATAGGAAGGCGGTGCTGTAGGCCTTGTGGTTGTGCGCTTCCTTCGCTGGATTGACAGGGGAGCTTTCCCGTCCCCTGCTCTCAGCTATGGATAAGTCCTGCCATCTTTTTCATACCAAAACCTACTGGAAGAACTTGCGTAACGTCTGGCCTGGAGCTTACTTTTTGGAACATAATGCAGCTGGATTAATGCGCTGTCGTGGGTGGAAACTCTCACCAGTCTCATGGGATTCAGGTGGGACAAGAGGAGTAATTAAGATCAGAAGAGCTTAACCCCGCAATTAGCATTCGCGTCAAGCGAGATCGGCGGTCTTGGCTGTGCGTCCTTGAGTCTTTACATCAGCACATCCCGTTCGTGGTACGAGATGTGAAAGCCTCCAACTAGGCATACAGGTGGAATCGCATGGGTGTTCCCAGGATACCCATTGCGCGAACTCGATCTCGATGCGAGCTACACTGGCAATAACGATCCATGACCAGGAGCGGAAGCACGTTCTAAAAGTAGGTGTGTCAGCATGCAGCGTACATAATCGACAGTGAGACTCGGCAAAATATGTACCGAACAATGTGAGTGATGGTTACATATGATCTGAGTAATTCTACCTGCTGGAGGTACACCCACTTGTCCAGCAATTTTCAGCATGTCGGACTCTGTATGCAACGTTGTTGCTGATGCTCGGGGCTTGATCCAAACCTCAACAGCTCCACCACGAGTAATATACTAGCCTGCCCGGACTCCACTCGCAAAAGCCATATGGACCGGTGGCGCCGAGGCTCGCGACAGCGCAAGCCAACATCGAATGCCGTGGCGATCGTGAGAGACAGTATTACTGGCTAACAGACTCATCCCTGGCAACATCAAAATGACCTTCCGAAGCCCATCGGGCTTCTCGGACTCTTGGGCACTGGACTTGAAAAGACACCGACAGGTGGCAGACCTCGCAATCCGTTAGCATCTGTGTCTGTAAATTCGCTCTTCTTCTCCAACAGCAGATCTATCACCTCCTGTCGATGCCCGACCAGCATATCGTCCAAGGTGTTCCAATCTGATTGCTGGAGGTCGCCCAGCTTTTTCCGCAGCTTCTTCGTCAAATTACGATTAAAGGCGTAGTGGCTTTGCTTAACAAAAATCTTGGTGTGCTGAAAAACGTGAGATCAGCTGACGTCCATATTGTGAGAGAGGATGTTGCGAACATACTTGGTGATACCATAGCCCAATGTCGTCGTCTGTATTAATGCGCTTGACAGACGATATGGCTGAATCAGCAATGAATCCTATGATAAGTTCCAGCCTCGATGATTCGTCCGTGGTGGTTTCTGGAGCTTGTCAGTTCAGAACTTGATCCGACCTAATAGTAACTGACCATTGCGACTTAGCAGATCCACCAAACCGAGGTAAGCATCGCCTATACCCATGAAGAAGACTTGGGTTGCGTTGTTGGGTCTACGCGTCTGTCAGTGGTGGTTCAAGTCACCTACGGGTTACTGACTCAATGTAGTTGGTCCAGAGGTAGTTGGCCATTTCACGCGTCTTGTCAGCCCGAACCTTTTGATCGTCCGCTTTGGTAAAGCCAAGGTTCGACTGTATCTTTGTCAGCTTCGATTGGTGGCGACCAGGGAGGAAGTACCGACCTCTTCGCTCTCTACAGCAACAAATTGAGGAATGTTCACATCGATAATAGAAAAGCCGTTTTCTATGGCCCAGTCGATGTAGCTCTTGGTTACATCAGTCTTTAAGCTCAAGGTCAGCGGGTATACAGCGCGAGACTGTAGATTTGACTCACAAGCCAGGTGTTGTGCAATTCTCGTCGACCAGTGACTGGGTCTGGATGGTCTTGGAAGCTGGGTGGATCGTGGAGGATCACGAGGAGCGGCTTTCGCTCCATGAAGTCTGGGCTAAAAGACTGGTCAGATGATTTTATTACTTCGCAACGCACAGTACTTACGTGGCGATCACGTTGTGCTCGAAAGTCTGTGAGAGCCCAGCATAGTTGATTTGTAAGGGCAGAGGTGTCATGCCGTGCTCTAAAGCAAGTCGTTGACTTTGCCATTGCCTAATGACATTGTGCAATGCATCTGTAGCTGCGAAACCTGGGTCTGTCCGGTCGAGATGTTTTGGATACAAGCATTTCCAGTGTTTCGAGTGCTGTCGCTTTACTTGCTCGATGACACGAACAGCAGTGGCTTTCGGTGCCTGCAAGTCCTCGCTCAGTCGGTCCGGGGGCTCTTGCATCAACACCCTAGTGACCGCGAGCGCAGAGCGCGCAATTGAGCGCAGGTTGTAGCCTCCCTCTAGACACACGACGACTTTGCCTTTCGCTAACCGCGAGAGCATGTGTGTCATGTGACCGTAGCAGGCTGGAGTGACGAAGCAGCCGCCGAGGACATCTCCCTCGGCAGCGTCGAATCCAGCTGAGATAATGACCAGGTCTGGATCAAACTCACCAGCTATTGGCATTACAACTTCTTGGAAAGCGTACAAGTACTCGGCGTCACCCATGCCGTGTTCTTCCCAGGGTATGTTGACGTTCTTCCCAATGCCATCTCCCTCTCCACAGTACGTCAGGTTGCCGTCGGGTAGGTTGGGGTAGAAGTCGCCGCCACGAAAGACGTGCAATGAGATATATAGCACATTCGGATCGCGGTAGAACGCGTGTTGGATACCGTTGCCATGGTGTACGTCCCAGTCGAGAATCAGAATCTTCCTACAGGTCTGCGGATATGCGTCTTGGCACACGCGCGCTGCAATAGGAACATTGTTGAAAATGCAAAAACCGGAAGGTGAATCGCTCTCAGCGTGATGGCCTGGTGGTCGGATGATAGCAATCGCATTGCGCACGGATCCCTGCACAACAGCTTTGCACGCTTCGATAGCGCCGCCTGCTGCCAATCGGGCGCAGTCGTAAGTAGAGTGGTTAAAGTAGATGGAATCCCTTTTTAGCGCCTCGAGTGTCAACTCCTTCATAGTCATGTCTGCGTTCACATTAGCAAAATGCAAATTAGTGTGGGTGTGCAGACGTACGAGGCAAAGAAGAGACAAAGTCGTAATGCTCTGGTGTATGAATCGTCAGGATTTCGTGCTTCTCCGCTGGTCGAATCCCTATTCTCCAGCAATGATCATCAGGATCATCGATCTCCGAGCTCTCTGGACCGCGCACGAGCCCAGCTTCTCGTATCTCTTCAAATATCGAGTGAATGCGGCGTGGATCCTCAGGATGTATGTCGTCTATGGTAGAATTGTTCGGGATCTCCGCGTGAAACCGCATGCGAGGATCGTAAACCAGGCCTGTTTTCAAGGTTGCAATTGGGAGGGCCTGTGATCTTGGTTTCGGTGGTATCCGCACCTGAGGGCTAGTACGTCGATGGGGAGTTGCTCGTGCTACGTCCATCTTGTCTGATCGACTCTCCGCATAATGTGACGTTGGACGTGCGATCGAAGAACTTTCAAGGGGTGGTAATTGCGCATTTTTTGGGAGATGCGCTATGTTCGGGTTTGCGAAAACATCAGTCGGAATTACAAACTCTGGTGCGTAGGCTGCGGGCCCATTGTTAAATTCGGTGGAGGCGATTATCTCGTCCTCCATGGGCACATCCTCATCATTCATACTTGCGGCCGCACGGCCAGGCGAGCGCAGAGCGTCTCGCAGTGAATGTGGAGAGACCAGCGGCTGCGGAAACATGTCAGCATCCTGTGTATGAACTAGGAGGGGTACATTAAAGGCATGCAAACCCACATCTACTTCTGATTCATGTTTCAGGAAGCACGTGAGAAGAAGAGAAGCACATGACTGCCTGTTGCTGCAGAATTCAAAGGCCTGGCTCTTGATATTGAGCGCGGCAGTGAAAAGTGAAAACGTATAGCAAGAAGCGGACAGCAGAAAGAGGATGACGATGTTTGGGAAAGGTTCGTGCAAGGTGAAGGTTTACAGCTCTGACGTAACGTACCGGTATCTTCTAGCTCATAGGGTTGGAATCAACGTTCGTCTAAAAGGACAACTTCGATGCTAGGAATCCGCAGCGCAATTTACGACCGCACTGAGTAGCAACCTGGTCGCAAGCAGGGCTATGCACAAAGATTCTGCGACCAAATCTGTTTAGTTCCCGCGTAGAGACTGCGTAGTGGCTTGTCCCGTGGTGCTGTCCGTCCAAATGGGTGAAGTTGGAGCAGGGTTCTAGCTTCGCGGTCGCGTTAAGACTTCCACTCAAGCACGCTTTGGGTGAGAGGCTGTGGTGAGTGAGAGTAGCCTGGGATTCAGCTGTGGCTTGGTTCATGCAGTAGTGCCGAATGGGTATTGGATAGTGTAGGAAACAGTTGTGATGCTTCGGGCAGATGCGCGAGGCCGGCTGATTAAGCAACACTACAGTAACCCAATCGGTACTGGCACCTGTAATCCACCTTCCAATATAACCTTACTGCTCGTTACTTTTGATAGGTAAGACGAGTGACAGTCTATCTGCTGCTTCATCTGGTCGCGATCATTTTGCAGTTACGATACGGTGAGCCTTCACCTGTTAGCAACCAGCCTTAGCGCAACCTCAACAGACGCAAGCTATAGACGTCTGCATGAGCTTACAACTGTAAATCGTGTTGATTTCCCAGCTTCTGTTTGAAGTCGATGTTCAGCGGCCTTGCGTTTCGAACAATACTATAGGGCACTCCTTTCGAGCCTGTTCGGGTCCTGTTGACTCATCAGAAGGCCTTCACGTTCATTCCGAATCAAACCTGCTCAATCGAGACTAAAAGAATCAATTCTCAGGTCGTTCTGCAATTAGATACCACAGCCTTGCTCAGCAATTATCAAGGTGTGTACACGCAGCAATCTGTCAATTGTACTTACCAGATGTTGGGCCAAATCGTGATCCCAAACCGCACGAATGACGGCTTCTTGGGAAGACAATAAACACGTTATATCGGGGAAACATCCAACCCATACTCATCTGTCTATTCTCCAGCCCCATTCCACGTTTTCTCTTCCCCAGAACTTTCAAAGCCGGTTCTAGCCACTCCTCTATCTCCCGAACACCCTCCACCCGATTTGCTCCGGAACGCAGCCCCGGATGTTCCCCGTACGTAAAACGAGGAACTCCACAGTTGAAAAAGGTCTAAATGTCGGGAACTAACGCGGAATACACACTGTTGTGCTCCTCAGGAGCGCATCCGCACATGATACCCCGGCTTTGACGGCCTCGGGAGGGCTGACATGCGGATCATCGACAGGGGGTAGCCTCCGTTGGTCAACGACCATCGACGGATGAGAGGAGCTTCGAGTGCATGTCATGTAGTCAATGCCACCTTGATGCTGCCAAGAATCTGAGATATCCTGGCCTACTGTAGCAGCATTACATGTACGTGCAGACCTCCACGGTCGTGTACTATGCATAGACGTCGGACATGAAGTTGAGCCGCAGATGTCCAGTTTAGAAGATTATTGCGTCTGCAACAACTATTGACAATAAGTTGGTCAGTCGGCCAGCTTGTAGGCAGTCACAGTATTAGCACCATGGAATCCGAGGTATTATTGTACTATTATCATTGATTCGTATCTGGCGTAAACACATATTGATGCTCCAAACCCAGCGTTTTTCATTTCAGGCATTACTCGCTCTTGCTTTCATGACCCTTCCGAATCAGCCCTCAAAGCTTTGGCATAGCCTGGCTCTGTCCTGATTCCTAAGCGTTGCCATCAACCTTGGCAATGTAGACCAAAAGGTCCAGAACACGGCGGGAGTAACCCCACTCGTTGTCGTACCAAGAGACGAGCTTGACGAAGTTCTTGTTGAGTGAGATACCGGCCTTAGCATCGAAGATGGAGGAGCGGTCGTCGCCGTTAAGGTCGGAGGAGACGATCTCGTCCTCAGTGTAACCGAGGATGCCCTTGAGCTTGCCCTCGGAAGCCTCCTTCACGGCCTCCTTGATCTCGTCGTAGGTAGCGCCCTTCTCGATGCGGACAGTCAAGTCAACAACAGAGACGTTGGAGGTAGGGACACGCATAGACATGCCGGTAAGCTTGCCGTTGAGGTCGGGGATGACCTTGCCGACAGCCTTGGCGGCACCGGTGCTGGAAGGAATGATGTTCTGAGCAGCGGTGCGGCCACCACGCCAGTCCTTGGCGGAGGGGCCGTCAACGACCTTCTGAGTGGCAGTGTAGGAGTGGACGGTAGTCATGAGACCCTCGATGATGGTGAACTTGTCGTGAATGACCTTGGCAAGAGGAGCCAAGCAGTTGGTTGTGCAAGAGGCGTTGGAGAGGACCTCAATGTCCTTTGTGTAGGTCTCGTTGTTGACACCCATGACGAACATAGGGGCATCAGCAGAGGGAGCGGAGATGACGACCTTCTTGGCGCCACCCTTCAAGTGAGCCTTAGCCTTCTCGGTGGTGGTGAAGACACCGGTGGACTCGACGACGTAGAAAGCGCCGGTCTCGCTCCAGGGGATATTGGCGGGGTCCTTCTCAGTGTAGAAGCGGATGGTCTTGCCGTTGATGGACAGGTTGTTGCCCTCGACCTTGATATCGCCGTTGAAGCGGCCGTGGGTGGAGTCGTACTTGAGCATGTAGGCCTGTAGTTCTGTCAGCTATTTGTTCTCTTCTGCCTAACTTTGAAGCACTGTGTACGTGCTCAGCCAGTATTTTGGGTATTGGAGTGCTTACAGCGTAGTGGGGCTCAATGAAAGGATCGTTGACGGCGACGATCTCGACATCGTTGTGCTCAATGCTGGGAAGCTGTTAGCTCATTGATGTCGTTTTGCAGCTCTCGATGACGGCTACTCACGCATTGCGGAAGACGATGCGACCAATGCGGCCGAAACCGTTGATACCAACCTGTTGAGGACGTCAGTAGCTGTAGAAAGCTGAAGAGGGGTAGTGGTGGCTTACCTTGACAACCATGGTGAATAGACTGTTGTTCTGTGAAATGTGTCAATTTAGAGGGAGTGGTGAGTTGGAAAGTCAAGAGGAGCTCACGTTTTAAAGGAATCTAAAGTAGTCTGGAAGCTTGGGAGAAGAGATTTGTGGTGGGCTGGGAAGGCGCGGTGTTTGTTGGGTCGTATGGTGGGGTGAGCGGGGCTATCCTTAAGTAGCTCTGTGACGTTTTGCTCAGAAAAAGGACTGTAATCTGATAGCTGCGACACGGCCCGCATCCAATGAGCTCCTTTGAGCCCTCCCACACACCCGGCCGGCTGCGTTGAGCTCGATGCCACATGCAGCTGCAACCGTACCTCGGGCGCTGAGCAACCATCGTGAGAATGCGCGGAAAGCCACGGGGTGAAGGAGCATCCCGGATGCGTCGAATGAGCTTAAAACATGCCCGAGGCCCTCGTAGGAACTTCAAGCTGGTGTCCACCTAGAGCCTCATTGTCCTGACTTGTGGCCCACGATGTGTTCGACCATGCACACTGCTTCACTTGGCTTTTACTTGCAGCCATACAGCACAAGCACGCCCAGCACCACGAATGCATATCTCGGAATAGCTTACGAAAGAGGTACCCGCAGCGTCTCGTAATGCTCGCCACGGCGGCATGGAGTAAGCTAGTTGGCAGAAGCATTCACTCAGCGTGACCGATAATTTCTGCTGCAACCCTGAATCGTTTAACGTTAATCATTCGATAGAATAAACATTGCGACTCAGCACCGCGGACTCGGTCGACGCGAGGAGGCGAACTTGTAATGCAACCACCGAGATTCTGACCGCCACGCAAAGTCGAGCACACAGTCGTTGAGACCGATTGAGATGTAAGGCGCAAGCATCCGCGGCCGAGACTTGGGGACGTGGGCTAGACGAGGGGCCAGCTACAGCAGATCTGAGCCCACCACCTGACATTGATGTGCGACAACGGCGTCCAGAACTCCTTGGGGTACCTGCATGAATGTTGGAGGGGCAGCTTGGAAGCGTATACGCAGTGATTGATGCTCCAGCTCCGTAGGGCTGACAAGCTCGCCCAGAGGAGCTGGAGCTCTGGCCAAAGCTAGAGCTATCTCCACCGCGAAACACAATCAAGCAGCAGATCTCGAAGAAAGTTTCGAAAATCATATACTTTGAGTCAGTGACTAGTTCGCATCATAATGAATGCTGTCTTTTCAAAGTCTGCCTTGCAAACCGTCTGGTGTTACCACATACACTTCTTCAGATGTTGCGACGACGAATTACACTGTCATATGACTTTGATTCGCTGTATTCAGTCCGCCATGAAATGGTCTTGAGAAAGCTTCACGAGACTTCATCCTTCTAGAGAAAATGAAGATCCGAGGACTGCACATCTACACGTGGTGTTCAGGGTCTGGAGTGAGTGCTGTCCAACCATTCTGGAAGCGGTTGTTCGGGATTGAGGCAGTTTGGGAGCTCTAGCAACGTGATCAGCGAGGTGCTGCAGGTCTCGCCATGTACAACTAGAGCTTGAGTACCGCATAGTTCACACTGTTCCCTCGCTAACTAATGTATCACTGCGATGAGCGCCTGTAATGCACTCTTATCTTCTTCACCACCTACTATGGTTGAATATGGCACCGTCCTCCATGACTAGCTCCCAGCACTATTAAGCAAGACGCTCACTTACCCCAACTCCGCAAACTACACTGAAAACTTCACCGGGCCATTGGGTATAGGAGCTGCTGCACACACGTCATGCTGTTACGGAGCAACAGTGAAGCTGATGTGCTGGCTCCTCCCACGTTGAGCGTGAGCGAAAACGTGGAAGGAGCGATGCAAGCAATTGTCAGCGCATTTCAACCTGATCTCATAATTTCAGACACTCCAAGCACAACGCGTTGACTCTGTCCACCTGACCCATTCCTGTTGGTCGTAAGGGTGAGTTTCAACGGCGCGCTCATTGGGCGCCGTTCCTGGCATGGTCTGTGTCACAGTGGAATGACTTTGACTTTCGCTTGCCAAGACTGCCCACCGCAAGCTCGACCGTCTCCTTGTACCATCACCACCCTCATCACCACCACCCATTGGCAGCTCCAGGACCCTCGAAGGGAAGCTCTCTCCGTCCCTTTCGCACTTTTCGACACTCTCCACTCTACCGCCACAATGATGCGCACCTCGATCGCCCGGGCGACGCGCGCCGCAGCCGTCCCCAGAACAACCTGCCAGGTTCAGCAGTTCCGCCAGGCCCACGCCATCTCCAACCCTACACTTGCGAAGCTGGAAACGCGTTGGGAAGGTTAGGCGCAGATCAATTCAGAGCGCTGAGCAGGTTACTGACGACGCACAGAGATGCCTCCCCAGGAGCAGGCCGATCTCTGGATGTCGCTGAGGGACCGCATGAAGACCGACTGGAAGGAGCTGACCATGCAGGAGAAGAAGGCTGGTGCGTAAACCCTTTTTCAGAGGCTTTGAGTTTCGCAGATGGGCGCATGACGTTCCCGGGTTTGATAAGGGTGTAGCCGAGTTGGCCCGTGGCATTGGTGCACCCAGCGCATCCTCACACTACACATCGAACACCATCGATAAAGCTCTTGTGCTAACGCGTACTCCAATTTGCAGCCTACTTCATTGCCTTTGGTCCCCACGGCCCCCGCCGCCCCCCTCCTCCGGATGAGGGCCGCAAGGTGCTTTTCCTCTCAACCGCTGTGATTGCCGGCGCTTTCGCTCTCTTCGCATTCACCCGCATGTTCGCCAGCCCAATCAGGCCTCGCACCATGACCAAGGAGTGGCAGGAGGCTTCTGAGGAGTACTTGAAGGTACGTCGATTTGTTGAGGCAGGTCTTGTCGCGCCGTGTGTGCTAATACATCACAGGCCCAGGGATCTGAGCCCATCACCGGCTACAAGGGCATGCTGGTCCAGTCGGTCTCGGAGAAGAACCTCCCTCCTGGTGAGAGGCTTAACGACGACTAAACGAACGGTTGAAAGCCGCACAAACGTACAATACCAACACCAATACCAATCTCATATTTCCCTTGAGTCAACTTTCCGTTTGGTACTGCTTGTGTCAAATATACGACAAGATCGAAAGGGTTACGAGCCCATGCTGGACTGGCCCATGTCATATTAGTCCCTCCGTGTACAGAAATCTTAGAGGCATTTGCGATTTTTGCTGTACCGTCTCCACTACGATCTTGTGTGCAAAGCACAGTGTACGCATACAAAGCACCCCAATGTACACGCTCTTCTCTACATCTTCCCAGCTACATGCTCGTGCAGGTTGGTGACAAACCGCAAATAGCTTCATCTGGACTGGATCTGAGCGACGGTGAGCTAGCAATGTCAGGCCACAATCTGCTAACAAGCCCACAACCAGACGACACACTCAACTTCGTAGACGTGGCCGCGGGTGATTTGGATGGACGCCTTGATCGTGTACCAATTTCGCTATGCCAATCACTGTCATCGTTTTTCGGGTCAGATTGAGGCAGGATCCAAAGAGTCACACTTCTGGCCTTGACAAAAGCAATTAAGAGAGCCTCGGCGCCGCAGATAGAAAGCAGCAAATTCTACTGAGAGGTGACAGTCGACATGCCACCCATCAGTACCTGATACCTCCGACCACACTAACTAGATCGATACAGAAATTAGCAGGTTACTTACGACGACCAGCCTGCTGTGCAGGCTAATCAAGATGCGACCGAAGTCGCACATGAGATAATATTCATGTGCCCGCAATAGCTGGAGGACGCACAAAGCTTAGCCACCAATGCATCCGCAGCCGAACATTACAAGCATTGCCACTACATGACGACGAACGATTGATCTGCGCATGCTGGATAGCGGCCGGTGCGCGTACGCGGAGCAGAGTGGCATACGCGGCTTAACATCATATCTGGTGACAGTGCAGTGTGTGCAGGACTGGACTATCAATCTAGAAAGCGCGTTCATCAAGCGACCGAGATCAATGGAATTCAAAATGAACAACGGGGACTGCGATTCATCAGCATTGAGCAAACTACACCTGACCTGAGGTTCCTGAGCCGTCGGCCGTTTCTGATTGTTCCTCGACTCCATACAACGCTTCCCACGGTTGAGACCACCATGCAACCCTTCCATATCCCGTTTCCCCAAGGTCGGCTTTAGCTAAGAGGCACAGTCTTGACTCCACACGAGAGCCAATTCGGTACGCCAGTGCTCTGCACGCCGTTAGCAACACTAGCTCGCATAGCATCTTACGCAGTCATCCAAGGCATCTCCGCTTGGAAATGTTAGGAAGATCATCCTCAGCCGGGCGTTTCTTCGCAGGAGTGGCTGCGTGGAATTCCTGTCGATCTTGGCAAACCTCTTTGGGTTGGGCGTCCATGGCATGCTGTATGCTGACGTGAGTCGCGAACCCTGTACATAAACGATACTGAACATGCCTTGGTAATGCCAGGATGCAAGAAGCCAGGGCTGACAAGGCCATATCACACATCATTCCCACAATGTAGAGCGAGAGGCCCAAGTGCCGCTCTCTCGGTCACGTATCGCCATTGATTTGATGACGAAACTCGATAAGTATGCCTACATGCAGTACTGACGGCAAACAATCGAGCGTAGTACATATTTTGGACCCAGACTGGAAATTTTACAATCGCGTTGCAGTGTCGCAAGAGCTCCCAAGTACTTAACTTTGCTCTTCCTAGTCCTTAACGCCTGTCTACCTAAACGCACATTTTAGTCTCCCAAACCAGAACACGCACACTAAAAGTCCATGTACGTTGCTTGAGTGGATTGGTCTAGTCTCACTCTCCTTCGAGTCTTCACTGCACCTCATCCAAATATCAAGGGCAGTACTGGAGATAACTGGAAAAGCGATCAGTTCAAGTCACGGGTGTTCAGAATAAGTTGTGGACCTTAACATCGATGAGCGCCTTTCGCCTCTCGGACTGGCAGTCAGCTGTATGCTTACTTTCCAGGCACATATTTGTAGCGAACCTGAATTACCATCATGTATCAATTCAGTGTATAAATCGCTTCCAAGCTACATGTCACTCGACTTCTCGTCTCTCCATTATGTTTCTGTGCAGCGGCAATGCTTAAAGAGCTTCATGGCATAGTATATGAACCTTCCCCGCGCGTTAGAGGCACCAAAGAGGCATCTATATCTGCTACAATCATCGACAGTCTCGCTTTACTCCGAATCTTACTAAATTGACCAAAATTCCCTCCATCTATATTCGGATCCAAAAGAAGTCGTGCCATTCCCTCGGTTCGAAAAACGACTACCCAGGACCCATGGCTGCCTCCGTGCTGCTTCAAAATCATGATCTTTGGAGATATATATTTGCTGATAGCGCTAAGTATCTGCTGCGATATCCGAAAGCAATTGAAAACGTGCCATTGAAAGAAGAAGGCGCCAATTCACATGGAAACTTTTGCTGCAATGATGTATAATTGGCTGTCGAAATGGAAATATGCAGAATGATGGAGCCTGGATGCGTTCCATCACGCCCATGGACTATCTGACTTTGCCTGCACCCAGCCTCTGAAAATGAACATTGACATGTATGACCCGCATATTCGTCAAGAAGGGACAGGATTCGAGGTCATGAGGTGCCAACGCGGAGTGAAATGACTGGCGGCGATCAGCATCTCGTATTGGTGGTGGTCTTACATTCTTGTACATTAAAGTATACACACATCATCTACACCCACTCCTTGGGGTTCTTGAGAACATCTATCAGGCGCTCTTCTCTGCTGCCCTTTTCAGGTACATGCATGTACTCCCACCTCGACGTAAGCGGTAAGCTCATCAGAATACTCTCCACCCTCGCACCCGGCGTGTTCAAGCCGAAGGCTGTACCACGATCGTGCACTAAGTTGAATTCAACGTATCGTCCTCTCCTGATCTGCTGCCAGTGCTTCTGCGCCTCTGTGAACGGCATGTCTTTCCTCCTGTTGATAATCGGCAAGTACGAAGGCAGGAACGCAGACAAGCAGTCCTGAACGAAGCTGAAGAGCTGCTCCTGATCCTTCTGCGTCTCATCAAGATCGTCGAAGAAGATGCCGCCTACACCACGTGTCTCGCCGCGGTGCTTGTTGTTGAAATACTCGTCGCACCACTTCTTGAAGCGCGGATAGTATGCCTTGTCGTGCTTGTCGCACGCCTGCTTGATCTCGCTGTGGAAGTGTATCGCGTCTTCGTCGTAGAGGTAGGAGGGTGTCAGGTCGCAGCCACCGCCGTACCACCAGGTGTTGGTGTTGCCAAACTCGTCGCTGGTCTCGAAATAGCGGTAATTCAGGTGAACAGTCGGCGCGTTGGGGTTGTGGGGGTGCAGAACCATCGATAGGCCTGCGGCGAAGAACTCGAGAGAGTCAACGTCAATGTCGAGTGCCTTGTGGTTGACGCGCATTTTCTGGATCGCGGCGCGTGGGAGGCGGCCGTAAACCACAGAAGTGTTCACGCCGCCCTTCTCGAAGACCTTGCCATCCTGCAGAACGCAGGTGATGCCACCTCCTCCTTCTGGTCGCTGCCATGTGTCGATCTTGAACTTTGTGCCGTCGACCTTCTCCAGCTCAGAGACGATCTGCTTCTGGCGTTGCTTGATAAACTGTTCCATTCGTAGACGCATGGGCGATTTCTCAGATACGCCGTTCTCGCGCTTGAGTAGGGCGTCTTTCTGTGCGATTGAGTGCGTTTCGGTCTTCAGCGAGTCCGACTCTGTCCACTTTGTGTCGTCAATTGTAACTCTCATATATTCGTATTTTCACCAACGCACCATGGAGTATATTATGGCGCCCAGAAAGGGCAACATGAGCAGTCTGATCCTGTTCGGCCACTTGCTGGGAGGAGGATTTCGCCATTCTTCCATTGGATCAGGTTTGATCTTGTAGTTGCGAGGATATTCGCCCATACATCTTCGCTGAACTGGTATCTGTCTAGTCCTCAAGCAATTTGCGCGTAACGACTGGCGGGGCGCATAGCTGGCTGAGAGCTCGAGAGCTCTGGCGATGCGTAAAGAAGACCGAGGAAGCATTGTTGGCGATGCTGGCTTGAGTGGGGATGACAATGCTATATTACAGACATGCAGAAAGAGATGCGGGTATCGATGGGCCAAACTGGTTTATATGGAGTGCGCTGCGAAAGTGGCATCGTCTTGGAGCATGGTCGAAGTCACACCATAGTGGTGACGGGCCGATGTGCTGATTACTAAGGCATCTCTCATCCTCACCGTATGGTCACTCTTCCACGCAACTCACAAAATATATGTATATGAAGTTGAGATTCAAGGGCACTTGCAAGCTTCTTGAATAGCCTTGCTTTGCTTGGGAATTTGAGCTATTTGCAGTGAGTGCCGTTAGAGACTCTAGCTAGAGCAAGCCCGAATGTACGCGCTTCACCAGAGTACTCAGGACGGTGAACTTGACACATTAGTGTAAGTCACAGGCAAACTGACTACTGTCTCAGGCCTACGCGAGTACCTGAGTGCGGGTGACTCAACGCTAGGCCAAATCATGGAAGCTGAGCAAGTGACTTCTGACTTGTGAGGCGAAGGCGGTCAGCGTGCCATACAAAGAGTCACTTCATTAAAGCAACAACGAGGGCGTTACCTCGCATGACGAGTGAGTGCTATGAAGGGCGCTTGAAGTGTCTTGCCCCAAAAATGGTACTTGCCAATAAAGTGAAGTGGCTGGTCCATGACCTTGCCACGGAACGTTTCGTAAGCGGTACTTATCACAGGGACGCTTGCGCCCCGCTCTCTGTTGCCTTGAAGCTCTCACACACCGCCCAACTCTCCTCTCCTACATAACCTCTGCCACGCCACACCACTTGCACAACTTTCTGCGACTACCCGCTGCAGCTTTACCACCCAAAACCCACACCACAGCAAACTTATCACTGCCAATATGCGCTCCAAGTTCAAGGACGAGCACCCGTTCGAGAAGCGCAAAGCCGAGGCCGAGCGCATTCGCCAGAAGTACAATGACCGCATTCCCGTATGTCCCACAGCCTTCTTTGCTCCTCAACAAGCAGCTAACAGCAATAGGTCATCTGCGAGAAGGTCGAAAAGTCAGACATCGCGACCATCGACAAGAAGAAGTACCTGGTCCCTGCCGACCTTACCGTCGGCCAGTTCGTCTATGTTATTCGCAAGCGCATTAAGCTGTCGCCTGAGAAGGCCATCTTCATCTTCGTCGATGAGGTCCTGCCACCCACAGCTGCTCTCATGAGCTCGATATACGAGGAGCACAAGGATGAGGACGGCTTCCTTTACATCACGTACGTTACACATGCCCTCGAGACGCTCGGAGACATCTCTAACAAGGCCGCAGCTACTCGGGCGAGAACACGTTCGGCGAGGCGATCTGAGTAGCCCACTCCCTTTATACTTCTTCGATATCATGCGGCACGGGCGTTTCGGAATCACGGGCTTTCTCATTCTTCTCCACAACACGACACATGGGCAGGACGACTAGGGACATCATGGTGATCGAGGGGTGCGTTGGCTACTTCCTCTGTACCTATCGCGAGGCAACAACAACTGGGTCTCAGAAGGAACTGGTCTCGTAAAGGGTGGCGCGAAGGTATTTCATCGCTTCAACTCATGATTATGCCGAGTTCGCACTACCACTACGACGAGGCCGAGTTCGGCTGGCTAGTTGATTTGGCTTATCCTCCGCTACCCCTCTGTAATTCGAGCATCAAATGCACCACATCTTCTTTGATAATGTCACGTCCCTTTCTATGACATCCTGTGCCTGCCTCGTGAAGCCCTGCACGCTGCTGACGTTACCCCGTGACTTGCGGCTCAGCCGGTCGCTGAGACGATGACGACATCCAGACATCGTCCACCTGACCAGGTACCTCGGAGCCAAGGCGATGAAGGTGCACGCGGTATCTGAAGCTCTGTCAAACAGAGAAAGAGCTTATCGCACTCCAGCTGATGGCACGGTTCCATATCGGTACTCACAAGTAATCGCGGGGCAAGCTGCGAGTCGCGCCTACCTGCACGCGTCGACCGCGGCAGGCTAAAGTGATGCGGGCCGCCGATCGTTGGGGAAGTTTATCGATACTCGACGCTGCAACAGCAACATCAATTGAACACCTAATGATCCGTCTCGACCACTGTCCCATAACCCAAAAGCTACGCCCCCGATTGGACATTCAGCGGCAGCTCGTCTCTTTGGCTACGACCGCAGACAAGTTACGATAGACCGAAGACAGAGCTAACAAGCTCAACCGCGAAGATGTACATCATATCAAAGTATGCCATCTCCTTCCTCTCCAGCACCCTATACTTGTGCTGACACTGAGCTACAGAGCCCTCGACCCTATTTTTGCCATTTCGATCGGTCTCGCCGCCGCCGTTACGCGCATCAACCGCGAAGAGAAGGAGAAGGATCGCTCGACTCAAGAGACAATAGATGTGTTCAAGAGGAGGTGGGCGCTTGCGTGGGAGGGGGGGCCTGCCGCGGCGACGAAGCAGTAGATCTACAACAGAAGTGTAATAATTTAATAGGAAGAGTCAGCACAGCACCGTAGAAAAGGGTGGTCACTAAGGCTCCCGGCAGAAGAGGATCTCACGGCTGTGACCAAAGAGCGACAGCCGGATTGACTCTCGCCGAGACGACTGGCTGGTGGAAGGTGACACGATCCAGCACCAAGCGAGCGATAGTTCAGTGCCAATGATACCCTTTTCAGCTTCAGCAACATGTGCAAAAGCAACGGCCTAATATTCATTCTTCGTAGCGATCACATTACTGTCACGACTGCTGTCTTGACTCTGTCAAGGTTGAGCTGAAGGGTACGAGGGTTTATCGATGGTAAGGTACGCAGCCGTGCTTCGACTTGAACACAATGGAGCAGATGCTAACACTATCAAAGTAACAAAGAAAGACTATGCAGCGCCCGGGTTCTCGGTTCTTTATTGATTCCTTTCAACGGATATCGCATATACGTCAAACGATACGCCTGATAGCTGTGTGCCCTCTGCCATACATCGTTCAACCGCTGCGGGTTATGTTTCAGATGGCTTCGGTTGATCCTCGTTGTATGTGCATCGGAGATGTAGAAGACATCGTCAGGTTCTCGGCGCTGATGATGTAGTACGAAGAGAACCTTTTGACGGCATCGTACTGCTGCGTCGACATGTTGGAGGGCGATGCATCACTGTGCAGCAGCGGTGTATCTCCTCGCTCTGGCTGCTGAGGGGTCTCCTCTCCGGGCAGTTCTTGTGGCCGAGAATCTTGTTCCCCCGAGCCCTCTTCGAGACTGAATTCTTCGGCAAAGCATTCCTCAGTCACTTCTTCAAAGCCTTTATAGCCAGCGGTGCGCTGAAGTGCCTCTGGAGATACGTCTCTTGTTAGGTACTGCCCTCGTGGAGTTCGACCCTCCACACTTTACGTAGCGTCCCTTCCCACTCACGACGAAGAGCTCGCTGATTCGCAGGATCTTTGCCGAACTCAGTCATCTGGGAAGCCTTGGCATCAGAGCTTCAGTGCTGTACGTTATCGCCAGGCCCAACATGCGCAGTGACGTCGCTCAGCGTGTACCACAACGGCGAATTACGGTTGCTTTGATGACAGGCCAAGTCGAAGTGCTCTTCTACAATGAAACCGTCGAGCCATTTGTAATTGCCGCTGGTAACGTTGCGTTCAACCATGACACATCCTGAGTAGTAGGGACATACTGAGCTTTTCCAGCAGGAACGCGCTTACCTATGGTATTCACAGACCGAAGCTAATCAAATGCAAAATATTGCAGGGTGGATATGGCAGACAACTTTTTTTTAACAGGGCGAGCAGATAACGCAAGCCTTTTATTATTCGAGATCGTAAAAGTGTTGAGGGGACTGTTAACGTAAGTCCCCTGTACCTTTAAAAGGGTCTGATCCATCGCAAACGACACTCAACTCTTTCTGTCTCCTACCCGTCTCCATCCAAGACAGTAGGGGGCATAGACTCAATACACCCAGTTGTCCACCAGAGCAACGACAAGATCTCGAACATAGAGAGGCGAATTGCTACTTTAGCAACAGCATTCTAACACAAGGCCTTCAACTCAACACTCTCTATAAGCTGATCTTGTATAAGCACGACCGCTGTACCTCCGACAGCACTTCCTATGCTCCTACAAAGCTGAGATAAATGAAACCTTCTCAACGTCGGTGTCGAGCCAGCACGAACCAGTGTCATCCGAGCAATACTGGAACGTGCCGACGTCAATACCAGAGAGGTGGATCAAGGAGACCACACACTTAGAAGTAAGGGGGCAGTCAAGCCGATATGTTCCCAACAGTGGGGAGCCGGAGGGGCCGGAGGAGTCATCGTGGAAGCGGACTGCTGGTCACAATAGGAAGGAGCAAAGGAAACGAAGCGGAGGTTAAGTGGGAGGTTGTGAGGAAACACTCGATCCAGTTCGTATGTCAACTTGCATAGACTAGCATGAAGACCTTTAATGTGCCTTCTGAAGACGATGTATGTACACAAAAGACTCTGTATCCTTCAACCTGACTTTAAGCTTACAATGCATGATCGCGTATCCTGTGACAGGCTTGTAAACAAACTGGGAATTGTTGCGTCATTCATCGAGCATGTTAGAGAATGACCGTGGCCAAAGACAATCACGCAGAGTAGGAAACGCTTTTGAAGAACTAGGAAATGGTTTCTTTGCATGCAAGATAGATTACAGAAGCCACGATGCTCCAAGCACCCGCTCATAATCCCACATTTGGAGGTATATGTTTTGTACAAGTGAGACTACCAGCGACTGCCCTCGACACAGTGGCCGACTTTCATGTCTCGCCCACCACACCGCTCGCTTATTGCTTCTCGAGCTCAGCAAGAATCTTCTCACCCTTGGCACGGGCAGAGTCAAGGTTGCCAACCATGTAGAAAGCACCCTCGGGAAGATCGTCACCCTCACCGTTCAGGATGCCCTTGAACGAGCGGATAGTGTCCTTGAGGTCGACAAGAGCACCCTCAATACCAGTGAAGACCTGGGCGACAGCGAAAGGCTGCGACAGGAAACGCTGGATCTTACGGGCACGCTCGACGGTAAGCTTGTCGGCTTCCGACAACTCGTCCATACCAAGAATGGCAATGATATCCTGGAGCGACTTGTACTCCTGGAGGATCTGCTGGACCTTGGTGGCGGTGTCGTAGTGCTCGTCACCGATGATACGGGGGTCGAGAATACGGGACTTGGAGTCGAGAGGGTCGACAGCGGGGTAGATACCCAACTCAGAGATACCACGGGACAAGACAGTTGTGGCGTCCAAATGGGCGAAGGTGGTGGCGGGGGCAGGGTCAGTCAAATCGTCAGCAGGGACGTAGACGGCCTGGACGGAGGTAATGGAACCCTTAGAGGTGGTGGTAATACGCTCCTGCATGATACCCATGTCGACGGCGAGGGTGGGCTGGTAACCGACGGCAGAGGGGATACGACCGAGAAGAGCGGACACTTCAGAACCGGCCTGAGTGAAACGGAAAATGTTGTCAATGAAGAGCAGCACATCCTGGCCTGGAGATAGTCAGCAGCAGTCTAAGTAGCGATGTAAAAATTTCACCTTCAACATCGCGGAAATATTCCCTGTAAGCATAGTTAGCATGTGCTGGGGGTAGTCAAGGAGTTATGGGGACTTACGCAACAGTCAGACCAGTAAGGGCGACACGGGCACGGGCACCCGGGGGCTCGTTCATCTGACCGAAGACAAGGGCGACCTTGGACTCGCCCTCAAGCTGGATGACGGATGTCTCCTGCATCTCGTGGTACAGATCGTTACCCTCACGGGTACGCTCACCGACACCAGTGAAGACGGAGAAACCACCGTGGGCCTTGGCAATGTTGTTCTGCGTTATTGTTAGCTGATAGTTTGCTGACTGCCTCCAGAGACCTTACAATCAGCTCCTGAATGAACACAGTCTTTCCGACACCGGCACCTCCGAAGAGACCGATCTTACCACCACGAGCGTAGGGGGCGAGGAGGTCGACGACCTTGATGCCGGTAATCAGGACCTCAGCGGAAGTGGACTGCTCGGTGAACTCTGGGGGGTCGGCGTGGATGGGAGCGAACTTGGTGGCCTTGATGGGACCACGCTCGTCAATGGGGTCACCAGTGACGTTCATGATGCGACCAAGAGTGCCGTGACCGACAGGGATCGTGATGGGAGCACCGGTGTCGGTGGCCTTAGCACCACGGACGAGACCCTCGGTACCTGCGCAGTTCCATCAGTTCCATCCACGACAGTTGAGTAGTGTGGCGAAAACTTACCGTCCATGGCGATGCAACGGACGATGTTCTCACCCAAATGTTGCTGAGACCGGTCAGTGTTGTTCCAGGTCTGCGATTGCTTGGCGTTCTTACTGCGACCTCAAGGATGAGCTTGTTGCCGCCATTGTCGGTGGTCAAGGCGTTGAGAATGGAAGGGAGCTGCTCAGTGTCGAACTTAACTGCAATTGATGTCAGTTTCTGTTTTGATAATTCCGATGCCCTCCAATGGGTCGCCAACGCAACTGGCATCGAAAAACTTTTGCGACAGTGCCGCAGGGAGGGAACCAACCGTCAACAACGGCACTAGACGATATTAGCACTTGTCTTTTCCATCATCAACGTTTCAACTCACCCAATGACCTGGTGAATCTTTCCATCACGGGCGGCGTCGGTGGAAGCGTAGCGGACCGCGTGGTTGGAGACAGGTGCGAAGGCGCGCGCAGCCTGAGAAGGCTTGAGGGAGCGGAAGGACCGCTGGAACTGGCTGCATTTCATCGAATCAGCGGGCCTGCCATCATCAATTGACTTCAGCAGGGTCGGAACTCACCTCCTCAGCATTGTGTGAGATGTATGAGACGGTTGTGGTGGGTGGAGGAGACGGGTGTTCCTTTGAAGAGGAGAGAGAAAAGCGCCTCCAAGCAGAGAGCTTCAGACACACAGACCACTACGCTTACCGCTTTCGGGCTTCACTCTCCCACAACTGAGCTCCCCGCAACTTTGCACGGCTCACGAACAACCTTCTCCATGCCCCATATTCTGATGTGGACTGCAGCGCACCTTCCTCAAGCTTTCGAGTAGCTGCAGCTCAGGCAGACAGCTTGATCGGTCATCGTCACGTGGAATGTCGATGTTTCCGATTCGCTCCGAAGAATTCGAACCCCCGGGTTTGACCCTAATCTACAGCTTCGGAGACTCCGTACAAACTTCCGCAGTGACCGATAGAAACAGCCGATTCTTCTGGCATGGCTGGCCGATATAAGTTCCGGCACGGAGAACCTTGGTGGAAGCAACGCTGTGTAAAGCTCAGCCAAGTCGTAGTCCGTCCTACTACCTACTTTCTCTGTGGTTACCAGGCGAGTCGTTAGATGAATGTTTTGACCACCTATGTCACTGATCGAGAGCTTGCATACCTCCAAATGCTTCACATTACAGAGCACCACAACTAGACGATCCACCGACATCCGCTGCTAAGAATATGGGAAGGGCATCTTGGACGGGCTGCTAAGGTTTACTCCATGAAGCTGAAAGAGGTCCATAGAAGTAGCCCCCCGAGGTCCCTCCATAGGCCTGAATGAGCGCTTCTTTTGCGACTGTTAAAACGCCCACTCAAGCAGAGTACATTGCATCCCAGTATCTTCAGCTACGAGGTCCTATCTATTGTAGCCATCAGAGCGATATTGAAGCTCACAGAGCACTCAATTGTCACGCTGAAGCCAACTGCTGTTTTGCTAGAGGTCGTGATCCAATATTCTAGACATTCGGGACAGTAGAGTATTTCGTGCCGCTGAAGCCGCTGCATAAGTTCACATAACCCCCCAACTCTACCAAGAGCAGTGGATGTAGATGTTGAGCTGACCCCAACTAGCTAAATCTTCCCAGCCCAACGCAAGCACACCTTCCAGTCTACGAAGACGGCGAGCAGGAGCCACGTGTCGTGGGCTATTACTACAACCCAGTCTCAGTCAACACCACAGCGTCGAAGTCCGCTTCATCCTAGCCCACGAGCCTGAAAAATACCTACAGCTGAGGTGTGCCCAGCGTGCTGACCTAGGACAGGAGCACGCACGACGCATCCTAGTATCTTAAAGAGTTCTTGTGGAGCTGTGTTCATCCTATCATGACCGACTAAAGCGTCAGAGTAGATCTCTCGAATGTGCGTAGGAGACATTCGGAAGGGCTTTTGAAGTCCACGGCGAAGAACTGTTTGATACTCTTGTAAACCGTGAGAAGGAGTGGTACAGAAGAAAGAGAATGGGTAGAGGAAGGACAAGTCTTTCACTCAGCTTCAACAATGAAGATAAAGGCTTCCTTGTCCTGAATGGAACGGCCTACTACACAATTATTCACTGAGCACCGAGACTCAATATAAGTGGTGAGCAGGGCTGGACGTTTCAAGAGAGCATGAAGCACACACACCGATAGCCGTCAACAACGCCCGCATACCTGCATCATGATAAGCAGAAGCAAGGAAATCACTGCCCAACCCGTTCGCTGGTGCTAAATGATAGAAGCTTGACACCGTCGATACACCCGAGCGATTCTGGAGTGCTTTTACAGTGGTAGGCTGGTCAGGAGTAGATCCGTCGTGTCACTGAAGACCATTGGTGTCTGGCATCGATCCAATACCTGGAGGCAAGATAGTTTGAGCGCGAGAGCGCTTGATCGAACAAAGCACCACTGCAGCTGCTAGTGGAACGGCGAGGCACACTGGTGGTCAGATCATTGCTGACTTCATGCTCTGCACGATACGGTATAATTTTCTCGATGGTATCCTTACATGGCGCTTATGTGCAACGACGCTATTAGATGAACACTAGTCCTTTCCTTGAGTCCTCAATCTTTCCCTGTCTCCATCCAGCCTCTACAGCGTGGACTCCAAGGCCAAAACCTGCGTTGTGATTAGTGATGGTCAATATATCTAGGATTAGTGCAACTTACAATCGCAGTCCTTGTAGGGATGTACACCTGCAAGAAGTTCTTCCTCTCATTCCACGCAAACGGCGTAGTGAAGAACCTCGTATCTTCAGCAACATTACCATGGCCACCAAACGCCTTGTTATCAGTGCTGAGCACGATCCTGTAGGTGCCTTCCTGCTCGACACCAACGCGGTAGTCGGTGAAGCTGTTGGAGGGGTGGAAGTTAAAGATCCACAGCAGACCTGCGCGCTCGAACACGATGACCTTGTCGCCCTCGTGCTTCAGGCTGACGTACGCCTGTGGCGAGTGCAGCCAGCCGTACTTCTCCTCTGTCCACTGCATCTTGCTGTCGAACTCGTTCAGAAATCTGTAGCGCAGCAGGTCGTCGTCGACGAGGTTGAACTGCCTGCGGGCGTAGTCGAAGCTGTTGCCGTTGCCTTCGCGAGGGAAGTCGAGCCACTCGGGGTGGCCGAACTCGTTGCCTTCGAAGTTTAGGTAGCCCTCTCCGCCCAGGCCGTGGGTGATCAGCCTGATCATCTTATGCAGGGACAGACCCCTGTTAATAACAGGAGTGAGTTCCGACAAGACAGACATGTTGGTGTACATCTCAGCGTCACATAGCCAGAAGAGTAGGGTTTTATCACCAACGAGCCTATAATTCGTTAGCAAATAGAGACTTCATCAGGAAAGGTAACGTACGCTTGGTCGTGGGACTCTGCATAGGCGATGGTTTTCTCACCGTGCCGCCTATTCGACAGCGTGAAGACGAGGTTGCCCATATCCCAGTCAATATCCTGCTTCTCCTTCAACCACTTGATGTACAGATCCGGGACTGCCATCGCGAGTCTATAGTCGAATCCTATTCCGCCCAGAGACAGCGATACGCAGAGACCAGGCATACCAGACACATCTTCTGCGATAGTAATGCAGCTGGGGTACAGCTGGTGCAGCAGCTCATTGGCAACCATGAGATACACAACGCCCTCCTCGTCGACACCAGGGCCGAAGTACTCGTGGTAGCCACCAGAGAAACCTGTGCCGATACCATGGTGTGTGTAGATCATGCTGGTGACACCGTCGAAGCGGAAGCCATCGAACTGGTACTCCTCCATCCAGAATCTCAGGTTGCTGAGCAGGAAACGAAGGACCTCGTGATGACCATAGTTGAACAGTCTGCTATCCCAAAGCTCGTGTCGTCCCTTCGCACCCTCGTGGAAGTACTGATGATCGCTGCCGTCGAATGAGTTCAGTCCATCAAGGACATTCTTTGAGGCGTGACTGTGGACAACATCCAAGAGAACTGTGATGCCCATGCCGTGCGCAGTATCGATAAGCTCCTTGAGGTCATCTGGGAAGCCATATCTACTGCTTGCAGCAAAGAAGCTGTTGATCTGGTAGCCGAAACTGGCGTAGTATGCGTGCTCCATAACAGCCATCAGCTGGATAGTGTTGTAGCCCAGGTGCTTGATCCTGGGGAGGATATTCTGTGTGAACTCTTTGTATGTAGCGACCTTGCGCTCGGGCGAGGAGATACCAACGTGGGCTTCGTAGATACGTGCGCTCTCGGGCTTCGCTGGGCGCTTGTTCTTGAATTGATACTTCTGAGGCGGGTTCCAGAAGCGCGCATCGTAGACGGGGGAGACGCTGAGGTCTTGGGTCACTCGGGTGATCCAGGCAGGGAGACGCTCCTGGCGTGCATGGTCGTTGGGAACAACTAGGGAGATCTAGTCGAGCGTCAGCTCGTGTCTTGATTCTAAGCAGTGTAGCAAACACACCTTGATCTTGGAATCATGCGGTATCGAGGGCTGGCCGTTCTTGCCAGGGACCGTCACTTCGAACACACCGAACTCGTTCTTCTTCATGGGCGTCGCATCGCGGTTCCAGTCGTTGAAGTCGCCAATAAGGTAGGCTCGCAGGGCGTTCGGCGCCCACTCGCGGTACACAACATCGCCGTTTGACTGGACCTGGAAGCCAAAGCGCTCATAGCCCTACGTGGTGGTCAGCTATGACACTGGTAGACAACAATCGGGCAGTGCTTGCCCTTGAGAACTTCTCGAGACCGCCTTCTGTCTCTTCGATCGTCTTGATCCACTGCTGGGCTTTGGCGTAGCGGCTCTTCAGCGCGCCAGTGAAAGGCTCCAGATAAGGATCCAGCTGGACCATGCCTGCGAGGAACCCAGTCAGTCAATTGCTATTGTCAAGCCACAATGTCCCTACCAGTGCCGTCGTTGGCGCCCTTTGCAGGGGCATCGTTCACCGAGTTCGCGGATGCGTTGACGAGGTCCATCGTGATGCTAGAGTCAACGTGCTGCGGAGGAAAGTTTGCTATTGAGCAACGAGGATTGTGGAGGAATGGGGGCAAGTGCACGGTTTTCAATCGCAAACAACGCACAAGCTCGCAGCCAGACTGCACGGCAAGCAGGTGGGCATTTGCGGGGTCTTTCGCCGCAGCGTTTGGCTGCGGCCCTCAACGAGACCTCCGCCCAACGTCATACCTGGAGGTAGCTCTGCTACATTTCTGGACTGGGCTGACCATAGCGCGATTCAACAGCGCGCATGGCAGGGGTCGGTAGGATTCACGCAGTAATTCGTTGGGGAGCATTTTTTTTCTGAGGCTGCTGCAGGCGCGCATTAACGCTGGCTGACTGGCCTACCTGCTCTGCGAGGCTGCTATCGAGTGCGCTAGCTGGTGGTTGACACCCGTGAACGGACCGACGTCTGGGGGTGGTTCTCCAGCCTTTGCGGGGTCCTTCGGCCCAATGCGGAGAGCTGTAGCTCTCACACGTCCACACCCGCCTAGGCACTATCGCACGCTCGTGGTTGTCATTGAGCCTCTGCTCTCGTGATGTGACACCCCCCGCGACTGCCTACTCACCATGAGTGTCCGAAAGCTCACCATCGCCGTCTCGCCCCCAGCACGCGCATCCCACCTCGCCCTATGCACCATCGACCGCCGCGCATTCCATACCCGAGGTCCCACCTCATCTGCGTACAGTCGCTCTGACTTCAGCGGCCAGGGCTTCTCTAATTTATATGAGACCGACCAGCCCACACGTGGCCCGCTGGGAGGCACCTCCAACGTGCAAGGCAGTCATGTGACGCCCAAGGCGCTGAGACAGCACCTGGATCAGTTCGTTGTCGAACAAGAGCGCGCCAAGGTGGTGCTGAGTGTCGCCATACACGAACACCACCTGCGCATCCAAGAGCTCCGGCGCCAGAGGGATGAGGAAGCTAGGCTAGCAGCGCAGGCGCAACGGAGAGCGTCAGCGTTCAGGCACCCTGTAGAAGGTAGATCCAATCTCGTCATCCTGCCACCACACGGTGCTTCTGCTCTTGATGAACCATGACTGAGTACCATAGACGAGTTTCCAGGTCAGCAGGCAACTGTGCACGTATCCAACCCTGCCGACCCCCCGTCGTATAGCGATATTGCCTTCCCAGTTTACTCATCACCGCTGCCGGAAGCTGAGCCGTTACCCGAGACCCAGCCGGAGCCTCTGCAGATAGACAAATCGAACGTGCTCATACTGGGACCTACTGGCGTGGGCAAGACCCTCATGTGCAAGACTCTAGCGAAGACCCTGGGCATTCCCATTTCTATGTCTGACTGTACGACCTTTACACAGGCTGGATACATCGGAGACGATGTAGAGCAGTGCGTGTCTCGCCTCTTCTCTGCTGCCGGTCATGACATCGAGGCCACTGAGCATGGCATCATCGTGCTAGACGAGATCGACAAGATCGCCTCTGCCAAAATGTCGTACGGAAAAGACGTCGGTGGCGAAGGCGTGCAGCAAGCATTACTCAAGATTATTGAAGGTACGACCATCCAAGTTCGCGCGAAGCCAGAAAAGAGCGCCGGAAAGAGCCCTGGCAGCAGTAACGGGTATCCCTCTGGTAATCCACTGGATATTGGGGGCAGCCCAAGGAGCCCGCTCAGTGGTGCGCCGGGTGGCGGCAAGGACGAAGTGTTCAATATCCGCACCGATAACATTCTCTTCATCTGCACCGGTGCATTTGCCCAGCTGCACAAGACAATCCTGGATCGCAAATCCATGGGAGGCATAGGGTTCGGGGCATCGATTCGATCATCGAGTTCAGAAGCATCTGCTGACGGGGTGATGCTGAGAGGCGAAGAGGCGACTCGGTTCAAGAAGGATGCGCCGTTTTACATCCCTCCTGAGAAGCCGAATCCGTTTGGTGGTATTCACCAAAGGAAGCCTGAAGAGAAGGTCAACGTGCTCGACTACGTGCAACCAGCGGACCTTCAAAAGTATGGCATAATACCTGAGCTGATTGGACGCATCCCTACTGTATGCGCTGTGTCCGCTCTGGATGAGGAGGCCCTGGTTCGTGTCCTCACGGAACCAAAGAACAGTCTGATCTCGCAGGAGCAGCACAAATTCTACTTGCGAAATATCGAGCTACGTTTCACCAGCGGTGCGTTGAGAGAGATCGCACGGAAGGCCAGCAAGATGGGTACCGGCGCCCGTGGATTGCGACATGTCGTTGATCAGCTGCTCCTTCAGGCCAAGTACGAAACACCTGGTAAGATCGTTCCTTCCTCTTGCCTGAGCAGATCGCTGATATTCATAGGTTCAAACGTCAAGCACATTCTTGTCACGCAGGACGTGGCTCTTCTGAAGAATGCTCCCCTCTACTTCCAACGAGGTCAAGCTAATGCTTTCCAAGCCACACTGACACAAGAGGAGGAGAAGTGGGATGAAGAGCTTAGAAGCAAGGAAGATGCGTCCAATGGACATGCCCATTCGTTTGAAGAATACAGGAAGGCTGGCGCGGCAGGCATGTAAAGACAGGCGACTATTGGACCCATTCTTCCTTTGTCTGCGAGCTGCGGACAGCCTTCTTCGCCAGGGAGGATGATGCATTGGAGCGGAGAGTTGAAGCGGTGCATATGTGCGTGAGCATATGCAGAAACGCAGTGATAATTCTCTGTGATTGGCCGCACCGTGCTGCGGGTACCTTGATGCCGGTCTCGATGAGCAACCCGCAGCGTGGAGGCAGTCAGTTCGATTCGTTGTAGATGACATTAGCAGCCAAATGAGCGATTACGAAATAATAGATACGATCCAATGAAACTGTGGTGGGTTATCGTCGAGTTCCCATTTACCATGAAGTTTGGAAGGTATCAGCCAAAGCTCGTAAATTGTTCGGTTTACGATAAGTTCCAACTTGGAGCCTTCTGTTGCATTTCCGCGGTACAGTAGCAGATAAGCTCTGAGTCCATGGTAAACGTTCGCTTGACAGGATGACACGAGAGCTGACCAGGCGTTCTGGTCCATATGCACGGAATGTTACCGTATTACTATGCCGTGAGCCGCCAAAACGGTGCCGAAGCGAGAGGCTGATCGCTTGTGCAAGCCGGCCGAATAATGAGCAGTACAAGCAGGCCTGTTGGAACCTGCCCAATGTCGTCTCCTTGGCAATGGTTCGACCCAACGTCTCAAGCGCTGTGGGGCGGTGGGGACCAATCAAATTCAGAGAGTCTGGACTTGCAATCATGCCGGGGTCGCTGCGACCTCCTTGCTCTCGAGACTACGAAAAACGGCTTCCTACCGATCAATGCAAGTCCGATTATTGAGCGAAGCGCAGCTCCTCCTGTGGTCCCGGATGTGCGCCAGGTCATGTCTGTGGGCCGCCAGTGAAGCTCAGCAACTAGGTATACGAAAGAATTTGGGTGAGGAGGTAAAGGTGCAAGGCGGCTCGTTCGCAGGGTACCAGACAATCCAAGCTGACTGCATGCATGCGCTAGTCTACTTGGGTGTGAAGATGAGGAGCGACAACATGGAGATAAACAAGATCTGGGAGGAGAAAGCCGGATGCAAAATACGTGTGCGGGGTCCATGGCCACTGGAGGTGAGGCAGGCACGTCGTAGCACCTGCCCTGAGCCAGCCCCTCACTACCGATCACATCAAACGTTGCACAGAGGACGAATAGCTAAAGTGTGATATGTCTTTGATTGTCTCGTAGTCTATACGGCCTCATCAGAGGACTATGGCAACACCAATGGAAGCAACAATAACGTTAGTCTAGTAATTAAAAGCATAATCGTCCGGTAGTAATGATATCCAGACATGTCCATCGGGACCAAGGTCGTAAAATTGCAGCGAAATCGAATCAAAGCACCCCATGCTGTGCGTATGGTAAACCGTGAGCTGCAGTGCCCGTTATGCAAGCCCGCCATTCGTTATGCAACCGTCCAAGTTGACCAACACCGAATCCAAGTCATCTCCAAAAACGCCATTTTAACTCCATGTCTCATTTTCGTGATGCAGCGCCGGGGAATATCACGTTTGCCAATTGCTGAATTCGTAGAATCCTGTTTCTTGTGGCGAAAATTGGGTGTTGATCTGAGCAGACTGTTGCTGAGGGATGTTGAAGCTCATCGATTGGGGTGCTTGCTGAGGGGCAACAGGGTAGCTTGGCAGGGGGTGAGACTGCTGAGCTGTGATGGGATGACGAAGGGTCTGAAGGGTTTGCTGTGGGTTGACTACCCTGTTCAATGTCTGTGTAAGCTGTTGGGGGGCAACAGCGTGGCTGAAGTGAGGATAGTTGCCGAAGTTGAATGCCTTCATGGTTGGAGTGGTTGGTTGTGAGTGGATACCTGGCGAAGGAGGGCGGGAATACATTGGTGTCGGTGGCTGTGATTCCATGCCGAAGACTGTGGGAGGGTGGTTGTAACCATATGGTGTGTGTCCGGGTCCAGTAAAATTGAACTGAGTGTTCATGGGGTATGGCGAGTAGAGTGGGTACTGCTGGAACTGTTGATTTTGAGCAGGCATGGAGCTTGGCAGGCTCAGAGATGGCGACAGGAGTTCAGCCTGGGGTGTCTCCTTATTCTTGTGATCGTCTGTCACTTGAAGGATCTCGGACAGGCTCTGCGTGAGCAGTTCTCCGTTGACGCCCCGGATGGTGAAAATGACTCGGTAACCAACCGGTGTCTTTGACTCCTGGTGTCTGCAATAGCATGCGATGCGCATGGAGAACTCGACTTTCTTCGCGCCCGAGCCCCACTTGCTCTCCGATGCATCAGCGTCTGCCAGGCGCTTAAACTCTTTTTCGTTGACAATGATAATGCGCTTGTCATCGTAGGTGCTCCATTCCTCTTCCTCCTCTTCGTTGCGCTTCTTCTTGCGGCCAAATCGCTTCCTTTCGCGCTCTTGACAGCCATTGCAGATAATCACCGCACCGCCGTTCTGCGGGTGTGCAGGGTCGTCCTTCTCCATCTCTGAGACATCGACACGTGGGATCTTTGTAGGGAACGAGCCCTCACCTCGAGCACGTGCCAATGCAAGTTCCAGATCTTTTGGCTCTTCCACTGCAACAGCGCAAACAAGGGTAAAATCAATGGAAACTGCAGCGCCCTTCTTCTGGTTTTCACGAATCTCGTCTGAAGTCGCCAACTGCTTGGGCTTCGAGATGGTCTGACGAGCGAAACGCGCCCACTCATAAGTCTCCGGGAGGGGATCCAAGATGATGGTAACTTTGGTCTGGGTCTCGGCTCGTGTCTTGGTGCGGTCCATGGAGACCTTCAACGAGAGAGTGTCTTCCTGCTGAGGAATGTGGATTGCTTCCGGGGACTGATACCCGTAGGCAGAGGGTGCGGTTCCAGGGGTGTAAGCTGCCATCTCGTTGGAGACTTCAGGCGAGCTCGTGCGGCTCTCTTCCCTGACGAATTCTCCAGGCGAGTTGGCGGTGCTGTAGACAAAGTCGAAATCAGCAGCAGGGGACGGTGTGTTTGATTCCGAAGAGTAGTTGTCGAGGAATGCGTCGAAAACGGTAGGCTCGGTCTTGACCCTCTTCGCTCTTGTGGACGGATAGCCTTGCTCTTGTTGGAACTGATGAAGCTTAGTCAAATCGACGGCAGAGTCCTTGTGCTTATGTACCAGCTCTTCCTCGGCGGGTGCAGAAAAGTCGAAGGCCTCGAACTTGGAGGTGTTGGCTGCGGTGAAGGGTTGCTGGGCAGTGCCGTCAAAGGTCAGGTCGGCCGGGTTGACGAACGTTGAGAAATCCATGGCGAAGACGTGGACCACGCCTTTGCTCTGGAATATCCTAGCTGAGTCGCTGCTCTTGACTGCTCAAACCACAGAGTCGCAGCTACTGTGGGGGCGTAGTGGCCGCGAGTAGCTGACGAGTGGGTCGTGAGTGTCGAGAGAGTGCAGTGCGCAGCCGTCTTGCAGTAGTTCGGACGACAGCGAATGTATGCGTGCAGAATAGCGAGAGTGGGTCGTGGGAAGCAAGAGTGAGCGATACTGATAATTAGGGCTAGAAATGGGACGGTTCCGTGGTTGAGGAAAGATGTCGCGAACCACGCAGTGGTGAAGCAGGCGCTGTGAGCGGTGGTGCCAGTGCGGAGCCGGAAGTGGGCCAATCACAGCATGTATGATCGCCTACCAGGGCGTCCTCTCAGGCTTAGCGGGGAAAATGTTTCAGGGGAGGCCGCCGCAAGGTGTTATGTCGAGGGCAGCGAGCGTCGATAGCTGCTTCGATAGCGGCAGTCGAGGAAGTCTGGCGGGGCGGGAGGAGAAAAAAAGGTGGACTGTGGAGAGTGAATTGAGGCCGTATGGGCGAGCGCGGGCTTGTATTTCTCTTGCTAACACACCCCACTCAGCACAGAAGGCTCCGTCGCTCGTCGCCGCGCTCTAAGCAACGTCAATCCGCCAAGGGATTCCCGGGGACCCCTGCACTGGCGTACGAACACCAGCAGCACGGAGCGAGCGCCTTTGTACAGGTAACTTCGACGACATCACCCCTCGTCTGCCCGCACCGGCTCACAGTGCCGTCGTGGCCCAGGCAGACGCCAGTGCAGCGGAGAGGTGCCCACGTCGCCTACTGCAGCACGAACGGTGGACCTCTACTTTTACTGCGCCTGGAGACGCTCTTCGCGGGTCTCTGCGCGCGTCTTCGTCTCCAAAAGGGCAACGGAAGCGTGCGGGAGATGTACCTGAACATCGACGCCGTCCCCATGCACGAGCCGGGCACGGTTAACTGCACACTAGCTGCAGCGCCCCGTCCTGGGCTCTTTTTCGCGCTGTGCTGAGGCTTGCCCACTGGCTCGCAGTGACAGGCGAGTGCAGGCTTCAGCGGAAAGAGTCGGCTGCCCGTCGTGCAACCGCGCCGTTATGCTTTCATCTAAAACGCTGCACTGCAGCCATGGTCCCATGCCATGATGCGAATCATCCTGATGGCAATCGAGCCAGCCATCTGCTGCACCGCGCCTCTGCTGCGCACACTGGGCCTCCCACAAGCCGCGGATTTGCATCCGACAAGCCGACGGCGCGCCACGCTTCCTTCTCCCTGGGCGCGTCTCCAGCGGCCTCGAATGGCGCCCTCTGCCCGCCAGCTGTCCCAAGCCGTCCAAGAGCATCGAACTTGTTCGCAGGGCTGATGGTGCAAGGTGGAAAAGCAGCTTTCGTGCCAAGCTGCCCAAATGTACTCACTGCACGACGAAGCCATCGCCGCACACGCTCACTAATGCTCTCCCGTCTGATGCCTGTCGACTCGGATAAAACTCTGCGCCAGGCATCTTGCACTTGCTCCAATGGCTCCAACTCGCGCAATCTGCCGCGTAAGAGAAACCACTGCGCCATCAGCTCGGTCCTGACCTGCTGCAATGCATAAAAGTTTGACCCCACGAACATTGCCCGCTAGACTGGTCCCCGCCTCCAGTGGCGATACACTACCGCTGAGTTTTTCGGAACGCAACGACTCACAAACCGACTTCGGCTCTCCGATGCCTGACAAGAACCGACTGCTTTTCGGCTAGTGCCAGAGTGCCTTGATTCGCTGCGTGTCGGATGCCGGGGTCTCACCTGGCCTAGCAGTGCGTTCAGCCTCGAGTCTTGGCCTGCATTGAGGTCATCGAACACGTTAACAATTACGCGAGATATAGACGCTAATTATCAATTTGTACCAGCACTGTTTGCAATCGCCAGGAATATGGTTTGCACCCAGATGGACAGTCCCAGAAAAACAGCAATAGGTGTGTCACTGCACGATCCCTGTACGCAGTATTGCGTGAAGCTACCGAACCCGGTCAATTCGACAGAACAGGTGGAAACTCTCTTCTATCGATCATCAGCAACCCCGGAATTTTGGACCGGATCCGGCGGGTCGCTATGATATCTCCAACATTTCAATCTCTAGACTTCGATCTAAGCAGAGCAATGATTGACCTCACTTTGTGACGCGAAGCTGATATTTGATCTTTACTTGGCAACACCGCACCGTTGTCACGGAGAATAAATCTTAGCCCGAAAGTAAATCCCTGTTTGTTTTTTCCTGAACCAGCATAGAGGGCTCCCATACCTACGTGCAACTTGCAGATGGTTTGATAAGATCATGCGGGTGTATGACTAGTCGCAGGCTCGGCCAAGCTCTCCTCGCGGCAGCTTCGCTCGTGTCGGTAGACTAACCGTATGAATATTCATTTTGGGATTCGTTGCGGGTCCGAATCCAATTTGGGATCGATGAAATCGCGGACGCCCTGAACACGGGCTTCACCAAATGATTGCTGCGGTTGCTGTAGTCACTGCTGATATCCTTACTTGTAGGAATGGAGCTGGACAGGGCATTGGTCCAGCAATCCAGCTTTGAGTACTAGGCGCCTGACGGTCAACTCAAGGGCACGGAAGTCGCGTTTTGCAATTACCTGATCGCACTTAACGTTCAATACAAACCGTTCCATGTCATTGTATAGGTAGTTTGAATTGTTCACTCCTCTCTGAGTTTCCTGAGCATTATGTGCCTCGTCGCTCCCTAAGCCTTTCTTACAATAATCTCTGTCACATGTCACACTCCTCCCTTGTGTCACCGTAACATCATAGCCGTACCCTAGATCTCAAGAAGTTGGACAGCGGCTATTCCCAGACCCAACTCGCCCTGCAGCTGCAAGTCTAGAAGTTAAAGTCGACGTCGAGGAGCATTGCCTCGCGAGGCTGAGCCACTGCTCTCGACGGAGCCATCAGTTGCAATATGGCCGCAGTATTTGACTCGCGGTTATGTGCACTCGTGATGTCAAGGACGCTTACATCGGGCATGCCCCCCCCCCCAGAAGTACAGGAACATGTAGCGGCGTGGTAGCTTGTAGTCCACGCGGTGGAGGTCACTGTCCCTCGCGTCTTGTCTCACAGGCTCAGCCACTACAGACGCACCATGACGTATCATGCACACAGCTATTGCATGAAGGACAGCTATCATAAGCTCTGGTCATCTCGACAGCTGAGTCGAGATATATTACACGGGCGTTACTGTGACTGTGCAGTGTCCATGTGTATTGCGGACACGATCCTTCATCAGTCATACTTTCAGCCACACATACAACACATGAACACCCTCTGCTCAATTATTGCCCCTCATCGACCAGCACGTAAGAAATACGAGCAAGGCCAATAACAATCTACGTGTCGCTCAGAATCTTGAAGCCCCCCTTCCCCCACTCATTTTGCACAAATTTCTCGGAGACTACATCCGTGAATCTCGGCATGCCGTAGAGTGGCACGCCCTTGCGAGGCCCTCAGTCTTGATAGTGGAGCCAGCTTACACCCTACCCTCAATTCTCCGCTTGTCGACATGCCTTCAAGCATCCAGCTCAAGCTGGTGGAGTAAGTGCGCAAATGCAGAGGACTGCAAGCATCAGCAAAGGGACGACATGAACTACTGCATCGTGCCGCCTATGGTCCAACATTGTGCCCCATCGACAGATGCACGTGCGTTCCTAGACGTACAACACCAAAAGTAGCCGTACATGTCTATCTCTAGCCAGACTTCGCATGTTTGGGTGGGTCCAGTGGTTCCTTCCTCTCAAGGCTCGCCTCACCACTGCCAGTATACAAGTATCTTTAGCTGCTCAAGGACCAAACCATGCCTCCACCATCCCACACCAAGCTGTTAGGCAACCAAGATATCTCGCCTACGGAGATCAACGCTACCGTTATGCACACCATACAGCAAACGCGGCCTGTCCCAGCCCGCGAATAGATGATCGTTAGTAGTTACGCTGCACAACCACCAGGCAGCACGACGCCTTTCAAGCTGCACCCAAGACTTGCCTATGCAGTCCCTTGCCCCATCGCTTTCCCCTGTTCGTCACTGCGGACGGCAACAGTCGTCTCGATTGGATATTGCGCAACGCTCTGACTCCACATTCTGCCCGTTACGGGGTATGTAGGATGCAACTGCGTGCATGACGGCATGTAACAAGCTCAACAGCACTCAAAGACAGCATAATACGATCCTGTTATAGGTATTGGCAACGAGGTTGTTGGTACAAACCCCTCTTCTTTTCTCATTGTGTTATTGCCTCTCTGTCTTTCTGATGTTTTCATCTCCAGCTCTTATCAAGTCCGACCAGCTACCAGCCTATCAGATGTGGTGTGCAATGCTGCATTGTATCCGTATCTGGACAGGCTCAATAATGCTGAGACATATCTAGTGCGATAAACATAGCAACGCAGTACGCGTACTGTGAAGGAGCATTCCGGCGCAAAGGCACGTTGGTCCGTTGATGCATTGCACAGTACGGAGGTTCTTGCTGAATTCTGTCCTTGACGGTGCTTCTGCGGCCTGCCCCACCGTTCGGCAACTGCGCACCGGCAGCGCCCTGTTGCGTGAGCCGCGAATTGCAAACCTTGGGGCGTCCCGCTCAGCTCGGTGCAAGCGCACTATTCACACCTCCAAACTCCAGCATCAGAAATTGAATGCCGCTATCCGCTCCCTATCGATATCCTCTTCCGATCTTGCTGTTCCGTTTCCCTCATCTGGCTGTACAGCCACCCGAAATTTATTCAGGACACGTCCTCCACAATGCACATTTACGCGCTTGTAAACAACGTATTGCGCCTCTTAACGGCACGTCAACAGTCGAGAACCTGACCCACGATCGTAGCGCGGTTAGGCGGCATTTTCAGTCGATTCTGTCGCGTCAAGTTCCAATTTGCCAAGTGCACCTTGCCTATTGACGGATACGGATCCGGAGCCCGTTGGTGGCATCGTGAGGACTTCGCGGCCGCGGTTTGTGGATTTCGTGTTTCGGGCCATCGGACTGTGGGATCTGGCCTGGGTTGAGGCTCGAAATTTGCGTGGGCCCAAGTACAAGCTAGCGGCGGGCCCCGACAGCACCTCTACGGCATCGAGGTTGATGTCAACGATGTGTCCTTAAAATGATGTCCACCGTGCCGTCTGAATGGTGGCGCCGTGGCGATGCAACATTCGGCAACCTTATTCCCAGCCGAGTGATTGCGCGGGATTCAGTCGCCGCGGCCCTATAGCGGCAAATGCAGGGAAACCTCAACCTTGCAAACCCACAATTATGTGTCTGGAGAACGAGGGTTTTAAGGCAAACGGATGCAGTGGTGCATCTGTTCCCCAAGGTAGAGTACATAGGCGCGGAAGGACGCGGGACATAACTGCAGGGTGAGTTTGAAAGTGGACTTCGGATGCCGTTGAGGCAATGGCAGCTAACGCCTTCAGTACCCGTTGAGTGAGCCTCATCAGCACGAACAGCATGCTTGGCTTAGACAACTGTCTTATCGTCGATCCTCGTGTCGGTGCCACGCCATTCTTGAGACTGTCTTGGAACGTATTGGAGCGCAGGATTGGACGAAGAAAGAAGTAACTCGTGCGATGAGCTGACGGCGCCTCGATACGAATGCCGTGCAAGGCAAGACTTCCGCGGGTATCACAAAGACGGAAAACCCCCCGCAGTGAGTGTCACCTGGGTGGGGGGAACATTCGGAGATTTGTTTGGCGTCCGCCAAAAGTCGATCCGTTCCGTTGCTAATCATGTTGCATACACATGCGTACGGAAAAGCTTTTATCAGGCTCACCGAGGGTTTCTAAGCCTTTCAGCCTTTTAACCTTGGGTGTCTCACATGACTTCAGGCATTGTTTCATACAGTACTGTCACCCGGTACTGTGAGGTTGACGCTATCGAGTAAGCCATACTGATTGCACATTATGCCTGTCCACTTCGAAATGCACGACTTCAGCTGGCGCTTCTGCTTGACCCAACAAGTGCTACTGGGTCTCGAGACACCCGACTGGCCGAATTTAATCTTTCAGCATGATAGTCATATTGATCGTTCCAACATACTTCAAGCTCCATAGAAACTTCACGGCTGACGAGGTCGTCCGTACCATCCCACGCCGTATATCTTTCGTCATAGGCGCGAACCTCAAAGACTTTGACTTCGGCAGTGTGGAGTAATTGAGGTACTGCAGGTCCCAAGATGAGTAGACAGAGCCTGAGCCGCAGAGATAAATTTCAATCCGTAAAACCAGCCTGCTGTTCGTGGCTGTTGGACCAGTATTTACATGCCTCGACATACATGGTTTGATGTTCGATCTTGAACAGGAAGACAGAGAGATCATGGGAGTTGCACTTTGTACTCTCGGCTTCGCACATGGAAGGTCAAAGGTAGGGCCTTTGACATGTTTATCTAAACAATGGCAAAGCAAAGACAGCAGATGTAGATGTACAACATGAACCAATAGCCACCAACTGAATGGATATATGGCAGTCTTCGTGGAGACGGTAGAAAAGATCTGCTCTCACTCGAACTTCGAAAAGATGCATTGGAGTCAGGCCTAGAGTGTGCCCATAGTCGCGTTTGAAGCCGCGCACTGCACATGGCAAGAAGTGTGCCTTTCGAGACGCACAAAGGAGCATGTACATCTTTCCATTCGCTTTTTGTTATGAGGTAAGAAGAGAAGAGCATTGATTCGTTCCAAGAGGCCACTGAACATAACCGTATAGGGATAGTGAGTAATTTGGATGTGGTTTCATGTGGGAGTAATTGCGCAGTCACGTCTACCAAATTGAGTTTGTTTTCTTTAAAGGGGTAGCTTATCGATCCAGAGTCGTGGTGGACATGCTGGCCAACGTACATAATCTTTGCCACACACGTGGTACTATCTACACACCGGTACATGCTTATTCGTCGCCCCACAAACATCGCAACGGTGTGTTGCGCCTCAAAAGACCTTTTAAAAGACTACCAGTATATTAGAACCAAGATGAGCTCTAGAAGACGTGCTTTTTCCGAGTTGCCATTTAGACTTGTGTGGAAAAGGCACCGCACGCGCCCCAAAAGTGTTGTGACGTCGATATCAGGGAACAGATGCGTGTAAAGGATCTGTTACACTTGGCAACTGAGACGCCTTGATGACACAATTCTATCGAAGCAGCCAGTCATCCCAAAAATGTTCGTAGGGTCTACGATCAAGGTGTGCGAGTTGCTTTCGAATGATTTTTCAAACGTGGCAGACATTTAGACCACTGCGGGCATGAGTCGTAAGAGTCGAACTTTCAGATTCGGCAGTGTTTCCAAGGCCACAGGCCATGACGAAGTCGTTGAGTTCGTCGGCACTCTTCTAGTGCGGCTTTGTATTCTCTGCTGGACATGACAAGGTGCTGATGGACTTTTGGAGCACTTGAAGTCGCAACTTTGTCTTCTAGTTGATTGGTTTGGTAATTGGATAGTTGAAGTAAAGGGCTTTGAAGAAGAATACAAATCCGCATAGAGGAGCCTCAAGTACACATGCCGAGCAGCAGCCACCCAGCGGAGCTCTGCTGCCCGGCAGACACAGGTCGGTAGTTGTCCAATTCTTGAGATGTCCCAGAAACAAATAATACCGCCAGATATTTTATGTGAATGTCGTAGAGGTCCGCTTTAATATAATGCATCCCCTCAGGCTTCTGAATATCATATGGTCGCCTCTACTGTCGCATGACACAGCGCATGAGCGGAAGTTTGACGATGAATGCCCGTTAAAGTTCGTTCACCTCCTCATACTGTATCTCTATTCTTGGTGTCGCTGTGGGAATTTGAGTGTAGGTAGTCGAGTGTTTTATGGTCGTGCGTGCCCTGCCAGCCATAAGATCTGTCGTGTGCATGGGCTTCTTTGCCCAGAAGTCGTCCTCATTGTTGAAGATCTTCTGATGTGCGTGTGGCATGGCGCTGACTAGGACCAGTATGGCCAGCAGGGTGGATATAGTGGATATTCTCATGTTGGACATGGTGTTGTTGGGGTCGAGGATGACATCGGCTCGATGTGCCTGGGAAAGCTCGCGTTTCAAAGAGCTGTGGTGATATGCGAAGCTTCCCACCCAAAAACGTGAAATATTGTGGAAATCCTAGTATTGAGGTCGGGTTTCCAGTAGTATCGAAGCACTCCGAGGAAGATGCAGATGTCAATGTTGAATGAACGAAGGACAATGGGTTTGAAGGAAGAGGGAGACGACGAGACATCAAGTGAGATTACCGGCTATCTACCTTGCTTGATACTGGTCACATCATGAAACATGGTTCAATCGGAAAGCTACCGTACGAAGTGAGGGGGGTAAAGCACGTTGGGTACCGCTTTCTGTCATTGGCTCACTAGTTCAAATGATCGATACGCCGCTCACTCTAGTGCCGAGGTGCCTGTCCACCAACGCGTCTTCCTGCAACTGCACGCGATACTTTTTTGTACGAACTCAACTACAGTTCTGATCGCGGGCACAATGCTGTCGCTACCACTGATTGCTCCGCGGGCGGTGTGTATACCCTGATCCAAAGCCTTCAGCATCAGAACAAACTTTCTGAAGCTATGATATCACACAATGCTTATGCTCCGAACACATACAACTGTAAATTACTTACGACTGCAACAGGACGCCAGCCTCTGGCCGTCGCACCGCGACACCAATCCCTTCCCCTCAGATGAGCCCTCCACCTCCACTCCCAACGCCCCAGCACATCAACACGCGCAACAGCGGCGCCCCACACACCAAACATCGGCCCTCCTCGCAACTCTCACTCAAGATGAGAATACACTCGAGCAGCGCAAGGCTAACGTGCAGCGCTTTGGCGCCGGCTGGATTCGCCCACCTGGTGTCGCCAAAACACTGCAAGCGATCACAGACGAAGAGATGGAGAAAGCGGAGCAGGAAGCCATGTCGCGCCGCGAGCAGGTTATGATGGATCTTGCTGCGGCGCAACAGGAGGCTGCCAATGCAGAAGAGAGACAAGAGCGTGAGGAAATGGAAGGCGACGGCGAGATGGGGGAAGAGCGGGATCTAGACGACGATGTACCCGAAGCAGAAGCAAGTGCTAGCGAGCTATCCGCGAGCGATGTCTCAAGTGACGAGGAAGGAAGTGTGTCCGACACTGAGGATGGCGCGCGAGAACAGGAAAGCATACCGTTCAACGAAGACTCATTCATCGAAGGAAGCATGGTCGAGGCAGAAGTCAGCGCCATGCTGGAGCAAGAAGAGGCAGAGATGGCAGGCGTGCTGCAGGATGAGCGAGACCTCGACGACGACATACCCGAGGCGGGGAGCTATGAGCACACCGACTCTGAAATGGAGGACTCGAGCGACGACGATGCGGCAAGCCGACCGCCAGGCATGAGCTCTGTAAGGACAACACGCTCGATGAGGCGCTCCTCCGGCTTCCAAAGTGTGCGGCGCAGCACTGGTCGACGCAGCACTGGGCGGCGTAGCTCGGGCCTTCCAGTTACAGCAGCACCAAGCGTCAGTCAGAACTCGAGGAGCATCAACTTCAACCAGAGCATTGGCCGTGGCATCGATCTCAGTGCAAGTATCGGTAACGGGCGCAGCAGCTTTGGCATCGACGGGAGTAGCTCCATCCTTGAAGGCAGCTCGTTTCTCAGGAGCTCACCAGCTGCGCAGAGGACGAACCTCAGAGACCAGTTCCTTAGGGCTGCTAGAGGCAGCCGCAGAGGCTGGCAAGAACGCACAGAGTGACGTGCAACGATTGACGAAATTATGAATGCATTGTAGAACTACCGGAAGCATGTAGTACCCAGGAGCCATCCAATATACCCAGCCTCCTACCCCATACCTAGAAAGAAATATAGAAAGACTACCGAGCATAGAGAGCTGCACCGTTCGATGGAACAATTTTTATGATGCGGAAATTCCGTAGACCTTTGCAGTCCTCACGCATCTCATGGAGCCGCAAAATACCTGCGAATCCACACTGACTACCTTTCGCAATTTGAAGGACCCTGAGCTCACTCCATCAGTCGCGGAAGTCTATAACAGCCACTTGTGTTCTGTGTCTGCATACTAAGCCTATGCGTCCTCAACAAGTTTGTGACGCGCTCGGAGCACACTATGCCAAGGCGAAGGACTGGGGCTATATTCGTTAACCCATCATTGGTATGGGCATCCCGAGAGGGAACAGATAGTGCAGCGGCTCCCCCTTGCCTCGGTGGATCTGCCCTCTCTGCCGGCGAAGTAGAGGGGGAAGGAGAGGCTGTACTCGGGCTCCATTCCTCTTGAGCAGCAGTGTTGGGCCTGAATCTATCACCAAAGCGAAGCGCCTCCCCGAAAACATCCTTTGCATCTTCAACGTCCCATGGAGAGACGATCTCAATCAAGGGACCCAGTGCCGAAAATTTGGGGTGGCGTCCCCGAGTCGTTATATGTTTGGTCGGTGAGGTGGGATCGGAGTCGTATACCGATACATCTTCGCCGGTGGAGGCACACCAGGAGAATGTTGAACATGTGTGAGTAGATGTTGCAGGGCTTGGGGTGCAGGCAAGCCTTCCTATGTCGGCGCTGCAAATAGTCGATGTACTTTCAGCAGGGCTGACGCGAGAGGTTGACTCCCTGTCGCAGGGGATTGTGAAGATGGCACCGGGGAAGGCGCTGGCATACTTATAGGTGAACATTATGGATGCTTGAATGTGGGTTTGGGTTCGGAGGTGTTTTGTTCTGTGTCTATGTGAATGTGATCTGTGCGATGAAGTGGAAGAACATGAACGGAAAACTTCTTTGAGATACTTCTTGAGCATAAAATTCATCAGTTCTGAGTTGCGAACCAGTTTTGATCATGAAGCTGCTGTAATATTAGTAGTGTTTTTGATGGCCGGTCAGCGGAATTGCGGGTCAAAGATGTGCGAACCAAAAACACCGGAGATACTGCGTGTTGTATTACAGTGGTTGAACGCTTTGGATTACTGCGTACCTCCGCTCCAGGGTCTACTGGGTAAGTCCTGTGTCGAGATCAAAATGTAGCATGATGCGTCGAGCGCATACTCAATGCAGCGGTCATTGCGAGTTTAACTTTGAATTTCCTGATGGTCGTATCCCGGGTAATATGTACAAAACTAGTGGGTAGCAAAAATGTTCCTTGTCCTGAGATGGACGGGTGTGTCGCCCTTGGGCGCATCTGGAATGGTCTTCTCGAGCGACTGCTACTATCAGCAAAAGAGATCCACCAACTCTGACAGATATGTACTCACCAGCTTGTCAAAAACGCACTTGTTCAACCTGCGCTCCTCCGATCTGCAGTTCCAGAGCTGCTGGTTGTGGTTCTCAAGACACTGCCAGTGGGTGCGGAACTGGTCGAGGCACTCCTTGTTGATGTCGCTGATGCTGCAAATCGTCAGCATTTTGCCCGGTGCGCTGAAAGTTGGACTTTTTTACACGCTCGCCGCACACCTGGTGACTTTGCGGCCCTCCTTCATGCACTCCAGCTCTCCCCGGCCGTTGGCCTCGGTCTTGCACATCATGTAGTCATCGTTGTAGGCCTTGCATCGCGCACCGATAAAGAACGAGGCACTGAGAAGGGGCGCAGAACTGGCACCGAGCTCCTTGACCTTGGGAATGTCGTCGGGCAGAGGGGTGGTGTCGATGAGGGCTTGCTGGTTGAAGCTGCGTAGTATTAGTACCAGAACTCGGCCATATATCCGCGAAGAGAAGTATACCGGGGCTGACGCGACGACATGGTGGGTGTGAGGTGCCAATTGCGGGCGACTTGGTCCCAAAGTGATCTGAGGTTGGAGCTGGTCGTCACTGCACTTTCCGGAGGTCGCAGACCTTGGCGCGACGCCGCACGCTGATTGGGTGCTGTTTTGAAGCTTTCGACAATCGACAAAGCAGTCGGCGCCCCAAACACAACACCCCATTGCGGTCTCGCATCACCGCGACGCAGTCCGCATACCCCGACGCCACTTTCACTGCCGACATGCAGATCGATTGAACTTCACTCACCATCAACACGACGACCACCTTTTCCTCGCTACTCGGCACACTTTTGCAGCGCATACGCACGTAAACAACGTCAAACGCGCATTCTTGGATTCATTCGCGAGCATGTCTTTCAGCTTTGGAAACACTGGAGGAGAGAAGAAGACGGGGACACTGTTCGGAAGTACAACTGCACCAGCTGGAGGACTCTTCGGCGGCTCGCTGCAACAACCACAGCAGTCAAACGCTGCAGCACCCAGCTTGTTCGGCAACAGCACAGCTGCCCCTGCGACTGGCGGTCTTTTTGGATCAACTCAACAGCAGCCGCAGCAGCAGAATGCTGGATCCAGCTTGTTCGGTGGGGCGCTTGGACAGAACCAGCAACAGCAGCAACAACCCCAAGCACAGACTTCCAGTCTTTGGGGGCAGATGGGACAGGCGCAACCGCAGCAGCAGCAACAACAACAACAACCACAACAGCAGCAGCAGCAATTCAGCAATAGCCTATTTGGATCTTCACTGCAACCTGCGCCAGGATTGAACCCTGTTCAGGCGCAGAGCCTCCAGCAGACGCGTGATGGTCTCCCTCAGCTGCGACAGTCCACAGCCCAACATTATGCTGGCGCCTCGATGAGCGGCCACCGTATGCCAATTGATCAAAGATTTGATACCAAGCTAATTGAATACAGGCGAGAAGTCTGTGCAGCAACAGATTCAAGTGCTGAACGGCAAATGGGACCCTGAGAATCCGGATTGCGTCTTCACGCACTATTTCTACAACTCGGTCAAGCCGGAAGAAGCGCCTTTCTACGGTCCCCAGCCTGGAGAGGATGAGAGGAAGTGGGAAGAAGCCCTGTCGAAGAAGCCTGCCCCTGGTGCCATCCCTGTATTGGCACGTGGATTTGAGCAGGTAGCAGAGCGCATACGCCAGCAGCAGATGGCTGTTACAGCACTTCGAACGCGTCTCCACGAGATCAATAATGCCCTTTCAGTGCTCAAGGACACCCACGAACTGAACGTTGCATCGCGCATTACCGAGGCGAAGCGAAAGCATGTTGTATTCACGCAACGGACACTTGCTCTTGCGACAAAGGTGCAGATCCTGAGGAACAGAGGATATGTCATGGATACACAAGAAGAGGACTTAAGGAAGAAGCTCGTCGAGCTCGAGAAAAAGACCTTCGACCCTGTGCTCGGCGGTCGACAGGAAGAGATCTGGGCGCGCATGTCAGGCGTGCGTGAGAGAGCGCGGATATTGCAAGAGGAGACAGAGAAGCTGGGCAAGAATATCGATAGCCAGCAGAAGGGCGAGCTACTCTCAGAGGAAGATCAGAAGGCGCTGGAGAAGGTACATTTACTGCATACTTTTATCAACACATTTGTACTAATACCATATACAGCTCCTGAAAGACTACGACAGACAGCTTGAGCACCTCAAGAAGTGGGTCGACGATACCAAGCAAGAGTACGACGAGTACGAGAAGGTTCAAGAGCAGAAGCCAGCGCGGCGATGAACATAGAGCATTGGCATGTATGATTTGAAAAGCATTTATCGATCGATTCGTTGGCGAAAAGTTTGGCTTTGCAGAATACCACATTGTGGCTCGACGAGCCTGCAGCATGAAGTTTAATGCCACTGCTTGCTCTATCTCCTTCTTGATGTTGATGTGGCTGCCTCCAGAGCCGAAGGATCTCGGGTGATGTTCCTCATCAATACACACTCAGTGCCCTCCGCCATGTTGTACAGGCGCTCACATCCAAGCGCTATATGTTACAGATCGTATGAACGCCGCCGAATGATTAAACACGTCGCAAGAAAGTTCGTTTCGATGGTCGCAATCGTTTAGATGAGCTTGTAGACGTAGTCGACGAGGAAAGGCGCTGTCATCTCGTTAGTGCTTCTGCATCTCACAAGCTTAGGCACAAAGCTCAGGTCCAATAACTTACACAAGTACAGAACAACAGCTGAAGCAGCTGTCCACTTGATGTCTGTCATGGTCTGCGCTTCAGCGTGCTCGAGCTCCTGCTTAGAAGGCTGGGGTGGTGCTGCGCCTTGTCAGTGAATGCTAATCACCAGGATATACGAAACTAACCTCCAAACATCTTGTGTATGTGTGTAAAAGTGACAGATATTGGTCCGGATGGGTTCGTGCTGTGGTTGTACGGATGTCGAAGATGACGTTCACTCGCAAAGTTTCAATGCAGCATGTCGGCATGCGCCCAATGTTTTGCCGACCAGAACACGTGCAGGCGCGTTGCTTACTGCTCACTGCGTCTTTGACGTGTATATTGCATGTCTCATCTCAAAGTCTTACAAAGCGCGCATGCAATGCATCACGTTCATTTGATTATTTCGTACGCGCTTGCCATGCGCCATTACGTGGCTGATAAGCAGCCAAGTCTGAGGAAAGCGAAGTCATTTCCTCACCTCGGAAGATACATGCACCCCTGAACTCTTGGGCGACACTCGTGATTTCTCACACCAAATCACCGAACGCTTTTGATGACAGCGGGCTAAATTTTGTGTACACAAGGCGTCCTCGCCACAAGGCTGGGCATCCGCAAGGGTTATCCTGGGGCTCTCCACAGTTGCCTTGCCTCATCGTTGTTGCACACGGTCACAGCAATACTGCAGCCCCCAGCACCTGATCAAGTCAGCCACCAGCGAAGGCGTGCAGCCCCTGCAACAATGTTTTGCAAAAGCGAAAGGAACCCAAGCCACGACCCCAAACTTGCAGCTGGCGGAATTGCTGTGATTGGACATACGCTTGTTCCGATCACGTCCCTGCTCGATCGTCCACGGTCGATGATCTATTTACAGGGCTGTAGATCTCCTGACTTTTATCTATTAAACATGTGCTCCCGTGTCTTGGGTGGGTTCTACAACTTTTCAAGCTCGCCCACAGTCACTCTTTTAACCGTTGTTGTCTTTAGTTTGACAAAATGATGCTCAAGGTTGTTGTCTTGGGTCTTTCAACCTGCGCGTCAGCGCTTCACGCTCGCTCCTACGGTGCTAGTATTTCTCAAAATGACGATGCGTCTTCAGAGATTGCGTATGCATCCCTACCATATTCTTCGCCCTTAGGCTTGAGGACCTCATCGAGCGTTCCGATCACCACCTATGTGCCTCAGCCTACGAACAAGAGTCCAACTGGTGCACCGCATTCTACTGAAGCGAACGGCACGAGTACTTCCTCAGCGCCGCTGTCAACTGGAATGTCCGGATCGTGTGCTCCTTACTGGCTCGAGAACATCAAGCACCAAGGCGTTGCATCCTTCAATCCCAACCCGAGCAACTACACGGTGTTCAGGAACGTGAAGGACTTCGGCGCTCGAGGCGATGGACTTACGGATGATACCGCAGCTATTCAGAGAGCTGTCACGCAGGGCAGTCGATGCGGGCCCAGTGCTTGCGAGTCTTCGACCAACACCCCGGCAATTGTTTACTTCCCTGAAGGCACATATCTGATCTCTTCGAGTATTATCGATTACTACTACACACAGGTATGGTGCTCTTGGCTTTAGCAGCATTGCTTTATTAATTCCCGCAGATCATTGGCAACCCTAACTGTCTCCCTACTCTGCTAGCCACACCCAATTTCACGGGTCTCGGTCTGATTGATGGCAGCCCATACCTGGGCACTGGCACCCGTCCCGGACGGACTGGCTTCGGACCGACCAACACGTTCTTTCGCCAGATCCGTAATCTCGTTCTGGACATGACTAATATCCCGGCCAATGTCTCAGCAACTGGCATACACTGGCCCACTGCACAGACGACCAGCCTCCAGAACATCGTCTTCAAGATGAACGCAGCTAATGGTACTCAGCACCAGGGTCTGTTCATTGAAGAGGGCTCTGGAGGCTTCATGACCGATCTCATCTTCGAAGGCGGTAACTACGGCTTCAATGTTGGCAATCAGCAGTTCACTACTCGCAACTTGACCTTCAACAACGTTGTCACGGCCATCAATCAGCTTTGGGATTGGGGCTGGACATACTCTGGTGTAAAAATCAACAACTGTCAGGTCGGATTCAACGTCTCTGCTGGAGGTCCATCAGCTGTCAATGTTGGGTCCATTACCCTCTTTGACAGCGAGATCACCAACACACTGATTGGCATCGTCACTGCCAGGACTGACAACTCTGAGCCTACTACTGCTGGAAGCCTGTATCTGGAAAACGTCAAGCTTAACAATGTCGGCGTGGCTGTCGCTGGGCCAAACTCGACCTACCTCCAAGGTTCTACTGGTTCAATGACTATTGCCGCATGGGCTGACGGTCACCGGTACCTGCCCATGGGTCCTATCGAAGCTCGAGGACCCACTGAGCCCAGTAAGAGACCGGCTGAGTTGCTCGATGCTGCCGGAAACTTCTACACGCGTTCGAAGCCTCAGTATGGTTCTGTTGCACTTTCTTCATTCCTCAGCGCTCGTGACCTCGGTGCTGCTGGTGACGGCGTCACTGACGATACTGCTGCTATGAACGCTGCTTTGTTGCAGGCCAAGGCCGAGGGTAAGATTCTCTTCGTAGATGCTGGTTTCTACAAGGTCACAGGTACGATCTACATCCCTCCGGGCGCCAAAATTGTCGGTGAAGCCCTCGCGTCTGTCATCCTTTCGGCTGGCGAGTATTTCAATGACATCAACAACCCCAAGCCTGTGGTCCAGGTTGCAAAGCCCGGCGAGCAAGGCTCGATCGAGTGGTCAGACTTCTTCGTAAGCACACAAGGCCAACAAAAGGGAGCCATCCTCATTGAATACAACCTGGGCTCCTACGAGGCTACTCCCGCCGGTCTGTGGGATGTCCACACGCGTGTCGGTGGCTTCGCCGGCTCCGATCTCCAGACCGAGCAGTGCGTGAAGACACCCGACACCAGGATCACATCCGCGAATTTAGTCCAGGAGTGCATTGCCGCATACATGTCCATCCATATCACCAAGTTCGCCGCTGGCCTGTACATGGAAAACAACTGGCTCTGGGTCGCAGACCACGATCTCGACGACGCCAGCAACAGCAACACTCAGATCACCATCTACGCCGGCCGCGGCCTGCACATTGAAAGCCAGCATGGTACCATTTGGCTGTAAGCACTCTCTTCTCCCGCGCACACCTTATGCAACCAGCTAATACGAGAATAGATGGGGCACAGCCGTTGAGCACCACGTGCTCTACGAATATCAATTCATCGACACGCGCAACGTCTTCATGGGCCAGATCCAGACCGAGACGGCGTACTACCAGCCCAATCCCGACGCCACCATTCCGTTCCCGCCGAACCCTGCCCTCAACGACCCCGTGTTTGCGCCTTTTGTCAACGGCACAGGGAACAGCACCGCAAGCACGGCATCGGGATGGGGTCTACGAATCGTGCGTAGCAACAATATTCTCGGGTATGGCGTGGGCTTGTACAGTTTCTTCGACAACTACAGCACTGCGTGCTCGGCGGTTGGCGCTGGAGCTGTCTGCCAGACCAGAATCTTCAGCGTCGAAGGCGACAGGTTGAGTTACGACATCGGTATTTATAACCTCAATACTGTCGGTGCTACCAACATGATCACCAGAGACGGAGTGGATCTGGCGAGCAATGTCGATAACAACAGCACGTTTGTGGATACCATCAATATGTTTAGGATTGATGCGTACGGGAGCCCGAGTCAGTCGCACAGCGAGTAGCATGCTTCAGGAACGTGTCATAATGCACACGGCTCGGATGAAGGGCTTCTTTGATTGCATACTCGCTCTCCGATGCCTGGTTGCATGCGAGTCCTTACTCGTTTGGTCTTCCAAGGCAAATGTGCCATCGCGTGTTCCACTCTACACGCACTCCGATCACGTTTACATAGCGATCTGCTTACGCAGACGTCCTCGTCGGCCTTGCCGTTGTGGATGATGTTCCTGCGTCGGTCTTTTACCCACCCAACATGGACTTTGTCGTATCGGTCGGAGAACGATGCATGTCTGGAGGCGCGCGATAGCAAAGGGGATGAACAAGACGATATCTGAAGTCCCAAGAGCGCACAACAAGTACATATGAAATGAGTATGCGAAAGATTCGATTCCGCTCTTCTGCAGGTAGACTTGAACGATCGACGCTCCCGTGCCAGACCTTACCCTCGACACATTCGGACGGCTTCCGCTCATTGCACGTGCGAAGCTTGTGGTGGCGCTCTACGCAGCGGCCCAGCGATCTCGCCCCATCCGAGGCGTACGGGCGCCGACGTGCGCGACCCGATGGGGATATTATAAGTCGGCCGCAGACACGACGACAGCAGCCAGAGAGCGATGCGAACGGTGCGTCTGCGCCCCGAACCGCCAGGCATTATCTTGGCACTACTCCTGTGCACGCCAGCGGTGTGCAGCGCAATGCGGCTGGTGCAATGCCCGTAGTGATCGCAGTTGCCGAAGAGCTCTAGCAGCTCTGCGTCGAATCTGCTTGCTTTTGAGGGCGAGTGCTGAAACTCGAACTCGGCCCACGGCCCTGCGAGAATATGCCGGACGTCCTCGATCGGCGCTGCTGTCGGAAATCGAAGCGCGCGGGTCACGAACGTGATGGAGCAGGGACATAGAGGCTTGGGGTGCGCGGACAGCACCGAGTAAGACAGGCAACAGATGGACATGCCATAGTCCACTAGGAAGGTGGGAGGATGTGTGCTGCATAGAGAAAGGAGTGAGAAGACACGATCGCGAGGGTCAGCACATGCCTTGTCGGAGAATCGATCCAGTAAGGCAATGAGGTCGATGGATTCCAGACCGCTGGAGGCTGCGAGATGGAAGCCATGGGAATGAGGGTTGTGCTTCTTGATGATTGGCAACGCAGCTGCATAGGGCCCTTTGAAGATGTAGTCTTGAAAGGCTTGGAGGAATTCCAAGGCCATGGGTATCCCGTCCAGCCAGACTGTAGTGTGGCGCGCAAGAAACATCTCCTGCATCACCCATGCACGAGTTCAGTACGGATTTCGGTAGATCAGGTCCACGAGAAGCAGCTCGTGCTGTTTCCATCTCGTCACAGCACCCCGTCCTTGGTTTCTTGAGGCCAAAGCCTCTACCTTCCATTCTTCGAGAGTGTCGGCGAGAAGGGAGCGATAAGTTACTGTATCAGTACCGATGGCATGAACATGGCCTGTGGGAATTTTCCCAAGCCATATCTGCACAGAAAGCGCATTCGAGTAGATTCCCCCCATCTGTGCGACTTGGTGGTTCCTCTCTTCCGGATTAGACTGGTCGATGCACAATGCATCTACCCAGAAAGGGATTTCAGCTTCTGACTCGTCCGGGGGTTGATTTGTTTTCCTCGCAAACTTTTTACGAGCCATGCAGAGGAAGTGAAACAGGTTCTCCCGTACCAAGAATGCCCTGCCGTTCAGGAGGATCATAGCTCCACTCCTATTCTTGTCGCCCAGCTCACACTCAGAAGAGACATGGTAATCCCATACGTACGACAGACACACATATCGCGCATCTGTTGTGGCATGGGACAAAGTGCATTGGGTAAGGCCGTCCGGCGAGGAGACTGGACTGATGCGCACTAAGCGAATCGAAGGGCCGCTATGATCAAGCGGCGCATACCTGAAGAGAGTTTTCGAATTCGCAATGTACGCTTTGGTTGTCAAAGGTAGAGAGATCGACCCGCCAATGGCAGGTACAGACTCTTCTGCAGAAGCACTGGAAGTAGAAACAGAAGGTAGAGAAGTAGGTGTCACTGTCATCTGAAACGTGCTCGAGGGTTGTTGCTGACCATCATTTCTGATGAGCATTCGACGCCCGTCAATTTTGGCTGTTGCGGACTGTGGTGGAGTAGAACCGGAATATAAAACTGCGTTAATGTTGGGGAGTGGACGCCGTACTGGGGTACAGTGACCTCTTGCGCCTGGAGCCGACTTGGTGCTGCGTTCTCTTGATGGTGAACCCCTGTCTGAGCGTTGTCGCCATGAGAGCGCTGAATAATCGATCGTAAGGCTTTTGAGATCTTCTTCCTCGTCTTTACTTTTGACATCTTGATATGGCCTGCTGTGTTAATTTGACCTATGCTTAGCCGAACGTGGACTGAGTCTCTCTACGCAGAGAAAGGCAAGAGAAGGATGCAGGTATGTGTCGGTTGTGCGAGAATGGGAGTTGAACGCTGCATCAGGCTGAAGGGCGGCTGTGCATAGAACAATGACCAGTAAGATCAAAGCGCTTGCATGCAAAGCAAAGAGTGCCGACCAGAGCACACAAACTTCTTATAGCCATCCGAGTGCTCAATGAGGGACAAAAGTCCTTGATGCCACGGCCGAGTACCGCCATGTCTGAATATATCATATCCGGTACCCCATGCCGAAACGCCCTCGCATCGAAACGCGTATGCTCGCAACTCGAGGCTCCAGCAGGCCGAGGATATAGTGGCTTCCGCAGCCACTGAAAATACGGGACAGAGAATATACACCCTTGGCCCATCAGTAAGGCCTTGAAAAGCAGGACGCTTGTGGGTACGCAGTAGCTGAGGAGGCGGGGGCTGTGTCCAAAAGCAGGGCGGAGATACCCTTTGGTTTTGACTCAGCCTGCCTGCGGGACGATGGTATGGACAAGGACGACGAGAGGATTGTGCTCGGCGTTGAGGAGTTAGGATTTTCCAAGCAGGGCTGTACACATTGGAAGGTGGTTTCCACGGGTACCTGTTACCCAATCGGGCTAATTAGTTTGTTTACCTCCACAGACGCCTTCTGACGCCTGATAAGTAACAACGAACAGCCTTACACTCGACTTTCTACTTTCAATAGTACAGACACCTGACAAGTGATGTGGCTGCATTACATAGCTTGAAGCGCTGATTGGCCAGGTATGTGATGTGCAGAGTGACTCGTGTTTGACGAGCTATTCAAAGGCAACTGTACACGGCGACAGCAAAGATAAAGGCGCCGCCAGAACGCAAACAACCAGAGTGTTTCTGAAGAGTGTATCTATGATGGTGTGTATAGTGTTGTAAGAGGCGGGAAGAAGGTGACAGGGAAGGACATGGGTTGGGTACACGGTGGATCCAAGACCTCCCAGCAGAAATCCACGAGGAAGGTGTGTCTCGCGGCTCTCTAGCTGCCACTCAATCCAGCATTCAGTCAGACCTGGCGACGCTCACATGACTCTCCTCGGATCAAGACTCTTCAAGTCCGCACTTCCAACCTTACCCTCCCACACAAGCTCACTCAAACACTTCGCCGTGCCTGGCGCATTCTGAATCCCCCAGCACGTATGCCCAGCACCCATGAGCAGCCCCTTCACACCCGTCTCGCCGATGAGCGGGCCCTGCCCGCGTGATACATTCGGCAGGTAGCACGCCTGTCGCGCCGTGACTTCACCATCCCGCAACTCCTCGCTCACGGTAGACACGTGGTCGATGATATCCTGGCAGCGGCTGTCGTCGACCTGAACCAGGTCCGAGGACGCGGGGAGACGGACGAGCTGGTCGCCTTCGCCGCAGGCGTAGACCTCTTGGTTGGGGCGGGCGTAGATCTCCGGCGTGACGGTTTCGCCGCGCTTCGAAGCCGGCAAGCGTGGGAGCTCGATGGATGTGAACAGCGCGTACGCTGACACGGGTCTCGTCGGCTTTATCGTGACGCTGTGTGCGCGCATGGCGGAGATCGGGGCCGCGGGCCAGATGCTCTGCGTCCATGGTCCGGCGGTGATGAGCACGGTGTGCGCGTGCAGTGTCTTCTCCGCGCCGCCGTGCTTGGGTGTGTAGCGCACGCCCGTCACGGCACTGCTATCCTTCTCAATGTGCGTGGCGGTGCCGTACACGATGCGGGCGCCGCTCTGCTCGGCCAGCGCCGCCATGCTCGTCGTGAACTGGTACGGATGGACCTGCGCGGTCTCGCCCGGGGAGCCCATGGCCTCGTAGCTCTGCACCGCGTCTGCGGCGATCCAGTCCAGATCCGGCGGCACGCCCGCTGCTCTGAGCAGGCTGAGTGCTTTCGCATCCCGCTTCTGCAAACTCTTCGACTGCTCACTGCGCCCACTCACGCCATCCTCGCCCGCCTTTTTCAGCACACCGTACATGTCGATCTGCCCACAGTGCACAGCACGGTACCCCCAGCGCTCCGCGCCGCCATGCTGGTCCGCGAGTTCTTTGTGCAGACGAAACGACAACGGGACGATGCATGATGGGTACGCCCACAGAGCAAGCAGACCGCCTGCTTTCCCCGACGCGCCGCCGGCGATCTCAGTCGCCTCCAGCAGCGTGATGCTGTCTCGTTCCCTGTCGAAGCTGGCGTGCTGCGAGAGGTAGTATGCTGTTGTTGCGCCGATGATGCCGCCGCCTGCCGCGGTCAGCTGTGTTGCTGTGCTGGAGCCTTCACGTGATCGGAGATTGTACCGACGATGACAATGTCGCGTTTCTGAGTTTCGGCTGCCATGATGGGAGAGAGTCGAGGTGTGGTGTGGCTCGAAGCAGGGATTTTGCGTGTTGTTGATGCGAGCGCGAGTGTGGCACGACTTGGTGTTGAAGACGGATTTCGGTGGAGCGATAACCCGCTGCTACGTCATAGGTGGCGGTAACGTGCAGAGAGATGACAGAGCAGCGGACGGGTTGGGGATCGAGATAGACATTACTACGCTGGCACTGGCACGGTACCACAGTGTTGACGGTCCAAGAAGATGTCAGGAGAAAAGAGGGTGCCGGAGCTTAGAAATCACCGCCCATGTCGCCCATGTCACCACCGTCGTCGCCCATGTCCCCTCCATCGTCGCCGTAGTTGTTCTCCACATATGTGTCCCCGTGGTCGCCCGAATCGCCCATCGCGCTCCCAAGCATCGCGCCACCAAGCAGACCCGCACCAGCGCCCATGGCAATGCCACCAGCGCCCATGCCGCCGCCTCCAGGACGACGGCCCGCAGGCATCGCGTACCCAGGACGTCCGTACGCGCCCTGCGAAGCGTACATGCTCTGCCCTCCGTACGCAGGCTGTCCGTATCCCTGCGGCTGGTGCGACGAGCCGTGACTCCCTCCCCCGACCTTGCCCATGAGCTTGCCCAGAATGCCGCCTTTGCTCTTCCCGCGGCTCTGGTCATCGTACTGCTGCTGCTGCTGCTGCTGCTGCGGCTGGTACGACTGTTCCTGGCTGTAGCCCCCCGGCGCAGGATACCCTCCCGAGTGCGCTGCGCCTGCGACGCTGGGCCCCGAGGCGCCGTACCCGCCCTGCGGCTGTCCGTAGTAGTCGTTGCTGGCGCCGCGGTTTGCGTCGCCGGAGCTGCGGCCCGCGCGCGTCTGCTCTTCCTCCTGCAGTTTGCGTGCGAGCTTCTCGTCTTCGCTGATGCCGGGCTGCTGGCTGCCGTACGGGTTGTTGCTGCTGAAGGTCGACTTCTCGCTTGTGCCGGTCGGGTGGGAGGAGGCGACGCCGCCGTAGCTCGGGGGTGCGCCCGATGGCGGTGCTTCGCCGGGCGGGTAGACGGGCTCGGTGGGCTTCTCCCATGACGACTGCTTGGTGTAGAGGTTCACGAAGAACCATTCGTGGTATTGGTCGTTCCACACGGCTTTCCAGCCCTCAGGAACCTTTGGTGGCGGCGGGCCCTGCGTTTCGTGTAAGCTTGATTGCATCGCTGAGAGCTTCCCGCATCAACTTCAGTACGTACTGGTGGAGGCGCGAAGTCTGCCATGCTGTTGTGTGTGTTGTATGTGTTGTGTGTGTTGTATGTGTTGTATGTGTTGTATGTGTTGTGTGTGTTGTGTGTGTTGTGTGTGTTGTGTGTGTTGTGTGTGTTGTGTGTGTTGTGTGTGTTGTATGTGTTGTATGTTGTGTGTTGCTTAGAGGTGGTAGCTCAACCAGGACTGAACGTAGTGAGCTTTGCAGTATGGACAATGAAAACAAGGTGAGGATAGCGAGCTTCAGGCTTATGCGCAGGAGCATGCGCGTCATAGTGCCGACATCATCGCGCCCCACAGGGAAGTGGCAGTGCGGGGCAAACGGCACGTGGAGCTGCGAACGCCTGCCCTGGAACGCTCGGCTTCTGCGAGCGCCACAGACGGATTGGAGGCGCAGCATGCATGCGTGGACATGGCCTGGACAAAGGAAAGTAATATTGATTACTGCGAAGTATGTGCAAGGAAATTTCGAGTCCACTGGCAGTCCAGTCGCCACACATGCATGCCTCCATGCGAGAACGACAGACGAGAACAACGCGCAAGGGTATGGGCAAGCCATGCTGAAACATGTACTCATACAACAAATCAATCCAAACATACTGTCTGTCGCGCTAAATTATGTTTCATGTCGGGTGTGCTGTGTCATCATCTACTGCCCAGAGACCAAGTAGTCCGTGGCCTGTCCAAGATTAGCCAAGGTCGTAACGCAAGAGTCGTTTGGCGCGCCTACCTTGTTGATGTCATAGTCGAACTTCTCCAGAGCGTCCAGGGCCTTGTCGCGGTTGTAGCCCATGGCCGTCAGCTTCTTCAGGATAGGGTCGTCGTGCTCAGTGCCGCTGCTGATTGCGCGACCCAGCTGAGGCATCTGGGGCGACGAAGGAGAAAGGTGTCCCTGCTTTGAGGATGAGGCACCAGCGTCTTCGCTGTCGAGCGTGTCAAACACAGACTTGCTGAAGTCAGTGGACGCTTGCTGCGAGTGCGCAGGCTGGTCGTGCTGCGAAGACTCGAGGTTGGAGAAGATGGCATCCCAGTCCTGGGTCGAAGAAGAGGGTTGCGGGGCCTGGGGCTGTCCGAAGCTCTGTGACAAGTGCTCAAAGTCGCTGAAGCTGTCGTCGCCACGCGGCTTGCCGGTAGGTGTCTGCTGCGAAGCCATTGTGTTTGACTTGGATGCCGCAGGCGAGTCGAAGACAGGGTTGAACTCATCAAGCTCATCACGCTGGTGCGAGGAGAACATGAAATCATCGTCAATCTTGTCGTCCTCCTTGGCGTCGGTCAAGTCATCAAACCCAGCATCGAAGTCGTCGTTGAAAGCCGACCTCTGAAGCTGGGGCTGGTTTGCAGCCTGGATGTGGTCGCTGTTGCCGTGAGAGACGGCAGAGTGGTAAGCGTCGGAAGGAACAGTAGATGACGGGGTGTCGTTCGGTGGTGGCGACGTCGTCGTTGGCTTCGACGAAGGACCACCAAACAGCGCCGCGCCGTGGCCACCAGCCGGGCTGAACGACTTCCCGGGCGATTGCGAGGTAGTTGGAGAGCTGGGGACCTCGCGAGAGGGCAGTAGGCCACCAAACTCAGGAGGGAACTGATTCGACCCACTACGCTGGCCGACGGTCGATTCGTACGCTGGCGGTGACTTTTGTGCATCCGCAGAAGGCAGACCACCGATGTTTGAGTCGAGACGAGTAGTTGGGGGCGGTGGTGACCTGTAGAGCTCGTCTGTCGACGCGGTGCCCGGGCGCTGCTGCTGTGCCTGCTGCGCCTGCTGCGCCTGTTGACCAGTGCTCTTGCGCTTCTGCTGAGGAGATGCCGCAGTGAAGTTGTCGTCGAAGCCCTGCTCGGCATCGCTGTCGCTCTCGTCGTCGTGGGTCAGGTCCTCGATGGGCGGGAACTCCTTGTTGAACTTGTTCGAGCTGTCGGGAGCGCCATTGGCACCTGGCGCGGTGTTCTGACGGCTGGCACCGAACCCAGCAAAGGCAGAGTCAAAGTCGACCTTGCCACCAGGGCGAGAGCTCTCGCTTGTGGTGCTGCCAAAGGGATCAGCACGGTTGGTGTTCTTGCTCTGGTTGCTGAAGCTGCTGCCTCCGGTAGGTTCCTGCTGAAGAGGTGTGGCACGCTCGCTGGGGAACGCTCCAGGAATGTCTTGAACCGCAGCGGAAGGGGCGCCAAAGCTGGAGAAAGTATCCTGGCGCTGAGGCTCGGCTCTTGTGGATCGCTGAGTATCGCTGGTCACGCTGGCCACAGGCGAAGCTGTAGAGAAGGTACGGTCGAAAGAGAATGGCTGCGCAGGGTTAAAGCCACCCGTCTCGGTACGGTTCGTCTCACTACGCTCCAAGCCGGCTTTCTCGGGCTGCGGAGTGCCAGCGGGCGAAGCCTGTGATACAGTGGGTGTGTCCTGACCGGGTGCACCGGGGCCACCGTACCTGCTAGCAGGTGCCGACACCTTGACAGAAGAGCTGAACGACTCCGATCGGGGAACGTCCTGCCTGAGAGGCAGGAATGACGACGTGAACTGGCGCGACTCGGGAGCAGCGGGAGGCTCTACGCCACGGGGCGACTCCTGGTAAGACGAGAGGGGCGGCGAGGTGGAGGGAGTGGGGACGTCCGGGCCCTCAGAAGAGCGTACAGACTGTCCAGAGGGAGCAGAGAAGTTTGGCACGTTGCTCTGGCCCTCTGAGCGGAACGATACGGGCGGCGGGGTGTTTTGCGCAGGAGTAAAGGCTCCAAAGACGCTGTCAAAGTCCTTGTGCGGTCCCTGAGCAAACCCAGAGGGAGACATGGCGTTGTCCGAGGTTGGCCCAGGCGACCTTCGGAAGAAGGGGTTGGTGGATTGGCTAGTCACCGACGCAGCAGGACTGGCGGCGGCGGCGGCTGGCGTCGACTGCTGTGGCGGGCTGCGAGCAGCCTCCTGAGCAGCCCTGGTCAGATCGTTCATTTCGCTCTTGATCTTGTCGCGCTCGCCCTCGTTGGTGGCCAGCTGCTTCTTGTTGATTGAGACCATGCCCTTCTGCTGGCGTGCATCTGTCCTCATCTTCTCAAGCTGCGGGCGCAGCTGGGCAATCTCACCGTTCAGCTGACGGATGCGCTCCTTCAGGTTGGCGTTTTCAAGCTGATCAGCCTCGAGAGCGGACCCGACCTGGCGGTATTGCGTCTGAAGGTCCTGGTACGTTCCCTCGAGCATAGCAATGTCTGTCTGCAGTTTGCGCGTCTCGTTACGCGAAGCCGCAAGACGGTCTTCAAGAGCCTTGGCAGCCTTGACCTCCTGCTCGTAGGTGGTCTTGAACTGCGACAGGCGAGCCTCGAGCTCTCGGCGCTGGTTGGTCACGCTGGCAAGATCGCTCTGAGTCGCTTCCTTCTTGTTCTGGACCTCCTGCATCTGGTTCCGCAATGTGGTCATCTGGTTCGACATGTTGGCCAACTCGGTCGAGTCCTGGGTAAGCTGCTTGTTCATCTCCGGGTCGCTTTCGCCCAAAAGGTCATCCATAGCCGAGGGCAGGCTCCGTTGTTGCGACGAGTTGGACTGGCCGGTGGATTGTGTGGTGAGGGTCTGGCCGAAGGAAGAAGTAGGCAGAAAGGGCTTGAAGGTGGATGCAGGATTGCGCGGCTGGGGCTGGAACGGGCCAGGAGATGTAGGCGACACAGCACTGCTCGAGAACGGATCGCTGTCGCCGAATGGCTTGCCGAGCGCAGCAGGAGCACCTGTGCCAACAGGCCGCTGCGGCGATGCGGGCGTCGGATCAGAAAAGGCATCCAAGCCAAACAGATCGTCCGCGGCTGACTTGGACTGTGGTGGAAGGGGCGCAATGGCGGGAGCCTGCTGGTTTGCGCGGTTTCGCAGACTCGGCGGAATGAGATTCGAGGGCAGGGTCTGGGGCAATGGGTCGCCCTTTCGCTGCTGTCGGATCAAGAACATGGCGACGGCGAATTCGTCCTTGGAGAGCTGCCCCTCCGAGTTGATGTCGGCAAGATCCCAGATGCCTGCCAGAATGTCTTCTGGCAGCCCAGAGTCGCTGAAGAAGCGCACTGCCTGCTCTCCTGTGATGAAGCCGCGGCTCATAGTGTCGACTCCCTTGAACAGGTTATCGTACGAAGCCTTCTCTTGTGGGCCAATGAGCCAATCGTTGCTGATCTGCTGTGCAGGCGCAGGCGGGCCAAACGGCGGCTGCCTCAGCGGACTCGCTGTGCGTGGGACGCTCTGCTGGCCGCTGAACTGACGCGGGATCGAGGCTTGGTCAGGGCGCCCCGGAGGCGGCGGAAGACGGCCGGCTCGTCGAGACGCAGCCTCGTACAGGCCCGGGGGCAGCGTGTTTGGCAGGGCCTTCATGTTGCCTGTGCGGTACGACGCGAGCAGGTGCATGGCGATGGTGAACTCTGTGACGTTCAGGGCACCGCGCTGCTCCGTGTCGGACAGGTTCCAGATGCGGCCGAGGACCTCGTTGGGCAGCCTCGCCTTCTCGAAGATCTCCTTTGCGTTCTCGCCTGTGGTGCAGTCAGTCGTTGCCCACGTGTGCCGCGGCGGGCGACGTACCAGAGAGCACGCCGTTGACGGCGCCCGACTTCTCAAACAGGCCGGCATACTCGGCGGCCTTTGCGGGGACGAGCGGCGGGACGCGGATGGGCGGCTGGCCGCTGATCTGGGGCTGTATGGGCGCCGTCGTCGGGGGCGCGAAGCCCTGGGGCGGCGGTGGCGGCAGCGCGGCGGGCGCCGAGAGGCCCTCGAACTTGGGGAGCGGTGCAGGCCTGAAGGCCAGCTCGGGCGAGGGGTCGCGGCCGGCCTGGTAGTGGCCAATGAGTCGCAGGACCTGGCAGAAGCCGGCCATGGTCAGCAGGCCGCGGTTCTCCGTGTCTGCGATCTGCCATATCTCGCCCAGCACGGCCGGGGCCAGCTTGGTGCGCTCGAAGAACTTGACGGCAATTTCGCCCGTGATGACACCCAGCTTCTCAGCGTCGGCCTGCTGGAAGAGGTGCTGGAACACGCGCTTCTCCTCGGGCGTCAGGTTGAGGACGGGCTGGTCTGCGCGCGGTTAGCTGTCGTCTGGGGTCGCGGGGGCGTGTCGCGTGTGTGTGTGGACGCACTCAGCTCGCCGCTGCCTGCAAGGTCCGCCATGGCTGCGCAGTGTGGAGGCTGTCGGAAAGGTGGCAGGAGACGGGTGAGGTTGGCGAGGCCACTACTCCAGCAGCGCCCACCCTGACCTCACCGCGGGAACTCCCACTAGCACTCCGGCGCGTCGATGCGCTGGCTGCCCGACGTGATTGGCTGTGCGGGGGACAGCACGGCGACACGGGCGACATGGCGACATGGCGACACGGCGACACGGCAGCTGTCAGAGCTGCTGGAACGGCTGTGCGACAGCTGATCAACCTGACAATAGCTGTTATGTCTTATACCTAAAAAGCAAGCTGTGTTGGACCCTGGCTGTCACTCTCCTGTGGCTGTTACTTGTAGCTGTCACTCACCTGTGGCTGTTACTTACTCCTGGCTGTCACTCACCTGTGGCTGTTACTTATCTGTGGCTGTCACTCACCTGTGGCTGTTACTTACTCCTGGCAGTCACTCACCTGTGGCTGTTACTTGCTCGTGGCTGTTACTTGCTTGTGGCTGTTACTTACTCCTGGCAGTCACTCACCTGTGGCTGTCACTCACCCTGGCAGTCACCCACCCTGGCAGTCACTCACCCCAGGCTCCTGCACCACTCCAGGTTCCTGGCCTTTACTAAACACGACCTACACACGACCTACACACGACCTAAACATGACATGTCCATTGCTTGCTACAACAGAGACTCGTCTCGTCGTGACTGCAGGTTTTGTACAGCGTATCGATACATGCAACGCCCAAGATGGCAGACTCCACAACGCCAAATCAGAGAGTGGGGTATACAGAAACGCGACTTCACCTCCTAGCTTTCGCCCGCGCAAACGCCAGACTCGGCGTCTCCTCGCGCCTCCCCCACGCCCGCCCCAGCAACCAGTCCGTCACGCTGATGAACTTGGCCGTCCTGTCCCAAGTGTGGCCCTCCTCGGTGTGCTCAATCGTGTGACTGGCAATGCGCCCCTCGTCATCAAACTCAAACACAAACAAGCCCGTGAACTCGTCTTCCTCTCTGCCGCGCCGCACAATATTGCGCACGCTCTCAAACGTCTCGCTGACATGTCTGCTGCCCCCGCCCTCGCTCTGCGTGCGATCCGTCTTGCCGCACGTCTGCCACTTCACAATGAGCTTCTCGTTGCGCAGCGCGGCCTGCGACGCCGAGCCGCTCTTGACCATGCGCTCCGACAGCATCTTCAGCTTCACGTTGCCCAGCACCGGCACGCGGCCCCATGCCACGGGCGCCGTCCAGAGCGCTGCCGTGTAGGCGAGTCGGCCGCGCACGGTGGGGAGGTGCGGGTGTGTCGACGGGAACAGGTGCAGGCTGATGTGCGGCGAGAGAATGTCCGAGGGGAGCGGCGAGTTGAGGAGGTTGGGCAGGGCGTCGTGGAGCACGCGGATAGCTGGGCGTGGTCAGAGTCGAATCGCATAAAAACACGGGAGACCATCAGCGACGTACTGTTTCCCAGCTTCAGATTGCGCTCGAGCAAGCGCTTCTGCTCGCGCTCGTCGAGCTCGTGCGCGCGCGCCGTCGAGCTCGTGAACCAGCTGCGGCCTGCCGCTGCACTCGCCTGGCGTGGGCGCGCATCCGTCAGGTGGCGCTGGCACTGCTTGAGGCCCAGCAGCCGGGGCGCGGACAGAGAGGTGCTCGAGGATCGCGGAAGCTGGGTGCGGGCTGAGCTTGAGAATCTCCGCATCAGACCGGTGGTCATGTGTCTGGATAGCAATGGTCAACCATAGGTAGCAGGGCTGCGTCGTACTTTTGTATCTTCGCAGGTGCGCGGCGACGATTAGTACAAAGTAGAATGCCAACGCCGCGGTCCAGACTAGACTCGGAGACAGGCCGATCTTCAGTGACGTCGTGGGAAATCACCCCGCCGAACGCGGATCCCTCCTGGGCGTAATTATAAAGAAGGGGACGACGTGTGCAGGCACACGTGGATGTAGATGCTTTTTCAATTGACTCGTCGAGCTCTGTCTTCAAATCCCTCCGTCGCCGTCTCTGCAGGTACACGAGCATTTCGCAACATGTCATTGGGAAAGCGAATCGTCTTCACGGGTGGCTCAGGCAAGGCCGGTCGCCATGTCATTCCTTACCTGCTCTCGAAAGGGCACAAGGTCCTGAACCTCGATCTCATCGACTTCCCAGACCCAAGCGCGGGCGTCTTCACGCTGAAGACGGACCTGACCAAGAGCGGACAAGTCTTCAACGCCCTCACCACGCACTTCAACTTCCAAGGCTACGAAGAGAAGAAGGTCCCCAGCCCACCCGATGCTGTCATCCACTTCGCAGCCTACGCCAGGAACATGCTGGTCCCCGACGACGAGTGCTACGCCGCAAACGTAGCGTCCACCTACAACGTCATCGAAGCCGCCTGCAAGCTGGGCGTGCGCAAGATCATCATCGCCAGCAGCGAGACGACGTACGAGGTCTGCTTCGGCCAGGGCGACCTGGACTACCAGTGCTTCCCGCTGACCGAGGACATGGATCTCAACCCCATGGACTCGTACGCCATCTCGAAGCTGTGCGGCGAGCGGGTGGCGCGCGGCCTGGCGCGCAGATTCGACGCCGACATCTACGCGCTGCGCATCGGCAACGTGATCGAGCCGCACGAGTACGAGCGCGACTTCCCGTCGTACATTGGCAAGCCTGAGACGCGCAAGCGCAACGCCTGGAGCTACATCGACGCCCGCGACCTGGGCCAGATCTGCCACCTGTGCGTCGAGAAGGACGGCTTGGGGTTCCAGGTGTTCAATGCTACCAACAACAGCATCACGACGACGGTCCCGACCGCCCAGTTCCTCGCGCAGTATGCGCCCAATACGCCCGTCACGAGGGAGCTCGACGAGTGGGAGGCGCCGCTGAGTAACAAGAAGATCCGCGACGTGCTGGGCTTCGAGGAGGAGCACGACTGGAGAAAGTACTACAACCCGGGGTCTTAGTGAGAGCAGACAAAGCTGGACGGCCAATTGCGTGTGTGTCTGTATGATGTATTAGAATGGGTAATAAGGTATTTGGACATGTACTAGAATAGGTGGTACTTGGACATGTACTAGAATAGGTGGTACTTGGACATGTACTAGAATAGGTGGTACTTGGACATGTACTAGAATAGGTAGTACGTGGACGTGTACTAGAATAGGTAGTACTTGGACGTGTACTAGAATAGGTAGTACGTGGACGTGTACTAGAATAGGTAGTACTTGGATAGGTACTAGAATAGGTAGTACTTGGATAGGTACTAGAATAGGTAGTACTTGGATATGTACTAGAATAGGTAATACTTGGACATGTGTCAAGATAGCCAACACCTACAGAAGTCGTGAGTTGTCATGTCACCTACGTGTCTGCATGTCATGTCAAAATGGGCGATATTCGGAGAAGTCGACCAATAGCGCTCGGACTACGACAGGGCCTCGCGATTTTTGTCACCACCGCCTCGACTGCGCGTCGCTCCATTCCCGCACTCCCGCCCTTCGATACCCGTTTGCCGTGTCTCTTGTTTGGTTGCCAGGCCTTCTCGTTGCATCGTCTCTCCTTCCTCCGTGCAATCCACAATGTCGCCCACACCATCGGAAGCGGTCGCAAAGGTCGCCCAGGCCGCCGCGGGAACCAGCTCGTCGGCCACCGAGTACAAGCGGGAGTCCAACACAGCGCGATTCCTGGGTGCAGGTGCGTGCACTGCACACGCAGTCGCTGGATACGTCTGACGCAGGACAGGATGTGCGGGTCTCGCGGAGCTGATGATCTTCCACCCCGTCGACACGACGGCGAAGCGCCTCATGAGCAATGTCGGCAAGATCGAGTCGGCGTCACACCTGAACAAGGTCGTCTTCCGGGACTCGGCCAACGCCTCGGTCGGCGGCCGCTTCTTCTCGCTCTTCCCTGGGCTCGGCTACGCCGCTGCGTACAAGGTAGGGCGCCCGTTGCGACCCGCATAGCGCTGTCACCCATCTGACGCCGCGCCACAGATCCTCCAGCGCGTCTACAAGTACGGCGGACAGCCCTTTGCGCGCGACTACCTCGCCCGTCACCACGGCGACGCCTTCGACCAGACATTCGGCAAGGGCAACGGCAAGGCCATCATGCACGCGACCGCGGGCTCGTTGATCGGCATTGGTGAGATTGTCCTGCTGCCGCTCGACGTCCTCAAGATCAAGCGCCAGACCAACCCCGAGGCCTTCCGGGGCCGCGGTCTGTTCAGGATCATCGCCGACGAGGGCTTCGGCCTGTACCGCGGCTGGGGCTGGACAGCAGCCCGCAACGCCCCCGGCTCGTTCGCGGTAGGTTGAACTGCGCATGGACTCTGCGGCACCAACTGACAAGCTGCAGCTGTTCGGTGGATCTGCCGCCGCCAAGGAGTACCTCTACAAGCTCTCTGACTACAACAAGGCCACCTGGGGCCAGAACTTTGTCGCCTCGATTGCCGGTGCCACCGCCTCGCTCGTCGTCTCCGCCCCGCTCGACGTCATCAAGACGCGCATCCAGAACAGGAACTTTGACAACCCAGAGGGCGGCATGCGCATCGTGTCCAACATGATGAAGAACGAGGGCATCAGCTCCTTTTTCAAGGGCCTGACGCCCAAGCTGCTCATGACGGGCCCCAAGCTCGTCTTCTCCTTCTGGTTGGCCCAGACCCTGATCCCGGCCTTTGGCAAGATCATGTAAATTCGTTGCTAGCGTTAATGACGGTGTTGTACTTGTACTATACGGGATCTACGGTTGTTGGGGCTATAGAACTGGGAGCCGGAAAGGCGTTGGGCTCGCGATGCACAGGCGAGTGCGTTGGGTCCAGAGATGATTTCAACAGTCCAGAGATGATTGTAACATATCCACTCAACATGTCCCTCTGCTATTCCAACTGCTGCCGTTCCAACTGCTGATGTTCCAACTTCGACTGACTTGTGACGCTTGGCAGTGAAGGCTGACAATTTGCGAGACACAACTGCATCTGACTGCATCACGTGATGAACCCTCAGCTACGCAAACGCCGACCACCACCTCTGCATGGCGTTTGTAGCCGTGTCTGGCATATGACTGCATTCCAAGCGCCTCCGTTACCGCAGCGGAGGCAGCAGACGTGAAGTTGAATGTCATGTTATGTTTCAGAGTATGTCCGCCAACGGCAGAACCGGCTTGTGACTTGCTGCACACGCTCGGCCGCGCCAAGGACTCCCCCAACTGCACGTCGCCAGCCCTTGTACTTGACACCGCCCTGCCAGCGCCAGCAAGACCCTCGACCCTCGCCTCTCACCTCTCCCGCCGGCCCACTGCACAGATACCCGCTCCCTTCTCCCCGCATCTCCAGCAATACCGCCAAAATGAACCCCGAGTAGTACGTAGCCCTCTGCGCAGCGCCCACCGCCACAAGCCGAGGACCGTTGCGTGCAATCCCCGCCAGGCGCAGTGCTAACGACAAACCCACAGAGTACTCCATGCCTGCACGCGCAGTGCCGCCGCCGTGCGGTCGCGCCCCATCGCCCGCTGCTCCCCCCCCCCCGCTAACGAGCCCGCCCCAGATACGACTACCTCTTCAAGCTGCTCCTCATTGGCGACTCTGGAGTCGGAAAGTCGTGCTTGCTGCTGCGATTCGCTGACGACACATACACGGAGAGCTACATCTCGACCATCGGTGTCGACTTTGTGTGTGCACCCGCCGCGTGCTGCGCCTCCGCCCGCGACAGGCTAACACTCGCCAGAAAATCAGGACCATCGAGCTCGATGGCAAGACCGTCAAGCTGCAGATTGTACGTATCTGACCAGCAGCTAGGGAGGCGGCAGGGCTGACAGCGACGCAGTGGGACACAGCCGGCCAGGAGCGCTTCCGCACCATCACATCCTCGTACTACCGCGGCGCCCACGGCATCTGTGTCGTCTACGATGTCACCGACATGGACTCGTTCAACAACGTGAAGCAGTGGCTGCAGGAGATCGACCGCTACGCCACCGAGGGCGTCAACAAGCTGCTGGTCGGCAACAAGTCCGATATGGCCGACAAGAAGGTCGTCGAGTACACCGTTGCAAAGGTGCGCCCAGCCACCCACAAACGCCGACATGCACAGCAGCTAACACAGCGCAGGAGTTCGCAGACAGCCTCGGCATCCCCTTCCTCGAGACCTCGGCGAAGAGCGCCACCAACGTCGAGCAGGCTTTCTTGACCATGGCCCGCCAGATCAAGGAGCGCATGGGAACCACAACCGCCAACACCAAGCCCACGGTCCCCATCGGGCAGGGCCAGGGCGTCCAGAGCGGCTCCGGCGGCGGCTGCTGCTAGACGAGTCAGAGAAGAGGGAGGTGAAGGTGCTAGCCTTGGTGTGCTGAGCCTTGGAATCGGTCGAGGCTCACAGTCGAAGATGAGACCAGCGATATACGAGTTTCAGGCGCAGGTGTTTTGTGCGGGTTCCGACTTTTGATACGGTTACTTAATGCTCATGGTCATGGTTTCCTTGGACTCTCGACGAACTGCCCACCAGCTACTGCTTCAGGTACATCCATGAAGTGCCAACCACGAACACGAATCGCCGCCGCTCACCTCTCCCTTGTGCTTTAGTCCCTGCATGGCGGTTTTTGGATCGCGACTTTCCTTCCGTCTTAGGTTCTAGAATGGGCTAGTTGAGTTTTAAACGATTCTGCATACGGGGAGCGCTCGTGCGAACGGCTGCTAGGCCAGCGCGATCTCGACCATCTCATTGCTGCGTTAGGTGTTGGTAGTTTGGTATATGATATTTTCTCCTAGCTGCTGCTGGCTGTGATATCAGAGAACGGGGGTGTGATTCCCACACATTTTCAGTCTTGCCCATGAGTGAATTATTACACGAAAAGCATCGCGCAGCCTTCAAGAAAATGAAGAGTGTATCTTGATTCTCTCACAGGCTAGGGGCTTGCGTGTGGGACATGTAGCTCTGACGTACCTCTAGCGCCGAATCCTCTCCTCCAGGCCTCCAACGTCAATACGAGAACACCACGAACATTATGGCTGCGCAACCCAGCATGGCTCACCTTGACCTCCCACGAATTCCTGGATCCAGATCAAAGAGCTAGGAATCGGGTATTCGGCATCGTAACCGTGCAAAAATTAACGCGTAAATTCGGCACTGTAGTATCGCCGCCCAACTCAAAAACCCCGTTATTCGTGCCTCACCAGGCAGCAACACCCACCAACCCAACACTCAAAATGGCCGATGCCACACAGAGCAGGCTGGGCAGTGCAGCCTCGTGGATCGCGAAGGAGCTCGGGCTGCACACCATGTACACGGCGGGGAAAGACGTCTACACGATCATTCTCGCGCGCTACCTACGCATGTACGCGTACGGCTCCGTCGCGCTCGTACTGGCGCTGTACTTCCGCGCCCAAGGGTTGTCCGATGCGCAAATCGGCTTCTTCATGACGCTCACGCTGCTCGGTGATGTTGTTGTTTCGCTGCTGCTCACGCTGGTCGCGGATCGCTTAGGCAGGCGCACGACGCTCATGCTCGGCGCGCTGGGCATGAGCGTGTCCGGCGCCGTGTTTGCGACGTCGACGAGCTATCCTGCGCTGCTGACGGCCGCGGTCGTCGGCGTTGTGAGCCCGAGTGGGAATGAGATTGGCCCGTTTCGCGCCGTCGAGGAGAGTACGCTCGCTGGGCTTGTGGGCGAGGAGGGGAGAGCAGACGTTTTGTGAGTTCTTGATTCTCTCTCATACACGCCCCGACTTGCTTTGCGTACACATGCCCAGAGAGTAGTACTGATGGGAGTAGTACGTGGTACGTTGCGTTTGCGGTGCTCGGCACTTCCACAGGCTTGATCGTCGGCGGGCAAGCCGTCGATGCGCTCTCCGCGAGACACGACTGGACTGAGCTTGATGCATACCGCGCCGTCTTCTGGGTCTACACCGCCGTCGGCCTGGTCAAAGCACTTCTTACCTTCTTCCTCAGTCGGGCGTGCGAGCAACACACGCCACCATCCAAACCTGTCCCAAGCGAAGGCGAAACAGAGCCCCTCTTGCCCGCTGCAGACGACGCCTCGCACCCGGTTGCGACCAGCAACGGCGATGCTGAAGTTGCGGAGCGTAGTAAGAAGAGTTGGAATCCAATCGCCTCCATCTCGCCCGCGAGTAGGGCGATCCTGTTCAAGCTCTGCAGCCTCTTCTTCCTTGACTCGCTCGGCTCGGGCATGGTGCCCTTCTCGCTCATAAACTACTATCTGGACCGCAAATTCAGCCTGCCCAAGGGCAAGCTGGGCGCCATCATGAGCGCTACATGGTCAGTACCCACCTCCCTTCAGTCTTCACTCCCCAAAATACCCACCACCACCCCGCCATCTCTCCACCGCCCACGCACAAGCCGTCCCACTAACCTTCCCGCAGGTTCCTCTCCACATTCGGCAACATCTTCTCCGCCTCGCTCGCGCGCCGTCTCGGCCTCATCCCCGCAATGGTCGCCACACACCTCCCCTCCTCACTGTTCCTAGCCGCGCTCCCCGCCGCCCCACAGCTCCCACTAACCATCGCACTGCTCGTCGGCCGCAGCACAATGAGCTCCATGGATCAGGCGCCGCGCAGCGCGTTCCTGAGCATGGTCGTCCTGCCCGAGGAGCGCACGGCTGTCATGGGCGTCGTGAATACGCTGAAGATCCTGAGCCAGAGCGCGGGGCCGTGGATCACGGGCGTGCTTGCTGGTGGCGGCCGGTTCTGGGTTGCGTTTGTGGTCGCGGGCGGGCTGAAGGCGTGTTACGATGTGCTGCTTTTGGGTATGTTTGGGGCGCGGGGGTGGGCGCGGAAGCCGGGTGGTGTGGCGGGGGAGAGTCGGGGCGGGAGCGGTGTGCGTGATGAAGAGGGGAACGACGGGCAGAGAGGCGGAGTCGCTGCGTCGACGGGGTGAGTGCGGGGTGGACGTGGATGAGTCTGTGTTGCGGGGTTGAAACCCGGTGTCTATGTGGTCTATGGTATCGTATCGTGTTAAACTCCCCACTCGCCCCCTTTACAATCCCCACTCTATCGATACAATTCACGGGAATCTAGTCATCCCCCTCCACATCCTCCTCGTCCACAATCCCAATCCCCTGCTCCAGCGTTCTTTGCACCGTCTCCTGCAGCAGCCGCAACACAGTCTCGACATCAGTCGTCTGGACATCGATCTCGACCCCGTCCTCGCCGCGCAGCGTCTCGTTCCACAGCGCCTCGTATTCGGGGTGATTGGGATTGATGAGCTCGACGCGGGGTTTTTTCGCCCGCGGCGGCGGCGGCGGGAGGTGCGTGAAGGCGCGACTCGTCGAGACGAGTTTGGCGAGCATCTCGTCGTACTCGCCCGCGGGCGTCGACTGCGACGTCACCGCCCCGCCGGCGGGGATGCGCCATATGTCCTCTGTGGCTGTGCTCGTAGCCGACGACGCGCTGCTTGAGCGGCGGTCGATGGAGCCGGGCGCGTCGATCTTGATCGCAGTGCGTATCACAACGCTGAAGTCGCCGCCGCCACCGACGTCGAGATAGCCCAGGACGCCGGCGTAAATGCCGCGCTTGACGCCGCGCTCCTGCTGCTGCAGGATCTCGCACGATCGCTTCTTCGGCGCGCCCGTCATGCTGCCTGGCGGCAGGCTCTGCACGAAAGCTTGGAACCCGAGATCGGGGACGTGGGAGCGCGCGAGTAGGCTTCCGGAGCCGTCGACGGGGTCCTCCCAGAGCTCGGGCGTGCCGGGTTTGTACACGCCGGGCGGCACGGCGTCGACGACGGTGACGAGTTGCCAGACGGTCTCGTACTCCTCGACCTCCATGAGCTGGGAGACGCGGACGTTGTCGGTGCCGTAGACGCCGTGGAGCTGGTGCCGGGTGAGGTCGACGATCATGAGGTTTTCGGCGCGCTCTTTGGACGAGTTGAGGATGGCGCGGGCGTGGGCTGCCGTCACGCCGGGCTGTTTCTGCACCGTGCCTTTGATGGGCCGGCATTGGGCGGCTTGGCTGCGTGACCAGGACATGTAGCGTTCAGGGGACGAGGAGACTATGTGCACGTTGTGCATGCGCATGTAGGCGCTGAAAGGGGCGGGGTTCTGGCCGGCAAGACGCTTGTACATGTTCCACGAGTGTTGATTGTCCTCGGCCTTGGACAGACGGCAGGCTGTTGGTCGACGGGCGCGGATCTCGTTCTGGTGCGTCAGGCAGAGCTCGTAGCTCTGGCCGTCGGCTATGGCTTCTTGACAAGCACGCACTTGCTTGTAGTAAGTCTCGCGATCGGCAAAGTTCTGCTTGCACGAGTCAATGTACTTGTACATGGGACCATACTTCTCGAACGGATCCGGCTTTGACATAGGTGTTGATGTTGGGGTAGACTGCCGCGATGTGGCGTCAACGGCATTGTAAACAAGCTCTTGTGTCTCTTCAACCCAGTCGAAATCGTTAGGTCCGCGTATACTCTGCACATAGATCTTCTTGACCTGGTGATCAAATACGATACTTCTGGTAATGTATGCGAAGCAGATGTCGGGGTGATCGGCGCTATCTTTGACGGGAACATCGATTGTCTCCAGTCCAGCCTCATAGGAGGCATAGCCCATGAGACCGCCCCAAAACGGAGCCCAAGTCGTAGTGCGAGGTGGTGTCGTTGGCTGGAGCGTGCTCATAACCTTTCTCATGTATGGCCAAGGATCGTTGACCTTCCACTGGCTGTGGACCTCGTCGTAGCCATCCCTAAGCTGCATGATCCGGGATCCCGCATAGTAGTGCAATCGGAGTGTCTCTCCCGGAACGACCAGACCGATGATGCTGTAGCGTCCTGTGCCCACTGCCATAGGAACCAGATTCTCCTGCAGCCCCGACTGAAGTACAATTGCTTCATGTCGCGGAATCTCGAGAGTCTCGCAGAGCTCCTCGACTGTCAATCTGCCACTCCCTGTGGTAGCGCAGTGTACTACGGTAGAAGGCAGGTGCGGCAGTGTCTTTTCATCGCCGTAAGCTATCAGCGAAGCCAGCTCACCCGGCAGAAGGCCATCACTATCTTTCGAAAGAAACTCGGTCTCGGCTACGCCCTTCTGCATCGACTTCTTGGTGTCATTCTCCGCGTAAAATCCGAGATCCCGCCGGAAATCGTGAAACGTCATCGGCCGTAGCTGTGAGGCCGATATGCTTGTTTTGCGAGCGTCGTGGCTGAACATGCGCTTTCGCTTCCAAGCTTGCGCATCTTCCCACCAATTTCGGATGACGTGAGCGCCCTCCTCGTTCGTGCAGACAGATTCAGGGTGGAATTGCACGCCCCAGAACGGCTTCTGGATGTGCTTCACGCCCATAAGCACCGCGCCATTGCGTTCGCTGTCGAAGTCCCAAGCCAAGGGTTCTAACTGCGGACACATATCGGTCGGCTCCCACAGCTGCGCAGGATACCGCACGGCTCGATTTGTTTGGATCGGGTGGCCAAGCTTGACCTGCAGGGAGTGGTACTGCGTTGCCTGCAACTTCTCCACATTCCTAAACATAGACTGCCCCTTGTGCAAAACAGCCGTGATAATGCCATGCTTCGGTTCGACCAGCCTCTCCATCTCAGCTCCGAAAGCCAGACACAGGGCCTGGAAGCCTAAACAGATACCCAGAACAGGCAATACGTCCTCATCCCGCAGGTTCCAGAGCTCTTTCATGAGACCGACGTCTTTGTCGCAGCCGGCCCATCCAGGACCAGGACCTGCAACGACCGCATCGAAGTCCTGTGCATACTCGGCGAATGTCGGTTTGGCCAGAGACTTGCTGTTAGAAAAGCGAGAGTCATCGATGAAGACTTTGGTGACTATGGCATCCGTGTTCTGCTCAAGGAGGGCGACAATGTTGTTCGAGAACGAATCGTATGCGTCCAAGAAGAGGATCCGGCGCGGGGGGGTCACAAAGGCAGGTGACATCTGATAGGCTCACGTGGCGAATCTCGGTGAGCTGGGTTTGTTGCTGAACACGGGCGTCGTACGTGCGCAGCAGGCAGCTGCTAGAGTTGTGAGGCCAGTGGGAAAAGGGCCAGGTCGGACAAGTGTGTAGACTTGACTATTACTGGACTTGGTGGGACTATGCGGGTCCTTCAGAAGGTCTGCAGGGCTAAACCGAATCGCTATGCTGAGACACTGTCCAGTGGAGCGACAGAGGAGTCCGGGCTCTGGTACAGAACCAACAGCAGACAAGAGCAAATGGCAAGGTCTGTAAAGTAGGGTTAACGGAAAGGATCAAGGTTGGAATGGTGATGACTGATTGACAAAAAGTTATGCGCGATAGCGGGCGACTGGGGTGCTTATGCAGGGTCCCGTTGGCGCATCTTCCTGCCGCGGCAGACCGAGCGAATCGAAAACGCCTTCTGTGCTTCTGGAAGCCTGGAATAGAAGTGATGCACAGATGCGGCGTGTCTCAGCGAGCTTGAAACGGAACCTTGCCACATCATTTGTGTTCTCCAGATGCTGCGGTCATACAAAGAGGTCGTTTATGGTAAAGATGTGAGAAGGGCGCATGCGCGCCATTTTGCTGTGCAGATGGTGTCACAAGGTCGTGATGCACAGGGGGGCTGATAACGGTAGTTCTTGTCGTTTAACACATAATCATCGGCTTCGTCAAGCTCATCAGTGTCCTACCTCAGCTCTGGCACCGCTTCGCTCACGCCGCCCAAATCCATCCCTAGCTCATCTCTACAGCTGCCATTTTCGCAGAGCATGACGCCCTCTCTACTTGCGTCCATGCTTCTGACCAGCTCGTTCCTCTGCTTTAGCCACTCTCCACCCTGAGCACGCACTCTACTGATCGTGCCCAAGCCAGCTGGTCGCTCACGGTTTCTCCTCAGCCACTCTTCGACTCTCTGGCCTTCGCCTGTGACTACGACGTGTCTGACGCCTAGCTTTCCTGCAACCACGGTGTCCATAAGACTTGGGAAGAGGAATGGATGCTGCATGACTTCTGCTTCGAAAGCGCTAACAGTGTCCCGTGCGAGCTTAACATAGGACTCGTCTTCGAGCAGAGCGCCCAACCTGTCCAAATTCTGGGCACTCACGCCGTTGGTGCCCGGTTCGGCGTTATCCATGCCGTCTTTTAACCGCATAAGCAGGTCTTGCTGGCCTTCTGATGTTGAGAAGAAGCCGAGGTGCTCCTTGTCCCAGAACAACCTGATCTGAGTCTGCTGCAGGTCGTCGGCCCAGTGCAGATACGACTCGTTGAAAGTCGCTTCATAGAGGGAGATGAGACCGGAGATGAGATATGCGTAGTCATCTGCAAAGCCCGGAGCTTCGCCGGGGCCTTCACGGTAGATACGGGTGAGGGTTTTGAAGGAGGTGTTGTAAAGCTCACGGCTAATGAACGCGGCTGCCTGCTCGGCCGCGGCGAGGTACTGCTGCGACCGGGGGACATCTTGTGATGATAGCGCAGCGGCTGTGCGTGCAAGAGCACCGATGGCGAGACCGTTCCACGAAACCACAATCTTGTCATCGAGCGCTGGTCTTGGGCGGTCCTGTTCGCGGTGGTTTCGCAGCTTCTGACGCCCCTCTGACAATATCCGCCCCACCTCCTCTTCAGACAAGGCAAATTGCTTCGCCAGTTCAGCCGGTGTCATTGTGATTTCGAGCACGTTTTGGTTGATGAGCTCGTCGTGCGCATCGTGCTCAGGGGCGACGTTACCCTCGTCCTTCACGTTGTAGTACCTCGCCAGCACCTCAGCTTCCCGTTCACCCAGGATATCCTGGAACTCATTGAGTGTCCACACATAAAACGCACCCTCCCGCTTCTCCTTGTCTGATAATCGGTAGAGCGAGTCTGCGTCCTCGGAGGAAAAGAAGCCTCCAGACTGCGAGTGCAGTGGTGGCGAGGTGAGGTATGTCGCGATGTCGTGAACAGCAGAGAGATGTTCAGGACTCTTCGTCATGAGGTAGGCGTCGAGGTAGACAGGTAGCAATTGCGCCTGGTCGTACAGCATCTTCTCGAAATGCGGCAAGCTCCAATCTCGCGTAACCGAGTATCGGGCAAACCCATTGCCAACCTGGTCGTGGATGCCGCCTTTGTTCATGGCATCCAACGTAGCCAGAACCATGTCCTTCGCCTGCGTACACTCCTTGGCTCCAATGACATCGGCGACGGCGCGCGGGTACTGCGAGAGCTTGAGGAGGAAGGCGAGGTTCGAGGGTGTGGGAAACTTGGGCGCGCTGCCGAAACCAGCGTAATCTGCGTCGTACTTGTTCAGGAAATACTGGTATGCTTCTTCGAGAAGGTCGAGGTCGAGTGCGTCCTGGTCTGCGCCGTCTTTCCTGCTGATGTTGCCGTCCTCGGTGAACTCCCTCAGCTGCGCAGTGATCTCCTTTGCAGAGTCGAGACAACGCTGGCGCTGGTTCTGCCACACGTCTCTGATCTTCTCCAGGATTCCAACAAAGCCAATATGGTCCCCGCCCATGGTCGACCCCGGGCCCGGCCAGTACGTCCCACCGAAGATGGGCTGCAGGTCTGGGGTTATGAAGGCGTTCAGCGGCCATCCTCCACTCCCCGTCGTGGCCTGGACGTAATTCATATATATGCGGTCGACGTCTGGGCGCTCCTCGCGGTCGATCTTGATGGGGATGAAGTTGTCGTTCAGCAGCTGGGCGACTTCCTGGTTCTCGAACGACTCGCGCTCCATGACGTGACACCAATGGCAGGCGGCGTAGCCTATACTAATGAAGATGAGGCGGTTCGAATTCTTTGCCAGCTCCAGTGCTTCCGGTCCCCACTGCTGCCATGCGACCGGGTTGGTCATGTGCCCGCGCACGTATGGTGACCGGCTCTCATTCAGGCGGTTGGTGAGCTTCAAGCCGTCACCGGCACCGGACAGGCTTTGTGTGGCCATCCTGAGGACCGACGTGTGGAGCTTGCGCAACTGCGCTCTCGAGAGCTGTCGTGGCGGGGCAGTGGTTGGTGCGGGACGGTGATTTGGAGCGGGGCGTGGTGGCGCAGTGGAAATTGTTCGTGCACAGGGTCCTCGCAAGTTGAAGCGTACCGGAGGCATGCACCTGCGCGAACAGGTGGAGGAGCCGCGCAAATAAGGGTTCACTGCTGCGCAAGGCGAAACGCGGCGAGATATGGGGGGCAGGGGGGCACGCGGGGCTGCATGACATCCTAATCTCGAGACGTGGGATTGGTGCTCACAGAACCGTCATCAGGACGACATGCTCGCGCCTGACTGAGCAAATTTTCTGTACTGACAGCCTCTGGCCAACAGTCTGGAGCATCAGGGAGAGCTTCACCAAGTCTTTTTAGCACCGATTCTTGATAGCTACGATGTGGATGCATCGAGGACAGCTTTCAGCGAGACCGTGTGATTCAGATACCCGTCTCGCCTTGAGCTAAATCATATCGTGTGATGAAGACGGATATCGCTATGTTCTACAAGGAAAAATGATTTATATTCTATATGTTCTATTTTCGAGAGCCATTATAAAACACAACGTATGTGTGAAATTGGTCGCTTAGCTCAGTTGGTTAGAGCGTGGTGCTAATAGTTTACAACCTTGATACGCCAAGGTCGCGAGTTCGACCCTCGTAGTGACCAGTCTTTTTGTCTATGCAAGCGTCCCATCTCCGCGGTGTGAGCACCGCATTGCTTTGCTTTTTGCCGTCATTCACGGCCCTATCCATGTTAAGACAAGGCATCGGTCGCCCGTCCTACCTTGGGGCATCTCGCGACACCCCACATGCGCGTACCCGTGACAGCTCGGGTCAATAGCTAGCGAGCTGCTTGGACCGAATATGTTAACGATGTGTCCCTTCAGACAATTCATCCTCACCTCCCAGAAACACCTCGCTCTTATCGACCATGGACCTCTTTGCAGCCGACAACGCTTGGCCGCTGTGGGATGACCAACGCATTGAAGGAGCGTTCGATGTAACCCTCGCCAACGGCATTGACCAAGCTGTTGTTCATAGTGTTGAGCGACCGTGGTTGTTCCATTACAAGCCCAAGTCAAGTTCGAATGGACGGGCCATCCTCATCCTGGGCGGAGGAGGGTACGTCGAGCTTATGGTTGGACGTGAGGGCGTTCAGGTAGCAAATTGGCTGACCAGCCTTGGTTTCGACGCTTTTGTTCTTGTCCACCGCTTCCCGACCGCCAAGTCAGCGCCCCAAGCTCCAGTCGATGACGCGAGACGAGCACTAAACATCATCGCTGCTGAAGGCCTGTCGAAGAATGGCTTGGGCGTATGCGGTCTCTCGTCTGGCGGTCACCTTGGCGCTGCGCTGCTAGCGGAGTACCCGAAGTCCTGGACGTCGCCCGAGTCCTCTGCTGCGATACCCAAGATAGATTTTGCCATCATTGGATACGGGCCCATCTCGACAAATGCAAAGGGCAGGACAATCGTAGCCAACAAGGCCGCGCTCCCGCCAGCAGAGAAGCAAGAGCTATACGATGTCGTCCAGCCAGACATCCAGATCAGTACAGCACCACCCACTTTCATCGTGTACTCAGGAAGCGATCCCGTCGTCCCCGTTGTGAACGCGTATCGACTTGCGGAAGGAATTACGAAAGCTGGAGCCGCAGTAGAACTTCACGTGTTTTCAGACGCACCGCACGGCTTTGCGCTCGATACCGTCGGTTTACCGGTCAGCAAGTGGCCGACGTTATGTGAGGCGTGGCTGGAGCAGAACGGGGTGTTGAAGGCGTGAACGCGTCGCCGCAGAGGGAACGAAAAGGGTTAGTGTGAAAGCGACGTCATTGACTTTGGGCATGTAGCATCAATCTCAAGAGCGAACAACACTGATCTACAGTCGTTCATTACGGCAATGCAACTACTCACTCGATATCTAGAGAAGCTTTTCATTTCATACAAATCATCGCAGGTTTTCCGATCCAGACTACAGTTTGCTTCCATCCTCACAACGCGCCAGTTGCATGCGACTTCTGTGATGGCCAGTCCATTAAAGCACAAAGCCGATAAAAATGCAGCATCTACCCTGGTCAAAAAGCAGAAAGTCGTAATTCCCGAATATCACACCACAGCTCAACGGCGCGATGATGCCGGGGAAATCATCTGGCCGGCGCGGGAAGCGCAGATTGAACGAGCTAGAGATATTATCAGAGAATGGTACGCAACGTGATAGATGACAAAAAATTGCCTGGCTGACACCCGTCAGTGTTAAAGCACAGACACCGGTAGTGATACTGCCTGATAAAGATGCGGATGGTCTATCTTCTGGCGCAATTCTGCACCACACACTTACATCACTGGGGCTTTCGTCTGATCTGATATCCGTTTATTTCCCATCAAAAGGAACTAATGTACACGACGATGCCACCAAAGAAGCGCTCACAAAGATCGCTCCATCATATGTTTTCGTATTGGACCAAGGGAGTAGAAATGGGCCCGCACTACTAGACCGACCGCACACATGCCTGATAGTCGACCACCACTTTGCAGAAGACGGAGGCTTCCCAGAAGGCGCTGGATACGTCACTTCCCATGACTGTCCACCCGTAGCAACAACATCCCTCCTAATCTACCACATCTGCCTGCCTCTTCACCCCGACCTTGGCGACAAGATCTCATGGCTCGCCGCAATGGGCACGCATGGCGACCTCGGAACGACACTTAAATGGAAGCCACCATTCCCCGATATGACCGCCACCTTCAAACGCTTCCCCAAGAAAGCCATCAACGACGCCGTCAGTCTCGTCAACGCCCCTCGCCGGTCCGTAGCCTACAACGTGCGCGACGCCTGGGACGCCGTGCTCTCCGCCTCAGACCCAAAAAGTATCAAAGCAACAGAGAAACTGCATGAGGCCTCATTCGAAGTGCGCCGCGAGACCGAGCGCTGCACACACACCGCGCCCAAGTTCTCCGCCGATGCGAGCATTTGCGTCCTGACGATTAGCTCGGCCGCGCAGATTCACCCTGTCATCGCGACCCGCTGGGCGGGACACCTCAAGTCGAATAAACTCGAGATCGTGATGTGCGCTAACGAAGGCTATCTCCCGGACAAAGTGAATTTCTCGTGCCGCATCGCTAGAGTCGCGCGAAGTCGGGAGGGCGATGAAAAGGTTGACATCATCAAGCGTTTGGAAGGCATTGTGGCGGAGCATCCGGAGCTGAGAGAGAGGTTGGGTCAGAGCTTTGCGAGGGGGCACAAGGAGGCTAGTGGAGGCATTGTGGGGAGGAGGGAGTGGGAGGAGTTGAAAGGGATTATGGGGCTGGATGATAGTAAGACGAAAAAGAAGAAATTGGAGAAGAGGGGTGGGACATCGCCGACGAAGAAGATGCCTGCACAGAAGAATACGCTCGCGAATTATTTTGCGAAGTCATGAGTTGGGTTATCTGAAAATATCTCCGGGCGCTTAGAGGCAAGTCTTTCGATACCATGGGTTCTGCTATGCCAATGCAGAAGTAAAGAGCGATTAAAATACCCGAGAAGAAAATACCACGTCCGCCGTAGCGTCTATCCTCATGAACTCGTAGGCAGAAACGCAGGCGCCAATGGATCCAACGACCTTGCGCTCTGCACGTGCACATCCGGCCTCTGAAAATTCCTAGGATGCAGAATGAGATGCGACGCAGCTAGAGCTGCAGTGTTGGCAACTTTACATCCCGATCGCTCATCCCTGAGGCTCTGACTGCTCCGATATTGCAACTTCCCAAACCACTCCCTGCCGAACTGCGGCGTATACAACTCGTTCAGCCCAGGATCGCGGAGCCTCGCATACAATTCCGGAGGTCTCTCAGCTAGACTCTGAACATCTTCCGCGACTTTCGAATCCCCCACTCGCCTGCTGAGCGCTCTGACGCATGCGTACACATACCTATCGTTCTTGCCCAGGCATGTCCACATGGTCTCGATCTCGATCGCGAAGATCGGGCGTCCGGACGAGAACTGCTGTGTGATTGCGATGTCCAGACGATGAGAATCCCTATGCAACTTGAACAGCTCCAGGGTCCGAGCGAGCGAGCAAGTGACGAAGAGATTGTTGGGTATCCGGAGCGGTTTCATGGAACACATTGTGCCGAACTTGCACGCTCACACCATCCAAGATACCAGGACTTTGAAAGCGGTAGTACCGGTGGCTCTTGGTGGGAGGACGAGCTTCTGCTCTGTCGGTGGACCGCGCCAGGCGACGTTATCTGAGCGTTGGAAGGTGCGGATGAATTTGCTTACTACCTCACGACCGAGGAATAAAACCAGTAATTTCTTCAGAACAGCGCGACAGAACACTTAGCTGGTTCTACCGTCTATTATATCGACCTGGAGGCCGCTAAGGGCGTTGATTATGCGTTCAGGTGAGATGTGGGGCAGTAAGGAGTGTAGAGCGTGGAGGTGGCGAATAGTCTCCGGATCGGGATACCACCGCTGAGAGTTGCCATGCCGGTATAATTCATAAGAATGTTCAGATAGGTACCTCGAAATGTATGCCCTTCTGCTGCGTTGAAGTAGTGTGGTGTTGGGGCCTGGAGGGCTTCCACGCTGGCTACTGTGCATCTCTCCGTGCGAGGTATTGTCCTACAACGTCGTTCTGAGTGTAAATGCCGCCATAAATCATAGACTTGAAGCCTTCCAGGTTCTCCTCTCCAGGTGTAACCAAAGCATAATTCGGACCATACCGACCGGTCGTGACCATGTCTGAGCTGGTTTGGCAACAGCGAGGTGACAGCGATAACGACGTGATACCAGTTTGGGAGCCAAGAGACACTGATGTGACTGAAGATGTGCGTTCGTGATCTTCTGGGTCTGTAGTATCGTTATGAAGCGAGGGGCCGGGAGTTGTGAACATCATAGCTAGCGATAATTGCAGGTTGGTGTAAGAGAGATGGAGGGTAAGGTTACCCAACGTTCGCTATAAATCTCTTCATCCACATGAAAACCTCCAGACTTAATCGTCACTTCCGTAGTGAAGTGAAAGCTGCAATTGCCCGACTGAGAACGGACAAACAATGCTGGTATCACGTGCGCAAAACCCCCTTGCCAGCAATTGAGCCAGCGCAGAACCTTTGACCTGCGAGACTCACACTGCTGGTCAGTAACCGAATCTGGATAGCTCAAATAAGTAACGTAAGTGTTGGAGAGGTAGCCGCGTTGATGATCACCTAGACCATACTGTTGTCCCGATGCAGAGAACAGTGCTGATGATACATCGGGTCGCCAGTCGGCCTTGCCACAGCGTCGAGGGCTCTTGGAGTTCTTGGTCCCAAGTTGCGGGTTGTGGATATGTACCTCGGCTTGAGGTTGTGCCTGAGCAGCTAGGTCTGAGGGCTTACTGTGAGTTGACCCTGCCTCGATGCAGGTGGAGTCTTTCCTCCGCACTATGCAGTGCTCTGGTGTATTTTTCGCAGCTTCGAAGGTTGCCGCATCAGAACTTAAGTCTGCATCATATATGGATGATGTGTCTAGCTCGCTTCGGTTCCTCATCTTGATCGACAAATAGTAAGGGCTGCCTGGATGATATGTTTGATGTGAGCTGGTGAAGATACTTTAGCTTTTAAGGTAGACGCATAGAGATGGCGCACTGGTTTCCCAAATTCAATATGGGAGGGTAGTGAAAGACTTGCTTGATCTCCCAGCCCCTTCACCTTTGTAGATATTCGTGCCATGACATTGTACGGCGATGGCTCTTGGACTTGGAGCGCATTTACAGCAAGAAAGCGAAGAGATCGTTGAGATAGAGAGCCTGATGACGCCTACGTATAGCATCTTAGCGCCTCATAATTATTATAGGAGACGTTGAAGTTGCCTGTTTGTGGAGAAGTAGAAGTCGTAGGCGTCGGGTTTGTAGGACTGTGACGTCACGTGTGGGTTTGAACCTCCACACATCAACACCGCGTGCTTGTGCACGCTTCGTCGACGTTCGGCGTGCAAAGCCATCCGAGAACCTACATTTCAATAACTCGGATGTTTCGGAATCGAATCTGCAACCATTCCCGGGTCGGAATCTCGTACATGCGTGTTAATTTATTGCTTGCATTGCTTCCCCGCACTCCACCAGACGCCTGATCTTCCACAGCAGCATTGGCGAGGCTCCCCACTACACCTGCTTGAGAATGGGTTTTGGCCGAATTTTGCTGGGCAGGCTGACTTACATTTCTGAATCGCCGTGGAGCCGCGATCTTGCGTATTCTTCGGCTGGGCAGGCTTGGATGACGACGTTGCCATGACTCTAGCTCCAAGCCAACACTTTAACAAGCCTTTGCTGTTTTTGTGGGAGACCTGCTTCAAGCATACACGTCAGTGGTTACGATTATCGGCTCTAGGCAACACTGAGTACCAAAACACGAGTTTCCCGTGTACAAAATTGACTAATCAATTAGGTAGTTTTCCTGGGAAAGTCTCGAAAGACAAAGATACTGCTCGTGAGAAAAGCCATGTGTTGAGCCAGAATGAGGCGAGAACGAACACGACTAGTCTGGCACTTGTCTCATGGTTTGCAGGGCACGAAAACATCTGTACATATCCAGTCGTGATGACTTACGGATACTTCGCTTCCCCATTCCCTGCTTCTGACCATGAGCATACATCGTAGCATGGGCCGCATTTCTTGGGCAACATGACTTGGCGACCACCGAAGGACCGTGCTGACGACTATACTACTGCCATGTGGTATAAAGAGTCAAGTCCTTTCATTACACATCGCTCAAGGGCTTCGATCGCTTATCCCAAGGGCCCAGGCCTTCTCTTCGCCGCGTTGATCGGACACCATTCTAGCTAGTCTCAAGCGCAAGCAAACCCTCACATCCTTTACCATGCCACACTACTCGGCAGGGCGGGCGTTTCTTTGGGCTCTATTCACCTCGTCTACATTGTTTAGCACGGTCGTAGCGTGGCCAAATTATAATTTGCACAACTCTAGACATGCGAAACGTCAATCCTCTGGGGAGACCCCTCCATCCGGCGGCGCCGAGGACGACCCATCGTTCAATGAAGAGTACGACTTCATCATTGCGGGAGGGGGAACGGCGGGTCTTGTACTTGCGAATCGATTGACGGAATCAGGGAGGTTCTCAGTGCTTGTACTAGAAGCTGGCCCAGCCCCGGAGCAAGTACGCGCATATGAGACACCGGGCGGCAATCAGTTCATCAAGGGTAGCGTGATTGACTGGGGCATCGATACCCAACCGCAAAGGCATCTAAACAACCGCACACTGCAGTACCTTCGAGGACGGACTCTAGGCGGATCTAGCACCACTAACGGATTGTACTATGCTCGTGGATCTTCGGTCGTGTACGATCAGTGGGCCGAGCTCGGCAATCCAGGCTGGAGCTGGAACGACACATACGACTTGTTCCGCAAGAGCACAAAGATGAACCCGCCAAACTCGACCAATGACCTTGCTGCCTTCAGCCAGGAGTTCAAGACATTCGATGCTAGCGCTTATGGAGGCGGTCCACTCGAACTTGGCTTCCAGGGCTACGTGCCTCCCTCTACGGATGGGTTTATTATTGCTTGCTCCGAAGCATTGGATATTCCCATTGTTCAAGACCTCAACACTGGTAATGCTGTTGGCATTAAGCATGGAACAGCCACTGTGAACAATAGGCTACGAAGGAGCAGTAGCTACGACAGCTTCTACCAGCAAGCTCGAAATCGCACGAACCTGAGAGTCCTCCACGATGCTCCTGTCACAGGCATTGTGATAAGCACGCCTCCCGCCAGCAACAGCACTTCGAATATGACAGCCAACCCGCGTGCTCTCGGTGTCAGCTACATCGATCAGCGCACTGGCTTCGTCAGTCAGGCCAGGGCAAGGAATGAAGTCATTGTCAGCATGGGTGCCTTCCACTCACCTCAGCTGCTGATGGTCTCTGGCATCGGACCTGCTGCAGAGCTTGAGAAAGTCGGCATCGAGCCCGTCATGATCAATGAGAATGTGGGTCAAAATCTCAACGATCATTCGGTTTTCAGCATCATGGCACGTGCCGAGCCCAGTGCTTCCACAACTGAGATGTCGAGCTCGCCAGAGAATCTGCGTGAAGCACAGACTCTGTTCTACACGAATTTGACGGGCCCGTACACTGCACCTTCTGGCATCACGAATGGTTTCCAAAGACTCACGGAGCAACAGCTCCGCGACATCAACGCCTCAGCCGTCATCGATGCCGGTCTTGCCAACCAGGCGCACATCGAGTATTTGTTTGAGTCGGTCTGGTACCCATGGATTCCAACACCATTCTGGGCTCCTCTTCCGAACGAGTCATACATCTCAGTAACGGCTTCCAGCATGGTCCAATTATCCCGTGGCACCGTAACGCTGCGTACAGCAAGCATGTCAGACAAGCCGCTTGTGGACTCCAACTACTACGCTCATCCGACAGACGGTGCGATCGGTATCGCCTCCTTCAAGTTCCTCCGCGGAATTCTTCGCCACCCCGCGCTCCAACAGTTCACCATTGGTGACTTCAATGGCGAAGTAAGCCCTGGCCCAGCTGTCGCGGACGATGACGATGAAGCGATCTTGAAGTATATTAAAGCGAACACCATTCCCAACTGGCATGCCACTGGCACCAATCAGATGCTGCCACTTGAAGACGGAGGAGTAGTAAGCCCGAGGCTACAGGTCTATGGTGTGGATGCACTGAGGGTCATTGATTGCAGTATTGTGCCTGTGTTGCCAGATGTCAACATCTTGGCAGCAATTTACATGATCGCTGAGAAGGGTGCGGAGATGATCAAAGAGGATTGGGAAGATATCGGGTTTGAAAAGAGGCATGAGTAAATTTAGCAAGGTATTACGCAGTAATTTCACGCCGGATGGTTCAGATTGAGTGCTCATATCCATGCCTTCCAAGTCCCAACAATCACAGTCAGCAAAAGCCCTCTCACCTCACCCTGCATGGCACCATCCGGTTCTTGAAAGCTCCATGGGCCGCACTGGCCAATCAAGTAGACAACTCTAGCTCGCTAAAACAAACGCACTTTTGTTTTCCTGTGGTCTCGGCACTACTACATATCCAGTAAGTAAGGAAGCGACAACAACCTTGCTGAATCACTAACACTGCTTCTCAAATGCCACGTTCTCCCTCGTCATGATGCAGATTGTAACATCGGGCCTAAAATTCCTACCCAATGAGTTGTTGGACTGCGTTTCAACCCTACTCGATCGCCCAAGCCTCTACGCCCTGTCTCTGGTGTGCAAAAAGACGGCTACTTCAGCGAATGTGGCGTTGTACAACGAATACGCCAACAATGACCCGCCATCTGAAACTCCTTTCCATCTGTTCCTACGTACCATGTGCGAGGTACCCCATCTCGCTTCGCTCGTGAAGCGAGTCCATGTTCGCGGTTGGCGCTCAGAATTTGAGGTCGGAACCGGCGCTGCATGGAGAGGTGTCACTACCTTCCCGGACGTACCAAAGAACGTGACGCCGCGGGGCAAGCCTTCGTTCTCATCCGTTGACAGAGCTCCTAAAGTTGCCTCAAACCAGTTCGAAGTCTTTCTTGAGACGGCCATACGATCTGGCCTGATCGAACGACCGGCTTTGACTACCCCCACAGTGGATCCTCTCAAACCCAGGCTACGATGGGATAAGGTTCTAAACAAGGATGAGGATTTCGCGCGTCTACTCAAACGCGATGTTGAGGATGCACACTTCGTCCTATTGTGCGCCCTCCTACCCAAACTGGGCCGCCTCACCGTCGGTGGGCTGTCACTTTGTCCAATGTTGGATTGGTACACCTTCCTCTATAGCTCCGAAGGTGCACTGCAGAATGTAGGCAGGCTTGCTATCTGTGGCTCCCTTCCGTGGCCAGGAGAGCCCGTACTGAAGACAACTATGCAGGTACTGGATATCCTCCCCAACCTGCAGCTGCTCTACCTTGGGAACATGAGCGTATAAGGACATCGACACGCCACGAAATCACTTGCGATAACAAGCTTCCGTGAAAGCTTTCTCACCAACTGTGCAATTCGTCATCGCCTACTCAAGAAGCTGTTCGCCGCTCAGAAGCTTGAACGTCTGTTCTACATCCCCAATCTCCAGGCGATTGACACAGTCGATACTGGAGCTGCTTTCAGTGAGGCCCAGCTTACACATATGCTCGGATCATCAAAGGATACCTTGCGCCACTTGACACTGTATTTGATCGTGTTCGACGAGAAGCCTCGCACCGGAGCGTATGCTTGTCTTGAGTACCTCTGCATACCCCATGTCAGTCTTCTGCCGCAATCGAAGAGCACTCCAAATCCCGACGCTGTCTCAGGACTTCTTCGTCTGTCATTGCCTCGTTCTCTTCAGCTCTTGGTACTCGGGCATTGCGTGTCAGCCCTTCCCATGAGAGTATCGTTGAGCAGTTGGTCAATTTCAAGACTCAGTGGTAGGTCCCTAATCTGACGGTCATTGATCTGGCCTACGTACCCGAGTTACATATGTATGGGTTGAACATCGTCTCATGGGTCGACACAGTCAGGAACAGATTCGAGGACATGTTATTGAAGGCAGGGATCGCCCTCAAGGTTGAGATTGAAAAGTTCTAGTTTGAACGGCGCCCACTGGATATGAAGGCGCAAGCTTCGAGGCTCGGAACCTTTGGGAGTGATGGCTGCGACTGCGCTACAAGCAATGAGAGTGGCCTGCATGCTTTGTGATTCGAGCTTTTAGATTAGTGTCGAGGCTCATCACAATATTCTTGGGGGATTCAACAGAGCCTTAGTATCCTGGTGCAAAAACACTAAAGGACTGCATTCCAATAGGTAGCCGCTTCGCGTGGACGGCGTAGCGAGAGATAATTTGCGGAATCGAAGTCCGCGTTGAACTATGGCCTCATGCGTGATCGCAATTTCTCAGAAGAATGCGAATACCTTGAGAACACTATCATTTAAACATAGAACCTTAGAGACTCGGTTCTGAGCGTTCCTGTGGTGGTGTTCTTGTTACCGACTGCTGGTGGCTGTCGCGGTGCATCGTTTCTGCGCGATCCATGCGTGCGGAGCTGGAGACGCGGCCGGCAGTCTCACTTGGCACTCTCCACCACCACCTTCCTTCACTCCATTCTACCTTACAGATACCGACCCTTGCAATCGTCTCAGATAGTAATGCTGCTGGAATAGCGCTGCTTGAATCGCATGCGATACCTAGATGCAGCACAGCCCAGAAGCTGGGTTGCGAGTCTGCGACGATCTCGCCGTTTGCGCGTGCCATCTTCCTCACTGAGGAAGTTCGACAATGCACTGGTTTCCCGTTCAAGATCGTCAACGCCGCCCCTACTCAGACGCGAACGGGCTCAACTTTGACTCACACTCTGCGCATTCCAGATCTTCTGCGGCTTCACCCATCGCTTTTGTGAGCTGCGAGATGTTTTGTCGCCCTTTTACTTCACGGTGAGGTCGCGCTGTACATTGCGAAGGATTCTAATGGACCGTGCACGTACCTAAGCCTTCACCCGGATCAGGCCTTCTACGCCGGCAGGCTGAATGAGCAGAGTCTCATAATTGAGGTTGCGACCTGGAGCTATACTCGTAGGTCTGCTATTTGCGCTGTCGTCTTCCCGCCCCTCAGCTGTTATATGCAGTTGCGCATCAAGCTTGCATCATCTTCTCTCTGGATGCTATGGTTTCCATAGGCGTTATTCGCCTCCTCACTTTTGCAGGAATGATCTCGGCTCTTGCGATTCGCAATGAGCGTAAGTATACGAGAGCGCCCTTGCGCATACATCTCGATTCTCCTGTACCCAGTGCGTAACCGTATGCTGACCATCGCGCCACAGCACAGTTTAATTCAACGGTTGAGACGGCCCCAGCCACAAACACTGATGTGCTCCCTGCTTGGTTGATGACTATCTCCTGGAAGCCGAAGGTCCACGGTGAAAGCAGTGCAGATGGATGGGAGACAAGTACGGCAGGAAGCAATAGCATAGTTCGCATTGGAGCTACGGTCAGTGACTTCGATCTGACGGTGCCGACTACCAAAAAGAGCCATGGATCCATAGCTTCCGTCGCGACCGTCGACATCGGTACCATCATCCAGACTCTTGTCCCATCTACCACATGGGCCATTCCGACCGTGCACTTTGAGGAGTCTGCTTCTGGTTGGGATGACGTGAAATCAACAGTACACTACGAAAGCTCTGCAACAGGGTTTGGAGGTACAACTTCCGAGACCGCACACTGGGAAAGCTCTGCGACTGGCTGGGATCAGACCGGTCATCACGACTTGGTTCCACAGAGCACCAGAGTCAAGACCGTGGAATTGACTGACGACTCATGGACCAAGAATCTACAGCCATCGCAGACGGTAGCGCCAGCTGGACCGCAAATTACGAATGTGCCCAGCAAGACTATCACAGACTTCCCGCCACCTCCTGCCATCACACATGACGGAGTAACACTCCACCTCGTTGCTGTTACGCGCAAACCGACTGTCACTCTGCCAGACGGCTTAGTGAAGTCGAGTTTCAAGTTGCTGTAGGGTCTTACACACTCAGCATAGGCAACCCAATCACCATCAGCAATATTGTGTTCGAACTTACAACAGACACAGTCGGGTCGACCATCTTACACGCCGGAGATCTGACGACAACACTTCCACAACCCACTGCTGGCGAAAGTCGCACAGTCGCTGGGGACAAACCAGAGCGGCCCAGCATTGTGACTGTCGTGATTAATGGAACAACTGAATAGGTCCTTGCCGGTCAAACGCTCGCGCCTGGGCAGCCTGTGACTATCGGTGGCACTCGGTCTCCATCACTACGAGCGGTGGTGTGACGGTGCTCTGTGTCGGCGATAGAACGACCACGTTACCAGCTGCAAGCGATATGCAGACTCTTACAGACCGAAATACCATCAGTGCCGGTACTCGGGAAACAGCTGCGAACGCCGAGTCTGCAAGTGCCGTTCCTACAAGCAAGAAGTCAGGATCTTCTGCGGCGAGAAGGCTCGACGTGACTTTCTGTCTACTCCTTTGTGGATATGATAATGTTTGCATTCACGATCTCACTGTGAAGAGGATATATTTTCGAAGCAAGGACGTGAATTCGTTACAACGTGAGTCCACCTAGTAGACCTGTTGCGCACAGCGTATAGGAAGAAGACGAACCCCAACAATAAGCTTGTATAGAGGGGCCGAAGAGAAGAGAAGAGAAAGTGGTGCCGTCTAGGCACGGTCGTCAACAGCAATCCTGCCAGCAATGCTGCGCTTCAGGGAAGCCTCGCCGCTGCACAAGTCCATATAAAGATCCATATCGGTACCTTGGCCAGGGCAACCAAATACTGGGTCTGCAAGACCCAGTTTCTGCGTCGGAACATCGACGTAGTAGATCTGCGTTGGGCAATAGCTTCCAGCGGCGCAGTTGGCAGTTTCGCAGGCCGAGGTGGAGCCAACTATCGAAAGGCCTTCATCATGGCCTGGACAGGAGCTCGCATCCTCGCCGTTTGCGCAATCGACGAAAGAGATGTCGTACCAGATGCTACTATCGGCAATGCTGTACTCGAATTGTGTCTGTTGCCCGTCTACCAACTGATCGCTCTTACTGATCTTGAGCGAGGAACCGCAGCCCTCGCAGGCGCTGCGAATGGCCTCAGTGTACTTAGAACGAGCAGGAACTTGGACTGGACCAGAGGAGGACCCCTGTTGGACGCTCCAGAGCCAGATGTCGTAGTTGCAGCGGTTGCTCACGACCGCGTTGCCCAATGCGGCCGCAAGGCCAGCTTGCAGGGCGGTGGAGAGAAGGATAGCCTTAGCCAGCATGTTTGATGTTTGAAAGAGTTGTTTTCAAGGAGTGTAAAAGTGCTCAATTTGTGACGTGGACCCGTTTTTTGAGAGGCAGAGATCGATGGGTAATGATCGAGGTCGCAGTTCTTTGATTAGAACCAATAACAAGGGTGTGTGAAGAAGTCAAGAAATGACTATGTCGAAGTCGAAACCTCAGAGACAAAGAGTGTGTGTAGTCGTCAACGACTGAGTGTTATTGGGGAAAGAGTATTACGAGGCATCGCATGCCCTTTTATCTAAATATGCCCTTTCATTCAAGTATGGAAGATGGCCAAAGCATCTCTCCTCCGTCGGCTGATGGCCGCACGCGAAGACGCGGCGAGGCAAGAACAAAGACAATCGGGCCTTGTCCGGCCAGACGTGCAGCATAGCCAGTGCTACTCGACGTGGTCTCAGGACTGGCTGCGCATACAGGACCCAGGTGTTCTCAGTCTCTGAATGGTCAGCTATACTGCAGCGGATGCTTCCGAAATGAGTAGGAAAGTCGTTGGCTTCACATGCTGTGGTATTGTGGGGGCGTTTTTCGCATTCACGAGCGGCAGATTTTACGCACCACTGCAAACATTTCGCGAACTCAAAAATTTCTGCAAAGAAAGGCTTTTTCTTGGTGGAGAAATAGAAGACTGATCGCAAAGCCGTCAAAGACGATGGCTCAGGTTCTCTGTCGAGTGGGGTCCTTCAGAAATCGTGCTCCTTTGTGACGTGGAATGGCACGCTTAGTAATGGATAAGGTGGACCAAAAGAGCGCAGATGACAAGAAGCCCACAAATGAGACACGTACCATCGACAGAGAATCCACCTTGATGCTATTTGTCGTCTGCTAAGCCTCTGGAATGCTGAGGACTGGACCAAACCGCGTGCGTCATGGCTGACAACAATGTCCGGTAGTGCTTGCGTGGACGCAACGTGGAAGCCGCACACGGTGAGACGTGCATGTCTAGAACATCAGCATGGCTCGGTGTTTTCGTGGAGCCCACCATTACGATGCTAGAGTGATCGGGGTAGACCAATGGCAATCTCGAGGGTAGTACAAGCTGATGTACGGCCCTGAAACATAGGCGTAGTGATGTTTCAGTCAGTTGACAATGTCTGGCAAGCATCATGGAAGGCCCTTCCGCTGTCAGATAACGTGACCATGAGGCCACATTCAAGTCGCCGGCACCCAAAGTGCAACCGGCACGAACCATATCAGGTTTGAGAAGTGGCACCAATGTCGGCGTTGTGCTGCTGTTGAGCTTAAGCTTGCAGTGTCCAGAAGCACGCAGAATTGCAAAACAGGCCCCTCAACACAACTTCATCTCATCCAATGCTGTAGCGATTTTGGCTCCATGTCAAACATGCGACAAACGAAACATCACGGGCGGCGACATGGTCCTGGTGACGCGCGCGCGTACTGTCCGCAGCTGTCCCCACACATTTTGACAACAACTCGATATGCGCCATCCACGGTCTCCCCAGGGAGCTTGGAGTGCTTCCAAAAAAACTCACACTTGACGCTACCACCTTGGGGAATATCCTCTTAAACCTGGAGGCTCAGAAGAAACTGCCCGTCCTTGCTTGGTTAGGTCGCCCTGATCCAGCATTAATACCTACGCAAGCATATTGCAGACCGCCGAATGTTGGGCCGCGACCTGCCCAACGCATGCAAGTCTATGGACAGTCTCTCTCAGTGGCGACTTCTCAAGCGGCCGGTGTCAACAGCCTACGATTCGAGGTCGTCCACATGATGACTGTTGTCGAAGGTCCGGCGAACCCTCGTCATAATGCAGAGTGGACGCGCGTAAAGCACACTGTGCAAAGTTTTTGCGTGCAGGAAGCGAGTCGTCCGGAGTTTCGGCCACGGCAGTAGTGGATCCAACAGCTCCAACCGGAGGCGTTTTGACAAACTGTCAACGGCGATGGGCTGAAAGGCGATCATCGGTAGGCGTTACCGAGTCTTGGGATGCACTACTGCAGGTCCTATCTAATCGATAGGAGTCTTATCCTCCACACTTGTCACAATTCCGGTGTCTCAACTCATGTCGATCGACAGTTTGACGATCGTGCTCGTCTGAGACTTCAAAGTCGAGACTCAAGACTGAGCAGAACTTGCCAGGCCGGTGAGGAGGCCGTTTGGGCATGATACGTTGGAAAATACCGCAGCATTGCGTACATACTCCGAGAACCCCGATCAAATCATGTGCATGCACTACGAAGATTCGACGTAAAGAAATTATCGTGATAGGTCCGTCGACGGAAAAGTCGGCCAGGTTGCAGAAAGAGCACTCAATATGAAAGCAAGTCTTCCGAGTCAGCTCTATCGCAGTCGAGAGATTGACACGTAACACTCCTGCTGTGCGACTCAACTTCGAAAATGGTCAGGAGCCTCCAGCCACTTTCAGATCTCAAGTGAAATCGGTTTGCTCAGTGCTGCCTCAGGCACGGCCAGAATCCGGTACTTCATCTTGCAGGAGATGAGGTCTGAATAAACAAGTTGGTGCGACAGCGGGGAGCAAGATTAATTTTGAGTGGGCCATGCCCCTCAATATCGCCAGATGACAACTCGCCGCATCCCAGGCTTCAACAGGTCGAGAGATGACGTATTTCGTGGTTGACAGGGCTCTCAGGTCATCATTGTTGGCACCGCCATCCGTTGCACAGCATCAGACGACTTTTCGTGAGCGACAGCTGCCAAGCCACGTGTCGGATTACCGCTTGGTGATCAACGGTGACACAGCGCCTCGCTCAGCGCAGCGTCATGAAGCGCGCTGCGGTGTTGTTTCGTGTTTGCTGTCGTCCTCCGGCTCGGCTGCAAACTACCACGACGGTCTGCCACAAAACATGTCCCTCTTCCCCTGCCGACGGGACCTTCAATCCTCGAGGTTCCACGTTCCATCGTGTCCGTCCCGTGTGCAATCCCATCGTGGATCCACGTGTAAACGCTCGATCTTGAGTCTCGAACCTCTTCGACAATTACGCACAGACGGGAAATTCATCTCCGCCACCTGCCGAGACCGCAGAGCCACACCGGTGTTGAGCGTCCATAGCATCCAGGCTGAAACCAAAGGTTGCTGAATCGGACAGCTGTGCACACTTTGCACAAGCGTGCAGCAACGGAATAAGGTGCAACGCTAGCTGTTAATCTGAAACGCGACCCTGTCCGGACTACAAAAGTCGTGCGAGCGACCAATGAACAATGTGCTACGGCGGGAAATTCACGAGGACTTTCCTTCTCAAAGTTAGCGCCTCGTCTGGACTTCCTGATCCGCGCGTTTTGTGAACGCACTTTGTGTACTTACCCCTGCGCAAGCCCATGATCGTCTGCGGTTACCCCTGATGTCCCCTCAGGTCCGGCTTTGTCAACGAGGCAACAAACCGAAGCGCCAATGAAGCAGGGAGAACGCGATTCAATTGTTGTGCTGAACTTGTCAGACATTCCACTGCGTCAGAAGCCGCAGCCCAGTCCCTTCAAAAAAAAAGAGTAGGACTTCAAAACAACGAAGGTGGTCAGGCGCACATCAAGGCGGAAGGCAACGAACGTCAAGCCGCAGATAATGAGATGAAAGGACCGAATCTGGTTAGCACTGACTCGGTGGGGTCACAGTCTTTCGGCTGAGGTTCTTAGGCCAGGCACAGGTGCATCTGCGGAGACTGGGGCCGTGGCGCTCGCATTCATCTCGCGCAAGCGCGGCACGGTCTTAGCGCGATGTGCGTATAAAGTATGTGATCCCCTCCCGCCATGGCTTATAGATCCAGGTCTGCGACTTCCAGGTTATCGACGAATACACTCTCTCCAGTCACTCTTTGACATCACGTTCTCTACGCCCTTCGGCAACACATTCACTCAACCCAAAACTTCAAAAAGCATTTCGTCAAACCGACCAGTCCACTCAGTCAATTCATCACCACCTCAACAAACATCATCAAAATGCGCTCCACTACTGCCATCCTCGCCCTTGCCGGCTCTGCTCTCGCAGCTCCCCACTGGTCCCAGCCCGAATACAAGGAGGTTCAGAACGTTCACGTCGTTTACGAGACTGTCGTTCACACTGTCTACTACACCGAGGACCAGGCCCAGGCCGCTAAGCCCACCAAGGCTTCCACCACCCCCTACCAGACTCCTGTCGTGACCACCACCGTTGTCTACCAGGAGAGCACCCCCGCTCCCGCCGCCAGCACTGTTGTCGTCGAATACTCTCAGGCCCCTGTTCCCACCACCAGCGAGCCTGCCGCCACCTCTACCGCCCCTGCTCCTTCTTCCACCGCCTCCGGCTACCAGGCCATTGTCGACACATGGCGTGCTAAGATGGGCCTGAAGGCTCTTACCAATGACGCCAAGCTCGAGTCCAACGCCATGGACACCGTGGTCTCTTCGAACGGCCAGATGGTCCACAAGCTTAACCCCGGCTCTTACGGCCAGGTCCTTGCTCCCGGCAACGCTGACGACTTCGAGCACGTTTTCGTCGGCGGCTGGCTCTGCGAGATCCCTACTCTCCCCGGTCTTGACGGTGTCTGCGCCACTCAGTCCGAGGGCTGGGCCTACGCCGGCCAGACCGGTCACGCTGAGATTCTCACCTCTGACAACTACTCCAAGATCGGCTGTGCTCTGTACGCCGGTATCTGGTGCTGCGATCTCGCTTAAACGATTCACGCATCATGGAGATGAGATATCCGGGGGAGTTGGAGGCATCATCTTGGCTTGGGAAAGCTCGCATAGCACGCGCTGGACAAACTTCACTTCTTCACTTGTATCGTACGTTGGTTGTACGTTTCTTGTTCACCTTAGGGGCAGTATTGCGCTGCAATTGACTATTCATGAATTATGACCCCAATTTGCAAATCACCTACTGTGTGACATGACGTGTGATATCATCTCAACTGTCATTATCTTCCAGCAAACTAACCATTCGACTACCTTCTCAGGGTCCAGTTTCCAGACAGAATTACTCGCAGCGTTTGACTGTTGGAATAAAGAGGACGAGCCTAGCACCCCTGACGAAGACCCCAGCGGCTGCGGAAATGAGCGCGTCAGACGCCTGGGCAACCGAGGCCCATGCGCAACATCGATCGTATTTCGCAGGCCAAGCGTAGCTGATTCGATAGCTCCTGCCACATCAATGAAGCCTCGCGCCATCCCATTGAACACGAGCTGAGCGACAGAAATAGGGCCATGATGCGCAATGCGCTGCGCACGCCAGAGTCGTCGGCACGACGTCGTGCCAAACACCCCGCAGAGAGCCCATATTGCTGTATTCATGGTATTGCACAACGTGTGGTTGTGCACAGGATTTGCAAAACCTTCCAGCAAGCGCCTCGGCACCATGGGGGACGAAATGCCACCGATATCCCAGCGACGTGCTCGCCCGGCATGTTCATCGCAATTTCCAATCTCAATGTCTCATTTACAAGACTGATGTCTGGACTCTGGTCAATCTGTCGTCCTTGTCGGTGATCATTACACGCTCAGACGATGAGCACATGCATGCAGAAGAGCCTCCAGGGTGCTTTCCGGTTTCCGGGCAATGGAGATTGTCGCAGAGAACTAGCCTTATATAAGCAGCCTAATTAGGAGTACAAGTACAGTCTATATTTTGCCACTTTTTAGCTGTGTCAGATTTGAATTCGATGTCCCATCGGTCTAGACTGGAGTGATTTGCAGCAACGAACCTTGACGATCCGCACCTGAGATCCAGAGTCTAGTTGTGAAGCAGTGCCGATGGGTTCTGCGACGCTGCCATACTTATTGTTTTGGTCGCGATGCGATGCTTTGGAACGTCGTTCATTGTTGTTATCACTTCTGACGTCTCTGTGCACATGGTCACCATCTGTATAGGTTGATTGGCTTCCGTCTAAGCAATGTAGTGATTATGCAAAACTTCTACTAACGTTAAAGGGAATCTATAAAAGCAACATTGTAAATAAACGATGACAACAGACCCAACCAGACAAGACCAAATGACAACAGATGGAGATTAAGAAGACCAGTAAAGACGAAACAATAAACAGAAATACGACGCGTCATAACGTAAGCCAAATATCATGATTCATACTCTTCTAGACCATAGCTAAATTTATCAACTGCGCCGTGATACTTGCTCATATGGCGATTACTCATGTCAACTTCCTCGCTCGATGGCTCCTCTTGAGACAGTCAATGTAGCGACACGCTGTCCAATGCCCTTGGGAGAAATGGCAACGCGATTCCGACCATTCCTGTTCTGCTGCCTCCACTGGCGCCGGTGTACTCTCCATCGGTGCATCGCCATCATCACCACCTGCTTCGCCTTCAGTCTTTGCCTTCTTCTGGAGTGGTTTAAAGGGGGTACTTGGTGTCAGCGATTCTCTTTCTCGCCTCCCAATGACAATTTCTCTCGGCTCCGCTGCGGAGCTGGCTTCCGGGGGCTCAGATTCGCTTTTGCCCGCGAGTCTTTCGGCTCTTCTGGCCTTATTTGCTGCTTTATCTCTTTGTCGTCCTCTGCTTTCTACCGACCTTGGTTTGGGTGTATGGCTGTTTTCTATAGTGTCAATAATGTCTTCTTCAATTTGAAGAGCGTGAAATAGAGAAGCGTCAACAAGAAGATCTTCTTGAAGCGAGCCTGGAGGGCTTGTCTTGCTACATTGAGAACAGCTCGGCCCGCGTCGGCTTCCATGAAGGAGGGAAGAGAGACGGGGTATCACTGAGTATGATTACCGGGATGAATCATATACTTGCGGTTCCCAATGACATACTCGACAAGGGCGTAACAAGCAGGACAGGAACTCTTAGACACTTGTAGAATATCCAGTGTGTCCTTGAACTGAGCCGTAACAGCTCGTGGTGGGAGTCTTAAGTGGAGGCTATCAGGATCGGTTAGGTTTACTTTGGCATCAAGATCGACAATCTCGTCTCCGCTTTCTTCAAGAAGGTACAAGGCCATCGTCGTAGCCTCGCAGTGGTAGGTACCACTGTGGTTGACCATCTCCTTACTGTAATCGAAGTATTTCCTTGGCAATCCTCTGCCCATACCTTCGATCTGACCTTCATTCAGGGTCCATTCCGTGATCATATTTATCTGCTGTGGAGAGTGGTCGTTCTGACAGCGTCTTGAATTTTTTGAGGTAGCCTTTAACGAAGACCTGTCGATCCCGATACCTCATTGTTGCCTTGACAAGGTCAATCTTGACGTTTCGAATGATCTGACCGACACGTCGGTCAAAGGTATTAGGCTTGCCCTTTTGCGCCAATGTCGTTATCCCCGAGATGTGGAGACATATCAAGTCAAGCCAAGCAAGAACGGAATCCTCCCAGATGCCTTTACTTGAAACTTGATCGCCCTCCAGCCCACGCTTCTCTTCTTCTTCGTCATTGAGCTTCATCTCGTTTACGGCCCGAATGACGTCCTTGAGTTGGCCGGACTGAGACTCATTCGAGGGCGCGGTTGATCTCTCGTCGACTGCGTTGTTCAATTTGTAGAGAACACTTGGTTCATCAGCTGGTCCTGGTGTCCTTGAGATGTCCACAAACGACCCCGTTTCTGGAATTGACTCTTGAGGCTGTGTTTTTGGACTTGGCTTGGCCATCAGGCTGATGATTTATATAACCTGCTAGAGTTTGCTCCACAGCCGTACCCCGGTTCTATGTACTTCAGCCAGCGAAGAGTAACAGTGCGTGACCAGGTTCCGTGACTGTGAAAAAGCACTTGGTACAATCATACGTAGAGTCCCTTTTTGGTTCCGTCAGATGGAGCCACCTAATGGCAGTGACAATTATTATTGGTACCGAATATGAGACCCACGGCCCCTGACCCCACAGATTGCAAATATCAGGAATTTGAACGAACGGAAGTTATCAGGGGCGCGGATCTGACTGTTTTCAGCGAGATAGGCAAGCTTTGTGCTCTGTTCACATTGGCCACCCGCTCGTCAAAGGCAGTGGATGGAAGCAAACAAAATACGAAGCTTGCAGATTCGCGGGAGAAGGTGGCGGCAAGTTGTGTGAAGGGACTGCTGCATAGACGAGGCGAAAACACTGGACATGCGCTAGTACCAGGTGGAATTGCTGAATCGAGCTCTCACTCAGTCGCGGTGCCTTGATACCGTAGACCGGCAAGTGTGAGGATGCGGCTAGTGTCTATGGAGCAGTCACGCTTCATACGCGTACACGACCTGTGTTACTGACTCGGGTGTCAAGGTGCGCCTTCATCACGAACGTCTACCACGCCATAGGATGGCATCCGTTCCTCCCAGTTGCTATAACACTAGTAACAGGTGGCAACCAAACTCTCGAATATCCTCCAGTGAGGCGAGAAATGTTTGTCCGTCACGCATTCAGGACGTTGGGTCGGTCCTTTTGGCCGTCCTATCTTCGTGTCTAAGAGCCGTTGTTTCGTGATCAATCCAGGCCGGTAGCATGGTGTGCGAATCGCGAAATAGGACTGTTGTTTTCCGTGAAGGCATAAGAAGCAGGATGGCATGGGTGCTAAATCTTGTTCTTTGGCGTTTGTCGATCGTGCCTTCTTCCAATTCGGGTTGCTTGGTACAAGCAGCAGTACTTGGGCCAGCTCTCGCATAAAATCTATGCCATTGCGCCTTGCGCACACACTGCTAGTCTGTCGCCCCTCGTCGTCTGTTGGAGCTCTTCTTATGACCCGGCTACTGAGATAAAATTTGTAGGAAGAGTTTACCTCAGGACGGAGCTCTTGTGTTTTGTCTGCCTGTGCACTGCCACTGATCCAATATGCAGCCTCATCAACAGCGCCTGTGCGAACATGGGCTGACAGCAGATATTACGATACTAAGAAATACTGAACGGAAAAAGAAGGGAGTCAAGAGCTGCTACTGCGCGACAATGCCGTGCCAGGAGGTATTCGGGTCATCCAGTGAGGGAAAGAGCATTTCCAGTCTCGCGCACAATATCTCCACCACAGACGTTACAAACCAGTCCTGGGCATAAGTATTTTCTGTAACCGAGTCGTTGAATAATGGAGGCTTGCCACAGCTATCCCGTCAGCAGTAGTCAGGTCGTTCTGCCATTGCAGAAGCTGTGGCAGTCTCTACGCACCCTTTTACAAGCGTCCAACGGGTCCCCACCACTGTCTGCACCCACAAAGAAGCCACACAGAAACACAGAGTAGTGCGACGTGCATCCGCGACGAAGCTACTCAAGTAAGCTCATCACGTCATGTCCAAGGCGCCCCACGAGCGAACGACAAAGCACAGAAACGCACACCAAAACTTTTGACCGCAGGCAACATCCAAACAAGATCATCATGCGCGATGAGGTGACGACATAAAATGTGTGACTATCGAAGTTTGGACGTCTGGTCGGTGTCTCGACTACCTCCTAGAGTAGATTTGGGGCTCGAGAGTGGCGAGGGAAGTACATCTTCAACTGGAGCACACTGTGGTCTAGCTGCAACCTGATTCAATAACTTTTTATCGTCAGATTCCTCCCATTTTCACAGACATCACATCTACTTGCTACTGTCTTCCACCGTCCATCATCTATAAACCACCGTGGGCGCATATCTGTAACGCGCGCCCAACAACTCCTTCATGAATATATGATGCGAAGGCACCCCATTAAGCTATATCGGCCGTGAACCCATCTTTTATCTTTTTGTGCAATACCCGATGCTCATGAGAAAGTTGCGACCTCGCAATACACCGAAGCGCCGTTGCTCGTTTACTTATGCGAGGTGTATCTGACAGAATAGCAAGAAGTATGATATATGAACAGTTAAACATGCCGATCCGCCCAGTACAGATGCATGGAGCAATGAAAGTGAAGAGCAGCGTGTGTGTGTGTGAACATTATAGTCGTATGAGATCGTTCAAGAGGTCGAGGCCTCGGTCTTTACGCCATCGGTGACAGAGGGAAGAATTTTCGAAGCGAATGTTGCAGAATGTACATGTCCGTCGATGATCGACGTGGAGGTGGAGGGCATTGTGCTACTCTGTGATGACTCCGCTGAGCTTGAAAGGCCGGGTGTCGACGGCACGTCCTCACGAGTCTCTGTGGGAGAGTCGGCGCGATCGAATCGGTTCATCTTCCTTTCGACCTGCACCAGTCAGTATGATCATGGGGCGCAACACTGTATGGTTCACTTACCGATTGGATCTGCTTTCCAGAGATGATCTTCTTTGCTTTCTCCAACTCGGGCTTGAGTGCCTCGACAAAAATCTCGTAGTCAGGGCGAGTGAGAGTTTCGAGCATCTTCTGGATCACGTAGTTGCCGTAACCATCCTTGAGAAGGCTCAGCAGGTTATTTTCGCCGCGTTCGTTCTTCATGATGACAGTCGACACAAGCTCGCCGCGTTCTGCCTCCGATCCACAGACCAAGCAGCGCTCAACAACGTTGCTAGCAAATTTATGTTTGCTGAACATGAGGAATTGGTTCCTGATCAGCGCGATCATCTTTGCGCGATCGTCAGGCAGACCATGCTCAATGACGTGCTGTACAACGTAGTTGCCATAAGAGTCCGTGATGAGCTTGGGGCCGGCGGCGTGCAGTTCAATGAGAATGAACCTACGCTGAGGCTCTGGGATCTTCTCCACCAGTCGTTGGATGACACGGCAGCCGTAAGAGTTGGTTGAAAGATTGTCGATCTGTCCTCTGAAGGAATCCACGATGGGTTGGATGTACTCGATTGGAACACGCTCAACAACCCTCTGGATGACGTGGTTGCCATTCTGGTCTTTCACGGTCTTGAGAACGTCTTTCTCCAACTCTTTGACCATGTCAGCTTGCTGGTCCACAAGTACGTGCTCGAGCGCTTTCTGAACAACTCGGCAGGCGTACATCTGGTTGGACAGTGCGAAAACGTGACCCTTCATCTTCGCAGCCAAGACGCGCTTCTGGACTTGGTCGCCGTGCTCGAAAAACTTCTGGATAACATAGTTTCCAAAGACGTCTTGCATCAGCTGCAACGCATTCTTCTCAAGTTCGCGGAAGATGCGATCCTTCACCTCGCTATTCGCAGTCTCCAACTTTTGCTGGATAAAGCGGGATCCGTGCTGATCTCCAGCAAATTCGACCACATTCTCGTAAATGTCGGTCAGCTCCCAACGCTTGTTCTGCTTGCTCTCTTTCTTGAACGAATCCAGCACAAGACTCATAGCGCCAATGTTGTCTGCCGTCTGCTGCATACGAGGGCCTCTAGGTGCTTCGAGAACCGGCATCATAGGCGCCATCTGAACCATTGTCATATGTGGTGGCAGTGCTGTCATCGGCATACCGTTGGGCATGGCATACTGATAGGCCTGAGGGTTGCGCAATTGATTCATCGGCAGCATATGTTGGTACTGCTGATAGTATTGTGGCGCAACATTGCGTCGTTCCTGCTGGATTTGATATCCAGCCAATTTGTTTTGCACAAGCGCAATGTTGTTGGGATGGTTGAGCCCTTGTTCGCCGCGGTAGGTCGGGTTGAGGTAGTCATGTACAGGGGGTGTGTGAGCGTGCGAATAAAACGGACTTTGTTTGATTGCAGTGTTGCCGTTCGGCGCGCTTCGGGTGTCATAGGTGATCGGGCGGAACTGCACGTTGGGATCGTTGACCTGACCATTGGTGAAGCTGTCAGGTGTGTACGTCCCGTTGCTGCGAAATCCCTGCCCCTCGGGCTGGACTGGCATTTGTACATCCTGATAGTCACGAGGATCGTTCAGTGCCTGACCTGACGGTGTAAAGGCTGGCGTGAAAGCGTTGATGCTGAAGGAAGACCTGTGTGCTCCGAGACGGGGTTCCTGTTCCTGCAGTTGCAGCGACTCACTCTGAAAGGAGCCATTGCGCTCCTGAAAGGGACGAGCAGTATAGGACAAGGATTGCCCCTGGCGTGCGCCCGGCTGGGAGAAACGAGCGAACGAGTCAGCGTAGGGGTTGATGCTGCCCTCGGCACCATGTCTCGAGGGTGGCAGACTGCCACTGCGCGATGCTGCACCACTGGTAGCACCGTAGTGGTCTGAGCCCGTTACACTTCGTCGATCATCGATAGGGGAGTGGACCGCAGCGTCTGGCCAGGCGAAGGCGGTATCAGCACGCTGCGGGCTGAGCTCAGCTTGGCCGAGGCCAAAGCTAGAAAAGCCATTGCTCAGCGAGTCGACGTTGCGCGACGTGAAGTTGTTCGAAGTAGGGTCGAGGAGCGGCTTGAGAGCCCTTGTCCCTTGTCCATGGGTTACTGATGCATTTCGCGAGACCGAGAAGAGCGAGGATGAGTTGTCGCTGAATTGCGGTGTGTTCTGCTCTTGTGCAACTGAGCGCTTCCTCGCAGGTGACACGCCGGCATTCCTGATGTGGGCATTGTTTCCCCAAGCATTGCCTTGACGGCTCTGCTTCCAATCGGATTCGTAGGACGGGAGGAGAGAGCTGGAGCCTGTCTTGCCCTCTGAGATGTCTGCAATCGCACCAGGCAGGGCATTGCTGTCTGGAAACATGTCAGTGTCTTGCCTCAAGACGGGATATGCTGCTTAGAATCGTGCATACCTCTGGTTCGTGATCCATCTCGAGGCGTCGAGCCAAAGCCAGACCCTACCGGCTTCGTGTTCCAGATGCTGTTGCCCCATGTGTAGGTCGAGCGGTCGTTGTCTGTGTTATTGAGTGAAATGCCACCTGCGAAGTCGCGGTTTCTCGTCTGAAGCCAGCGTGTTAGCTTTTACGAGCAAACTTCAGTTTGGCGAGTACATACGCTACCTGCCATGGTGGCCATACTACAGCTGTCGAGTGTATGAGCGCGGTTGACGATGTGGGCGGTGAGCGGTGGTTATTTCGCAAGGCAAATAGCTTCGGTGCACAGCAGCGCGGGGGCGGCTGGTGTACGGTGGCTGTGGTCGTGGTCGTGGTAAGCTGGGCTAGACTCAGGCATCAGCACTTGCAGCGGCGGATTCGCGGTGTTGGGCGCGCAACTCACCGTCCCAGGGCAATGGATGCAGCGAGGTTAAGAAGACAATATACGAAGAAGGTGTGTACAATAGACGGCGGGCAGCAAAGGGAGGTGGTGCCGCTTGTGTGTCCGGTGGGCGAGGGAGCGCGGGTAGATATGTGCAGGTCCGCTCACGCCCTTGGGTCTGTGTAAGGTGGGAAGCTGCGTTAACGGCAGAGCATGCTAGACTCGAATGGATGATGCTGCGCGCCAGGCGGGGAACGCATCAGGGTTCTGTCGACACGAAAGACACGCCAGCGGGGATGCAACGCAAGGGCGACGAGCTTGAGAGGCGCGGAATGCGAGCCGTGGGGGGTCGGTTTGGAGCGGGCGCGGCGCTGGACACGGTGGACAGCGGGCGGGCGAGGGAGGAACAGGAACAGGAACAATAGGGCAGAGCGCGGCAGACTAGGCGTGGAGGACTGGCGACCGGCTGCACGCGTGCGCAGAGGGAGGAGAGTGACTAGTCAACGTTTGCCTGCGCAGAGAGGGCGCGGAGAGCTGAGGACTGCAGCGCCCGGTGAACAATGTCGTAAAGGCCCAGCCAGAGGCGAAGAGGATCGGCAACTACGGACAAGCGTCCGCTGGGGAAAGAGCGCGCTAGGGTTTCAGGTCTGCCGACCAGGCAGACGTCGCTGCCAGCGTCGCAGCGAACAGCGCTGCAACCTTGCCTGCAGACCGACGGCACTGCAATTGAGATGGTAAGGCGTCGCAGGGCGCACACGGTCGCTGTTCTGTCGTCTCCTCGGTAGGCGCGGTGCGGCGCTCGCGTGTGCAAAGGGCGAGTCAGGGATCAATGCGGCCGCAATCCGGGCGATCAATCTGATGAGGCAGACAGAGACAAGATAAGATGAGACAAGACTTCGGCCCTGACATGGAGAGGAACAGCGCAAGATTATGTACAGCCTGAGGCGTGTTTCACGACCGCCGTGCCGAACCTCTTCACACTTTGGCCGGCCCCTCCGTCTGCGTCCAAGCTCTGCTAGCTCTGCTTCTGCTAGCTCTGCCTCTGGTCGTTGAGCTGTGCGGATGCTTGTGTGCGAGGCCAGCCAACGAGCGCCCACCAGGTGTGACGGCTCTCGCTGGAGTGGAGCGGCTCGCCTACGGTAGTCCAGCCATCGAACACCGTCTCCACTGTCTATCACAAGTCGAACTGCTGTTCGCGCTCTAGAGAGCACGTCACACGATGGCGACTGCACCTGTCGCCCACAGCTACTGTTACGCGTAACATGGGTCACTATAGCAGCTCCACTGAACCTGACTTATGCAATCACGGATTTGTTTGCAGAGTCCAGGTAGGTACTGTACAGTCCCTATTGAGGCTGCGAGTCGGCTCTCGCGCGTCCGCTCTCCACCTCTATGTGCACACGTGTGCTGCGCTGGCGCCATGGCATGCACAGCAACCTGCTGGCTCCGATCCAGCTGGTCCTTCACCGGCTGATCTAGGATCAGCCTACCTATCTGCCTGCGATCTTCACCTCTCTTCCGCTCTTGGGTCTCAATAAACACAATACTTGCAGCTTCACCGCTCCTCTAGCTGCTCGATGAGGATGCTGTGGTGGTACAGCCAGCAAATCCATGCAGGGTGCAGCCGTATGTACGCACGTGAGTTTTCTTGGCCTCACAGTGGGCGTGTGGGAACCTTCGTGAAGTGGAGCGGCCTCAGGAGCTCAACTGTCGCATGTGTTCACCACCGGATCGGCCATCGTGAGCATGGTTGGTAAGGCATCAAACGCTGTAGCGTCTCAAGGTGCTGCCAAGCAGTGTAGACGTTTGACGGTGTTCGGGGATTAAATCCCCTGTGTCAGCAGTAGACGTCCGAGCGCGTTCGGTGCCTTCGCACTTCGAGAGCATCCTGACGGCGAAGAGACAGCTGCCAGGATCAGTCAGGCCAGACACGGAGGACCATTGTTTGTTTGACGACATACCTCGAGCCCTCACAATGGACTGGCACGTGGCGTTCCCTGCTCTCGTCAAGTTTCGACAATGGCAAGTGATGATTCCACGCCCCGCATTCCATATTGCCGTCTCAACGCGCATCGCTGGGCCATTGTTCAGCATCATCCTGACAGATCCCGCATCCACGCGCGTCGTTCGTCTCAGCCATCGCCGCTGTCATATCCCCGCAATCTTAACCGTCACTGCTGAGACCAAACGTGGAGTGTCTCGTGGGGCAGAAAGGCAGCGAGAGACGCCGAAGGCAATGCCCTCCAGAAGTCAAAAGGCAGCGAGTGCAGCAAGCGCAGCTGGGTGTTTTGTTATTGCGTGACCATTGTTGATCGTTGGCACAAGAGCAATCCTCCAGTCTAATTTTGACTAGTCAGGTACCGATTGGTCTTACCCCTTGCACTTGTCCTCACCTGGCCATCTCCAAGGCCGACGTTCGCTGGCCGTCTACAACCCCGTGCTCGATCCTACACAAAAGGAGATCATGCACAAGACATCGAAGGATCCATTGGATTTCCTCGTCGCGCAACTGTTGGACAGCCTCAGCGCGTCGACATCCGGGAACGGGACGACTGGTCAGACTCTGCCGTCATTAATTACGACCTCTTGCTAGCGCCGCGCTTCCAGGGTCTTTCGAGTTAGTGTAACGCGTTGTGCCCCACTGTTACTTGCGTTGACCGTGAATAAGGCTGCTTACCCTGCGCCAAACAAAACTAAAGAGCGCTATTGCCCTCTCAACCTGCCGACCTCCTTGCTCCTCCCACGGTCCTGCCCACTGACACAAACCTTCCCTTGCGGTACTGCATCACTCTTTCTGCAGTATTTGCGTACGTTCATTCGACCTTGTGTCTCTCATTCCCCATCATTATCTCCGGTGACGACGGCGCTTCTTCAGGTGGGTTCCCGTCCTCTCCGGTTTCACACAATCCCATCCGCCAAGCCGTGCACTAAACACCATACGAGCGGTTAGCTTTGCGGAGAAATACGAGCATTGCTAACATGGAGACAGCGAATACGATCATAATCACTATTCACTACTGTACAATCGCATCATCTGGAACGCCATCTAAACGCCATAACGACCTCAACACTACCGCAGACTACGCAATATGATGAACATTAAGAACCTCACTGCGCGCTCCGAGGGTGGAGACGGCCCGAACAACATGAACATTGCGCTTCTTACAACACTGGCTATTCTTGTCGTTCTCGCCCTGGTTCTCATGGGCGCACTCATCTGGCTTCGCAACGTCCGACGCGCCAGAAAAGAAGCCGCGCAGGACGCACAGCTGCCTCTCTACGAGAAGAGACAGTCAGGCCGCCGACTTACAATCACTATGCCCGGCAAGGGTCGCGAGTCGGTCGTCGTCTACTCGGAGAAGCAAGACCTCATGAACAGCGCAGCAAGCTCGCCCACCAGCCCCGTACCTGAAATCCGCATCACATTCCCCGACGAGGTCGACGAGTCTGGCAAGCGCCAGTCCGGTCGCGTTGTCGTTGTCCGCGTCGGCGAGCACAGCGTTGGATTAGAGCCTGTCAACGAGGACCTGCCTCCTTACCAGCGCGACTCGTCAGACCGCTTCGACTCGCTTGACCTCGACCGCATCGGAGGACTGAAGGAGAAGGACAACAAGGAGTACGCCTGAGCTCTGCGCTGCTACAGTCAAGACCCGACCGACTGCGGCAACGAGTCTGGCACCACGGGACTTTGAGCCACTTGGCTATGATCTATTTTGATGACGGCAAAAAGCGCTGATTGTCAGTTTCTAGCCTATGCCACACCTGTCTGGGTGGCAAGGCATGGCGATGAGCCACTTGTAAATTTCTTGGAGTTGACTGGCCTGTATACCCATCATGTCTGGCCGGCGCCTCGCTGAGGTTATGTCCTCTACATAACTGTTATTTCTAATGTATGCTACGCCCATCTCTCGAGCGTCTGTAGCTGTGCAGCAAGAGAGCAAATACAAACCTTGACATGAACAAGCAATGTGTGCCGCTGTGTGATTTGACGTTGCGCCCTGAAACACCGTGAACTACAACTGTAGGCCAGATCCATGTTGAGAAACTTGAGACTCGTGTTGCGCCTCGTGCGTTGGAGCACCTCGTTGGACCCACGCTTGCAAACCGCATCAATCTCGGCATGTCTCCACCCAAACCAAAACATCGCAGCTCAGAACGTCATTTTCTACCCATGGGTTCTACCTGTCTTTAACATCCCCTTTGTAGCGCCAATTTGAACCCTGGGCCACTGAGCTCCTCGACAGCACAATGGAGAGCGGGGAGATGTTCACGTCCATCGAGGACATGCAAGCAGAAGCAAAGGTCAAGCAGGAAAAGCAGCGCGCGGAGGAAGCGCAATTGGGCGGACCAAAGGCGACTGTCACAGATGTCAGGACGGCTAAGAAGGCTGGTGAGGTCCACTTCAAGGCGCAACATGGCATTGTGGTGGCTTTCTTCAGTTTCATCCTGTACGACTTCCGCGTGCAAACAGACGTCCACAGCTAACAGCCACCAGCGTCCTGCACGTGCTGGGCACATACCTCTTTACGACCGGCTTTCTTCTCACGCGCCTTGTCCTTCCACATAAATCCGAATGCGCCGACCCGCCAATTGAACTCACCAAGGGATACGTAGCGGGAAACGCAGGGAAAGGGTGCTGGCACCCCAAGACGTATGACAAGGCCATTGTGGTCATCGTAGACGCGCTGCGATACGACTTCACCGTCCCATTCGACGCCCAATTCCAGCCTGTGGACCTCGAGAAGCAGGGAGACCTTGTCCAAGCTGATTCGTCAGAGAAGAACATCGCGCCGCGCCATTTCCACAACGCTTTTCCTGTACTCTATGAGACCGCAAAGCAGTCGCCGAAGAATGCGTTCCTCCTACCTTTCATCGCAGACCCGCCGACGACGACGCTGCAGCGACTGAAGGGACTCACAACTGGCACACTGCCTACCTTTGTCGACGCTGGAAGTAACTTCGCGGGTACTGCCATTGACGAGGATAACCTGATTGCACAACTGAAGGATGCTGGGAAGACAGTTGTGCACTTGGGCGACGACACCTGGCACGCGCTATTCCCTGGATACTTCGAGCCGAACCTCACCCACGCTTACGATTCGTTCAACGTCTGGGATCTGCACACGGTCGACAATGGTGTCACGGAGCACATCTTCCCCCTTTTGAAGGGAGAGAACTCAACAAAGTGGGATGTCATCTTTGGTCACTATCTGGGTGTGGACCACGCAGGACACCGTTATGGCCCAGACCATCCTGCCATGGCAGCAAAGCTGAACGAGATGGATGCTGTTTTCCGACGCATGATCGAGGAGCTCGATGACGATACGCTGCTTGTTGTTATGGGCGACCACGGCATGGATGCTAAGGGAGATCATGGCGGTGAATCAGACGACGAGATCCAGGCTGCCCTTTGGATGTACTCCAAGAAGGGCGACTTTGGCCGTGTTGACCCTTCCTTCGCACTCCCTCCTGCGCATGCGAAGGACAGGTCGATTGCGCAGATCGATCTCGTGCCCACTCTGTCACTGCTCCTTGGTCTGCCTATCCCGTTCAATAACCTGGGCAAGCCGATCGACGAAGCCTTCACTAGCGCCAAGGGCGGCGATATCGAAAACCTGGCTACTGTCAACCGTCTTGCAAGCGCCCAGATCCACCGCTACCAAGGCGAGTATGCCCACGTCCGTGGTCTCGATGAAAGTGTCTTCTCCAGCTCGCTTTCCCTTTGGCCCGCTGCTAACGAGGCCTGGGCTGCTGTTTCTCAGCGCATGTCTTTTGGTGGAAGCACAGCCAAGGGTGAACAAATGAAGACTGCCTACAAGGCCTTCGCTGCTTACCAGCAGGAGAATCTCCGCATCTGCCGCTCTCTTTGGGCACGATTCGACGTGCCCCGCATGATCAATGGTGTCTTGATCTTGGCACTCAGCGTTCTTCTACTGGCGCTGTATGCTCGCGGCCTGGTCGGCGACCGCGCTGAGATCACTCCTGTCTTCTTCACTAGGGGCCTTTTGGGCAGCGTGCTCGGTGCTGTCTTCGGCTTCGCTGCGTCGCTCGTCCTTTCAGACACACCGAAGGATCACACTGTAATCTTCGCAGCAGCTATGACTGGCATCATCGGTGTGCTGTCAGCGTTCTACTCGTTCCGCGACCGTCTTAGCTCTCTATTGCCCAATAACATTTGGGGGTGGGCCAGTCTGATTTTTACCGTCTCTCTTTCGGGTGGCTTCGCGGCCAATTCGTTCACTATCTGGGAAGATGAGATCCTCCTGCACTTTCTCACAACATTTGGCGTTCTTGCCATAATCTCTTCCTTCCGACAAAAGAACATGTCCGATCGCACTCTTGGTGTATATCATTCGATCCTTTTCACTGTTCTCCTCCGTGTTGCAAGCTTCTCTAGACTTTGCCGCGAAGAGCAGATGCCCTACTGCAAGTCGACATATTACGCTTCTGCTCTCTCCACCACTTCAGCACCGTGGCAGCTTCTCATTCCCGCCGTCGCTGCGCTTCTCATTCCCACGTTCATTAAGAGCTACTACGAAGGCACCAAGAGCTACCAGAATATGGCTGTGATGTGGATTGGCATTGTCCTCCGCTTTGGCCTGATGCTCAGCGCCGCATACTGGGCTCTCGACGCCGCCGATGACGGCGATTGGTACCCATCATTCTCCAGCATTATCAAGATCTCCAAGCAAGCGCTCGCCCAGGGAGTCCTCCTCCTCGCCTTCGGCATCGGCTACGGGCTCTACAGCTGGTCCAAGCCGCTCCTGAACATCGAAATGAACAACGAAGGCAAATCCAACGAACAGATCATCGTCCACGGCTACGCAAACGTGCACGGCAGCCGCTACGCCCTTCTCATCACCATCTGGTACCTCGCGGTCGCACTCCTCCAGAAACCAATGGGGGCCGGCGCAATCGGCATCCTTGTCTGGCAGCTCTTCTCCCTCTTCGAAATCATCGACACAAACAACCTGCGCCAGTCTTCCATCGGTCCGGTCGTCCTCGGTCTGCTCGGCTCATTCCATTACTTCAAGACCGGCCACCAGGCTACGCTGTCCAGCATACAATGGGAGTCCGCCTTTATCCCGTTGAAGTCGATTCGCTACCCGTGGACGCCCATCATCGTTATCTTGAATACGTTTGGTGCCCAGATCCTCTGCGCTGTTGCGGTCCCGGCGCTCGTGCTGTGGAAGGTAAACCCCAAGCAGCAAAGATTGCTCAGCACGGTTGCAAAGGCAATTGCCACGCATATTTTATTTTATGCCGTTGTGAATCTGGCGACAACTGTATGGGCGGGGCATCTGAGGAGGCACCTCATGCTGTATCGTATCTTTAGCCCCAGGTGGATGCTTGGTGCTAGTGCGCTACTTGTGGTGGATGTAGTGGCGATTTTTGCGGGGCTGTGGGGTGCGCGGATGAGTATCATCAGTGTTGCTGAAGTCTTTGGGTTTGCATAGATGAGGGACATATGTGGGAAATGTGTTGTATGATCATGGTGTTGCAGTTGCATACGGCGGCTACGTCGGCTTTCCATTTTGTGTAGCATCGAGATCTCCATCTCGCCAACCTATCTAGATCCCGCTTTCACCAAGCGTATTCTTCGTTATTCTACTTTCCTAATTCTCATTTCACCGTGAAATTCCAGTCCGCTCTCAGACCGCTCCGGCTGCCGTTACGTCAGCGCTTATTGCAATGTAAAGGTAGCAGGCCCATCGCGCCTGCCGTTTGTAGCAGCTACTTATATACTTCCCTCAGCAAAACGCCAACCCTTCCTCCAACACAACCACACGACACACGCCGTTTGCGGCCACTGAAATTTTGAGCAACTTACGCCCTCGGGGGCCCACTCAACGACTGCGAATCTTGCGAGCGGAGAGCTTCCTTAACTGTCCTCACATCGGAGACATCACTACTTGCTTAGTACTTCTCTGGTACGGCAGACACTGATCAGAATTTTTGAAGTCTTGCATGTTTGTCTAGGCGCCGAACTAAGAGGTCATCGAAACAGTGGCAAATATCGATCTGCTTGAAAATAAACAAAGATGAGAGACACCCACTGCCATGCTACACTCTCAGGCTGACCGCGATCAAAGTCCGACAAACCCACGTCGACTTTCCGACTTCTTCACCGACTCAAAACGTCAATCGTGATCATGCCGCTGATCATGCCGAAGGACGAACTCATCAGTGATTTGAACAACGATAACCCAGTGGTGGGCCTCAAAGGCACGCTCAGCTTGAAAGGTCGATTCAAGGACAGGCTCAGCCGTCTGCTGGGACGAGCCATCTCCTTGTCTGATGCAGACAGTTCTCAACCCCTCCACATCTACGTTGGCTCAAAGAGTCGCTCCAGTGCATCGAATACGATGCACGACGGTCAGGTTCGCAAGTTCAGTCAGGATCTCCAAGTTGCAATGCGCAACATTTCGCTGTGCACCACCGAATTAAGCACGAACATGAACTCGCAGTGTGAAGCTAACATGGTCAGGTCCGCAAAAAGAGGAGGCTTCACAAGATCAATGGGATTTAATCCTTGTTCATGTGCCTACAAAAATTCACAATACGATCATGCGTCTTCGAGAAGTATTCAACAACTACAGGAGCAAATTTGATACCATGATCACTCAGATAATGGGCCTCGATGATGTCGATGGATACGGCTCCTCGCTTGACACCGACCTCGGCGACCTCATCATCTTACTGCAGCAACTAGCTAACAGCTAAGATAGCCGTGTAAAACAGCAGAATGAGCTTATTGAGTTCGCATGGGCTTTTCTCCAATGCTGTCCCGACGCTGATGTACGCCTCAGGTCGCTTATCGGCAGTATTTTCTCTGACAAGCTATACGACTTGATCTGTCGACTCAATCATCCCTTGAGCACTCATCATACCCTTGTAAGGGCAGCATCTTCCTTCAGGGTATTCCGAACGGTCAGCATCCATCTAGGCTCACCTCCGCCTCTTTCACCCAAAGCCATTAGCAGCACACCGATGCTAGCCTGGTTTCAATGCAATACATCATCTATTGACATCTCTTACGTTTCTAGCCTTCGCCCCCCCCCCCCCCCCCCCCCCTTTGCCGTCAGTGGGTAAACAGACAATGAACATCAAGCAACCTCCCTCACTTCTAAACGGCCCGTGCCCCACCTCTGGCTTGCGATACGCACAACACCCCTTCGTCAAGGTCTCTAAACCCTTCCTCTCCCGCCTAATCACTCCTACTCTTGGTCTCGCGCACGCTTGGTAGCTTTTCCGTTCTACTCCTCCTCTTTTGAGACTTAGCAGAAATCACAGATAGCCAAGATTGTTGGGTTTCGAAAGCCTTGTCTATAGCATTACGCAAGATAGTGTGGGAGTATCGTCGAGAGAAGAGAACCGCACCAAGCAAAACATCTTACAAAGGGAATTCCTCATCCTCTTATACCACCATACAAAATCGCAAAACGCACCAAGGAGTTACCTGGCGCAGACATCTCCCCCACCTCATCACCGTCACGCCACCATATTGCTTACACGCGCCTCGTCTTTCGCTTCAATCCACCCTCAACCGGCTATGTTAGCTCACCCAACTCAGAGCGCCCTTGCGGACAGCTACAGCGAGTGGGCTCGCCTCAGGCCGCGAAGAAAGGCGGAGATGCTACTCAACTCCACAACCCGCAGGTACACAGCAGCTGAAAACGCCGACCATCTCCAAATACCACTGGGGAGCACTTCACCACCCTGAGTCCTCCACCACTCACTCCCAAATACCACTGGGGGGGTCCATCATATGTGTCTCAAGGCCAGGCACCGCCACGCTCAGGCTCAGTGGTCTACTCCGCTTGTATAAGACGTCCTCCCTCAGGTCTGAAAATACACCTTCGGGTTGAAAACACTTTCCTCCTCTACTCGGCCTTCATCTTCTCCTCCAGCCGCGATGACTTGCGCGTCCCAGGTGTCTTGGCCGCAGTCCTCGTCTTCTTGCGTCTGGGCGTCTCGGGCACCGCAGGCTCAGCTGACGCTGGGTATCGCACGACCTGGCCAGGGCCAGTGTAACCTCGGCCGCGACCCGCTTTGTACGGCCTCTTATTCGGCGAGGCGGTGATGTGGGGCGAAGGCGTCTGAACCTTCTGCCCCGAGAGAGGTGGGGGAGTGATACGGGTGCGCTTGGGCGTAGAAGAGGGAGAGCAAGAGGGCGACCTGCGCTTGCGGGAGGGAGGCGAGGGAGTGACGTTCTCCTGCTCGATTTCTGGCTCAGGGGTCTTGGGACCTCCAGTCTCCTCCACGGACGCGCAGACGACCTCCTCTTGGGCGAGGGCGGCTGCTGCAGACGACTCGGGGGAGACCGCCTGAGAGTGGTGGGGCGTTGTCATGGCTCCAGGAGAGCCAGGGCTAGAGTACTCCAAATCCGGCTGGGTAGCCATGTGGACGGCGGGAGAAGCCACCCCCTTCTCGCTCTCAGACCCCGAGCTGGAGAATTCCAGCTCTGCATTCGTCGACCAGTTGGTCAACGAAAGCCCAGCCGGGAGCCCTCCCACCTGCGAAGGCGAGCCTGAAACTGGGGAAAGTTGAGTGCCGAAGCACTTCTTACCGCCGAGCATGCGTTTCACAGGCGGTGCCCCAGGGACCGGGAGGGCTTCATCGTCGGCTGACGAGTAGATGTCCCCATCGTAGTCGAGACCGAAGCTCCCAGCCTTCGGGTCATGACGGGGTGTGGATTTGGGGTTGCCCACCTCCTGAAGGCCTTCAGCGACCTGGGTCGCGCGCTCGGCAGGCTCAGGAGATAGCGTGAAGTCTACTTCGCTGTCGTAGCCGTTGTCATCCTCGTCAAGAGCGGGCGTGGAGAGATTCACACGCCCCGCGAGGATGCTCTGCTGAGGGGCAGGAGTGGTCGAGAGGGTGGCAGGAGTACATGAAGCACCACCGAAGAGTTGCAAGGGCACATGAGGGATACAAGAAGACGAGGGGCCAGCCTCATGGATGTCCATCTGGTCGTCCTCTACCCCAAGCTCACGAAGAACGAAGGACGCGTCCGGCTGCAGAGGTGAGTCGCAGCGAGGAGGTTCTGGAGTGCCGAAAGGAGGGCACGACTTGATGTCGAAGATGGACTTCGGCTTTGGTATTGGCTCGTCGTCGTCGCATGGCTGGATAGCAATGGGCTCCTTGATGAAGCCACGAAGAGAGTGCTCGTGAGCAGGCATAAGGTACGGGCCCATGCACTCCTTCACCACGTCACGCTCGTTTTGCCGAACACGCTTATGGGCTGGCTCTTCGACAGCGGCCTGGGCGAAGTTGCGCTTGACATCTCTGGTGACTTGGGCAGCCTCGTTCTGTGTGAGGTGCTTGTCGACGAGACGCATCACCTCAGCATCGATACGCTTCAGCAACTTCTCAGGATCTCCTAGTAACGCGTTGTACTCTGGACCATGTTGAATAACGCAGAGGATATGGTGGACCGCGAGCTTAAACTTGGCTCGGTCGCACTGGTTGCGGCAAAAGAAGGCGTAGAGAGCAGGGCCGCCCAGGGCGCCACTGATGAAACCAGCGAAGAAGCTAGCGTAGTGAGAAAAGAAGCCAGGCAGCTGCACACACTCAAAGAGGAAGCTTATGATAGCCTTGATGGCAGAAGTTGAGCGCGCATCAGAGTTGCGCAAGAGGCGCGTGCCGTTCATGATGGAAGGCGTTGGGGCAGAAGATGCCACAGCAGCTGTGTGGGGTGTGTTAGTAACAGCTTCCGGTGCATTCATGGGGGATGTCATACTTTGAGCGTAGGAAGTCGAAGCCTTAGTAGTGAATGAGTTGCATGCAGACATGGCCACTGAGTATTGTGATTGAGTGCGTGGTACAAAGAAGGTGTTGTGATAAGAATCGTTGGTAGTAGTGGTAGAACATGAACAAACACCAAAGTCTGGAAGTAAAAGAAGCTTGAAGGCAGCAGGTTCTTTGCAAGTGTAGTAGAGTAGTGGTGTAGCTGTGGTAGCTCGTCAGTAGAGCAATTGCTGTCGTTGAGCTGGAAAGCTGTGTATGGTTACGGACTGTCGTCGTAGCGGTGGACAGCTGTTGTTGTATGTAAGATAAAGTGCGAGTGAAAGCGGCTACACGCTGCGATTGCAGTGGAGCTTATGACGTCGAGGTACCAGCGCTGCACCAAGGGTTGGGACAGTGAAGGCGCTGCTTCACCTCGAGTGACCCAATGACACTGTCGGAGAAAGAGCTGTGCGAGAGTGATGACCTTCTGCAAACGAGATACATAAATGATGTAGAAGAGAGTCTTCACTCAGGCAGTACCTCGCGAGAATTCATAATTGTGCGATGGCGGCGATGCAAATATCACGCGCTCAGTGCGTTCGCTCACTGCCCCGTCCTGGACCGAGGCATTGCGTTACGAGGACCTCCGGTCAAAGGCGGAATCCAAAACGAACCGAGAGGGTTTGAAGACAATCATAGAAAGTAGAGTAAGATATTCATGATGACATGTGCCTCTGAGATGTGTTGAGGCGGTATGTTTGGAGGTGGTGTGTTTGCGTGCGAGATTCAAGCGCTCGATGAGGCACCATTTGTCGCTGAGCACTAACGTCGTCAGATTTGCCGCTGTGCCAGGCAGTTTACGTACAATATTGCTCTGGTCAATCTCGACCCTCCTCGCGCATTCGCCTTGCACGCCTCCGCAGCTCCTCACATCCCCTTCATCCTCCCCTGACCAAACTGCCCCATACTAATAGCATCCCTTCCATACCCTTGGTTGAACCCCCCAGGCTGTCCACCCTGTCCATAACCTCCGCTGTGCACCCCTGTACTCCGATCATTCTGCAGTGCGTTGCCGTAGATGAACTGCGAATCGACGGTTCTGGAGCTCCATGGCTTGCCCTTGTATTTCTGGGCGAAGAACTTGGCGAGGTAAATGCCGATGACGAGCCAGAAGACTGCGAGTGCCAATACGAAGGGTATGAAGAGGCCCATTGTGGTGGATTTGATTTGATTTGATTTGATGGGTGTTTGTCTTGTTAAGGACACCGTCTTTGCCGGCGACGAGTACAGTGATGTTGGAACAGGACTTTTCCGCGAAGCTTCTTGTCAAACTCCGAATGTCAAGGGAGGGTGGAGAATAGCAGAGCAAAGAAGACGACGTGATGTCTAGCGGAGGAGCGGAGAAGATCGACTAGCGTGGTCTGGGGAAGTTCCGAGGTTTGTGGGGTAGCTTGAATGGGTGACGTGCGGGATCCCGGCTCCATGGCGTCCGATTGGCTTTGATCCAATCCAGTGGAAAGTTAGAAGACGCTCTTGCAGCAAAAAGAGATGGGATAATGAAATGGAAGCGGACGGATGCGGGAACGGGCGGCTCTTTTGAGCCAGGATTTCGTTATTGATGAGGGTATACGTACGACCATGGAAGCAGACAGATGGACAAAGGGCCTGAGGAGAGTAAGAAATCAAGAAGCGTGGGGCTATGCAGATCCAGCTCCTCGAGATTCATCATCTGCCTGTTTCGCCCTCTTCGCCCTCTCCTCTGCGGCCTTCGCAAGTATCTCTCTTCGATCCAAGCTCCCCGTAGCCACGCTCCCACCGGCACTGCTGGCCAGCGTCGCTCCATCTCCTCCGCTGCCCAACTTGAATTCTCCACCCGTCCATCCGCCGTGATCGCACATGTTCATCTCCTCCTCGCTCGGCTCATAGTATTCTTGATTTCCAACGCTCCTTCCTCCACTCTTCCAGTCATCTCTCGCGACTTCGCGCTCAATTTGCTTACACAGATTCCAGAAATTCCGGTCATGCGGACCCCACACATTGTGTGCAAGCTCGTGACACAACGTGTTGCGGATCGTCTTATAGTCCCTATAGCCGTCGTACGCATCCGTTCTCAAGCGCAGTTCAATGACCTCACCTTTATTGCGGTTCAACCCCAGGGTTCGAGATTCTTGTGTAGTGTGCATGGCAGGGTCCATCTCTGTGAGCAAAGGCACACTAAACTTGTGGCTGCGCATAGCGGCTTTGATGCCGGCATCATCGCGAAGGCGCTCGAGGAAGGCTAACGACCGCTCTGGGCGCGGAAGGTACGGCAGCGGCCGCAGTGTGTGGAATGTATATTGCGCTTCTTCTTGTAGTCGCTTGTAATCTGTGTTGCGCGCAGGCGTTGCGGCTTTGACAGGTCCTGGCATCCGAGGCGCGGACGCGGCGGATATGCTGGCGTTGAGGGTTGAAACTTCAGCGGTTGTGCTGCCCATGAGTGTGATCTTCTTAGCGTTGAACTCGCTCACAGGTGTCGAAGGGTTCTTGAACGGCGGCTTTTGTAGACCCAACTTGCCGCCGACGAGCAGTTTCTGGTTTGACGGCGGTATGGAGAGCTTCTCGGCGATCCTGTCCGAGAGATCCGATATCGTGGCATCAGGCGCAAAGGACAATGTGACTGGCTTGCCGTGGTGTGTCAACGTTATTTGGATCTCGTCGGCGGTCGCATTGGCGTGTGGCATGTCTGGAGCCATGATGGCGGGAGTTCTGGGGAGGGGAGGCGGCGCGATATAAGCTGTTATGATGTGTGTAAGTGAAGTTGTTAGCAGGGGATCAAGATATGAAGCTTCGCAGCTGGTTGCTGACCATTAGTTGTGGCGCTCGGTCTGTCGTGACGTTCGCGAGGCTTCCATGTCCACGCCACGGAGATTTGTCATCGTAAAGTCCGACCTCGAGACAGCATGGTCTGTGAAAATAGAGCCATGTGCTGTATTTTTGTCTGTCTACAACCAAAGAAGACTGCCCCAAGGTGTTTCGGTAGGCGCGAGCCTCTCAACGTGATGAAGAGACGTTTGAGTTCTTGCGACTGCTGTCTAGCTAATCCCAATACGTTGGGGTTCCCTGCTACCTGAGAGCCTGAGCACTTGCGCTCAAGTGGGCTCGGGCTGTTGTTCGCGTCTGCTCTGGTAGTTGCTTGTACATTCCGCTCGTCCCAGCTCCTTGCTCGCCCTCACCAATGTAGGTAAACATGCTCATATCGCCCTCAGACAATGTGACTGGTCAGTGGTCATGGCAAGCCCAACCAACGCAGATATCAGACTTGATTATGCATACAGATATCAGACTTGATTATGCATACAGATATTAGACTTGATTATGCATACAGACATCAGACTTGATTATGCACACAGATATCAGACTTGATTATGCACACAGATATCAGACTTGATTATGCACACAGATATCAGACTTGATTATGCACA